TTTTCCTGATTTTCCTGATTTTCCTGATTTTCCTGATTTTCCTGATTTTCCTGATTTTCCTGATTTTCCTGATTTTCCTGATTTTCCTGATTTTCGTGCTGTGGTGGTTGACATGGGGAATTGTGCTGCTGTGTTGTGCTGCTCGGCGGAGAGCAGATTAGATGCCGATGTGCTGCTATGATCGCTGTGCTGTGATGTGCTCATGGGGTATCTCTTCTCTTCTTGAAGCTCATTGAAATCCGTCCAAGCTCATGTCCCTGATCCGTATCACCAATACCATGCCGTAACCGCGCTATGCTTCGAAGCCCGTAGTGCTGTGGCGCCTTGCCTTCCCTATCATACCATGCTTCCATCAATGCACTGCTGAAGGTGGATCAAGACAATTGAGAATATGCTCATTGTCTGTGCGATGTCAAGCCATGCAATGCGCCGCAGGCGGTTTGCCTGCGGAAATGCCGTAATGAAGAAAAGGACATTTTTTTGGTCCCTGCTGGGTTGTTTGTGGTTTTCCAAATGTTTTTGATGTGATGTCTGAGTTCTCGATCATGCTGAAAGCGAGTTGAGAGTGAATCTCAACTCGGATTGACGCTCATAATGCTGTGGTGCACAGAGATATCTGAACACTTGAAAAAGAAATCGCACATGATTTGCGAAAGGATTATACGGCCTTGTGATTTATGGATGGATCGTGTTGAGCGCTGCGGTTTGGACTGGACTGCGGGACTGCCTTAGGAGTCATGTGGGCAAGGTCGATGACCATTGCGTGTTGCTGCAGCCTGACTGAGATGACTGACAGTAATGAGTGATATGTGAGGCATAGCAGTTCAGCTCAGTCGAACATGAAAAGGACGCGGTTCATCTCTGCTTGGAACTGAGCACGCTCGGCTTCGCTGTCGAAGTTGAGGATTTCGAAATTCGACTCGTTGATGGTGTCATGGACTAGCTTCGCGTCGGCTTCGATGGCATCCCAATCCACGAGTGTGTTCATGAACTGGTCACTTGCGAGGGTGGAGAGGTCGTGATCCATGCGAACGTCGCTGTAGCTGCTTCTAGAGAAGTTGATGTGCTCTGATGGGTCTCGCGGTTCGTAGCGGGCAGATTTGATGTTGTAGTCTCGCTCGACGTTATCATGTCCAGCTGGGAAGACGATGGACATTTCGTCTGTCTTGCGGCTCTTCTTGAGGCGGCTTGGATAGCTAGAAGCACGCTCGTTGGCCAGACAAGTGTCAATGGAGATCGGCTCTTTCCCTTCGAAGAACAAGGTGACTTCGTGAGGACGGTTCATGCGGTTGAAGCGAACGTTGCTGTCAAAGTCTGCAACATCTGTCATCTCAACATCAGAGTTGGCTTGAAGACCTTTCGCGGCTTGAAGCTTGGCCAACTTCCGGACGGTCATGCGACGCTTCTTCTCAGACGGTTTGCGAGGAGCATATTGATAGCCAGGATTCTCAAGAGCATGTTGCTTCTTGACTTGGGCTGCCTTTGCTTTCCACTCATTCTTGACTTCTTCTGACTCAGATTTCCATTGCTTTCCTAGCATGACAGATATGTCATTGTTTGCCAGGTCCGGTCGTGACTGCAGCAGAATTGGGTGGTAGTAGGTGCGGTAGAGAATGAAAGCATTTGGTGGGCGTGTGACTTTGACCTTCTTGTCAGGTTGTCGAAGCTTTCTCTCTGGGGAAGAAGATTGTGTGGCAGTATGAGCTTCTGCTTCGATGGGGCTCGCAGCAGACATCTGAGATTGAGGTGTAGTGCACTGTGACTCAGCACTGCTGATGGCGGCTGGACCGACCGCAAAAGCCGGGAGTTCAGGAGCTTGACAGATGCGCAAGACCTTGGCAGAATAATCGAGATAGTCTGTGGTTGGAGTATTGCCAAAGTGCTCACTGCTTCAGTTAGTAGAGAAACAACAGAAATGAGTGAGGTCTCACCTCAACCGAGTCTTGAGATCTTCGATGTTCGCTTTGCTGAGCTTGACCACCATGAACTGAGGAATGACCAATTCGTTGTTGTTGGACGGGAAAGAAGCGACACCCATCTGCCAGATGACATCGATCTGAGCCTTCGGCAAGCCATCTGGAACTTGAACTGAGGGGGCTCTTGCCTCAGCAAGGTAGGCGGAGATACTGTCCATCTTGAAGAAGTTCTGTTTCAACATCAATATAACTCAGAGAATTGAGAGTCAGCTTACCGTGGTATTGGGGATATTGTTTCAATGACTTCGGTGATGTACAGGACAGTGTTGTCAGGTGAGAGTCTGTATGAAGTGGTGGAAGAAGGCGAAGAGATCGAGAGGTGAGAGAGAGAACTTATAGGAAGATGAGAGACGGCTGGGAGAACGATGTCACCGCCGTCGAATAGTGCCGCACCGATGAAAATGTGCTCCCTGAATAACCAATATCTTATTCCTGCCACCTCAATGAACAGGCTCTAGTGACAAGAAATTCACTTCACACAGAACGGATCTCAAGCCAGTGTGAAGTGAACCTTGCCGTGAGCCAATGCGATCCAGTTCAGCCGCTGACGCCGCTGAATCCGTGGAGCATCTCCAAGTAGCGATAACAGAAAGTAGATCTTCCATAAAATCCGCAGACCTCTTCTTCGAGAGTGGGAAGGGTACATTGACGCAGCAAGTCAAGCATCGGCACCCCAGTTGCACACCAGTTCAAGCACTTTGTGATGTTCCCTTGGTCAGCTTTTCGGACGTCTGACGCTGACCTCTCCTAGTCTAGACTCCGACAAACAGTTGAGCAGTCGGAGAAAGACCTTGTCCTCTCCTCAATGGGACGTATCTTGATAGTAGCCTCGCAGTGGATCCAGGTCTGGCTCGACTGTGTCATTCCCCAAGTTGGAATTTTTCTATCAACCTCCTTGTGGTCTTTTCGAGCTCACTATGGTCGAAGCAGAATCTCAGAGCCGCAGTGGGCAGATCAGGGTCGCCGCGTATATCTGGAGGAGGTGAGCAATGATATAATCACTCCCGGCGTCGCTGCTCAGGCTCTCGATCTGATGAGATGTCGTGGGCTGTTTCCTCCGGTGAGCGGCCCAGCAGCTTCTAACCTTTCCTCAACGAGAAATACGGCGATTATTCGCTGGCGACATAGGCCACTCCCTCAGCTGTCTGTATTACACTGGGCCAGTTGTAGAAGGGCGAGCTTGGTTCATGACTCGAGCTTCCTTTCTGCCATTGATATTTGTATTTTCTCCTCACTCTAGGTCCTCTTTGGCGATTTTGACGTCCACTGTCACCGTCAGAATGGAGCTTTTCAGCGTTGCAAGCGCAGGCGGATTAATCGAAACACCAGAGAGCTGGTTGAAGGGAGAGATCTGTATGCTGCGTCCCACTGAGACTTCCGCAGCAGCATTTACATATGGTCCGTGCTTTCCAGACAAAGAATGTGGCGTCGGTTTCTGGAACAGTTTGTCATCGTGTCTCATTGTTTGTTGCTAATTAGATGGCATTTCCGGATGTTTGGAACTTCCCCTGATTCTCTTCGACTTCAGAATACCTCTTGCGTATCGACCTGCATATTTGGACATCACCGAATGCAGAGTGGTCCTATGTGCCAAAAGTTCAGGCAGTGGCTACCTCACGATTGAGGCCGTCACCACCGACCAGCAGCATGCCTTCGAAAGCAACGCCGCGGCCCTGCACTTCCACCCCAACATCTCTCCTCCTATTCTCGGCTTCGACCCCCGCGTCATCCAAGACGACTTCGACCCATTTAATCTTGACTTGAGCCCTCTCGTGGCCTTCGAGACCAAGATCAACTACGCACAAGACTTGCCGCAATGGTAGGCAGTGACGCAGGCAGGCGGAATGGCAACGAGTATCATCGACGGCGCGCAGGCAGGACATCGAGAAGAAGTGGCATCAAGGCTGCAGGTGGAGCATTTAGGGGGAATCGGTACACACTGCGACGAGACGAGATGGGTCGAGATGAGAGTGAGATTGGTACCTAATTAATACCCTGCGATGCTCCGTGCAGTGCAGTACTGCGTCAGGCTGGAATGGAAGGAACATACAGAAAGCAGACAGAGCTTGGAAAGGGCGATACATACAGTCAGTCGTGACTGAGACTGAGACTGACAGATGGGTTCATCTTCTGCGCCGCGACGCATCGGCTTCGAATGTCGAATGTCGAAGGTCGACACTCAACCCGCGCCCACACAACAGCAGATAGCAGATAGAAGGTTGGATTGCAAACCCTGCGATGTAGCAAAGAGCTAGCAGGCAGACATTAATAGATTAAAGCTGCGAAGCACCAAACACGTCCTGGTTTCTTAATTCAAAGCTCAAGCAGCGAGGTCGATAACAAGAATCGCAGAGGAAGCTTCATTGGGTTTAGCAATTGGCTGGCGTGTCCGAGTGGCCTTGCTCTGACGTGGGCTCTCCACATGCGGCCCACGTTTTCGGACTTCGTGGACAAACAAGACTGTGGCACAGATCGTGCTGTCGCCTAGGATGAAAGAATCAGAATTTGGTAATCACCTTTCCAGGTACAGCAAATCGGCCAAAGCGCATGACGATACGACAAGTACGCTTTCAAAGATGCATAGCGAGCCAGATGTTGAGCAAACTGAACCGTCAAATTTCGGTGGATGTGACCTCCCCGGCATGCTCTGTGATGTACCGTATCAATAGGTTGCAACACCTGTGGTAAGACACTGAGGACTATCGCGAAACCCCTTTCCAGGGAGCAACTCGGTTTGCGCGAGATTGTCGACTCGATAGAACTCATCGTACAACTCTAGTCATCCCGTCTCCCCCGGTCATCGTCGAGTAGACCGAACTCTTCCTCTGCCCAATCCACCAGCATTTCCCAGAGTGGAACACCACGGATGCGGCAATACCACCACAAGACAAAGCACTGGAACACCCATGAAAGAAGAATCCAGAGTCCTAATGACACGTGGCAACCTCGCAGTCAGTAACCCTTTCATTCAAGCCCCCAACCAGATGTGCGTGGGAGCAGTAGCGGTGCGGGTGGGCAATGCGAGGAAGCCTCACTTGAGACTCACGGATTTTGTAGTAGGGCCAGACAACGATTTGGATCACCAAAAGTGACATCACGACAAGCTCAACCAGGATCACGACCGCCTTTGACAAGTATTTGAGGATTTCATCTAATGCACGGAGCTGGAGACTGACCACGAGGATGACTGCCAAGTCAGCCATTTCGGTTTTCAAAGGAGGTTTCAGCTGCAGTCTCCTCAGAGCCTAGCTTGGCGCATGCTTCAGGCTTTCTCGGGAAGGGTCGTAGGAGAAGAGAAGTGGTAACGGAGAGCAGATAGTCGGAACGGGAAGTCTTGATGAGAGATGTCTGAGTTTTCTGTGAGAGAAGAGATGTCGCGATGAGAGAAGATGTTTCGAAAGGGCGTCCGTGGGTTCCCACAGCAAGACCGTTGGGGACTTCCGACAGAGGCTCGTGTATGAGAAGAGACGTAGTGGTAATGAAGGCAAATCCCCCAAACTGTGTCGATGGTCCTTGAAGGAGAAAATGATCTGTGGTCACTTGAGGCAAGAATCACCCATCTCCAAGTCCAAGGTCATCGTTTCTGTTTCGAGCAACCACACAACGACGGCAAGAGCGAAAGACCGTCGCTGGCAGATCCTCCGTGCCTGGGAAAGGTATCCTGCAGAACCAGCGACCACTCGCCTTCAGCTGATGAGTCCTTCTCCCTCGTCCTACGGTGACATTCCCGCCAGCTGCATCATCTCGCCGACTCTGTCAAAGACATTCATCCTCGTCCATTCGCTTGCACAGACCAAGAAGAAATACACGCCAGCAGCCACGACAACTAATCGGTCGAGAAGGAATGTGAGGACTGAGGGATGGCCAAAAAGCGGGGTCAGTCATTCGGGTCTGTCTCGGAGACGAAGGCTCAAGTGAGCGGTTGACTGACAATCAGAAGAGCGCATGCCAGTTGTTGCGCAGGCGGTGGACATGGCAGTCATGGCCAAGAGGCAGAGGAGGACTATGTACTTCAGGTTGTCCATCTCTGAGACCGAGCGAGTCTTGCTTTATGAGAAATGCCGGTGTTGCTTTGTGCTGAGGTGGCAGATGGGACTCGGTCAAAGCCTCGGCGCACCCTAAGAGCCGCATTCATGCATCGACGGAGCGCAGGAGACGGTCCTCACTCAGGCCTCACATCAACGCAGAGCTCCTCATTCACCTCGCACACGCCGACATTGGTCAACCAGGAATTAGTGACAACTGAACCAAACCGTTCCGCACGTACCACAACAAGATTGGTCAACCAGGAAAATAGTGGCCATGACACTGAGCAAATCAGCTCTCGACGGTCGGCGGCAGAACATCAGCAGCTTGTAGATATCGTGACGAGGAAGTTGGACCACTTGAGGCTGCGCTTGACACCACAAACAGGGGTTCCGCAGTTTGTCGTCGTGATGGGGCTCCACGGAGCACAAAGGTGAGAGGCAAGGTAGAACGAGAATTCCTCACTCGCATCCAGACCCCTCGAACCGTGGGGGGCATATGTAACATGATTTCGACGCCGGTTTGCCATGCCGACGGCACGGCCTTGCCGTGCCATGGGGCTTTCGCGCTGCAGTCTTGTGGCTGAGTACAAAAAGTAGTGGGTGATTCCCGTTTTAAGCGAGTGTTGGGACATGAAGCTGGAGTTCTCTTTCCCATTCAAGCAGGATTCCTTCCCCTTCGAGATTGACAGGTGTGGCTGAATGTTTGGTGACGTGTGTGGATGTTGTGGTTGCTGGCTGTGGATGTGGCTGGCCGTCAAGGGCTGTTGTTCAATGGCCGATGTGCAGAGATATAAATAGTTCTGGCGCGCCAGATGCACCGGAGATGAGGGAGGCAGATGCCGAAGAGGCACAGAGATCAGCGATCTGAGATCTGAGATCAGAGATGGGGTGTCACCAAATAGCTTTGACTGTGCTGCCGAGCTGCCGACGTGGCACCCCAGGTGATAAGCTGCCCGCCTGCGGAGAAGGCGAGCCGACGAGCTTACACAGTACAGTATGAGCTGATGAGCCGATGCGGCCGCTGGCGATGCCACAGCCTCCTCCATTTCAATCAGCTTCTTCTACGACTGCCCGTTGCACACAGTCCCACTCATACTCGCTGTCTTTGACACCGGCGATTGAATGATCGCGCCTATTCGCCAACCCCAAGGAACCAAACGTGGCGGGCCGCCATTCGCTCTTGGCCGTCTCGCTGGTTAACGTCCCGAGTGCCAAAACTTCTATCAATGGATGCATACCGGACTCCATACACAGTCCTTGGTAGCACAGCATCCTGGGCCACGCAGTATCCCACAAGCCAAAAGCTTCCTCGGCCACGTGGCATGTCTGCTAGCGCAACGTCTCCGGCCCGGCTCGTGCTCTGAGACAAACATCCACAACAATCTCCGCCCGGTCGGTTGGTATCCAGATCCTCCCAAGCATGCGGTCCAGTGCTGAGCAAGACCAAAATGCGATTACTGGTCAGGCTGTCACTGTTGTACGTGACTAAATCAGCTGTGCAACCACAGCTATGGTACGACCACACTTGGTGGTGAAGCTGATGCAGTGAGCCCACAACGGTCACTCATGGCCCGAGGGTTGTTCCATCCGTTGACCACAACGCTTCAATCTTGTCCTTTTCTGCCGTGGATACAGTTCACGGCGAGCCCGCGAGGAATCGCAGGATTCACTTGTCATGTCCACTTGATTCTCTAAGTGCTTCTCCGACTTCTCCGACTCTTCCCTGTACCTCGTGGTCATCGAATCTTTCTGTTGTCTTCTTCTCTCCTTGTCTATTTCTGGGTCATTTCCCTTTCCCTTGTCCCTTCTTCGTTGTCATGCTAAAGGCCTCCATGGAAGCCTTGGAGCTGTGACCAAACATGGGTGTCTGATCAGCCTGGGGGGTGCTCTTCGAAAGAGTTCTTGCTGTCAGTTTGATCACCCTACCTGTATGAAACTCCGCAAGGCCCTGGACTCTTTGGAAACAGCTCTTGCTCTGTCCAACTCGGGCGAGGTGTGCCGTTTCATGGACTATGGAGAGACCGTGTCAAGGGGGGCGCGGAAGAGGAAGAGTGTCATGAAGGCTGTCCATGCCAGCACCGCTCTGTGCGTGGTCTTGCAAGCATGCCAGGCACTGTCAGTATCCAAAGTCTTGCGGGTGTACGTTGTTCCCGTGTCCAGGCTCTTCCAAGTGTGTATTGCTCACCAAGATCCAGGCTCTTCGAGTCGTGTATTCCAGGCTCTTACAGTATGTACGCCCAAGCTCTTACATGTGCATATCCGAAGTTCTTTCGAGTGTGCTATCCCCTTGAGTCCAACTCCAGTATCCTGGGGCTTTGTGTCCACCTGCTTTTCCTCCATACTGCCCGCACAGCATATGTGGGTAGGTAAGGTAGTGACTAGCTACTGTCGCCGGTACCGCCAGGAAGGATTCTGGATTCTAGATGCTCCGTTTTGGGTGCTGGATCTGGTATCTTCAGTGCCTATAGCTGGAATCTCACCTTTCTGTCGAGCTGCTGGCCATGGAATGCCGGTTGCCCACTGCTGGCTGGTGGCGTCTCTTACACTTACGTAGAATCGGCCATTGGAGACCGTACAATAACCTCGATCCAACAGCCACGAGGACTGCAGAAGGAAAGCCTGAGTAGAGTCTCAATTCAAGGAGCCATGTAGGACTGATCAAAAGCAAGACTGGAGGACTGAGAAGAAAAAGTCTGGGGGACTTAAAAAGAGACCTGAGGGGACGGGAAGAAGAAATTGAAAAGAGATGAAGAAGATATGAAGACGAGACTGGACTTGAACCTCGCTCAGAACAGCACGGATTATTGACCAAGGGGAGAGGAAGACTGAGCGACTCTCCGTCTCGACTGAGGTTTCATTGAAGCTTGAGCGACGGCCACCATTGAGACAATTATGCAAGACTGAAGAACACTTGGACATGTCAGAGTCTGTCTTCACTAAAGCAGCACGAGAGACTGCACTCGAGTGAAGTCTCTATCGACCCAATCCTGTCACAGACACCTCGACAAGCAGCGAAACAGCTTCATGCCAGCGACGCCATGTTCTCAGGACAGTGTGAGTGCGCAAACGTGCGTGCGTGTGGATCTAGATCCGTGTTGTGGCTATCCGTCTCCAGCAGATTGTGCGATGCTAGTCCACAGACTCGAGCGTCACGAACTTCTCAAACGCGCTTGGAGCTCTCAGCACCACGCGCATCCAGGGGAGCTGAACATACGTCGAGCTATCTGTGCTACCAGGGCCACGGACTCTGCCGGGAGCTACGCGTACCACCTGATGAGCTCTCCATGCGCGAACAGGTAAAATGCAGGCACAGGAAAGGAGCAGGCAGACCGACTCGACTCTACGCTCGGGATCGAGTTTCAACCTTGACCGAGAGCTGAGATGTAGACGTCACGACAACGCAGCCTCACCGTCCACCTACGGGTATACTGTGGTTGCTATGGTATATGTCTGCCACCTCACGCCGCAGCTGAATTTGTCTGCTTCAAGGTCTCCAGACATCATAAAGGCAGCCCCTCCTCCTCCGTGCTTCAAAGAACGACATCACGACGCCGTCTATGCTTCATTCTCGGTCTACCAGGGCCTGGGTCATTCCTCCAGAATCTCTGGCCACCACGATCGCAGTCGACATGTCTCTCATCCCGCCTGAATGCCTGCTCCAATGAACACCATCAGCATGTCCGAGCAGGCCCGCGAACTGCGCACCCTTCACGAGCACTGCCTTAGAATGCGAAGCAATACCGTAGTCCAAGTCCAAGAACTACACCGTAACGTTACCGATCTCATCAACAGTATCGAAGAGTACTCGCAGCGTTGGGACTCCGCGGTGGACGTCTCAGATCAACTTCTGCCCTCCACGGCGGCTCCACAACACGCACACGGGGAGATCGTCGAACTCTGAACCCAACTGCAAGCCAGGGAATTTATTCACCATCCTACCTCGTATGACGACTCAAAAGTTTCTTGTCCTCCGAGATTCTCCAATTTTGGTGCTTATGGATAAGAGCACAAGCGAGGTACCTTATCGTTCGAGATCTCCCGGATTCAGACCACCGATAAGGTTCGGCCCACGGCTTACTGTGGACGATGTGTGGGGTGGGGCCGTACGACGCACAACGGGCCACGTACTGCTGGGACCGCGCCGTACTTTCGTACAGGTACAGGTCCAAGTCCAGAGGACAGGTTACAGTTGTGTGCCGCACAAATAGGGTGTGGGCGTGACTGGGACGCCTATCCTGATGGCCTTAGGCAGGTACTGCAGGGGAGAGTCAACCAGATAGGCGAGCAGATAGCCGGGAATGGTGGTGCAATCTCGGAGTGATAGGCGAGCCGTGATGCAACATCGGCTGGTGACAGGCATCGATCCGGGCATACAAGATCGAGCAGCGTTGCAAGGCGTGGGACCAATATTTGGCCAGCCTGACGTTGTGATTCAGAGATCGACGGGTGCCCGAACCGCCGCGCAGGTGGATCAAGGAAGCGCCCTGAAAGAATTCACAGCAGCGCCTAGAAAGAGCTCTCAACTAACTTGAAAAGAAGTCGTGGGGCTCGTAACGACACCCAGGAAGTAACTTACGGCGAAGCCCGCAGAGATCTTACAGGCGTCATCATAGGCCCAGGGAAGTAAGTTCCAGCTGCGCCTGGGGGAGCTTGGTGGCGTTGTGAGAGCGCCTGGAAAGTAAGTCACAGCTGCACCCAGTAATATCTCACCAGCTCAGGAATAGCGCCTGAAAACAACCCCCTGGCCTTACATAGGTGCAGTAGCTACCTAATTTGATTTCCCTGGGGGTGATCTCAAGCTGTCCTGGCACCCGTCGGAGTCCCTTACAAGAGAAGGAGTAGAATGGAACCTGACTGGGGAATGGCAAAGACCCTGAAAACCTCGAAGCACCAGGAGCGGGAGATTGGACGACGGAGATGCTCGTGTCGATTGTGCAAGGTGCAGAAGCCACAATGTCGGGGACGAGCACAGAATTGACGGATATGGCGAAAGGTTTGAGGAGGTGTGGACATGCTGCGCGACTCGCCCAGAGAGACTGCTGTTCGAATATCGCAAAGTACCTTTGTCGGGAGTCACGGTTGACCAGCCAATCAGTAACACGGACATGGCTCGATCTGGTAACTCACCGTCGCCGTGGATGTGCAAGCAGGCGTGGGCTTGTGCTTGTTGCTCACCTCGTCCGTCGCGTCGGTTGTAATCAAGTATTGCTTTCTTTCCTTCTTCCCTGTTCCCTTTTCCCTTTTTGGTCGCAGACCACGACTCCGGTCTCCCCGCCTGCCAGCGGCAGTTGCAGCATGGGTGTCCAAGGTGATTGATGGTGCTGCTGAGGGATGTGAGGCAAGTCGCAACGAGCGGGTTGCCAATGGCATTTTGATGGAGCTGGACTTCCTTCTGCTGCATGCACTAATTTAGTGTTATGCGACATGATCACTGTCGATTGCCTCACTGCCTTCAGTCCTGCGCGACTCTCTCCTGCATCGACTAGCTCGTTTCATGACTCACTCGCTCTTCATTGCTCGTCTTGCCGCCGTAGCGCGTCAAGTCCTCCTTCTTCGCACTATTGCAAGCCACTGCAGACGTCGTGTAACGCAGTTTTCTTGGTCTTCTCGACGCGCATCTTGCAGCTTCAAGTTTTTTGGTGCTGTGTAACTGTGATTCATGCACCTTGGACCATTCAGAAGGAAGAGGCTCGTATTCTCGTCACTCTCCTCAAAATTTGTCAGGGTCAACGCCATCCCCAGCAGTTCTGCCCTTTCTCCTTCGTCCGCGTCTTCAGAACCATGAATACCTGGACTATGTGCCACTGCAGATACGCGACTCATACCAACGGACATGGTTTTATGGCTCTATCTGCCAGCATGGTGGTCGAATTCGAAGCCCGAGCATCCTCGACATTCGGGCTTTGAATCTTGTCAACGATCTTGGCATGGTTGTTCACCTTCTGCTGTTCTGCGCTGATTCGCTCAGCTTCACACCAAACTGCCAGCCAGACGGCACGAAAGGCGCGACGGGAGCTTGCCTCCAATATTGGCCCTCAGATAGCAGAAGCGGGCTGCCGACACCCGCCACGTAGAGCAGATTGCCATCAGAATGTATCGTCAACATTTCGAGTCTCAGACAGAGGCAGTAATCCGAAAGTGTGGGGCGCCCAGATTGGCTTTTACGGATGTGGTACTTTAAGAGGTGCACAGTACCTTTGAGCGCACCTCGTGGCTATGTTCTCATTGTGGCCCGCAGCCCCACGGCTGCTACTCCTGGTGGTCACCTGAACCATAACTCTGCACTCTGGCCATTCCACCCCATCTCCCCGCCTGCTCTCTCTCTCTACGCTGTCGTCACATCTAAAACCGGAAGGTCCAGCTTTGCTGGTACGATGTGGACCAGAGTCGTGGTCCAAGTCGCGTTAGACCTCGACCAAGTGCGCCATGAATCCGGATTACGGATAGAGGGTCGGACGCCAACGGCTCGCGGTCAACGGGGAAGCAATTGGCGAGGGATGGGGCTTGAGTAGCGCGCTGGGCAGGGAACCGGGCTGAGGCCTCTCCATGCTTGGTCGATCGTGCCTATTCATTCCTCCCATCGGCGTCATCGGCGAGATGGTGGATAATTGAGCTATGGAAACGTGTCGAAAAAGTCGACGGCTGCCCAGCGAAAAATGCCAATGCCGCATTGGACTTGATCGTGTGAGTTTCCAGGGATGGCACACGGCCTGGGGGCCTTTGTTCCTGTCGTCTTTGCTGCAGTCCTGCTTAATATCGACAATGGATGTGTCTAGCCACCTGCTTTCATTGCCCTTGTTAGGCACCTGCCTCAGATCTATCACTCTCTGGATCCATTCGATTGGATCGCGGAAGGAGCAATGGTCTTCCTGCTTTTCGCTTGCAGTCTCAGGTATCCCGCCAATTCCGCGGCCAGAGCGTCGCTCTATGCAGAGTCTTTGTTAGTCAGTCATGAAACCTCACTCTGCTCGTGATCTGACAACCAGGGCGTTCTGGCTGGTCAGTCCATCGCGCCATCACATCCGGACGTTGTGCGGTGGCCTCTGTGTCACGCAAACACGCTCTTTCACCTCGCTGTTTGCAAAATGGCGGCTTTGTTCTTAGTTTGCATATGTCGCCTGCTTCGTCTGTTGCGCCGCTCCTTGAGACGCAGTCCTGGCCAGCATCCCCGTCCACCCAGGATCGTCTATGATGCCATGATGAAGCTGGCTTCGAAACCATCGATCGTGAGAGGATAGTAACCCGAGATGACGCAGACAGCAGCAGGGGAGAAAGACACGAAGCCACAAACGGCACGAAGAGGGTGTGATGGCCGTCTGCACAAGTCTCTGATTCTTACCTATAATGAGATGGCTGCCTCGTCTGCTCTCTTGGTCGCCAATGATCTACCATGAAAAGTGCTCACAAGAAGACCTGAACCTGAGCCTGAACAAACCAGAATCGAGCCACGAGAAACACGGATCACCCTTTGTCGTCCAACCTGCATTCACACTTGATCATGGTCAGCCAAAGTGACCACCTTCCGACTCCTTGGCAGACAGACGAATGAATTCCAGTACAGGAGCTCCCCCGGGGACTTCCAACGAGGACCATGCCGATCACACAGTGCCAGTTGAAGTGAGCCAGGCCAGCGAAGACACCAACGAACAGGGTCGCGGCAGCCACGGCCACGAAGACCACGACAATACCGACGACACCGGCGACAATGACAGTTACAGCCTCTTTGACATTTATAGTGACATCAGCAACGATAGTGACAACGACTATGTCTACAGTGAGATACCCTCATTCAATCCAGCTACATGACTACTGACGAGCGCACAGACTCCCACGAGGAGCCTGAAACAGTGCCCCTTGCACAGGCAGACAATGACCACGGAGGAGGCGACGACCTGTTCAGGCAGGCAAGCTACGACCATGTCATGATCCACAGTGAGATACCCTGGCTCGAGGCAGCCAAATGGTGACTAACAACCATCCAGCGACAGTCTATGTCCGTCAGCGGGCAGATGGAAGCGATGGCAGCCGTGCAATTGGCGACACAGAGCCTGCACAGAGTGAGATGCCGATGCCTCAGAACAACCGAATGGGGACTGACGTTTTCCCAGCAATTGTCGACATTCATGTCCTCGCGTCCCCTACCGAGGATATGCCAGCAGAATGGGGCCGTAATGCGTTATTCCTAGACAGCTTTCAAGTATTGCCGAGGAGCAACGACGACATCTCTGTCAGCCAGAATGGGCATATACCCAATTATCAGCTCTTTCAGATCGACTCCGAGGATGGGATGCGGTCCGGCCTCTTCGAGGATCACCTGAGAATGCAGTTCCTCGGCTTTCCCGGCAGGCCTTTCGTCTTCCATGCGTGCCTGGCGAACAATGACGCCGGTGAGATCTCCGCTCACTACTCGCCCGACTGGAGTTTCAGCGCCCAGGTGGTCAGGATCTACAGCCCCTGTTTCAACCGATTGTATCTACAACAAAGAGTGCTGACCATTGGAGATCAGTCCGTGGCGCTCAACATTCCGGCCAAGTACTCCTTCATCTATGATGGTCGCAACATCCAGCTGGTGATTCGGGAGCAAACTCTGGAAGAACGGGTCAGGAAGCATGCCAGTGATCGCTGCATGGCTCTGAACCACAATAGCATCCCCTTATCCACGGCTTTTGCCGTCTGGGGCCTGCGCTTCGGGGTGCTGCCCCTAGCATGTCGCAATGAGGTAGAGAGCGTGTGGCGCAGCATGGCCTACCTGGCTGATGAGTTGTACCGTCGCTCAACCCCCGGCGTGCCCGCTCCGCTCCTTGACCGGCAGGGGCTGGAGATCCTTGCCGTGAGGTTGCATCGGAGGAGAATCGACTATCACGGACGCATCATGTACCGGTCGTCGGACCCCAGAGGTGTGCATATCGAAGGCCGGCTCGTATCGGTTGAACTCGTCGACGATCCGCTGCGCCGCATGTGCATCCGGACAGTGGTCGAAGTCGCGAGCGACGTGACTCGGTTCCATGTGATCTGCCTTCGACACTCAGCCGACGAGTTTCGCCGCTTCGGCTGGTACTTCTCTAACCGTGGTGACGATCCTTCTGGCACCTACTACGGTGTTGGCATTGACCCGCTGCACGAGTGGGTGCCTGGTAAGATCATCTACCAGCAGCGAACGAGTCAGGGTCCGCTCTCTTTCGTCGTCAAGGATGACAACACAGTAAATGTCCATGTCGATGAGAAACGTCTGCACGGTCTGCTTTGGTCCCACCACAGCAGCTATCCGTGGGCCGTGAGGCGCCACTGGCCCTTGACGAGCCTGGTGTCGCTCTTCCGCGCGTCGAACACCGATCCGGAGTGCGACCAACACGAGCTGTCCACTGCGGTGCACCGGATCTTCCAGCTCGAAGTCGACCGCCTGGCTCTCCTCCGAGCCCGACATGACGAGCACGTGCATCAGGAGCAGTTCGTCCATCATCAGTTCGCCGTAGAAATATTCCGCCGCTTGATCATGCATGAAAAGACTGCCATAAAGACCCGAACCGCGGTCCCCCAGTGCTCTCACGCCGAGTGTGCCGGCACTCTGTACAACATCGTCCCTCGCCTGAGCAGCGGTGTCTTCTCTCTCGAATGTTACTTTCTGTACTGGTCCAAGGCTCGGCAGACGACGTTTGGTCTCATGATTGAGGCGTTGGAGTGGCGCCACCTCGACCCATTCGTCGACTTTGAAGCCCTGGAGATGTCCGCCGTGGGCGAAGAAGGTCCCCCGTTCTGGGATCCACGTTGCGAGGCCGTTTTCAATCACGTCTGGCAAAGAGTGCCACTGCCCACTCCATGTACACCACTCCCAGAACCTTCCTCCGATGTTCCCTTTCACATCCCGACATGGCGCATGGCCGCACTGCTTCGCCCGCTCGCGAGGGTGTTGGAGGCCAATTGTTTCCCTGCGAAAGCAGACAACGTTGCATCCTTTGCTCAAGCACACTACAACAGCTTCTGTGTTCGCACCCGTTACGCCGCCTCATCAACGATGTTGATTCTGCAGATCCTGGCGCAATTCGAGGCGTGGCAACAGACCCAGTTCATCGACCCAAGTCGTCGCCGCCTGGATCTGTACAATCATGCGTGTGCAGCACGTCAAGCTGTCGAGTGGGACGACATCAGGAGGCAGCGCGAGGCCTTGATGAACAGTAGTTTCGAGTCCTGTGATCTTCTCCTGCTCCTATTACTAGAAGTAGTGGTGGGTTGGATCTTTGTCCAACACGACAAGCGCCACATGCTTCCATCACCAGCGAATCACATCAATTGGACGTACACGCTTTCACCGACAATGGACAAGCATGTTCTGTCGAACCTCGTCCTAGTGCTACAGACCTTCGCCATGGTCTTCGAATGTGAACACGTTGTCGAGAAGGTGATGCCGGTATTCATGGAGTTGGACATCGACCCAGGAAACGGGAGCCATACCCATGAGTGGTGCCTCTACTGGGGAGGCGTGAGAGACGAATGGGCTGGCCGTGTTCCTTGCTTGATGTCGACAGCAAGTTCAGCAGAAGAAGCAGTAACCATGACTGCCTCGGAGGTTACAGAAACGGCCCCATCGGCGTGAGAAAAGCTCTCGCGATCCAGGCGGCACCATCACCACCACCACCACCACTTCCATCATGATGGGAATAAGCAGCCGTCCCCAGTGGCGACATGGATCTCAGTCCCTGTCCCGACAGGGATGGAGGAAGGCTGTCATGTCTTTGTATCGCCAATCCCAGTACACCACTGTGCACCACTTGTACACCACATCTGTATCACCACATGGTCATGTCAGCTTTCACATACTTCAATCTCGTATCGTCCACTTCAACGTCGACGACTACGTCAACCTCGACCTCGACATTGACCTCGTCGCTTGGGCTGTCATGGTCTTTGCGTCTCTACGTCTCTGGTCTCCTGCGGTATCTTTCGCCCTTGATCCTGATCACGGTCACGGTCTCCAATTTTTGTGGGCCCGGTCTTGCATCATGGTGCGTAACGGTTCCGTATCCTACCTGACGCAGCATTTCTCGGTCCTGTACTGTCTTACTGGTCATGTCTTTCGCCTGACTGGCCGGATTTCTGGCGTCTCAGGTTTTCCTCGGCGCTTTGGAGGCATGGCGCTCGGTTTGGGGTATGTCGACGGCTTTTTCTCCTGGCGTGTGCTGCTCTTTTGCTCTGTCACGTCTTTGCAAGCTTGCGAGTCCTACCACCAAAAGTATGTCCTGTGTGCGTAGTCAGCGTGTAAGGTGGCTGGGACACTTGCCTCGCCGCGGCAGTGATAGTCGCTGTCGTGGTAGTGTAAGTGCCATCGTAACTGTAACCACAAGCCCGAGCGTACTCGATCCGCCTTGAATGCTCCCTGGGTGGTATGTAGTAGAACGTACTGTACATAGCACAGCCCGGTCTACATAGGTACTATGGGCACCTGCACATCTGGAGCCATGAAGCTCGCGGACCTCTCGATGCACCTGGAGATGGAAACAATGAAGACCCTGGAGTCCACGACGCCCACGAAGTCCCGGGAACCATGGGTTCCCATGCTAGTGCGTCTGGGGGGAGGGTTTGTAGACGCCACATTCACTCCGACAGGTATAAAAACTGCTTGCCATGCCCTCAGCCTCTCTCGCCATTTCCTACACCGTATCTTACCTTGTCTTCTGGATCCTTCCTCACATATCCACATTGACGCACGGACATACACATACATAAATACATATATACTTGCATATACATATACACTTGCATGTACATATACGCACACTCACTCCTTCTCTCCCTCCCTCGTTGACACTCACCCGCTTACTCCCCCACTGGTATTGACTCATACCGACTCCTCTTACGACTCTTATACCCAACAACGTCCGCACCACGACGACTGCAACGTCTCCCCCAAGCACACACATGATCCTAGCCCCGCCTCGCGTGCCCGACTTCGAAGAAGAAACCGCATTCCTCGACTCCTTCGATCGGCTCGACGCGCTGCTGAGCGACGATCCCAGCGGGGGCACCATTCTCTCGCTGCTGCTGGACGCTTGAGTATGGAGGCTACGTCGAGGACGTGACTTTGACGCGTTGTGTCCGCCGCGACGTGGGCCCGTGGTTGATGCTTGACGTCTTTGTCCGTGGTGGGGCCTATCTCGGTGATACCGTCATCCGGAGGATGGGCAGGGGGTCGAAACATGCCCGAGGCGATGCTCCAGTGCGCCGAGTTTGCGTATGAGGATGTTCGTGCTAGTAAGTGCCACGCTGGCCGTGAAATCTGGTTGTGCTGCTCGTTTGTATCGTCCGACTGTGCTTGTTCGTTGCTCGATTGTACTGTTCACCGTTGACTGTTCACTATTGAACTGCGCTGCCCACCTGTTCGACTGCGCTACAGCTGAGCACTCACTTACTTACTCGGATCGCGCGCAGCCTGCCCCGGAGTGTGGTGGCAGCGGGTACACCCACCGCAGCTACCGCCGCCATTGACAACCACTGAGGCGGCAGGGCCAGAATGCAGGGGGCAGAGGAACATCGAACTTGTCTATGGTCCGCGCGACATGGAATTAAAACTTCAGCGGGGCACCGAAAATCACCTTCCGTAGCAACTGACCTCGAGACCAGCGGCCGCAGAGAAGGCGTGGTGCTCGAAGTGGGCATCAGCACGCGGCAAGGCGTGGGCCTGGCCCCGTGAGACGCACTCAGGTGCACTTCATCGTCCGTGAGGGCCTGGATGTCGCCAATGGCCGCCACGCAGACGACAAGTACGGCTTCCAGTACGGCGAGTCGGAGGGTCGTGGCACTGGCGGACTTGCCTGGGGCGGATCAGGGACGAAATTCGCCTCGCTTACGCGGACTGCGACGACGTTATCCTGGTTGGGCATAACCTTGACGTGGACACGCCGTGGGTCAAGAAGGTAGGACTCGTCATGGACAACACGATGGCCACAAGGCGCTCACCTCCGCGGGGGCTCAAATGCGCGATGTTGCAAGGGTGGAGCAGGTGTTGAGGCCGCCACACAGGAGTACGTGGACTTGATGTGTTGGCGGCATTCTATAACGTGGGGAGGTGAACTGGGATGGCTGGGACAATGCCGGTATTGACGCGAGGGTGGTGTCGGAGATCCTGCGAAAGCCGGAGGATGAGCTGCCGTAATTAGATAAAGCGAGGATGTCGTCCGTAGCCAAGCCAGGAGGAGGCGCGTGTCAAGTGAGGGAGGCGTAAGAGAAGTCCGCGGGTATCTGGTGGAGTTGACAGACTGAGTGGACGGATTGTGGCAAAGCAGGCAGAATCATGAAAAAAGGAGAGAAGGAGGAAGGGCGAAGGAAGAAGGGGGAGCAAGGAGAAGGAAAGACGAAGTGGCGTTGTTGGTGGATGATACACTGTAATAGAATCGACTGGGCAATGTTCTCTCCTTGCAGCTTCGTAGAACACGCGCTGTCACGTGACTCGGCGGGAGGTCTGAATTTCGCCGGCAGGTTTGGGGGTTTTTGGGTTTTTGTTTTCTCCTTTGGCGGGGAAATGCTCGGCAAAGCTCAGCCACTTCTGGAGCACGCTTCCTGCTCGATCCTCGTTGGGGGTGTTGGCGTTAGCGAATCGATCGATAGCGGCGCCAGTATGATCACGCGGTTCACCCGGAATGTGAAACCCGGCGACGGCAAGATGTTTGCGGCGACAGACGGCGCCGATGCTAGAACCTAGTGATCGGAGGAAGAGGAGTCTCTGGCTCGTGGTGAACTCGAGAATGTTGTTCTGCCATTGTGAGCTTGCCAGTTATGCGACGGAGTCACTGCATCGTGGAGAGTGGGGCCTGAAGCACTCTGGGGTGGTGAGGAGCATCAACAAGTCGAGCCGTGGGTCGTTGGGTTGAGTGTTTCCCAGGCGCCAACACAGGTGGAACGGTTCATATTCTGCATAGTGGGAAAGGTCGCTCGGTATTCGAAGATGGTTGAACTGGGTAGATGAGAGCTGGTCTGTGCAACATGAGCGTCAAGCTTGATATGACAGTATCTGCTTCCGCTGAAGCGGAACCTCACGACGATGTCCGCTTGGGAGGCGCAACGTTGCTGGTCGAGTACATGTAAGTTCTCACGCTCCCGGAACCGTGCGGGAGCGATCAAGCCGCCGGTCCCCCGGAAGTAAGTGAAGGAACTGGAAAACAGCGGCGCTGAAAACGCAGATAACGCATCTGCTATTGGAGTCTGCTTGAATGAATCCTTCGAAACGAAAAATAATCACACTGGCCAACCGATCGCATAACATTCTGGATTCGCTTCAAGGATTCCTCTCCGAGAATTCCGCTCCATATGAACCGCAACCGATGTTAAAAGAATGTGTTCCATGTCAGTGGTCATCTGACCCGGTGGCCGAGTCATGATTTCCCACTCGCACGTCACCCACCAAAATCACATAGAATTGTTTCGTCTTCCTCCCGTGGCATGCGGATTGGTCGGGAAAGAATGATGAGTCAAGCAAGGAAAACCAATACAAGGCGGTTGGACTGCCAGTGGCTATTTCCTGCCTTTATACACAACGGCGACTGACGATAGGCCTGTGGCATGAGCAGCTGATGACTTAATCGGAGTCAGCAATCTCGTTTCCGAATCCCTGGTCATCGACAACCACATCTGAACCTACCCACCGGAGTAGGTAAGTCGAACCCGAGTATGCTTCTGAAACGACTCACTCTTGTGGAATCTAACTGTCAAGGATATGCTGGAGGGTCTTTTTCAGATCCTCCAAACCATCCTCCTCGGCCCAACGGATCAGGTCATGGTACTGCTGAATCTCCTCCCTCTCGCTGACCGAGCGCTGGCCGGTATAGGCCGAATGCAATGTTTGCCGCCCCTTCTCCAGATTCGTCCTGTTACGTGCCTAGACTAGATTAGACCGGTCGGCATGGCCCGATCCGAAACGTACCGTGGATAGTTTAGGTTTGTCGCTCGTGTTCTCAAATGCTTCACAAGAGGAACATGTAGTGCATATCATTGTGGTCTTTGGTTTGGCGTCCAGACGGCCCATGAGAACATGGTCGGCACCTTTGGGGCGAGGGGACGAACGTCTTATGCAATTTGGATGGGCCATGGTATCTAGCAAGTGTCGTAATTAACCAGAGAAGTAAGTGATAGTGGATGCACAAGCAAATGTTTTCTTAGGGATCCGCAGTTTGCGTGGAGCTTAGTCTGGGTCCAAAAAGCCGGGGGGTTCGGTGTCGGATGCAACGAGGCAGAATGGTCGTTGGATCAGGCAAGACGAAAGTCAATTGACGTCCAAGAAGTCTTAGCGGTCAGGTCCGGTGTTAATTAGCTTGCTGCGCCACCGCAACGCTAAAGACGCCTGGGAGCCTGGTTCCCTTTAGCCGCATAAGTCTTCTTCTCCAGGCGACAGTAAGACCAATCGAGGGCAATACGCCCTGGCCATTATCAATGGGACAGCCCGACGGCTCTCTCTTCCGTGTCTCGAGCCGACTTGCTATTCGTTGCATCTTCCTTGAATGATTTTGACAATCAATCCTCAACCTTCTTCACATGATACAACATTCTGCAGCCGCAATCAACGCACGCGTTTGAGAACAGCTCAGCAGCAACTCAGACCCGAAGGGCGAGGTCGATTATGATGTAAGAAGAAAGAACGATAAGCTGGAGAAGATATTGGAAAAGCATGGTGGATGCTGACACAGTCCACGTACTCAACACGTATGGGACGATATTGGACCGGCCGATGAGACCCTGATCGTTCGGCAATCTCGAAGTGGCGGTATGCAACCAATCTGTGATAACGGGGTGCTCCAGGGCTGTCTGTCGTCGATTATTCACGACGCATGGTCCACCATGCTGTGGCGGCTATCACTACATGGTGGTGGCGATGGTGCAGAAAGATTACCGGATGACGCAGGACGAGATCGTGTTGCATCTCTCACCGTTCAACCTGGACTATAGTGAGGATGCCTTACTCAAGCACTCAAATCTTTGTTGCTTGCAGGATCAATATGGATGTCTGAAGGGCCTCATGGGCTGCGGAGTGGCTTTGGTGCTGGGCAAGACGATCAGTAAAGACACCTGGGAGGTCCGACAGCGCCAATTCAGCACCAACAATGCCCAGGGCAACGAGAGCGAGGTGGCCGCCAGCCTCAAAAGTGACAGGCATCGAAACGCTGGCCGCAGGTCTTACCAAGGAGGAGAGCAGTACGGATGGCACTGCGTCGGGATCGGTTCTCTGAGTCTCATCCTTGTGGATTTTGGCTTTCTCCCTTGCCTGAAAGAAAGTCAACACCTTGCGTGGTGCATAGGCCGGAACAGATCTCACTTGGATCTCATCCTTCTGCTCTAACTTACATTGTCTTGCTCGGTTTCCCCCACTGGTATCTGGTTCATGCTGCGTACCAGCAGAAATGTGGCTGAGGGTGTTGAGAAGCCTTCAGAAGAATGTTCTTTCGTGCGTGAATTGGTCAAGCTGGACAGAGTCAGCACACCGTAACTTGACTCTGTAAAAATGGGCTCACACAAATGCAAGCCGTGATATTGACCATCAAGTGGATAGTGGTATCCGCTGCCTCGGCTGACCCTGGACACATGCCGGGTTGGCTTGGATCTGGCAACTTTGTGCTGCGTGCGATGCTGGCTGAAGAGGAATCAATCGTCTCGTAAGATCGGGGCTGGCTAAGTGGGGAAGACCAGGCTGCACTTGCTGGACACGGTCCGAGTGCAGTGAACGTAATCACGGCGCCGTGAACTTTTGCCCAAAGGGCCAGCTTGCAGCAAGAATCTACCAATCGCAATTCCGGACAGTGATTGCCTCATTCTTTCGCTGAATATTTCTTGATTTGGTGGAACGATAGGTAACATTCCAGTCGATCTCATCCCGGTCGCTGTAAAGTACTAGGATCTCGATCGGCCGACCCGGCCGTGCCGTAAACTTTTGAGCCTGAGTGGCGCGAAGTTTGTGGCCCAGATTGGTCGCCTATCCTTTACGTCCTTTCGAGATGAACCAGTAACCTTGTCACGAGATGGAGACCGTCAGTGCCTGCCTCACTTTTAGGACTTTCCCATCCCTGGTGATGAGCACGCGACTTCAGCTGGGTCTGTTTGACCACTGTATTGAGCGGGATTTGACAGTCGAGGTGGCGGGGAAACGAAGAGATCTCCTATCCTGGCTGGGCTGAGTTACACAGTACACTTCGAAGCAGGTCAAATTCTACAATGTAATGTGGATGAGAGCAGCGCATGAGCGTGTCTTGTCATCTTTGAGCGGCTAGGTTCTTAGCAGCATGTGATCATGTTGAACTACAATGTTCACTTGCAGTTGTCAATTTCAGGCATTTTGTACGAGAAATTATTTGTGTGTGCGAACAGACAGAAAAATGGCTTGGCAGATCGCGCACCCCGATAACGCACGTGATATATTACGTGACCAGCCCCGACAGCCGGATGAGATGGATATGTTGCAGTACTCGTATTACCCGTCTGCCGTGCTTAGACGATAAAGTACCATGCATGATGCCGCAGCTCATCAAGGTCACATGCTTGAGCTTGTGATCTTATTATATCCTCATTTTACGCATTATGAGTGCAGGCACCACTTTCGACCAATGCGACTAGAAGATATCTACCATTATACATCGGAACGAAGGGGGCGATCAAAGGAGCGTCCCTGAAGACTTCCAGTTTTTTGACCTTCCTGATTATGAGGCTCTTCTAATTTCTGCGTAGCGGCAAAGGTCCGTTGAAAGATGTTCCACAAACCTGCTGGGGGCTTCGTAAGTGCCCAAGCCCGCCATACGAACGCGGCCTCTGTGCATCGCCATGGCGCGACACTGTAGCTTATAGCCCTTGTCAGAAAGGGCCGTTTCGATTCAGGCTAACGCAGCTCGGGTCATGCAGACAACGAGGGGGGAAACGTTGAGACAATTCAGATTCCATGTCGCCGAGCAAGAATCCACTGACGGTTTGTCCTTGGATCTCAAGCTGTTATTTCATGTTGGTTCAGTCTCTGCAACAGCCACTCACCCATCGAAAATGCCGCCGGCGCAGATTGCCGGTTCCCGAGAGTGCCGTTCGAAAACTCGGCACAGGGGTGGATCGACGTGAGCATACTGAATCCGGGTACGAGTTCGGATCCCCTCCGAAGCCCCCGAAACTCGTACCCCGCATGTCCTCCACTTGGTTCCCTCGGAGTGGAACCTTAGCGCACTCGGCAACTTTTCCGCAACCCCGCCTCGGTCGCCCTGTGAAACTGACCTACGACTCCCACGGACTCCGCAATGCCACGTGGTCTATGAAGAGGCTCGCTTCGCGAAGCTTGACTGCATGATCAAGGGTATGTTTAGCCTGCAGCAGCTTGCATTTTGCGCTGAATATACTGGATTATGGTCGAAGAGACGCATTTTCTCGTCCCTCGCGGTAAAGTAATACGCTGTTGAAAGTTCAATGAACCCAGGCTTCTCGCCCTGCAACCGGAGCAGTACACTGAAAGCCGGAATGCACCTAAAGATAACCGCAGGGAGCAAATTCACAGTGTGAGCGCAGCCAATAGTCCCGAACTGGTGGAAGACAACCAGATGTCTATTCGGAGTAATTTGTCCAACGCCAACTTCCGAAGCCAGAGCAGCAGATGCTTGAGCTGACAGGGATACCGACAACTTATGGGCACCTTGAAGCCAAAGCTTCCCCCTGGCAGACCAAGCGCCACGACTTTTGTAATACCTGGGTCTACACAGTATAATAGATTTGGAATGGCGGGCGCAGGGTTGCGCCGAAAACTCGTACCAATCAGCAAGCTTTGCCATTTCCCCTCCCCTCCTCTCTTTGACCATGTCCACGAGACCGTACTAGGTAGTTCAAGCGGGAGAGGGACCCAATTGATGAAAATGAAAGATGATCAGACCAAGTCTCTCTCAGACAAAGCTGGTAACGTAGGTGCCGACGGACTTGGACGCATGCAACGATGATGCATGGTCAACAAACAGTCGCAGCCAGAGCGTCAAAGAATCACCCGCATCAGCTTCATCCTTGGTCGGCAGCTTTCGGCTGAGATGAACTCCTGGCGCTCGAAACCATACTCGGCATAGCACGAGACGAGAGCTTTCCAGGCCTTCTGGATAGAAATCTGGGGCGAAAAGAGTAGATACACACGCGCGCGACTATGCTCACTCACTATGCAACATTTTTATCCCATCTCCATTTCCGTCCAACTGTACGAGGTAATTTCTCCTCTGCCCATATACCACCCCGCAACCGTAAACATGCGGAAGAACGTGGAATTCTGGTTGGTCTGTCTCATGCGGTGATTGCTGGAACACTGCAATCAAGAACTTCGTCGTCCAGTCTGCTCGGAACATTTACTCCGTACTCCGGCCTCTGTTCCGGGGAGCCTTTCCGGAAGTTTTTCCGGTTCATTGGCTGGTGCGTCACTCAATCCCGATCTGGCCAATGAAATGCAAGTCACGTCCTCACTCGTACTCTTTGGCCGCAGACAACAATCACCAAACCCGCGCAGTTGAATACATTCAGTACGTGCATTATCACGAACACCGCCACAGCAACTCGAGCTGCATTGGACACGCGCCATATATGTTTCAACTGTATACATACCGCAGCCTGCACGACGAGCCTCCTTCGACATGACACGAACGCGTCGGGTCCCTGATTGCATCCAAGATGGACACATTCCGAGTTCGCATGAACTGCGTGGACCACTACCAAGCCTCCCCAACCGATGACTTCGATCCGCCCGTACCCCTCGGTGGGAGTCTATTCGACCGACCTCGAGTATCAGTCATCCGTGTCTTTGGCGCGACTCCGACGGGGCAGAGGGTGTTGATGCACATCCATGGCGCGTTTCAGTACACATACATCGAGTACAGCGGCAGCCTGGATCCGGCAGCCGTTGATGTGGCAATCCACACTCTCCAGCTGTCGATTGACCATGCCCTGGCCACTAACTATCGCCAGAACATCTACGAAGGCAAGGTTCGATATGTTGCCCATATTTCCTTGGTCAAGGGCGTTCCGTTCTATGGCTACCACGTGGGATACAAGTTCTACCTTAAGATCTACCTGCTAAATCCTCTGCACATGACGAGGCTGGCTGATTTACTGCGGGAAGGCGCCGTGATGAAGCGAGTGCTGCAGCCCTATGAAAGCCACATGCAGTACCTTGCGCAATGGATGTGCGACTACAACCTGTACGGCTGTAGCTACATTGACTGCGCAAAGGTCAAGTTCCGCGCTCCTGTTCCAACCTATGCCGAGATCGCCAATCCGCTGCATCAATGGCACGACTTGTCGATCCCACAGGAAGACATTTCCGCAATAGAACGACTTCCGAAGCAGAGTCACTGTGCGCTGGAAGTGGATGTGCATGTCAAGGATATTTTGAATCGCAGGGGCGTCGAGGAGCGGCCACTCCATCACGACTTCATCGAGCGGCTTCGTCCCATTCCGGCCGACGCAAAGCTGGTACAGAGCATGGCGGGTCTATGGAAGGACGAAACTCGACGCCGAAAGATCAGGATGGGCTTGAGAGATTTCAACAGCAGTCCTTTCCCTCCCGAGGTACTCATCTCAATGTCCGCGGACCCCCGAAATACCGCCGCAGGCGGCTGGATCCATGAAGAAGAATTCCGGGAGAAGATCGCTCAGGTCGTGGCTGACGAGTACGACAAAAGTGACAAGGAAAAGCTCTCATTTGATACATTTGTGAAACCGGACCCACTCGGGGACACCGTTCGGACAGCCCTCGAAAGCGTCGAAGACCTCTACCCTGGACAACTCCAATTGGTAGACACTGCAAATACGGATCGCTCGAGCAGCCATCAACAAGCAGAGGTGAACCGAGGGAGCATCATCATCGAGGCGCCTGGCGTAGAACACCGTGCAGACGGATCAGAATCAGGTGTGGAGGACGCACAAGGTTCGGAAAACGGTGCTTCAGGCGGATCTGGTAAAGCCAACGGTGTTGATCATGAGGCTCACACTCGAGGGGATGTCTTAGTCACAACCCCTATCAGCTCCTTCGAGTACGAAATGTACGGCATTCGACCTGCTGCTGATAAGGGGCATCTGGACGAGGACGCTTTTCAAATACCGACGGAGCAAGACAATGGAAGCACCACCGGAGAGACGGGAGTTCCGCAAGGGGCCAAGAGACCGAGATTCGCAAAGATACCGTCAGCCAGGGCGAGGAAGAAACACAAATATTTTGTTGATGAGGAAGAATTTATCTCCGAGTCCCAGCTTTCAGAGGAGGAAGCCAACTTCTTCATCGAACTCAAAGCGGTTCCCTCGGCACAGCGAAATCAGGAGGAAATACGAGACGCCTCAGGGCTTCCTGGAGCGCTTGAAGGGCATTCGTCTGCGTCCAAGCGCCAGGATGCCCCTCGAGAAGGCCGCTCCTTGGTGAATCTCTCCCAGCAATCGACCCTGTCCTTTCCCTCAGTCAAGAACTCGAATGATCCAGCTACGATCCTTCGCCTGAGTCAGAAAAGCAATGCCTCTCCACATCCATCTCAGAGCTCACCGTCCAAACCTCCTGCGTCTTTCCCGGCCTTCAAGACTCCCGCGAAGTCTATTGCTGCCGCATTGGAAACTCCTACCACGGGTCGAAGCACTTCCTCGTCAGATCCTATTGGTTTCAGGCTGGAAGAGTTTCAGAAGCCTGTTAATGGCAATACCTTGGTTCTTTTCCAGCCTTGTCCACCCAGCTTCGAGGAGGTGGAGTCGACAATGTCGGAGTATGGTTTGCCAGACGCGATCTACCAGGAGGCATTTTACAGCAACGAAAAAGACGTTCCCGGTCGAGGTAGAGAATATGCAGGACGTGAGTTCAAACTTAGAAGCGCGACAATTCCATACCTGCCAGACTTCGATCCCTCCGGCACGTCCTCAGCAACATTTGGCCGAAAGCCTCCTGCGCTGATTGATTTTGCAGCAGAGAAGATCCGAGACAACCAAAGACGAAAGCGTTGCAGGATACGCGAATGGGTCATCTCTGAGCCCCCGCCACGCAATATCGATGTGCTTGCATGGCTGGAAGAGGAAGACAAGAAGCCGCCAGTCTTAGGGAAGTCAGCGCTGCGGACACACATGCCCTCCCAGATTGACGGCCCCACGCCCAAGAACAAGCACGGTTTCAAATACTCTCAGGTGCAGCCCAGTACGAGCGTACAACGTGAAACAGAGTACATGAGCATCATGAGCCTGGAGGTTCATGTCAACACCCGTGGATCTCTGGCGCCTAATCCAGACTTGGATGCCATTGGGTGCATATTCTGGTGTGTGCAGAGCGATGACGAGGAGGTGGAAACCAACGGCTCCAAGGAAGGAGTTCACGTCGGCATCTTAGCTGTCGCTGACGGACCACATACGGCCAAGAAGATTGGTCGCAGTGTACCCTACGAAGTGGCTCAGGAAGACACCGAACTCGACGTTCTCACCAGGTTGGTTGATATTGTTCGGACATACGATCCTGACATCTTGACTGGCTATGAAGTACACAACAGTTCATGGGGATACCTCATTGAGAGGGCGCGCGTCAAATATGGCCTCAACTACTGCGATGAGCTGTCCAGAATGAAATCGCAGTCCCACGGCAGGTTTGGCAAGGAGGACGACCGCTGGGGCTTCAACCATACCTCGACCGTTCGAGTCACCGGCCGACATACGATCAACATTTGGAGGGCCATGCGTGGTGAGCTGAATTTGCTGGGCTACACCATGGAGAACGTCGTCTTCCATGTCCTACATCAGAGGATACCTCACTACAGCTTTTCTGACCTGACGAACTGGTACCAAAGCAAGAATCCTCGTGACCAGGCCACAGTTGTCGCGTACTTCAGCTCCAGGGCGCAGTTGGACCTTGAGATCCTCGAAGCCAACGAGCTATTGTCGAGGACTAGCGAGCAGGCCCGCCTCTTGGGCGTTGACTGGTTCTCGGTCATTTCGCGTGGGTCGCAATTCAAGGTTGAATCCTTGATGTTCCGGATCGCCAAGGCCGAAAATTTCATGCTTGTTTCGCCCAGTCGCCGACAAGTCGGAGTCCAAAATGCGTTGGAGTGTCTGCCGCTTGTGATGGAGCCTCGGAGCGACTTCTACACCAGTCCTATGCTCGTCCTCGACTTTCAGAGTCTGTATCCCAGCGTCATGATTGCCTACAACTACTGTTACTCGACTTTCCTGGGTAGGATTGTCGGCTGGCGAGGCATGAACAAGATGGGCTTCACGAGTTACCGCCGCGAATCGCGTATTGTGGAGCTGCTGCGGGACTCCATAAATGTTTCGCCGAACGGCATGATGTACACCAAACCCGAAATCAGGAAGTCGCTCCTCGCCAAGATGTTGAGCGAAATCTTGGAAACACGGGTCATGGTCAAGAGCGGCATGAAAGTCGACAAGGACGACAAGGCATTACAGCGGTTGCTGAACAACAGACAGCTTGCTCTCAAGCTCATCGCCAACGTGACGTACGGATATACGTCGGCCTCGTTCTCTGGGCGGATGCCGTGCTCGGAGATCGCAGACAGCATTGTCCAGACTGGCCGAGAGACATTGGAGAAGGCCATTGCCTTTATCCATTCCGTCGACCGATGGGGTGCTGAAGTGGTGTATGGCGACACCGACAGTCTCTTCGTGTATCTCAAGGGACGGACCAGAGCGCAAGCCTTCAATATTGGAGAGGAAATCGCCGACGCGATCACCAAGATGAATCCGCGACCCATCAAGCTCAAATTCGAGAAGGTCTATCACCCGTGCGTCCTGATGGCCAAGAAACGGTATGTGGGCTTCAAGTACGAGAGCCGCGCACAGACTGTGCCGGAATTCGAGGCCAAAGGCATCGAGACTGTGCGCCGCGACGGCACTCCAGCCGAGCAGAAGATGGAGGAGACTGCGCTCAAACTGCTGTTCCGGACGTCGGATTTGAGTCAGGTCAAGGCCTACTTCCAAGCTCAATGTGCCAAGATCATGCGCGGCAAGGTCTCGGTTCAAGATTTCTGCTTTGCTCGTGAAGTCAAGCTCGGAACGTACAGCGCGAAGGGCCCGCCCCCTCCCGGTGCACTCATCAGCGCTCGCAAGATGCTGGAAGATCCCCGGCAGGAGCCTCAGTATGGTGAGCGGGTGCCGTACGTGGTTGTGACGGGTTATCCGGGAGCACGCTTGATCGACCGCTGTGTGGCGCCAGAGGTTTTGCTCGCTGATGCACACATGGCGCTTGACGCTGAGTACTATATCACCAAGAACCTCATTCCGCCGCTCGACCGAATCTTCAATCTTGTCGGGGCTAGCGTCCGCCAATGGTACGACGAAATGCCCAAGTATCGACCCATCCGCCAGGTCGAAGCAGGGCTCTCCTCAGGTGGAAAACAAGGTGGCGGTGGCACGCGCCAGAAGACGATCGAGTCATACATGAAGTCGTCAATGTGTATAGTCTGTCGGACACGGATACACACGACGGTGGACTCCAACACACCGCTGTGTAGGCGCTGCTCCAAGCAGTCCGTGAAAAGCATGTTCACACTCCGATCGCGGTTGATGAAGGCACAACGAAAAGCGACGCAGGTGGCCCAGACGTGTCGTTCATGTACGGGAACTGGGTGCATCGAGGAGATTCACTGTGACAACAAGGATTGTCCTGCATTCTATTCGAGGACGAAGCAGAAGGCAAGACTCGCGCATGAAGAGGCTGTTATTCAGCCTGTATTGACGATGCTGGAGTCGTCCGCGATGGCCTGGTAACGCTAACGACGAGATGCATAGGTTGAGGATCGGTAACGGGGACTGGGACAGGAACGGGAACGGAAACAAGAACGAGGACATGCATCGCTCGGGATTGGAGTCATTCAGGAGTCTAAGGTTTGGTATCTGGGACACTGTACAGAAACGGCATGCTGGACACGGATCAATGCATGAGATACCCCGGATGGTTCATGAATGGATGAATAAAGCAATGTAGACGTTGGCGGGGAGTTGGATGATAGCTTTCCCGTCATTGACGGCATTGCGCTTGGCCGCGTTCAGCACTGGAGTCTAGCAGTGTCCGGCCGTTGCAATGGGCTTGTAATTGTAATTCTAGCCAAGCCGTTGTTCGGCAAAGACGAGCCATTCATGAACGCGTGAAGTGAAAAACATCAGGCATTGGAGTCTAGAGATGGACGAAGCAGGCTGCGGACGGCGACATCAGGAGGATTGTAGCCACGAGTGGCTTCACGTAATCTTTGTCACGTAGGGAAGGTGGTCTTGCCCCTGCGGTTCACCGAACTGTGCAAGCTACTTGGCCTGTGGCTCACCGTACGAGCTTCGCGGCTTGTGGCTTTGCGCAGTGGCGCTAAGTCACGTGCAGCCAGTGTGATGAGGCTCCCTTCCCGCTTCCTCCACTCACACCCCCGACTTTCATTCGAAACTGTGCTGCCTGTGTGACGAAGCATTGCAGTCCCAGATCCACTCATTTTCCCTGTGGTTTCACACATATACTTACCCTGCGCAATCCGTCAGACTGGCGTACTTCGTGCCGCCCAGCTACGACGCGGCTGGAAGAAGGCGTTCCGGTGCGAGAGGTGCCATTTATGACGGCTTTGGCCAAACACAACACGTCGACGATTATCCTCCTCCCACTCCCTCCTCGTCTTCCCGGATGGCCTACCCTGCGCTCGCTACCGGTACCGGTCGGAACATCGACATGGCGAAGACCGAGTCTGATCTGGCCATCAACATCCGCAAAGCTACCAGTATCGAGGAGACGGCGCCCAAGAGGAAACATGTCAGATCATGCATCGTCTACACCTGGGACCATCGCTCGTCTCTGTCCTTTTGGGCTGGCATGAAGGGTAAGCTCGGCGTCCGCGAGCCGGCTGTCACGTGCTGACGCAGAAACAGTGCAGCCCGTCATGGCCGACGAGGTGCAGACATTCAAGGCTCTCATCACCATCCACAAGGTGTTGCAGGAAGGTCATCCCGTCACGGTCAAAGAGGCGCAGCAGAATGTCAACTGGATTGAGAGCCTGGCACGCGGCGCCATGGGCGAAGGGCTGCGAGGGTACGGCCCGCTCATTCGAGAATACGTCTTCTTCCTGCTGGCCAAGCTGGGCTTCCACCGCAACCACCCGGAGTTCAACGGCCTGTTCGAATACGAAGAGTACATCAGCCTGAAGTCCATCAATGACCCTAACGAGGGCTACGAGACCATTTCCGACCTGATGACTCTGCAGGACCAGATCGACACCTTCCAGAAACTCATCTTCTCCCACTTCCGTGGCGGCGCAAACAACGAATGCAGGATTGCGGCATTAGTGCCGTTAGTCCAGGAAAGCTACGGCATCTACAAGTTCATCACGAGCATGCTGCGCGCCATGCATACCACCACCGGCGACGACGAAGCCCTAGAACCGCTGCGCACTAGGTATGATGGCCAGCACTATCGTCTCGTCAAGTTCTACTACGAGTGTTCCAACCTCCGCTATCTCACCTCGCTCATCACTGTGCCGAAACTGCCTCAAGACCCTCCCAACCTACTCTCCGAAGACGACGAGAAGCCTGCCTTGCCGAGACGACCAGCGAAAGAAATCGAAAAGCCTCCTTCGCCCGTTGCGAAGAACGGCACCCCAGACAACCAGAAGGATATTGAAGACTTCTGGACAAAAGAAGCGCAAAGACAACAACAGGAGTACGAAGCAGAACAGCGGAGGTTGGCACAACAGTGGGAAGACCAGCAGAGGCAACAGATGGCAGCACAACAAGAGGCGCAGCGTCAGTTTGAAGAGCAGCAGAGGTTGCAGGCGGAGCAGCAGCGTCTGGCCCAAGAACAGCTTCTCCGAGACCAATATGCAGCTCAGACACAAGGCCGCATGGCAGAGCTTGAGCGTGAGAACCTCAATGCACGGGCACAATACGAAAGGGATCAATTGATGCTGCAACAATACGACCAGAGAATGAAGGCACTCGAGGAACAGCTCCAACAGCTCAACAACAACTACCAGCTACAGTCACAGTCTAAAGATGATCAAATCACGTCTTTGCAAGAACAAGTCAACACGTGGCGATCCAAGTATGAGGCATTGGCCAAACTGTATTCTCAGCTGAGACAGGAACATCTGGACCTGCTGCAAACCACCAAATCCCTGAAGTTGAAGGCAGCGTCGGCCCAAGAGGCCATCGAACGCCGAGAACGGCTGGAACGGGAAATGAAGACCAAGAACCTCGAGTTGGCCGACATGATCAGAGAACGCGATCGGGCTCTGCATGAGCGAGACCGCGCCCAGGGTTCGAACCGTGAAGAAGTGGAGAAACTGAAGCGCGAGCTGAGACTCGCTGTCGATCGAGCAGACGATGCCGAGAGAGCAAAGGGATCCGAAATCTCTTCCCTGTTAGCCAAGTACAACCGGGAGATGGCTGATCTGGAGGAAGCGGTGCGTTCCAAGACCAGACAGCTGGAGGACTTGCGCGCCAAACAGGGCGAGCGCAGTTACGACCACGAAGCCGCGCTCAAGGAGAAGGACGACGAAATCGAAATCTACAAGTCGGGCATGGAACAAGCACTGGAAGAACTGGAAGAGCTCAAGCTGGGCCACGGCGAGAGCGACGGTGCCCTTGACACTGCCATCGACGAGGTGATCAAGACGAACGTTAACAAGATCAACGATATCATCGATTCAGTACTTCAAAGTGGTGTGCAGAGAGTGGACGACGCCATTTACGAATTGGACTCTCCCATGCAGGCTGGCAACCAGAACGCCACAGCCCCCTACGTCCTGTCCCAAGTCGAGAAGGCATCAGCCAGTGCGACCGAGTTTTCGACGGCATTCAATAACTTTGTCGCGGATGGGCCTGGCAGTGATCACGCCGATATCATCAAGACGGTTTCGGTCTTTGCTGCTTCCATAGCAGATGTGCTGTCGAACACCAAGGGCTTGACACGCTTTGCGACCGAAGAGAAGAAAGGTGATGAATTGACCAACGCCGCACGCCAATCTGCGCTATCCACGATTCAATTCTTCCGCAACCTGCAATCATTCCGCCTGGAAGGGCTCGAGCCGATGCAGAAATCCGACGTGGTCATCAACAGCAATCACGACGTGCTCATGAAGCTCCAAAGACTGTCCAAACTCGCCGACGCGTTTGCACCCAAGGGAAGCAAGATCAGCACGACGGGTGATATCGGAGACCTCGTCGACAATGAGTTGACCAAAGCAGCCAACGCCATCGAAGCCGCCGCCCAACGTCTCGCCAAGATGAAGAACAAGCCTCGTGATGGCTACTCGACGTATGAGCTCAAGGTCAACGATACCATCTTGGAGGCGGCGATCGCCATCACCAATGCCATTGCCCAACTGATCAAAGCAGCAACCGAGTCACAAAATGAAATTGTGCGTGAAGGACGAGGATCGTCCAGCAGGACAGCATTCTACAAGAAGAACAACCGCTGGACCGAAGGTCTGATCTCGGCGGCCAAAGCAGTGGCTACTTCGACGAATACGCTGATTGAAACGGCCGACGGTGTCATCTCAGGGAGGAACAGTCCCGAACAGCTCATTGTGGCTTCAAACGATGTGGCTGCTTCCACGGCACAACTTGTGGCAGCGTCGCGCGTCAAGGCGAGCTTCATGTCGCAGACCCAGGATCGCCTGGAACAGGCCAGTCGCGCTGTCGGAGCGGCGTGTCGGAGCTTGGTGCGGCAAGTGCAGGATATCATCCGACAGAAGGCACGCGATGATGGTGATCGGGAGGACTATTCCACCTTGAGCGGACACGAGTTCAAGGTTCGGGAGATGGAGCAGCAGGTATGTGATGTGACGTATTGTTCTTTTTGCGCCATGTTTTGCTGACAACCCTTTCAGGTCGAGATTCTGCAGTTGAGGAACGCTCTCGAGGCGGCGCAGGCGAGACTGACCGAGATGCGCAAGTTGAGTTATCGTGAGGATTAGGCTGCATGGAGCAGATGTGTTTGACGGTGCTCGAACCAGTCATGTGATACCGGTGGCGGTGGGGTGTTTAGGGAGATGCTGGGCATAGAAGGTCCACTTCGGTATTGATACCACAGCAACAGCCATGGGTATGCTTATTATCAATCCGAGGCCAATTACCCCCATAGGTATCGCTACTCGCAGACTTGGGTTGTCGCATAGGCAGCCTGCCCGGGCCCGAGCTCGCTGGCGGAACTCCCACGTGTGAATGTCACGTGACTTGAGACGTCACGTGTGGTGCGCGCGCATGTTGCGCATACGTCACTCGATCCGCTGGGGAAGGAGCCGCTGCTGGCTGCCACCGTCGCTTGCAACATGCTCACTCCATTGTCTTGATCTACGACTCGCTTTCACTCTCATACCCGTACGCCCCGTGCTCTAATGGTAGTCATTCCCTTTGCCGCTGATCACTCGCCTGACCATGCTCGCACCGGGCGCACCTCCCACGCCGCCCTAGCCCATGGCTTCTCTACAATGGTTCCTCTTCGTCTACGTCCTCGGTGGCATCACCTTCCTACCTCTCCTGGTCGTTCTGGTGCTGGCCCACGCCTACTATACTCTACCTCCCCCCTCAAACGGAAGCGGGAAAGCACGGCGCGATGATGACCCCGCACAATTACTGCGCGCCGAGGATGACAAGGCTGCCTTCAAGACCGCCACCGATAGCCTAGCCGAGCAGTTTCAGCGCAAGCACGACACTGACGTCGCTGCCGGCTACTTTGCCGTATGCCGCGAATACACCTCCGGGGTCGTCCTGACCAAGCCGCCGGACAAGGTCACTCCAGCTGGCGACGTGGTGGCGCAGGAGTCTCCGAGTGTCTATCAGAGCATGTACCGCAGTATATTCGACCGATCGCAAAAGCCTACGATTGAACCGAACAAGGACAACACAGGCAAGGGTACCAAGAAGACGAACAACGTCTTCTACGTCGTGCTTAGGTCGGTCTATGGGAGGCGCACTTGGACACTTCCAGGCTAATCCACGCATAGGCACGGACACCTCATGCTTTACGACGATATTCAGCAGCTGGAAGTCCGCTACGTTATCTCGCTCGAGTACCACGACGTCGACATCTACGCTGGGGGTGAAGAGATACCGGAGGGAGAATTGTGGATCAAGCGCAATGCCATCCGTCTGAGACGGAAACAGACCGAGGTCGGAGACAAGGCCACATCCCAGCCCTTCTTTCTATTCGGGCAAAGCCTGTCAGAGAAGGAAGATTTCTACCATGCAATTCTGAAGAATCAGGAGAAGGCCGTTACCGACGAGCCACCTGTGCCACAGGTGTTCGACGTTGGACATGCGGTGCTACTGGTGCAGAAGCTACACTCGTCCGAGGAGCACCTTCAGACGAGGTGGCTCAATGCCATCATCGGTCGGGTGTTTCTCGCTCTATACAAGACACCGGAGCTGGAGGGTTTCATCCGCGAGAAGTTGACCAAGAAGATCTCGCGTGTCAAGAAGCCTACCTTCATCACGAAGCTGGGCCTGCGGAAGATTGATCTGGGTACCGGAGCACCTTTTTTCACTAACCCGAGATTGAAAGATCTCACCGTGAATGGAGATTGCACCATCGAAGCCGATGTTAACTACACTGGCGGCCTCCGCATCGAAATCGCGGCCACGGCTAGGATCGACCTGGGCGCGCGCTTCAAGGCCCGAGAGGTGGATATGGTCCTGGCCGTCACCTGTAAGAAGCTCCAGGGACACGCTTTGGTCCGATGCAAACCGCCCCCCAGCAATAGACTCTGGTTTACGTTCGAAAAGATGCCACAATTGGATCTCGATATTGAGCCCATTGTCAGCTCACGGCAAATCACCTACACCTTCATCCTCCGCACCATCGAAAGCAGGATCCGAGAAGTAGTCGCGGAGAGCATCGTCCATCCATTCTGGGACGACATACCTTTCTTCGACACCGTGCATCAGAAATACCGGGGCGGTATCTGGAAGAGAGAAGCGCAAGACACTACGACAGAAATCCCCGACGAGGAACCCGAGGACGTGTCCGAGGTAGACAGCTCGGGGACACCGACGTCCACCGAGATGCGGGCTTTGAGTGAAAATGGCGGCATAGGCACGGCCAAGGCTGCAAAGAGGTCGCTGGCTTCATTGAATGAGATCTGGGGCAAGAAGAAGTCGGAGCCAGTTGACAGACCGGACTCTTCGACTCCTCGATTACTACGATCTCCCTCGTTCGCTAACGCGGCCGATCCGACCATCACCACCAATCACGCCGACGGCAACACCCCTACTCGAGGCTCAGAGACCGGCGCCAATCGAGAGAGCATTGCCACGATCTTGAAGGATATCTCGGCCCGATCGAGCTATAGCAACCAGTCAGGACCAGACTCGCCCGCCGGATCACCGCCTGCGGAATCGGCGATGGCAATGGCTATGAAAGGACGTTCTTCAAGCAACGCTTCTGGCGCATCCGACGACGGTGAACAGGTTGGCCGGTTGGCTAGGAGGTCCTCCTCCCTCCCACAGACGCCGACAAATGCCAGCCGCACTTCCCTTGCGCCCTCCGAAGCACATGAAACGATGGATGAGAGCAGACCTCCTACAGCTGAGGCAGAGAGAGAGCCTCCCAAGAAATTCACGTTCGGGGCAAAGTCATTGACAAGCGGTGATAGGAAACAAGCGCTAGCATCTGTTAATGCGGCAGCTGCAGCAGCCCAGAAATGGGGTTGGGGAGTGCTGGCGCGGAACCGGCAGCGTGAAGCACAAGCGGCTGCAGCAAAAGCCGCCGAGGAAGCTTCGAACAGCGCCTCTTCTCCTAGAGAACCAATGGGTCGTGGGAGGCCTTTACCGCCTCCCGGTATGCCTCTGCCGCCGCCCGAACGACCAAAGTCTAGCTCCTTTCTGGCACCGAAGAGGAAGCCAGTACCGCCTCCACTATTACCCAAGCGTCCTGGGACCGATGGGCCGACCTCGGCCAAATCCTCACCCAAACCACCTCTTCCGGAGAGACGCAAAAGGCAGAGTTCCATGCAGACAGCTGACGAGGCTGAGAACGAAGTGCTCGTTGTGGAAGCTCCGATCGAGTCCGCTCCAGCCAGTCCGGCCGGTGCTGAACGTTACGATAGCGAACATCGCGACGACTTTTTCGGGCACGGCGAGGAACAGCTTGGTCTTCCGCCATCTGTGCTAGCCATACCAGATCCAAGTCCCGAGCAGGATGAGCCGGCAGAAGAGGCGGGCAATGGCGAATCCGCAGAAGAGCACATGCATACACGGTTGGCATTAGCTGAGAAACCCAACACCAGCGCCAGCGCCAGCATCAGCAAGTCCTCACCGCCACTGGTTCAAGAGAGGGAAGGCGAAGAGATCAACCGGCAGGAGATACGCATGTACACGTAGCGACATTGCCTCGGGATGAGTGAGTGAGTCTGTTGGTGTAGACCAACGTCGACATGTCATGAGCGGCCCGTTCTGCCCTGTCCTGTGCTATGCTGTACTATTCTCCTCCCACTGCCATCTCGTTTCATCTCGATTGGTGGTTGAGATCTCACTTTATTTGCATATTCAGTGAGGCGACTTGACTGATGCGCTTGGCCGTACACGTGATTCCGACAACGGCGAGCACGCACAGGATCGTGTATACTTCTCCAAAATTTCCAGTGCTACGGAGTCCTGGAGAACCTTCTACTCCGTATCCGTATCATGGCTTGAGCAATGCCTGTCGTGTTTCGGTCGGTGCTCAGTCCACGTGGTGGAAAGGCGTGACTTCATCCCGGGTCTGGGATACACCTGTTGTTGTCCGCCATACACCTGCACCGGCACGAGGCCACTTACACTATTATTTTAAACAGCTCATCGAGCCTCCTGCTTCGAGAACGTCCTCGCCCTGCGTGCCTCTACGCCCGGAGTCAACGCAGTCAGTCCCCCGCTCCAGAACATCCGTTGATTTAGCGGAGATGTCTACACCACGCACGACATGTATTCATGTGATAATTAGCTACTAGATGGGTACCTACCTGCCTCTCGATCCCTAATCTCTTTCCTACCTCAGATTCATGTTCGACGTCGAATCGTCTAATCGTCTAATCGTTCCTCAACGTAGTCGTAGTCCCATCCTTCCTCACCGAACTCGTACTCACCTTCGTCCTCATCGTACTCGCCGTTCTCATAAACCCACTCTTCCTCATCCTCATCCTCAGGCTCATAGAAATCCCCCCGCACGAGCCTTACCATCTCGCAAGCCAGGGCAACACCGACCATTAAAGCCGCGGGCCGAGGCAGATTGATCAAGACACCTACAAGCACGTTCAACCCGACCAGCGCCACGCCGCTTCGCGCGAGGGACGGGTCTCGGGCCCAAACCTCGTCGTACGTGTCCAGCACGAAGTCCTCGAAGTCGTAGTACCCTTGGAGGCAGAACTTGCGGCTTAGTTGCACGAAGAGCATGATTATTTGCATGACTTCGATGAAGGACAGCTCCTCGGCGAGCTCGGCGAAGGCTTGGTGGATTTCCCAGGGGATGGGCATTGCGGTGGATGACGTGCGTTTGCCGGGCAGGGCAGGACAAGCGTAAGTAAAAGATCCTTAGTACTCCTCGGAGTAGGCTCGATTGGGCCGGGGTGGGCTAGAGAAGCGTAAGTAAAGGTACTCCGGGTGTCAGAATAAAGTCTCGAGCCGAGCTTAAGCACTGGAGTAAGGAGGAACAGGAGGGAACGTGTTCAAAAGAGAAGGGGCAGAGTCACTTACACCACTTATGAGTCTAGGGCCTTTGTCCTGGGCTTTGTTTCGGTGGGATATGGAGGACGTTGTTTCGAAACAAGACACAGTGTTTCGTGGTTGTGCGGTGCTTTGTCTGCGGTGCGGTTCTTTGTGCGCAGTGTGGTGCTTTGTGTGTATTGTGGTGCTTAGTGCGTAATGCACTGCTTTGAGTGCCGTGTCGTGCCGTGCTGACGCGTCTTTGTGAGGCGGCGAGGGACGTTGCAGGGTCGATGATGTACCCGAGTCGAGGCGGGGCGAGTTCGAAGCAGATACACATGTGAGAGGACCGACGCAGGAAGCATATCCAATACCCACGCTCGTGCTGAACATGCGAGCGACAAAGAACGTTGTGCAGGCAAAGACCATCTGGGGATGCTCTGAATGTGAATGCTCAATTCCGTGGATATGGCAGAGATAAGGTAGGGGTGAGGGCAGAAACATCACTGCGTGTGAGCATGTTATTGCAAGGGCTTCACTGCAAGGCAGTTTATCATCACGACGCAGTCATGCCACGAGGAGCGTGTTACCGTCCGACAGTCATGTCGTCTCCAAATCGAGCCTTGTACCGGATATCGCGATCCCGGACGTCGACAACAGACACGCCTCGACGCTGTGCCACTCGGTACGCCTTCGCTCCCTCCCCTTCCTTCCGATAGACCGACTGGAGGATGGTGATGCGCATGTCCTCGACAGCGATACGCGCAGAGATTGTAGAGCGTGAGAGCGGCAATCGTGCTACAACGTCAATGCTGCATAACTAGGGACTGGAAATGCCCACATGAGTAGCCCATGGGTGAAGCAGTTTCAAACTCCTTTGATCGTGTCTGCGAGACGGAGAAAATGTAGGTTTAATGTGGAGGGGCAGATTATGATCCGTGGGAATCTCCGGGGCACCACTACCAATGCCAAATCGATCCACATTCGCACTGCTCGCACGTGACAGCGCGATCATGCGAGATGGCGTCGTCGTTCGGTTAAGACTGCCGCTGGACTCGCTACGAAACTTTCGATCCACCCATAGGTCGGCTTCGGCCGCAGGCAGGAACAAAGCCGGGGAATTGAATGACAAGAGTTTCTCTGCGACATAGCACGCACGGACTGCTGCTGGGGTTGAGATGTCCTATCAAGCATCGAGCCGCAACTGCTGCGTGATGCCGTACTATGTACGGTGACACCGGTCCGTGCACGTCGAGGATGTTTTGAAGTGTGTGAGGGCTGCATTCATTCTCCCTCCGCCTGGGACGGTATTACTCACGCTTCAGTGTTGGGCGAGGCGGGTACAGTACATCCCGGATCGATCGGTGGAATCGGAGGTTTGCAAACATGCCGGGTTTGCATTTACAGTCGTCCCAGGTAAGTCATTGACGGCAACCCTGGGACTTGGACATTTCATTCTGACCAAGAGTCAGGGAGTGGATGCAGCGACGCCCGGCATGCAACCCGGCTCCCAGCCCGCTCATCGCGCTCTTGTCTCTCGACTGGGCCAGCGCGGAACTGGCGCTCGGCCTGGACTTCGGAACCCAGTGGAAGGTCGAACTGACCAGCTCAAACATCATCACCCTCTTCTACAGCTGTTTTGACGCGTACGGCCCGCCGCTCAGGCCCGCCATCAATTTCGTCGAGGTCGAAGAGTTGGTCGTGCTCGCGATGCAGGACATCGAGGCGCGCGACGAACCGGAACGCACAGGGCGCAGCAAGCTCTTTGACGTTGTCAAGTCGGTCTTCAAGTCCGGCGAGCGGTTGAGTTGGGTGTTCATGTACGAGGGCGGCATTTGTCGTCTGTTTACCCGTGGGCCGGACCAGAGACTTCTCGAGCCTTACGTCCGACAGAGCATGAACCCTGGTTAGGCGGACCTGTGGAGCCAGTCGAGTCACGGTTAACCCCTATGAGACCTAGGACGCATAGATACTCGTGGTCGCGACAACAGCTTGGTGCAATGGCATTGATCATGGCCACGGGAGTGCCATCATGCAGAGGACATTGAAGAGTCTTCCTGAGCTATTACAAGGAGCGAGAGAGACCGCCATCGAGCAGGCTAAATCATTGACAAGGTCTATCAAGTCTATCTAAAATTCCTGCGACAAGCGTCAAATGTCCGCCGAAGAAGGAGATTTCTATCCCGTCCTACCACTATCATGCGGCTGCTTTTAGGCTATTGTTCCTCACAGCCTGAGGATCCACCTTCTTCAAGGTATCCGCCAGGTTCACCTTGCCTCCATCGACAATCATGGGCGGGCCTTGGTATCCCTTTCTCGCCCCCAAGAACCACCATGCAGCGACAAAGACGGTGAATCCGCCCCAGATCAGACATGCATAGTTCATCGTTTGCGCATCGGTGGGGAGATAATACGGGAAGCAATAGATGACAAACCAAACCATCATGTATGCGCAGGCAATAGAGTTGAAGACGAATCCAATGGCGCCTTTGAGGTGGAAGGGGCCATAAACCTCGATGTTGCGGCGTTTGGTAAGGAGGTGGGGTAAGATGGCGGCAATGTAGGAGGAGCTGGACAGCAAGACGAACGACCCGACAAAGGCGTTGAAGGCCGTAGTGCTGCCGACATAGATGGCGCCGAGGATGGTGACGAGAACGGCGGACGTGATTGTTGAGTTGAATGGCATGCCGAGTCTATGATTGACTTGGCCCAGAGTGCTTGGGAAAGGCGTGGCCCCGTCGCGAGCCAAAGCCCATAGAGTTCGACCGCAGGTGATATAAAGACCGCATACGCAGATGCCGATGCAGATGAGGACAAGCGTGAGCAGCCCAATGGCTCCATTGGCAGAGCCAGTGGCCTGTCGGTAGATCTCGGCGATTGGGTATGGCGATTCGAAGAGAGCATCGTAGTCGTTGATAGCGTATAGGATTGCAATCAGATACGCAAATCCGGTGACAAAGCCGATGCTCATCTGGCAAGCAATGGCGATGGGGACGTTCCTTTGCGGGTATGGAATCTCTTCCGCAAGATGGCTCGTAGTGTCCGGAGTACCGACGCTGAAAGCACCGTTGAGCATACCAGCCACGAAAACGAAGCCATTGGGATACCCGATATCAGCAGTCCACTCGGTCCAGACAAAGGACGAAGATGCATGTCCAGCTCGGCCATCGCGGCCAGGCATGACTGTGACCACCACGATGGTGATGAGGAAGCCAGCCAAAATGAAAAAGATGCCGATGGCGTTCAGCCGGGGCATGGCTTCGTTGAAGAAACAGACAATCAAGCATGCAATCCAGGTGACGATGATATATGTCACAAAGACATGCCACGGCTTCGAGACGAAGTCCGGATGCTTCAGAGCATACCTGCCTAGCGTCAGCATGTCCTTCTCATGAAATCCCTCTCTGCGCCTCACATTTGCACGACCGTGTTCGAAAAGATGGATGTCATTGACGCAGCACCGAGAATCCAGGCAAGGCAATTCCACCAACCCGCGAAAAAGCCGACCACACGGCCCCATTTTTTCCCTGCCGTGATGGTGGCCCATTGATAGACACCGGCCGAGGAGGGGATCGCGGACGCGAGCTCAGCTATACATGCTGCCACGATCCAGTAGAACACCGATACGACGAGGAATTCGTACAGCACACCTGAGAAGCATTAGCAGTAGTCAAAAGGACCGCTTGAGAGCGCGACGAACCTGGAGGTCCGCCATTGAAAATGGCAACAAGAATTGAGCCTCCAATGGCCGGCCATACGTTGCCAACGACGAGGCCGACACCGGCAAGGGAGATCAGACTAAAGTTGCGCGACAACTCTTGCGCATGTCCAGATGCGTTGATGATGTTGCCTCTCTCTGAAGCCTCCGACTCGGTCGATACATCGGCGGTTGGGTTCTTGTCCGCCATTCCGGAACCTCTAAGCAGGCATACAACGTGAACGAACAAACAAGGGCTAGAACAAAGGAACTGAGAAAGGTGAAAAGAGTGCAGAAACAGAGCAGCAGCAGAGCAGCAACATGTCACTAAACATGAGACAGGGTAGCAGCTTGATCGTACTAATGGTACCTGAATCCTGGTTGCCAGGTGGCGCGCTAGATCCTCTCGATCCAGGGCCTCGATATCTCCGCTCTTAGGGAGTTTGCACGAGGTGAAGTGGACATGAAGTGGGCATCAAGTGGAGGTGAAGCCAAGGTGAAAGGATTGTGAAGCTACCGGTGCGTGCGAGCGGGTGGGCGACTCCCGAGGTCGAGCCAAGCAGAGCCCAGGGCCGTGAGGGACCAGTGGGGGCCGGAGAATGCCGCCAAGACGCGTTCCTGTTCGCTCAACGTGCCAATTCCTCCTCCACTCACTTACAAACTTTCTCTCGCGCTTTTCGCTGCTCCCTTGTTGCTCCCGAGAAACTATGTGTCACTGAATCCTACCATGCCTCTCATATCGTCTCGATCGTGCACTCGAGGGGCCACTGCGGCGACACTGGTAAGTAGATGTTACTGCTTTGGTTCGTCGCCGAGCCGAGTTGCAAGGTCCTACCCGGTTATGAATTTTCTCGAGCTCCATCTGGGTGCCATCGCCTATCCATCTGATCCATCTGTCAGCAGTCCGGAAACCGGTATGCGCGCACTGTACCTGACAGCTGGAACCCCAAGCACACGACTTCATTGACAGATGGGTCTTATATGCCATGAAAGCCACAGCATCGGCGTCTTGTCTGCTGCTATCTTCGCGGTGTTGTCCCAAAGCTTGCATACCTTGGTAGCAGGAATTCCCAAACACCTCTAACCGGGAGTTTGTCTTGGCTGAGAGCCCAAACACGGATACGGCGGAATGGGAGAGAAGGGCGCAAGCCCACTTTGTTGGCCAACCCCTTTTTGCACTTTCCACCGACAATCCTGACTATCGCGAGGCGAGCGAGAAGAGCTCGTGGAGCTCCACTTACGCAGTACTAACTCTTTACCCGACACCGTATCTGCTCCCAATGATGTTCTGGACACTGTCCTTCGACGGGGGAAGATAGTGTCTCAGGGCCGACTTGGCTGTTTTGGGCAATGAACCGTGAAGGTTCAGTATTACAAAGTGGATGGAATTCCTGCACATCCGCCTGCGCTCGCCGCGTGTTGATCCTCGAATTCAATTCTGTCGACACATCAGGCGCGACATTCTGACCGGAACATCGTCCAAGTGATCCGCCATGTCAACGAACCCGAATCCTGGCTTTGTGCCAGAATCATGGAGTCTGTACGGGGTCGGTGCGCTTTTCGTCGTGCTGCGACTGTCAGTATTGCCCGACAGCCTCCCATGAGCCCCCGGTCAGCTAACTTGGTGACAGAGTCGGAAAAGTCAAAAGGGTTGGCATCAAGAACCTTGAAGCGGACGATGCGCTCATAGCGTTTGGCTTTGGCTGGTATACACTGCTAGTCATCGCCTTCAATGAGATGCTGAAAGGCCCTGGTTCGAACTTGATGACACCGGAAGAAGAGGCTGCTCTCACACCCGAAATCAAAGATGGTCGAATTCGAGGAAGCAAATGGGTTTTTGTCTCCGAGCACGCCGAGCTGCTCACAATCTGGTCCATGAAGGTACGATTAGTGGCTTTTCCTAAATGGAGTACCTAGTCGCTCATTTCTTTCAGGCGGCGATGCTCGTCCTCTATGCAAAGATCATCGACAAAGCACGGCAACGAAAGCTGCTCTGGGGTGTGGTCATATGGGTCTGTTGCGCTTTCCTCGGAGACGAAATCGCCTTGTTCACCATCTGTCGACCTCTGTCACAATATTGGGCCGTGCCACCAAATAATGGTAGGCCTTTAATTCATGCTTTCTGAAACAGCTGCTAACGGGGTACCCAAGCCCAATGTTCTACCTATCAGTACTATCAGATTGTCAACGCCGTTTTCAACATCTCCACGGATATCCTGATCATGCTCATGGGTATTCCCCCTGTCCTATCAGCTCGCTTGTCTATACAACAGAAGCTCATTCTCGGCATCATCTTTGGCATGGGAGGTTTCGTCATCGTCGCGGCCATCCTGCGAGCCATTTACTGCCTGGTTCCGTCCTTGATCAGCTATGTGTACATGAACTGGTACTTCCGAGAGGCTTCCGTCGCCGTCTACGTTACCACGCTACCGGGTATATGGGTCTTCCTGAAAGAGATGTTCCCCTTCATCCAACGTCTGACAAGCCGGACACCCACGAGGCCGACCAACTCGCAAACAGCCGATCATCAAAAGCAGATGGCTTCGTGGCGCCAGCCGAGCAGGAACAACCACAGTCAATTCGACTCCAAGAACGACCTCGACTTTGACCTGGACACATACCCCATCAGCAAGTCTATGGTGACAACCGCCGACCACGAGCTTGGAAACCAAGCTGTGTCTTCTACTAGTGACAATGGACACGGCGACGCCGACTCAGCGAACTCGCTTCGGTATGAGGCTGTGATCAATGGGATCAGGTGTGACAAGACGTTCACTGTCGAGAGTATACCGAGGGCGCACCCGTAAGTAGCCAGACAGCTGGGACATTGCTTTGAGAGGCGTGCTTCGGGATCTACCTCACCGAAGGAGAATTCCCGCTTATCTTTGGTTCAAGCGAATGGCTAGAGGGATGTCGTACGTGCTTGGGTACGGTTATGTCGCGATACAGGTGAACAGGATGGGATGTACCTTGTATGATCATGATTAGACGACGATCGGAAAAGGGAGGGTCTCTGCTGCTGTTAACTGTTCATGTGTATATATAGAGAGTGAAAAGAGAGAGGGCACATGGGTGTGTCGTGAAGGCGTGGGCCGAGGTGCAGCCTGTCAATACTCTGCCCACGCAAATAGATATGCTTAACTGGTCGCTATCGACAGGGCACATATCATCTTTCGCGACACATGGCATTGTGGGTATGAGGACGCTGAGAATCTGGGACTTTAGTACATGTCGTGCGGATGCCGTCAGCTTGCAGGAAAACGCACTCGGGTGCAATGCCCCCTTCCAGGGAAACCTCTGCGGATTGGTGAGGCTGTGCATTTAAGGCTGCCTGCCGTGGCCGCTGCCTTCGAAGAAAGTAGCCACATCGCCCGGTTCCTATCTTCTCTGCCTAGGTGATCGATATGCCGTTTCGCATTACGTCGACCCAGTCTATGCGCAGGATGTCTTTCTGACAAGAACATGTCCGCAACTGCTGCTGCAGCTGGCTCAGACACCCATCTACTCTGATACTAAGGCTATCGGGCACTGATTCGGCGCCGAGAACCCCCACTCGGGCACAGCCAAAGCCGTCGACACAATGTTTCGGCTCGCGAGCGCTCTTCCAAGCTTCAGAGGAAGCAACAGCGGCACTGATTGTCATGCAAAGGCTTCAGCAGAAGAACAAGACCGGATGCCACCACTGAACACAGACACTCCCGCAAGCACCAACCGAGAGACGACCCCTGTTCAATGCATTCCTCCCTGGGTGCGAGAACTGAACAACTCTCGGGTCACTAGGCACAGTCGGGCTTCTTCGATCGTCTCGACACAGTCAAAGTTCACTACGACTACTCTGCAAGACGATGCACGCAGCATTGACATCAACGTGGGCGGCCAGTTGTTCCGGATCAGTCGAGATGGCTCCAAAGTGACAGCTGATGCTCCCCCACCGTATAGCGGACCAGCAGAAGTAGTTCGATTCCGGGGACAACGATCAAACGAGGCTGGCCGCTTCGATGAGGACGACGGGGAAGGGGATGAGCCAGAAGATGGCGCAGTCACGCCGAGATCGACCTTTGTCACTCTTGACACAGACCGTGGAGTTCGAGCCAATGTACTCGACCCGACAGAGTTTGAGATGCCTTCACCGTTAGAGCACGATAACGTCAGCCACCAATCTTTTCCCGTTACACTTGTTCAGCCTCCACAAGCCCAGGCCAGGCGGGGAGCCTCGCTGGAAGGAACATCGACCCTCCAACACGCGATGCTAGAGTCATCGTCTCCGAGAAGGACAAACGGCGTGCGGCTGCCTCGCCTCATCACCTCAAGCGACATTCCCAGGGCCACCCATCGGCCTCGGCGTTCCCAGAATGTTTGTTCCCCTGGGCATCCACTCCAGGTTCGGTCCGCGGGCGCGATCCTTGGTGAGCAGCCCGCCCGTCGTGAACCAACATCGCCAGACTATATCGGACGAAACGCGCCTGGCGCCTTTCCGTTTCCCGTCAGAGCGGTCACGACTCAGCACGCAACCGCAATCCGAAATCGCTACCCATCGATCGATAAGGCGAGCACGTCTGAGTCGGATACTGCACGGGAGGAGAGCGGCACCCCGCTCGCGATGGACGACGAGAACGACATCAGTCTGCATTACGCGCGTATGATACGCACATTGGATGCGGCCCATCGGAAGGCGCTGCTTGTGAAGGACAAGCAAGTGGCCGAACTGCGGGAGAAGTTGAATGAAAAGGACATTGTGTTGAGACAGCAGCTCCGGGCAAAAGATTTCATCATTGATGATCTGAAGAAGAGGCTCAGTAATCTAGAGGACAATGTCGAGATCATGTTGGAGAAGGCACGATACCAGGTCGAGGACCTCTGGGAAGCTCGGTGGAAGGATCGTGACTTTCACCTGCGAGAGAGGATGAGGCGGATGGAGGAGGACGCGTAAAAGAAAATGGACAGGATTGGAGCTGGAGAGCCCCTGCCAGAGGACGACGGATTGAGGAGTTCCCATTGAGCTCTGCCTTCGTGGGGGGAGGCCCGATGGATATGCGGCTGATAGGGACGAGCCCAGTCGAGTAATGTGTATACCCTTGTGAGCGTTTGACGATACGTATCTCAGAATCTGACGGTTTGATTATAACCAGAATGTAGACGTGAGTGTGAGCAGTTGCTCCATGCGCCTCGCGGCCTTGGGCACAGAGGCCACAATCACCCCGCCAGTTCAATGCTGGGAAGAGATTGGGCGCTCTGGGCGTCGCGGGGGAAGGGGGACCAGATTCTGGGAGCCACGGGTGCCTAACTCATCCCGGCCTTGTTGCACCTACGAAGTACCACAGTAATCCCGGTAAAGAGGAAGCAGTGTCGGTGACTTCATCCTCGCCCCACGTTGAAATCGCATCTCCTCAACAACTTGACAGCGAACCTGATGCGATCGCCCTCAACAACTCGTTGCTCTTCACTTCTACTCTCCCCATTTGCGTGACTATATTTTAGATTCATACACCGTCGGGTCGCTCACTTTGGTCTTTGCACCTTCCATCCAATTCAATCTCAGCGCTACGCCGCCCATTCTTCCAGGTTGCCTACCCGTGACTCCAACCTGCGCATGGGCAGACGCATCTCCTCCTCGTTGCGCGAGCCTCCTCGTTGACAAGGCACCAAGCCCAGGTGTGGGATCGGTGGCAGCACGGGGCGACATGCCTTCCCAGCAGGATCCATCTGATGGTGGGCCGAGCAAGGCGCCGGTGCGAGTTCGTGGCAGAAAGAAGAGGGGCAATCAACTACAGAAACCATGGCTTTACGATCTGGTCCTGTGGGCATTGTCCATTCTGATAGACCTCTTCTTTCGCGAAGTACACCCGCGAGGAGCCTGGAAAATCCCCAAAACCGGTCCTGTCATTCTCGTCGCGGCACCGCATGCCAATCAGGTATGCAGTCCTGCCTGGTTCTTGCAAGCTCCCGCCAGTACTGACGATGCTGTAGTTCGTTGATTCCCTGATCTTGATGAGACTCCTCAAGAACGAAGCCGATCGAAGAATTTCATATCTGATTGCGGAAAAATCTACCAAGCGCCGGTTCATTGGGACTCTGTCCAGGGCGATTGGAGCAATACCCGTGGGCCGAGCCATGGACAGTGTCAAGCCAGCCAAGGGCAAAATTTTCCTTCCAGACCAAGACAATGACCCTACTCTCATCCGCGGCGTCGGGACTGACTTTAAACACGGCGATTTTGAGGTAGGAGGACTGATTGTCCTGCCCAAAGTGAGAGGCCAAACACCCAGCACCGAAATCGCCGAAATCATCTCGCCTACTGAGATCCGTCTCAAGAAACCGTTCAAGACACCGGAGGCATTGGAGTCTTTAACCGGCACCGGCTCTCCCAACGGTGATCCAAGCGAGCAACAGCGAGGCTGTTCGTTCAAGGTCGCTCCCTACGTCGACCATTCCAAAGTATACGACGCAGTCTTTGACGAGCTCGAAAGTGGTGGTTGCATCGGCATCTTTCCTGAAGGAGGTAGCCATGACCGTCCAGACCTGCTACCTCTCAAGGCGGGCGTGGCCCTCATGGCTTTGGGGGCTGAAGCCAAGCATCCCGGCTGTGGTGTCAAGATCATTCCAATCGGCATGAACTATTTCCATGCACACAAGTTTCGTTCGAGGGCTGTCATCGAATTTGGTCATCCCATTGAAGTTGATCCCGAGCAAGTTGAGAAATACAAAGCAGGCGAACGCAGAAACGCGGTCGGCTCTCTACTCGAGACGGTGTTCCAAGGCTTGGTCGCAGTGACACAGTCCAGCCCCGACTACGACACTCTGATGCTGGTCCAAGCAGCACGAAGGCTGTACAACCCGCTTGGGAAGAAGCTGCCTCTCCCACTGGTGGTCGAGTTGAACAGGCGGCTGGTCAAGGGATACACGACGTACAAGGACGATCCACGTGTCGTCGAGCTGAAAAAAGACGTTCTTGAATACAATCGTCAGCTTCGAGCACTCGGCGTCCGCGATCATCAAGTGGAGTGGGGGAATCCTGCCAAACGTCCGTGGTGGCTCATTCTTGGGACGCTAATCTACCGACTTGGCGAGCTCTTCCTACTGGGCATAGGCACTCTCCCTGGATTGGCCATGTTCTGGCCTGTCTTTGTTACCACCAAAGTCATTTCTGTGCGGAAGTCCAGAGAGGCTCTGGCGGCATCGACGGTGAAGCTGCAAGGGCGGGACGTTATTGGCACGTGGAAATTGCTTGTGGCGATGGCGTTTGCACCGGCACTCTACATCTACTACACTGTTGTTGTGTCGGTCTGGTTGGTCTACAATCGTCGTGACGGCTATTACACCTACAGGGTTCCGTGGTGGATGGTGGCCCGGACGTATGTGCCCGACTTCATCCCCATCTGGCTGTTCTCCGTGCTCTTCATTCTTGTGTGTATCCTGGTCACCTTTGCCGCTTTGAGAATTGGGGAGATTGGGATGGATGTCGCGAAGTCTTTGCCGCCCCTCTTTGTGGCCTTGAACCCCCGATCTTCGAGTCGGTTCGCGAAACTCCGGCAGCGTCGGCAGGCGCTGTCAGAAAGGGTGACGAATGTGATCAACGAATTAGGGCCAGAAGTCTTCCCCGACTTCGATGCCGCTCGGATTGTGGCAGATCCGTACAAGGAAGGAGTGTATCAATCCAAGTACAAGAAAATGCCGGAGGAGCCGAGGATCGACACCGCAGAGCCTGCAACGCCCACCTCTGGGGCTTTCGAAGAGAGATCGCCGGAGTCGCCATCGGCAAAGAGCATGTTCGGCTTGTTGCCGTCCAACGAGGCGTTCAGCAACATTGGCGGATTTGGGTTTTTTGCGTCACGACCGACGACACCGAAGAGTCGCAGCCGAAGTAGTTCTGCTGGCGGAGCTCTTACATCTTCTATCAGCCCTTTCAAGATGACGAGCCTCGACCACGATGAAGTCAGCAAACGCATCCGCGGGGCTATGCGTGAAAGGGGAAGAAAACGCGAAGGCGAGGGAGCGGAGACGGAGACGGAGAGCAGCTATGATATGGCTGACGATGGCCGAATGACTCCGGCCACCGAAGATGAGGAGCCAAAGAAGGACAGGTGATGAATGACAGATGATGAGTTGATGGCCAGCGGACGAATGTTCAGACATTGTATGCTTGTACTCTTTGGGTTTCTTTCATGTCCATGCCCGTTGTGGACAGCTATCACAGCTCCGTATACCCCAAGACGAGGAATGAATCGCCAAAGACGCTGGATCCGCCTGCGCGAATCTAGATCCTGATCGGCATAACACTGTGAAAATGTGGGGAGCGGAAGATTCCGTCCTGTGGTCTGCGATGATGCCCGCCGCGGCCGAAACAAGGCAACACAACGCATTTCAACTTGGCAGCACAAGCAAAGTAAACGCTGCTCGGAGCTCACGTGCGACTCACCCCGAGCGTGCCGCTTTTAACCACTCACCTCCACTCTCTACCTTCGCACTCACCTCGCTCACCTTCACACTCACCCTTGATCCCGAACCTGCTCTACCGCATGCAGCGCCAGCCAGGACCCAAAATTAGCAGCGCGTCGCCCGTTCCCTCTTTGACGCCTTTTCGACTTTCGACCACTTTCTCGTCCCTGCCTGTCGAAGGTGCCCCAGATTGGCCGCTGGCTAAAAGTTAGGAGGGCAAGTGGAAGATGAACGCTGTTCTACCCGACCAGAGTAATAAACGACTGTTTCTGTAATGCACTGCTTTTTTCCGCGGCCACGAGCTTCTTCTCAAACTAGTATACAACACGTTCATTACCCACCCAGTCGTGACTCAAAAAGCGCCGTGTAAATTGCCCTGGATCCTTACTTACGATGAGAACCTAGAACCATCGTCACCACCTCGCCATTTGTAGAAAGCAGATATGGGACTCAGAAATCAAATCAGCTCGAAACCGCATGTTTTTACACTGCTCCCAGGTCCACTAACCTAAACGGTGGTGGTCGGATGCAGGTCTGAGTTCACTATTGTTTGAGCACACAGTTCATCACAGTCCCTTGAAGAGAACAGGGCGTCACCTGAAGTCCCTACTACACCTTTTGCTTGGAGAGAGGAAAGGGATGAGGAGGGATGAACCCTTGCTTAGATAGCTGCAAGCGCGCTAGGCCGGGGTACCGCCAAGAGGCTTCACCGCCTTTGCGCTCCTGGCAGAACGCCAGGCAACCATTCAGTAGTGTGCGGGAGCACAACTCTCACGGGCCTGCTACGAATCATTGTCTGAATTGTTTTTCCTTTTCGATATCGGACGACAATTACTATACGCTGTAGAACTATACACCTTGATCTTTACGATCTGTCTCATGGACCTTCCCAGGTGGATTTTCCCGGAAGACGGACACGAGAAGAAGAGGAGAGGAGAGAAGACGGAGTCAAGAGCACTGTATGTATCGTACTTTATTTGTGTGAGAACTGTCCATTGCTATGTGCAAGCTCTTAAGACAGTTGTACAGGTACTCCAGTTGTCTGATAGCAGCTATGCCCTGTCGCCAGCTTTTCTCCCTGTTGGAAATAGGGGGGACTTTATAGTGTCCACACGTTGCCCGCCCAAGAGGATGTCGCCATCAGCATTGAAAGCACTCGTCTCATCGCTTGAGGTCTGGCTGAGGATTGATTTCTGGTGAGACGTCAAGTACGTACCCTTGACTCTGGTTGCTAATTGGATGCAGGAGCTGATGATGCATGGAGCCCACAACCTAGATCTTGAATGTCAGCAAAGTTTCAAGAAGCAAGAAGCTGCTGAATGGATACTTGGACGGGATAAGATTGGGGTTTGACCAATAATGATGTCTTGTGGAGCCACCAGGAGGCTTTGGACAGATCTTGGTTTCACCAATATGCTGGCTACTGACACTCCGCACCACGAGAAGGTGTCTGTCCGTTGCAGAGCAAAAAAGAGCCAAAAATTTGGTGCCACTCTCCCAGTCGGGGTCACCGGGGTCCACGCGCGACGCGGGCTGGGCTGGTGTGTTTGTCCTCTCGCTATAAGCAATGTGGTAGAGATTTCAGGCCATCGGCAGCCACCTGACGGTGACGAGCCTCGCCCTGTTCTTTTTTTCCTCATTCAGGCACTCCGGTATGGAGAGAAGAAAAGAAGAAAGAAAGAGTGAGAGGTAACGAAACGCTGATAATTTCCCGGCATCTAAAAGAGAAGGAAGGTGCGAAACCACTACGCGTGACGCAATCTGAGAATTTAGGAAAAAGGCAGGTGCACCACCTATACCCAAGGTTGAGTTCAACTTTAGGGCTCCTGAACGAGCAATGCGAACTTGGAAAGGAATTGAGGAACTTCATAGCAGCAAAAGTTTCGTCTTATCAGCACACCACCGCAGGCGCACAACTGGTCTTAGACAGCTCTCGTACTGCAATTTCCATCAATTCAAGCATTGTCACTCATGCTGTGGTGATAAACTCTTCCGTGACCAACTTTGCACTACTGAGGCCAATTGAGCATCGTACTTTTGCATCGTTCTTTTGCATAGTACTTTAGAACAGCCAATAAGTCGAGTAGCCAGACCACGTCGCCTGTCTGAAGATATGTACAGTACTGGATCAGTTGTCTCAGTTCTTCCTGCAGCGACACCGACACACTTGCCTTCACTCCTTTTCCCTCTTGGCTGCCCAGGCTGTGCATTCGCAGCGAATGACTCTTGACCACGTGTTTCTCAACCAGAAGGCTTTCCGCTTTGGGTCTGTCCGGGTGTTGATGGCATCGCCGAGGCCGCGGACGGCCGCGATGCTGCGGTCAGAGGGACAGGCTTCATGTCCCTGGGAGGAACTTACTAGATGGCAGGCGACGTCCTGATAACTTTGGGCGGGTAGACGATAGACAGTGTCATGCGGGGAACTCAGTCAAGCCGTTATGCCGCGTGTCGTATTCAGCAACCAGATTACAACAGCATTCACGCTACGTTGTTGTTATCACTGGGCTAAAGGGAAAGAGGTAATTATAGAGAATAAGTGAGTACAGCACGAGGCAGCAGTCACGGCAGACATCTTCACTGCTTCGAGCGTTTCAGTTGCCAGGCGCTTAGGCAGGTGGCATTGCTTCGAGCCCTGTGTAATATGGCGGAAGGCTGACTCAACGGCTGACTCGGGCAAGGAAGCAAGGCGTGATAGATGCCCGTATCACGTGAGCGATAGGTGAGTTCGCACCCGATTCGGCTGAATGGAGGCGAACACAGGGCGGCATCACCTCTTCCAAATCGGGACTCATCTTGGCACCGAGCACCTCATCACCAGTCGCCTTCCCAATGAAGCAGGCAACGTTGTAGCCTGATGTAGTCAGTTGCACAGATTCTTGTTTGGTCACGCTTTCCACAGATACCACCAGCGTGTGGTAACCAGCGCCATCCATAGTCGAGGCCGCTTGCTTTCTGTCGAACAGACACGTCGAGTCATTGCATTCCACCGAGCCAACGACCCTGCCTCGACGGACGCGCCGGTTTGACCCTCCTCATGACCAGCTACTGAGTCCGCGCCTTTCGGCCACCTGCAAACTTTAGCCTGAAACCTACTTCCTTCTTCTAGCAGACTTCAGCCTGTATCCCAATGCTATGGATCCATTCGACGAAGACCACTTTGACCAGCAGCGCCCGCCGTGTCCCTCGACCTCGACGACGCCCTTTCGCTTAGACGAAGGCTTCTCCGAAGATGCAGCCAGCCCGGACGAGCATGGGCGCATGTTCGCAGCCACGGCGGCCCGCTTTCAAGAATGGGTTCTGGCACAGAACGAAGACGCGCGCGCCGAAATTGCGTACGAGATCTTGCGCACGCTGCGCACGTCTCACATATCAGGCGTCGTCGACCGACTAACGCCTTTACTGCACATGGATCCGATGGACAGGCTCCCGCAGGAGATCACTTTGCAGATATTCGCCTACCTCGACGCTGAGACGTTGTTGGCAGCCTCACTAGCTTCAAAGACGTGGCAAACGCGGATCATGGACACCATGCTGTGGCAGGAACTGTACAGACTAGAGGGCTGGGGCCTGAACGAAAAGGAAATCAAAAAATTCGAAAGTTCACGCAGGTCAGGCGGGCGTCAACAGTCGAAGAAGGCCAGAGCGCAGCCCCACGGTCAACCCTCCCTCAAAAAGAGAGCAACGTCCGACTTCTTCCAGAGACGACAGGCGATCCTGGGTGAAGCCTCAACCCCTGTCCCGGCTGATGTTTATCAATGGCGCGAACAACACGGCCCCATCGAAGTAGACACCGACATGCAGTCCGAGACTGACGACTTAGAGACGCAAGATGCACTCGCAAGACTCCAGAACTCGCCCTCGCGGCCGAACAAGAGGCAAAGCCAAGAGGAAGAGGAAGATGTGGACTACTCCGGTGACACCGAAAGCGAAGCCAGCTCGAGTAGAAGAGCGTCTCGCCTTCTCGACAATCCCTTCAAGACGCGACTTGTCGCTTATGACACCAACGGGGAGGAGAAGCTGAACTGGGTACATCTCTACAGGCAACGACAGAGGCTGGAACAGAATTGGATCAAAGGCCGATATTCAACGTTCCAGCTACCTGATCCTAACTACCCCCACGAAGGTCACACCGAATGCGTCTACACTATCCAGTTCTTTGGCAAGTGGCTGGTCAGTGGCAGTCGTGACAAGACTCTACGTATCTGGGACCTCGAAACTCGCCGCTTGAGAGGGAAACCGTTGAACGGCCACTATCAATCCGTGCTCTGTCTGCAGTTTGATCCCACCGAGAAGGAGGATGTCATCATCTCGGGAAGCAGCGACGCGAGCGTCATTATTTGGCGATTTTCCACGGGTCAAAAGATACACGAGATCCCGTCCGCGCACGAAGAGTCTGTCCTCAACCTCCGCTTTGACCATCGCTACCTCGTTACCTGCTCCAAAGACCGACGCATCAAGGTCTGGAGTAGAAAACACATGGTTGCTACGGACAAGGACTATCCGGAGGTCAAAGCGGGTGGTCATGTTCGAGTGCCTGTATACATTGTCAACACGGCAGAAATGGGCCCGTCGCTATTGGAAGCCGGCATCGCCAACGGGGAGATACAAGCGGTGAAGCCGTACATGCTTTTACTGACGCTGGAAGGCCACAGTGCAGCCGTCAACGCCATACAAATCAATGGTGATCTCATTGTCTCCGCCTCTGGTGATAGATACATCAAAGTGTGGAACGCCAAGACTGGAAAGCTGCTCAGGACGTTACAAGGGCACCAGAAGGGGATCGCCTGCGTGGAGTTCGACAGCAAGCGAATTGTCAGCGGGAGTAGTGATAACACAGTGAGAATATATGATCCGGTGACTGGCTCTGAGGTAGCAGAGCTGAAGGGGCATACAAACCTGGTGCGGACCGTGCAAGCGGGGTTTGGCGACCTGCCTGGGAGTAACGAGGAGGACGAGGCGAGGCGCGTCGAGAAGAGGTACCTGGACTATCTCCTTGCGAGTGGTGTCGTCCTCGAGCACCGGGCGCTCCGGCAAGGCGCGAGGATCAACGTCGAGGGCACGTCGCGATTCACGATCGGCTCCAGATTACCTCCAGGAGGCGGTGGCAGTAAATGGGGTCGCATTGTGTCAGGCTCATACGATGAATCAATCATTATCTGGCGAAAGAACGCCAAGGGCGATTGGATCATGGGCCAAGTCCTGCGACAAGAGCCGCCGTCTCAACAGCCACAGCTGAGTTCTCGACAGCACATACTGTACGATCGAGCGGTCGACACTGCTCGCGCTGCCTCGGCTGTTCGCGTTGCTCCAGCAGCCCAGCAACCTCGACAGTTTTCGGTACCCGCTTCGACCAGCAACGACGGCCCCGCTGGCAGCGTCCGTCCGGCCGTGATGTCAGTCTCGCACATCCTCCAGCAAGCCGTGAACACATCATTGGGCAATTTCGGTACCGGACTCGCCGACGTCACAGGCCTGGGCCGAGCACTCAACGGATCAGTAGAGATTGGTGGTGCCGCACGCAACAATGTCAACCTCACGATACAGGGCAACAGCGTCCAATCAATAGCCCAACAGGCCGCGGCACAAGCTCAGGCGGCCGTCGCTCAGACAGTGAACAACTCTATTTCGCAGATACGCGCACAACGGCAAGCGAGCAGTACAAACGCCGCGTCATCCACAAGTGGGAGCCGTCGCACGATGCCCCATCATCCTCATGGCGGACCCTCCGCTGCCGCCTCGGCCGCACAACACCAATTGTCTCAAACGCAGCAACAAGAGCCATCGCGAGCGCCATCTGAACCCCCATCTGCCGCGACCGCAGCATCCCACAATGGTGGGCAACCCCCCACCCACCCTGCCGCACCCAGTGCGGCGGCGCCCTCTTCGGTCTCAAGGGTATTCAAATTACAATTCGACGCGAGGAGGATAGTATGTTGTTCACAGGACAGTCGGATCGTCGGCTGGGACTTTGCAAACGGGGACACGGACGTTATCGAGGCGTGTCGCTTTTTCACGGGGCCTTAATTAAGCCTCGCACCGCATGTGGACCCGACTCGATGAGAGAAGGGTCATGCATGGTCGTTGTCATGAGATCAGAGGAGGGAGGAGACAAGAAGACAAGCGGCGGTACAAAGGGTCCATAGGAAAGACGGTGTTCCAACGTTGAACGTCTAATCTGCATTTGATCAAGATTTCACGTGAACGGAGATTTTGTGCTTCCCACCGCGAAACGTGAGAGTCGGAGTGAACCTAATTAGACCTGAACCTGAGTGCGGAAGTTACCTGGGTAGCTGTAGCTGTAGCTGCGGCTTTCGCCGGAGTGATGCCTCACGAGTTCCGGCTTGTCTAAGACTGGGTGACTGTTTTGGGTCCGGGTGTACTGTATGTGCTGGATTTTCCACGGGCACGGCCTCGTGAGCGAAGATGAGTCGAATTCGTACGGCGTACACCGGGGTATTGATAGAATAGTCCTCGAACGGGGTATCCATGTGTATGGGTCTAGTCAGGTCGTACGCCCATGCGTCTCAAGAACCTGTATATATATATATATATACTCGGTACTCGGTACTCGGTTGGATTGACCGCTTAGACCCTTGGACAAGGATATCTATCCATCTGGAAGTGCCTGCCTGGCTGCCTGCCTGCCTGCCTGCTTTACTAAAAGCCGATCAACGAAGTCAACGCTTCAACGTTTAGAATGTACAAGGATATCCATCTGCCTGCCTGCTTACTGAAGCGATCAAGGGTAGACAAAAGCGGCAGCATACTCCGCACGGCATCCTGAGCCTCGCACAAATACAGTAACGAACGCACTGCTCACATGTGTTTTAAGTAAGTCTATACCCATGCCGCCTGGCTTGCTGGCTGTTAGGCGTGATAGACGTGATAGACGCCAGAGTCCCCTGAGTTTTCGGGCCTTCTGTGGAGCGGTACCAAAATTCCAGGTGCCTGCTTGGGCTGGATACCAGATGTAGCTCTGGGACAAGGGCACTGACTTGCCATACCCACATTTCACAGTTCCTGGTCGACGCCAGTGCTATGCCCGTGGTTTTCACCGCAAGAGGTTCCAATCGCTTTCCATGCGCTTCCAGTCACGAAGCATGCACCTTGCTCGTCCCTGTTTCCGTTCGCGGGGTCTTCGTCTCGTGTTCCATCTTCTGCTCCCGCCGCCGGCGCCACTGCCACTCCCACAGGACGGGGAGGAAACTCCAGAGGTCGAATTCCGGCCACAGCACGTCGAGAAACACAATCTCGGTGTCTTCGTGGCACTGCCAGAGCATGAAGTCTGATAACCTAGAAACGCCGGAGGTGCGGATCAGGAGGTCGATGGGCGGGCAGGACGAGGTGTACGTGTTTGAGGTGATCGTTTCGGCGGTAATGGAGTCGGGCGGAGGGTAGCGCGGTTTCTGGGTTTGAGAAAAGGGTGCTGGTGCGTCGTCGTGGTGGAGGGTGGTGGATGTGGAGACAGATTCGGTGTCGTGGTCCGAGGCCGCGAGATCGGGGGAGTATGATGACAAGCTGGTCGTGCTTGACGACGGAGACCGGAAGCTACTGGGGGGCGAGAGGTGCGTTGTGGCAGTCGAGTGCTGGGAATCCTGCTGTTCCGACCTTATGGCTTGGGCGATCCGGTCCTCGCGGAAGGGGCTTTGCCTGTCCTTCTGGCTGGCTGGCTGCTCCTCGGGAAGAGGCTGGCTCCATTGCTCCACTGTGCATTTCACCGCCGTCGTAATCTCTTCTCTTGAGGTGTATGGGAAACACACATTCAAGACACATTTACCGTCATTGTGGCTCGTTGTTTCGACCGCTTTGTCCACGGCCTCTAGCACGTCCGGTTTGATCAATTCCCTCTGTCCCAGGATGCGGATGCGGGCGCCGTATCGGTCGAGCAAGTCCCCGTGTTGAACCAGTTGCTTCAGCTTGATCTTGGCCATGGCCATCAACGCGTCCACCTCGTATTTACTGCGCTTGAAGTTCTCGATGCTGAAGGCGTAGATCGTCACGGTGTGGACGCCGGACTTGTAGCACACCTCCAAAATCTTGGCCAGGGCTTCAAAGCCCAAATTGTGTCCTTCGACGGTCTCGATCCGGTGGTTTCGTGCAAAGCGACGGTTCCCGTCCATGACAAAGGCGACATGTTTCGGAACGGGCCCTTGGCGCAAGGCACCAATGAGGAGTTCGCGGAGTTGGTTGAGCGCCCATTCGGCCGGTGGGGAGGAGAGTAGCCATTTCCGCAGGGAGGAGGTAAGTCTGTGAGCAGAGCGAGACGCCATGGCGGTTGATCGTCCGAGGCGGGATAGGGCTGTTGCAGAGCACGACTGAGCAACGCTCGACTGTCCGCTCAATGCATAAGTTGCCGTTGGCTGCGACGGAGTTCACAGCTCTGCGTGGTTTCTCCTGGCAAGGTGAAAGGTAAGACTAAGACGATGGTAACGAGGGGCTTGCAAAACATGTGCACACTACAGCTCACAGTCGGACCGTATCGAGGTTTACGTGGCCGCCGAGCGCGAGGCCACGAAAGCGACTTTTGAGTTCAGTCGCAAACTCGGTGGCTGCCCGGCGGTGACGTTGTAGCGTCCATCGTGATTGGCTGCTTCCCCTGCCAAGAGACTCAGCCTCGGGAGCTGCCACCACAGCCTTGTTGCGCTGTCTGTCTGCTGCGAGTACTCTGTATCGTCTCCCAACGGCAGACGACTGAAGTAAGCTGGGCATCTACGGCAACCCACGGGCTTCGCGTTACCAGGATAGCAGAGCATGCGGAGGAGGATAAGATGTCTCGGAGCCCACATCTGGTCTGAACGTTTAGCCGGCCGTGCCCGGCCTAGACCTCGCACACTTCAGTCGTACTGCGACTTATCCCGCCATATCATCCTCCCCGTGGGGGTAGTCCAAGGGTCATCTGCAAAGGTGCCGATTTCCCCCGCAAAAGTCCCGGGTATGCGAAGATGCACTTCCACGTTACACCAGAACGGTGAACAGCGAAACATGCATGGTCAGGCGCCCATGGATGCATGGCTGGGGATATGTAAATCAACTGCTCGAATCTCCTTGTCCGCGGAGGAAATAACTCCTCTCCCTCCAGGCCTCTCGAACCCCACTCTAATCACAGAATCATGAAGCTCCTCTACCCGAACTCCTTGGTATTCGACGCAGGCAGCCTCGAAGGATTTGGCGTCTCGTTGCATCAGTATGATGTCCATAAACCGATCCCCGAAGAGCTCATCGATGCAGAAATAATCGTCACATGGGCCAACACCAACCTGTCCGACGCCGCAAAGCGAATGCGTAACCTCCGTTGGATTCAATCCCTCTTCGCTGGGCCGAATGACGTCCTCGCAGCGGGCTTCTCCCCTGACATCAAGGTGACAGCCGGCACCAATCTGCACGATGAGACGGTGACCGAACACGCACTTGCACTTCTCCTCAGCGCCGCCCGCAAGCTGTACGAGATGCGTGACTATCAGAACCAGGGCAAGTGGCCGGGCCACTTAGGCGGGTTTCAGCCCGACCGACCCAGGGGATCCTTCACGTCGCTCAAGGGCGCCAACATCCTCATCTGGGGCATGGGCAACATCGGTCGGAAGATCGCGCCGCACTTGATTGCGCTGGGCGCCAACGTGAGGGGCGTCGGGCTCTTTGACGAAATCATCGACGGCATCCAGGTACAGACCAACGACGCCCTGCCCAAGGTGTTACCCCAAACAGACGCTGTGATCATGATCCTGCCGGGCTCCAAGGCAACCTTCCATGCTCTCAATGGCGAACGCATGAAGTTGCTGCCGAATCACGCCTGGGTCATCAATGTCGGACGAGGAACGTGCGTGGATGAAGATGCACTCGCCCAGGCACTGCACGCACGGACACTCGGTGGTGCCGCTTTGGACGTCTTGCACACGGAGCCTCTCCACGCGTCGTCCCCTCTGTGGAAAGCGCCAAATCTGATCCTTTCACCGCATGCGGCGGGAGGGAAGCCTCGGTACTCCGAGGCTCTTGTCGCGGAGAACCTGCGACGCTTCCTCGCCGGACAACCCCTCAAGCATGACGTCTCGGCAGGAGGCATGTATGCTGCGGCACCACCTGAAAATAAGCCTGCGCTCAAGGCCTCGTTGTGAAGCGAGTGTCGGGCCTGCCTGGGGAGGCTCACCGAGGAGTGAAACGACTTTGAGAGGACTCGCGTGAGCCGCCATGATTGGCTACATCATGCCGAAAGACGACATCCTCTTCGGACAACCACCGGGGGTTACACAGACAAGTGTCAATACTGTAAGCACCGACGCTGTCATGCAGACCACGGGAGTAGTCTTGTGAGATTTCCACCAACCCGCACTGCACACTGTACGTAATGTACATTGCAGAAGTCAAGATCGTAAACAAGATATTCGCTCCTTCATACTGAGATGTGTATTCGGTTGCGTTCTGTTCCCTGGCCGCGATCGCGGTCAAGATTCGTGTCTATATTAGCTCCCTTGATGGGCTGTATCTTAGACAGTCAAGTGTTGAGGGCTCACAAGGGCTCTACAGGAGCGTGCATCTGCCAAGCAAATCCATGGACGGCCTAAGTCTAGGTCCCGAATGCGTCTGGCCGAGTGAAAGATGTGCCTTGATGGATGCATCCGACGTGAAGTTAAAAAAGTGAACGGTATTCCTAGATCGAAACAGCATCAAGGACGACGCCTTGCACATGCCTCCTGGCAATGACATAAAGGCGGGCCTTCTCCCCACTGACCTGTATAGCACTGTCTCAAAGACTCTACCATGAGAAAATGTTGGTACAGGTCCACTAAGCCTGAGCCGTGGCATTAAAGAATATAAATAACATAGAAGTATACCTGCGTTGTTTTAGTCGAGGTAACACATTCTCCTTCATAGGAGCCTTGGGGCGGGACGGACCTGGTCCTGTTTATCCCAGTTCGCCTCTTGCTCCTTGTATAGACCAGACGTCTTCAGCAGTCAGATCGCCATGGAGTTGTGCAAATACAGGTGCGCTGACCTACGCGAGTGTTCACGCAGTGCCATCCACGTCAAGGAGGGACAAGGTCTCCAGGTCTTGGCCGATAACGGTCGAACGTGCAACGATTTCGTCTCTGAGGCGAGCTCGGATGAGGGGCAGCGTCTTTTCCCACGCTGGAGGTAAGAGTGACTTGCAGCGAGGACTCTGCAGTAAGACCTTCGCAAGGATCGCGAGCGCGAAGAAACTGTTCATGCAAAATGTCAGCATTCGAACATGCTGCGCAGGAAGGGGCAAAGACGCAACGAAAAGACAAGATTATGAGCGAAAAGGAGCTGAGCACAACGCACCTTCTTGATGGGACGATGAGCAGTGGCACCAGTCGGAGGTTGTCACACAGCACGCCACTGCACAACAGAGCCTGCAGCGCGGTTTCCAAACCCATCGCCGCCCCTGTTGATTCTTCCTGTGGGAAACCCTCGAGGGCGCCATGGTGCAGAATCCGGAAAAGAAAGGGCCTGAAGAGGATGGCCTTAGCCTTGAAGTACCCGTTTTGCAAGGTTCCGATCATCTGCTCACGGATGCTGCGATGACGTCTCCAGCTCATGGCTTGGGCCCCCGGGTCGAACTCGAACTCGGCACGGAATGACTGTGGGAGTTGGAGGCGCCAGGATGACAGCTCATGGTCGAGGCTACGAATCATCGACAGTGCCGGCGCGGCAAAGGGAGCCGGTGACATGCCGGAGACGGTGTCGTCGAACCCGACGGTGTCACCCACATAATAGCGAACTCTGTTGACTACGCGCCACAGAGGAATTTCAGCCAGGAAGATACCCCAGTATTGCTTCTGAGTGTCGTCCAGTGGCCTGCCACCTCCTGCAGGCGGGGCTGGGATGATGCTTTCGAATTCTGCGATGCCTGTAGGTGTGAAGTCGAATTCCGAGAGAAGCTGACTTTCTTGCAGATAGATGACCCAGTACAGTTGGGTTTGCGTGCGTTTCGAGCTCTCGTCCAGCCGCAGCAGCATCATCGCAGTCATGGCGGCTTGTGAAACGGCCAGCCATTGGTCGTACACGCGAAGTTTCATCGAATGGTAGAAGGCAATCAGGAGCCAACAGCGGACGCTGGACCAACTGATGTCCCGGGCTTCGACAAACATTGATGTCGCAATGTTGAAGAACACATCACCAATCTCGTCCAGCGGGTTCAAGCCCGATGGTACAGCCCCGGGGATATCCCAATAGTTAAAGCCGTCTTCGAACGCCGAGATGGAGCCGAGGGCCAGCACGAGCAATAGAATACAGGTGTCGACAGTTCGCTCGAACTTCTTCTCCGCCGCTTGAAGCGCGTCCCCCATGTCAGATCCCTGCCAGTCCAAAATCATGTTGCGAGGATGGAAGTTTTGCATGTAGGACACCGCCAGCTGGTGCATGGTGGAGGGTTCCACATCGAGCAGGCATGACACATCTGGTGCCATGACCAAAGCCCTCGGAGACACCGGCGCATATGTTTTGCGCGATCGTGTTGCGGCCATGGCCAGCAAACTCTCCACGCTGAGCGAGGAACCACCACCTCGCCACAGCAGCCCCATGCGGCCATTGCTGAGTCCGGGGTGCGGCTGCAGAGCTATCCTGTCTGCCAGGTGATTCAGCATCGCTTCAAGACGGTGAAGTCGCTCAGGTATGTTTTCTCCTCGATCATGCGCTGCGACAGATCCATTGGGGAGATGACCGTGGTCGCAGCAACCAACCACTGGCTTTTCGTCCTCGTCCTCCGGGTTGCGTTCGCCAACGGGCGACGCAGAGCTCCTTTGCGTCAGGTCTTTTGGTTGGTCGGTGAAATAGATGGGAGGGAGATTCAATGTGACCAGACCATTGAGGGACTCTGTCGCACCCAGTGACTGACCTCCAGAGGATGTGGGTGCTTGGCTTTCAGCGGAATTCATGACTGCTTAATGTTATATGCAGGAACGAGCCACTGTCAGGTTGGGTAGAAGGAGGTTGTAGAGGCAGAGCTTCCTGGGGAGCGACGACAGATGAGCAAGAGGTGAAATGCTGTTGTATCCCTTGGGTGGTTAGTGACTGCTAAGAACAGACTGGCCTACCTGGTGTTGGCAGGGTCATCCATCCACACCAAACTGCCCGCAATTCACAGCACCGTAAACGATCCGATGTTTGGTGGTGGTGGTTGCCATTGCATCCCTCGAGGGCCCTGACTGGCTGCACAGCTCCAGGGGAAGTGTTGGAGGGCTCCACCAATGCAGACACGATCACAGTGGCGCTTCCAAATCAGTGCTAGCCATCGCCATGCATCCATTTGCTGCAAGAGAGCGAATATTAGCGAGTGTCGCTATCCTCGCTGTGGAGTTAGAGTTCATTGTTCGGTTACCGCGGCGGCCCGAAAGCCTGGGGGGGAGCCAATTCGGGGACATCTAGGCGGCTAGGAGGACAATAGCCTGAAGTGGCTGCTGCACAGTACGAGTACATGAGCGAACAGGGCGCCACGGGCTCAGAGAGAGTTCACGGAAAGTCTCACACAAGTGATGTGAAAGCGAGCACTGACCAGCGACCCCTCTCCCATCGCCGTCCGTTGGTAACTAGGAGAGACGGAAGTTGGCGAGAAATGACGACATGGGATTGAACATTGGCTCACTGCTCACTCATCATCTGCTCACCACCAGCTCACTATCTGCCTATAACCTACCTATCCACTCACGTCTGCTTTTGCGCGATCAAGGGCATTTCGCTCCCTCTAATCCTCATGCTACACAACCTCACCCCAGCAATAATCCGATCTTTCGGCGGACGCAGACTGCATGCATGGAGCCACGGACATTCAATACGAACGCCATCACTGAAATGGGCTCGTACCTGTCGATGAATCCTTTGCCCTGCACACGGTGCTCGTATAGGTGTCCACGTTGACATCGTGCTCGCTCGGTCAGTGTATCCCTGCGTCCAAGCTGATCAGGATTCATACGAGACAACACGTACGTAAAAGCCCCTCTCCACGGCACAAAGCTCCGAACGAGGCGCCATGGCCTGTCACCTCTAACTTGCATGCAAATACGGAGTACTCGTATCAACTTTGACTTGCGCCAACCTGCGCTAAAGCCTCGAGGCTGCCACGGCCCAGCCTCATCCGTTCCCCGTCACCCCGCACCTGCATCTCTGCCAGTCCGAGGGCCAAACGCACACTTTGGTCGTCACCACTTAAGCCTCACCTCTCTTTACACTTTATCTCACCCCTGCCCTGTACTGGATTCCCTGTACAAATACCCATACTCGGAGCCAGAACCCTAAAAGATGTCGATGGTCACTGCATGGTGCCTCCTGAACAAGGTTCTCCAGGGAGGAGCTTGGGTGAACATCCACCAACAGATGTCAACCAGCGACCAACAACTTGACTTGTCACAGTCGTGGAGCCTGCCACCGCGCAGGATACAGACAGTGTGCGGTTCCGAGCAGGACGGTCGTGCGGTTCAGCATGGACGTTTCCTGCATCCCCAGTCCTGCTCGAGGCGAGACAGAAACACAGCCGCCTAAACCTCTCGTTGGCCCTCCGGTGCGCATACTGGAGCGCACCCCCAGCCCAAAGCGGAGGTGCCAGGTTCCTGGTGCACTGCTAGGCACCCGAAGGCGTGGAGCTGATCTATTCAATCGAATACTCCGAACGACCATGTACAAGGACCGCCAGACTAGCTGCAGACATCCGTGTCGTGCATTGTCCACTTCGGCTGATCATCCCCGGAGTTACCCAATTCTTGCAGAGTCTCTGATTTACACCCAAGCGGGCTGAATCAACCCGGCAAGTTCCTGACATTTGGTTGTTGCGGAAGAGGTCAAGTGAGGCTACAACACTGCAAGGTTGTGTTTTGCCACTAGAATGAGCATATGCGTGCTCGGGAAAACGCCAGACGCCGAGGACCGTGGCAGGGTCTTTAGCCAACAAACAACCAAACACGCTTTTCCTCCCTCTGCCCGACGCCGCGCGTTACAATAGGTCTAGCATACAGATTCATCGTAATACTCTTTGATGGAGTAAATCCAAGCGCCTGCGGTAATAGACCGAAGCGATATAACACGCACCTCGGATGACTTCCGTCGCCCTTGTCTCGAACCACATGGCACACAGATGCTTGGCCCTTTCGAGTCCCCAGCACTCGACATCCTCCTTGCGAGGCTCGAACCCATCATATGCTAGATCCAGATGGAAGCGCCGCCGTGCCTCGTACAGCCTGCGGCATAACACCGGGACGTATGTTTTCAGGACAAGCACTTCCCACGACCCGTCGTTTAGCTGACGCACTTCGGGCACCTCGGCTCTCTCGACGTGCTCGAGGACCCCCAGCCTCGATGGTGCGTGGTCCGAGAGAGAGAGCTTCACCAGCATATAGGCATCGCAAATGGTGTCATTTAAGGTGTGGCTGGCACAATTAGAAATGCATGGCTTTGTGAGGGCCTGGACCTACCGCAGCGCAGGAGATAATTGACCTTGGTCGGTTAACCACACCGGAGTCAGCACGTCTCCCTTGAGGATATCGACCAGGTAGGTCTCAGCATCGATGGTGACTTTGACGGCTCTGGGATGCTTGTCGTCGTCGATCGCTGATTCGCACACATCACCATCAAGCGGCGTCGTGCTGAGAATCGGCACCTTCTCGTCGTCGTTGCAGCCTTCGGAGGACGCTTCGGCTCGAGACTCCCCCTGATATTCGCCTTCGGTAGGCCAACCGAAGGTCATTTGGCCCGTATCAGAACCGTATGTATATGTGAACTCCACCTGATCAGGACAAGGTGAGGGAGGAGGTGCGGGGGGAAATTGGTCGTCTTGCCACAGAAGCATGTGGTCCATTGCGCCGTTGTGCTGAGATGGTTGCAGAGGTGTGCTCAAGAATTTGCGCAGTGTGACTCGAGGTCATTTGGACCATTAGTACTTCCTGGAGAGCCACATCATCGACCGCAGCGAAGGACATGATGCACGGTCCCAACCCCGACATGATGGGAGGCGTCAAGCCATCGAAAGTCGAAGGCAGATGACGCTTAGCTGCAATTGGCAAAGGCCCCGGTCAATCAATGATCGACCCACTCTCCGCATGTGAGCCGAAGAAGATACCCCGGTCCTTTGCGAAACTTCGGTTCGGTTCGGTCGCCCTTCCGCCAGTAGTCTCCATCCCGCATCAGCGCTAACACAGATCAGCGACTCATACCTCCAATGTCCCCTGCATCTCGCGAGCGTATGTTATTCGACTCTGCCGTGTCGACGTCCCGGGCGCCAGATCGGCGATAGCCACTGTAGCTCGTGGATGAAGAACGTGGGCTATGTCTTGCAGGTTGTCCTTCATCCTGCATACGGCATTTTTCTCCGGCCGGCGATTCCACCTCCTCGCGGTTCACTGTTCCAGACGTTCATCTTGACCAGAAGGAAGTCGGGATCGGGTTGCACGGTTCTGGCATTGTCCTTCATTCGACGATCCCGCGAACATGTCCGAATCATCAGGAGAAAGTTTGGTGAATCTTCATCCTGTCACGGCACGGAGGTGGGGGCATCTTCTCATGCCGTCTGCACTGCTCCTTCTGATCATTCTGAGTCCGCCAAAGCCACAGCACCGTCAAGTGTACCCCGGACGCGCGGGACTCAAGCTTACATTGAGGCGGCATCGTCACCCTGAATTTAAATTTCGAGCCTCATTCGTGCTGGTAACGAATGTCAGAATCTTGTTGCGGGGATGGAGCCGTCAGAGCTCCTAGAAGGTACGGCGGCGTTGGTTCTCTCTGGAGTATGGAGTATGAGTAGACCAGCGTGTCAGGATTTCTGGTCTATTGCCCAGCCCCGCGCCAAGCTCGCCATTCCCACATTACAGAACCGAGTTATCGATCTCCAGCATCGCGATCTCCCTCTGTCCACATTAGCTTCAGTGTCCTTTGTGCTCCTGAATCAAGGTTGGTGGACTGGGTCCAAGAGTCCGCTCCAACCTTAATTCTGGCCACCCCAATAGCGCCGTTTGCACTTGAGCCGGGGTAGCTGCATCAGCGCCATGTCTACGAATAACTCGACGGCCTTGAGATCGTTGAAATCGGTCGGTTGAGGCGGTTCGGACGATACTGCTGCTTGTATCTATACGACAGTTGCACTACTGACTATTGTGGTGTGAAATGATTTAGCCTGGATTCTAGCTGCCGGTCCCTAAAAAAAGCCTGGCTTCAAATGCCTTACACAGTGCTCGAGGACACACGAGGGATACGACTGTGCGGTGCTGTACATAACACGTGTAGCCCTGCGCGCCATGCGAGACTTGCACGATCTGACTGCAGGAAAGATGTCTCCTGAATAATATCTTCGTGGCTCAAGCCAGGATCTGAGACAGGCAGTCGATGCCTCAGATGTGGGTCATCCAGAAGCCACGACTACAGCTGTCATTTTACGGTCATCATTCCCCCGGATCCGGTGGAATGCAGGCTTCTGGGGGTGGTGGGACGGTTGACAGCTGTCATTTGACGCCCCTTCCCAGCCCACTTCCGAAGATGCTTCCGAAAGGGAAAAGAAAACAAAGGCCAGCAGAAGCAATGGTGCAGCGGACTCCACCCCCTTGCCATTTTTTCGCGGAAGGGGAAGCTTCGTCTGTCTTGTTGCTCCCCTCCTTAACAGCAGGCTCAGTTGTCCTTGGCCTGGCTCTTCCGCAATGCGCGCGGCTGCGAGGCAAGGGGGCGGACGAATTGGGCGAGTCTCAGTTAGCTATTTGACTGCATTCTTTCAGGAGCGAGCTGGACATCGAGCTTCACCCCTGCGGCGCCTTTCACCCTGAAAGTCGACTTGGACGGCCCTTGCGCTGCAGCCAGCCTATGCACGCCATCGCCTTTCGAGACAACCATACCGACATGGATCCCCAGAATCGACGTTCGCCGAGTCAAGAAGCGTCCTCAGGCAGGCCTTGATGAAGACTGGGCACATAGAGCGACGAAGGCCACGCCAGACGAAAGAGATTAGAACACTTGCGACAGACGACCAGAGGATTGGAAGATGGTTTCAAAAGGGCGCAAAGCATATGCAAGCAGCGGACACTTGCTGCCACACGCCGGTTTCAATCCCAGCGTGGTCTCGGCACCATCACCATATTCCAACCTCCATGTCGAATACACCGGACGCGTCGTCGAAGTCATGAAGAGATACCCACATCTGATCAGAAAATCGAACGGCGACACGTTATCGGAGAAGTGCTTCACGGGCGCGCCCTGGTCGGCGTTGCGCATTCTCCGCATCATCGGCATGGACAGCGACGACGACGAGGAAATCTGTATCGCGGCGGAAGCATCGAAGCAAGTCGTGGCCATCATCCGGGCGTCACTCTCAAACACCGACCGGTCGTGGAGACTATGTCGTCGCCTCTGTCCGTGTCGGAGGAACTTCTCCCTGGGATGGATTGCCCTGCAGCTAGGACAGGCGTTTTGGGTGCCTCTCACTGGTGGGCAGTATGCGCGCAGAGGTTCGCTCGAGCTCGCACGTCTGCGGACGTTCTTCCCGTCGACAGAGAGGGCCCACGTACTTTACCTCGAGTTTGAAGCCACGTCCAAGAGAGCGGAACAGAAGGAGCCGGGCGGCCAAATCCCCAAGATCGTGGTGGAGTTATATCGTGTGTTGCTCTCCATTGAGGACGAGATCAGGGCCAAAGGAATTGCCATTGCCCTGAATGAGGATGAAAATTGATCATCGTCGTGGGGGTGAATGGTGTCCTGGTCGCCGAATAATGTCTTCGGGGGGTTCATTGCAGCTGCTGAGCACTGAGAATCACCTTGGGAGGCCACTTGCGGCCAGAGTGACATTAAGCCGGAAACCGGCTGGATTTGTCCCTTCCAACCTCAACACGCTTGACCGATCCACGAGACGATCATTTGGGGGCTCGCACGGGGATCTCACGCGCAACGAAAGGAGGCTGCAGACACGTCGAGACGATAGGTATCAGCTGTTTGAGTTCCGCAGATGCAACGACCACATCGACATTCACTTCCAGCTCTTCTTGACTCTTCACTGGGTCAGCCGCTTGACACTCTGGATTTGCGTAGCTCTTGACACTCGGAATCACATTCGCACAATCGTATACCTCCTCACGTAGTCTTATGACCTTCGACTTGACGTTCGGCAAGATTCGGTGGCTGCTTAAGAAAACCGGATGGAAGGTATGGTGTGACCGTATGGAGTACACTGTGTACAACTGGTCCACGGACGACGTAATTGGGGACGACAGGGGAAGGCATAGAGTTTTGTACAGGAAGCAGGCATTTCGACCCTACCTGGGTAATTCCATGACCGGTCGCGTAATTACCCACCTCATGCGAGACGGCGTGACCACCCTCTGAACTACCACCTGCTACCAGCTAGCCCACACTTTGTGTTATGTGGTTCAGCATGGAATTGGATCAGGTCGATACGGCCGATTATGTGCAGCGATGATTCGAGGTCGACTGCCCACGTCCCATATTCTTGAGCACGGGAATATCTCACAGATGAATACACGACGCACACTGTGAGATTCACGCCAAGCATTCACGCCTGCACTACTCGAGGATCTTCGTATGCGGAGTCCCCGTCCGTAGCGCGGGGTGGCGAGAATTCCCCGGACGTACCCCGCGTGAATAGTGCGAGCTAGACAGGAGGCTCACGTCGATGTCCAGATTAGGTATATTGCTTGTCGCCGGGCCTCCTGTGGTATGGTGTGGCCCGGGTGACAACGATGGTCGCGTTGTCGAAGGATTTATGATCCTCTTGCCTGGCACCAGCTGATCGACCTACGGCTGAACATGCTGAAGATAGGAGTGTCTCGACATTTCCCCGTGCCAGCTTGGTATAACGGTAGCTCAGGGGAAAACTTCCCCGTTTGTCGTGTCGGAACCAGCGAACGCACAGCATTTCCTCCTCTGTAGAGGACTCCTCAGCTCAGTGGATACCTGTGCTGACATACCGTAATCTGCCAGGTTGTCGAACCCTGGCAGCTCACGCAGGAAATGCTTCCCATTTGACACGGTTTTCGTTGCTCCTCGATTGTTCCGAGTCAATCCGACTTCGGATTTCGAGTTCTCGTCTCGTTTGCCCCGGAGAGATTTACATGGGAGATTGTACAAATGATCTCCAGCATAGGTCGTCTCAGGCGGTAGAACCTTTAACCCCGGGGTCGGACCGTGCGCTGATCAGGCCAAGAACGTGATTGGTATTGAAGGCACTCCTGAGAATTCTGGACGGCGTATTCTCCCGAACGATGCCATAGCTGCAAGCCTGCGGCGTACGGAACGCGTGTCTGGAGGGCGCTGATGCCAGCCTGATACAGCAGGATCGAATGGGCAAGAAGAGATTTCTCAATGGGGAGTCACCGCCCGCAATGGCTTTGGCCATATCTTCTCGGAGTGCCTGTCGCGGCGCTAAAGTCTGCGTGATATAGTCCTGACGTCCTCGCCGTCGAGTTTGTTTCGAGGACAGTTTTTTGTAGACAGCCAGCAACATGTCTTCCCAAGTTCGAACCAGCCCAATCCTCCTTGCCCCAGGTCCGACTGAGGTCGACCCAACTGTTCTCACAGCCATGTCCTCGTGGGCAGAGTCGCATTTTGCTCAGCCCTTCTGCAACACATTTGGCGATGTCTTGACGATGACCCGCAAGCTCTTCCAGAGTAAAGATCCCAAGGCCCAACCCTTCGTCCTTGGAGGCAGCGGTACTCTTGGCTGGGACTTTGTGGCCACCAACTTCATCGAGCCTGGAGAGCCGGTCTTGTGTCTCAGTACTGGATACTTCTCCGATGCCTTCGAGCAGTGTCTCTCCACATATGGAGCCCGTACGAAGAAGATGACTGTCCCGATCGGCGAAGCACCTGACACTGGAGACGTTGAGAAAGAGCTGCGGAAGACCCGGTACAAAGCACTGGTCGTGGTCCATGTCGACACCTCGACGGCTGTTCTCATGCCGCTGAAACCCCTTTCGGATCTGCTCAGACGAGTATCGCCCGAAACACTGCTGATCGTCGATGGTGTTGCCAGCGTCGGCGCCGAAGATCTGCAGTTCGACAAATGGAATATCGACATCGTGGCCACCGGTTCACAAAAGGCCATTGGCTGCCCCCCTGGCCTTGCCATCATCATGGCCTCCGCCCGTGCCATTGAGGTGGCCATCACGAGGAAAGCACCGCCGACTTCGTGGTACGCCAGTCTCCCAAGGTGGTTGCCCATCATGCAGAACTATGAGAAGAAACAGTCCAGCTATTTCGCAACCCCGCCCACCCAGCTTGTGCACGCCATGCACGCCACCCTGACGTCGATCCTCTCCCGTCCGCTTTCGGAGAGATTTGAGCAACACAGGCGGAAAAGCGCCCAAGTCAAGGCTGTGGTGTCGGAGCTCGGCTTAACGCAGCTGGCCAGACAGCCACAGTACCAAGCCAATGGCCTCACGGCGTTTTGGCTCCCCAAGGGGTTGTCATCGAAGGAGCTATTGTCCAGGGTCACGGAGAAGGGCTTCACCATTGTGGGCGGTATGCACAAAGAAGTCGGCCACCGTTATGTGAGAGTTGGGCACATGGGCTATAGTGTCGTGGGTGAGCCAGAGAGTCACATTGACCTCGGCTGCCAGGCTCTGAGAGAAGCAGTCCTGGAATACTATGCCAGCAAAAGTCATCGCTCTGTACCGCGACAGAGTGCTGACTTCACTGAGCCAGCACGCGCAAACTTGTGACAGGCTTCTGGTTGTCCGACAGACGCAGATGACATGGCAGTGCCAGCTGACACATACGGGTATGGACAGGGTTTTGGCAACGTGTGTTTCACATTCTCATGGAGTCGAGCAAAGTGAATGCGAAAGAGGGAAGAAGGCGCGTCCAGCTGTGATGGGCTACTAGTCGAGGCGCGCGGCGGGGTGGCTCGCTACGTACCTCGGCTGATGCACGACACAGCAGGCACAGCAGGTGGTGTGGCGCTATACCCCGCAGTCACTTGCCAGCACTGGGTACCTACTGTGGACAGTAGGTGGACAGTGCGCGCCGTACTGGGTAGAAGTATCGGGTGCAACCTAAGTTATCCTCGTACCATGTCAATTGCTCGACCATCGCTGCATACTAGTATGTACTTCGTGATCTTCTGAGCTTCGTGACGTGTATAATACTTCGTGACCGTCGCAAACAGGGGTATATATTCTCTCCTTCTCACCAGCACCTTCTCGTCATGTGGCTTGTCCACAATCTGACCAGTCAGTGGTGCTTGTCCCATGAAGCGACATAAAGGCTTCAGGTTGTCGCTGAAAGCAGGGGAAGATACAGGGCAAAGTGAATTTGAAACTGCGATGTAAACTTAGAACCTCTGGTCGAGTCTTCTCGCACTGGCTGAAAGGGAAGGTACAAGCTTTGCGGAAACTGCTGAATTGGATGGTTTTCGTGCAGCCATCATGTACACCTGTAATGCTCTTTGAGAACAGAGAGCGACGGGTGACGAAGGTCGAGAGGCTACCGTGATCTGCAGGCGAGGATGTGTGCGTTTCAATTCAGGGCTTAATTCTCGCATAAGATTGCTTAATTAATTCTGTCCCCATCACAAAAGTACCCGTGCCCCTCCAGGTGGCTCGCACTTGCCCTGCACACGAGCGCCACGCGTCCGTTCCTGAGCTCGAGTCCTGAGCGGGGGGAAGCCACTGGAACGTGAGGACATGTGAGGAAGGTGTCAGGACACCAAGCACCGGAAGAGACTTCCTCTCTCTAGTGCAGATCATGTGCATGACCTCAGAGTACTACTGTGCAACGTCCTTCAGAAAATCCATGACTGTTCCTTCACTTTTCAAACACAGTACTCTCACGCACATGTGTACCGTTCCCTGGCAATGCATAGCATGGCCAAAGGGTACACCAGTGGCCGCTGGCGACCGGTGCGTGCTCCAGCGTCCTCGCACTGCTTTACATTTTACTAACCACGTCTAGGGACTTGCGGTCGAGCTGTCGGAAAGAATGCAGAGGCATGAGCATCCACGATGCCATCGCCGAAACAGGGGAAATGCCCATCCCACTGGCCTCCAGAATGAATACCAAAATCCAATAGCCTGGACCGAGAGGTTTGTCACGCACTCTCGTTCTCGCCTCCAGAAGCTGATCTCCATCGTTCTCAGGTTGCTTCCCTGCCGCCTTGTGGTCCAAAGAGAAAAGATTCAAACGAGCATGACGGCGACTTCAAGTTTCCAGACCCGTTGCTGGGTCACATCAGCCGAACGGAATAACGGCAACCGATTACTGGCCCAGAGACGCAAGGTGGACTGGGGAAGAAACCGATGAAGATGAACTCAGCAAGAGAAGTCTCACGGCCCACCTCAATGAATGAAACTGGCTGGACGCCTGCTGGATGCCAGACACTGAGCATCGCTGAGCAAGAAAGAACTTTGAAGTCCTCCGCTTCTCCATGAAGGAATTCTGAAACCAACCGATTCAGCGACTTCGGCAACCCCTTTAACGACTCCAGGCGAGCAACAGGAACAAGAGTAGGGGAGGCCATATCAAGAGCCCGGATATGAGTCTATACTCGAGAACGGTGGGTGTCTTCCCTTCGGAGTACCAGGACGTGGTGACAGCAAAGTGCTAGTAAGTCAGTACATACCAACTACTTCTTGAAACTGAAGAGATTCCTGATGGTTGGCTGAGGACTCACTTTTCCATGACAACCTGTTCAAACCTACCTGCGAGGCAGACCCGACCAGAGACAAATCAAAGCTCCCGCAGGATATTCACGGCTTTCTTCCTCTGATCTCACTCTTGGCCGTCCTCCGCTCGAAAGCATCTGCTCCGTTGTCAACCAGCTGCCAGACGACTTGAGCTTTGAGTTCTCGCAGTCTGAATTGGAGTATCAAAGATCTTTTCTGTCGTCGTCGACTGCCGCCGCTGCGTCGCTCAGCGGAAGAAGGTGATCAAGCAACATCAGATACGTAAAGTACCTCTCTGTGTCTGGAGTCTCCTGGGCTGTTTACACAAGTTCACGAGGGGCCTGCCAACGGCCATCGACATCATGCTCAAAGGCACTCGTGTGGTCCTGCCTGTGTGAGGGTGAGCGTCCCACTTCTGTCGCAAACGCTGGACAGGTTTGCGGATTCAGAGCTGTCAGTGCTGGCTTCGCACTTCCCCCCAGCTGGTGAGCAGTGAGCGAGTGATCCACCTCACAATACTGCTCCCTTTTATCTACAGGACTCCATCCCTTCAGCCATGGAAAGATATCGACGGAAGCACGGACCAGGACACGTCGCATTACCAGAATAAGCCAGGTAAAATCGTACATTGAGGCGACTGTGATATTTATATCAAAATCACATTACTCGGCGCCCCTCATACAACACGTGTGGTGCGCTCAACGCTTTCCAACCATTCGAAACTGGACCACATGGCAGCATCGTTGATGGCTTTTCCAAAAAGCCTTGTGCACGATCCCAAGGGACTGGGCGCATCATTCTATGCACTCTCACCGTGCACGACAGAGTCGGAGGCTGTGATCCTCTGTCATCAAAGAGGCAGACAATGTCGATGAACGAAGCATACCCTACTGTCCTCGTCACCACAGCATCGCTTATGGCACCTCAGGTCTTGCCCCTCGTCTATGCACTTCGATATGTCTGCCCTCACCTCTTCTTCATCCTGCACCCTTGATCCCAGTATCACCTAGACATCTACGTTACATCGGAATCAACGATGCCTTTCGTTGACATCAATCGTCACAGGCTTTAAGTCTACAATGACCGTCGTACGAGCTAACAAATGTTGTGTGGGTTGCCAACGAATGGGACTGCTGTCATTCCAATCGGTCGATTGAATCATCCTCCGCGCAGCCCTTCCAAACCGATGCTGCTCCAACTCAACACTGGGTCCGTTCAGACTCGGTCGCTGTGCAACTCATGCATCTTCTACTTGGTCCACATCATTGCGGCGGCACAAGTCCAAGCCGATGCTCACGTCGATGCGTCGATTGCGCTGCAGAGTTCCCGAGCAAGGTCCTCGAGGCGGTCAACTGCAGCCGCTCGCTGCATATATGCGGTGAACAACTGCCTCCTCTATCTCCGAGGGCTTGACGTCGACGAGCAAATCGGCTACATGGAAACAATGGGATCGATGATGGAGCTCGGATGATGCTACCCTTTAGTTGAAGTGGTGTCTCAACTGTACTCGGCAAGGTGTTGATGACCCGTACATAGTGAGCCGGGCCATGAATTTCGCCGCCGTCGCACTGTTCATGCACATTGAAAGACGGAACGGCGTTCTTACATTGTTGACCACGACGCAGGAAGACGTACTTGGTCTAAAGTACACGGTTATATTGCTCTGCACTACAAGGAGGGTGGAGACCTTTTGCCATTATAGTTACAGGCCTAGTCTCGATCACGGTATCACCAATCGCATCCTAGAAGCAGCTCGTATATACAGTAGTACCAACCCCAGTTAAGTAATTGGTACTGGCTGGGTTCGACTACGGAAGAGATGTTGAGAGGGTATATACTACTATTCGAAAGTTCCCGTAAACGCAGTGTAAATTACTCTTGACCTGTATTATTATAGGTTAGCAGGGTACATAGTACTATTTCCTTAATGTAGTATTAAATTCGCCTAACTAAGTTAGCCTACGCTCATTAAGAGATACCCATCAAGTATTTTAAACGCGTCATTACAATACAGCCCTTTATTAGTTGGATAATCTAGGTTTATATATATCTAGATTCTACCACGATTCAGACTTGCACCAGATTAAGATTGCACTTTAAATGGATCTAGGGCCTAATCTTTCTCTATATATACTAGTATATATACTTGATTTGATTTGAAACTAAGGTCTATTGTGAAGTATTGATGAGATTTTAAATCTAATCCTAAACTACTCCTAAATTTATGCTCACCTGATCCTGACCTGATTCTCATGTATATCTGACTTGATCGGGATTTGATCTTGACTTAATTTACAATAAGTGGGCTCGCTGAAGTGTTAATTAAGGCTCAGTCCCCCTTCACATCTAAATTCTGTTCTTGAAAACAACATCATGTTAGAATTCAAGCGCTGTCTCGCTCGAATGCTGAGTTGCTCTTGTACTATCTATGTAGTTTCTAAAATCTGCAATCGCGCGAAAAGCCAGTGCTTGCACCCCCAATGGCTCAAACACTCTTTGGCAGAATCACGATCGGTCGACTTCCGTCGAAAGGTCACGTTAGTACTGTGGTCGCTGATTTTGATTTTCGTTCGTAGGATCAGACTCAACGTCCAAGCCATTGCATCATGTGTATGTATGTACTTAGTACTTAGTACATGCTGTACAACGTAGGCCGTGTTTGTCGGAGACACACTGTAGGAAACCCACCTTGGACTTCAACTGGGACGGTGAACTTTTGAAGCCAGTAGGTGGCCTTCAACTGGATGTCAACTTTAGTAAAGCGTAACGGAGAAACCCGCCTGGCTTGATGAGAACTTCGGAACCAGTTACTAGTCTCGTAATACTACTTACAGTAGTCACGGTTTCTGCTGATAGTGAAAACGTGCACTTGTCTGAAGTGAGCCCGAAATGTTCGTGAGTACGACTTTTCCTGATTCGTCATCTGAATCCACCATGGTCGCAAAGCTGATAGATACCTGGATGGGATCTTTATTGTACATATTGTAAGAGCACGTACATCGTAAAGCTGCATCTACAGTCAGATGTCATCGAGAAAGGATGGCAGGACATCGATTTGGCGTTTCGAGATGTCGAGGAAGTCAAGACGACTCACCTGGTAGAGCACTGCGTTCGCTTCAGCGGATACGTAGTACTGTATCTGTCGGTCGGTGTATGCGGTGCAGCCCAGTGCAAAGGTTGGTTGGTCGCAAAACATCCTACCGGACCGGTCTGCCTGGGTGTTGACATACTTAGTACAGATCAGACGCAGTACGGCGAGCACCTTGTCGTGAATCTAGTGCGAGGTCTGCATGTATTTGGGAACTTGAAACCGAGCAAATGATTCGAGGCTGAATTACCTGACTGGGAACAGGTCGAGATCTTGGGATCTTTGTCTTGGGTGTCATGACACTGGCGGCCTGGGTAGTGGAAAGCGTGCTGCTGTACGAAGAATAATGTGGTATCCGACTCTGATCCTTGTGAAACAACTGAAATGCCAGAGTTGTGTTTGGGCAGAAACACCGAAGCGTGACTGAATTCAGAATATGCCTACAGTACTCCGTCGGTTGGTGATGGTAAAGTGAATGGTTGGTAATTTCGTTATACTGGCCTTGCGTGTGGCGCACTTTCCCTTGGCGAAACTTCCTCTTACGATTGTTCTTGGCAGAACACACTGCAGCAATTGGCCGCAACTCAGATCTGGTAAGTACTTAAGATGCGCAGTGCTCTCTCTGGCAGAACTCACTTGCAAAAGAACTTGGAACCAGGCGCCATATTCCGTACCCACAAGCCATCCTGAACACAAGACTCTCCGTCGGGCGAAGCACGGTAACGACATTCATAGCATAGTAAGTAGTACTAATTGGATCCTCAGGTCTCTGGATTGCTGCCTATCACGAAGCAATCGATAACCTTGGAAGAGGCTTCGGTGTCGCTGTTCTCACGGGCAGCAATACCGCCCAACCGCTTAGAGGACTTGAGGTATTGGACAAAGATGCAACGCAGGAGTCCGCTTTCCTTGTTGGTGTGACATACTTACATACACTCGATGTAAGTGCCATTTCAGAGATTCGGCTAGCACTGGACCTATCCTCCCTCCTTTGCGCACGTTGGATCTACTGTGACTGCGACACCTGTTTTCGGTGTTGTTTGGAGCGTGATAGTATCGGGATTGTTTCGATGAAGCATTGTCCCCGCGGCCATAACTACATCTCTTCACTTGCCTGAGGTCCCTGAATACTAGTACAGATAGATAGCCATAGGCTTTGCAACTACCGACTTGCGGTTTGTGAAGCAGGTCGGAGAATGCTAGAACATAATTTCTACATTGACAAAGTTACACATGAGACTGGGTCCGTCTGACAACATGCTGAGACATCAACAGCATTTGACCCGATGAATACTTTACTCCGTACAATCAGCATTTCGAGAATCCAGAGGCGTTCATCTTAGGCGTCTGCATCAACTACTACTAGTACAGTCTGTCTGGTGAAATTTTCAGCTTCCGTTCAGCTTCTGAAGAACAAGTTGCAGCCGATGAGCTGCCCCCAGACTCCGATTTGTTCGAAGATGCGGACCTGTCCGAGTACGATCCATATTGCAAAAGGGAAGTCTGGGAAGAAAACATGCTACGCTACAGTACGCCACGATCTGAACGAACGAACTTCGGGCAGTTCTTCGTATACGCAACGAGCCTTTCAATCAAGCACTTTGGGGCCCTCCAGGGTGGAAATCTGGAACGCCTGGCAAAGATAGAGCGCCTATGCGAAGCGGGTTCAAATCGACTTGGCAAGTGGATCAACCAAGACTGCCGTCCAGATTGGACTTCAACAGTCGATTGTATGGTCCTCTCAGCACATGCATTTCTTCACCCTACGATTCAAAGGCCATGCTGCGCGATATGCTCTGGGATCTGGAATTTGACGAAAGCACATTTGTTCAAAACACCAGCCATCAATGCTGGACACCAAATTAGTCAGCCGTGAGACTTGTCTAGGCTCAGGGTGCTCTTCCTGAGAGACAAATTCAGCCACAAGCTTCAGAATCCTGGACTTTCAGGCTCATCATAGGACAACGGTCTTGTCTATCATGTACGCGATGACTGGATACGTGCGTCTTGCACTTGTCAAGTACATACAAGACACGGTCCGTTCGGGACCAATATAGCAGCGAACGTCTCTGCATAGCTGCTCGCGCTGGCTCTGTGCCCATGGTGCAGTATTCGCTGGACAGAGTTCAGCACAAGACAGAGATACAAACCGAACTGTTGCCCAATCTTCAATCGATGGCAGAGGTTGTCTCGCAAGACCATGTTGATGTAGTAGATTATTTGCTGGGGCAGGAAGGCTTCGGAGTAAGCCTCAACTCAATACGTCAATGCCGGTAGTAAAAACCTCCTGGAGACCTGGCATCGAAAACCTGCAACCCGGTGATGTTCCGCCTGCTGTTTCCCCATCTCCAAGAGGGGCATGCCTCGAACTGACATGTAAGGAGACACGGCTGTCGTGCGGAATATCAAGAGCCACCACCGAGGCTCGAAGGTCCGATACGAATGGGACAAGAGTTCTGCTACTTTAGCATGCTGATGCTGCCCTGTGGCATAACGGCTTCCCGGGCGAGCTACAAGCGCATTTGCAGGCGGCTGTCAGAGATGTGACAAGGACATGTGTTTGTCTTTTGATTTGTGATGGTGAAGTGAGTCTACACTCAGCGTCGTCGGAGTAAGGCTCGTAGTGAGAAGATTATACTACCACTACACCCGCACGCATGCGTCATGTCACTGACCGTGTAACTGTCGGGGAATGTGCCTGAGCCCTAGACGGCCATCCACAAGGTCATACGAGAGACCATGAGTGTCCTTGGGTAAGTCTAACTTCTCGCCCTGGTCCGAGGTTTGAGGGAGTAATGGAGTCCAGTTGGTTGGTATACTGTGCGAAGAACCGCTTTAGTACCGTCATCCTCAAACGACAATAAATGCTGTCATAGTATTGAGTTGAAATTCACAGCCGCTCGGCTTGCGGTGGTTGTGCTCCAGGAATCTCTTCATGTTAATATCGTGCAGAAGCAGATGAGGGAAGACGGAATATACCGTACAGTAGAGCGGCATGACGCAGATTCCGGCTTGGCGACATGTGACGGTGTCAAACAAGACGGTTTGGAACCGTTAAGAATCCCGACTGCATGAGTTGCAGGATGATCTCTTTCGACGTTCACACGGTCTTTAGTGATATGAGGAGTTGACACTCTCCGGCTTAGCCCTAGTCCTGTACAAGATGATTTCGCATTGATCCCTCTGACATACTTCAACCGCCTTGTCCTTGACTCGGATTTAGGCAGGCAGCCAGACCTCTCCAAGTAGCCAGCATCCTGACATCGGGCGACAGCGATTCCTACCAGAGTTTGCCATCTGGATCGATCCTCGGCACCAGTGGTGGTACCGTCAAGATGTCCATCAAGTATGTAGCACAACGACTGCCATTCTGGACCTCGAGTTGATGATGTCATCTTCAGCTGGGTTATGCTCGATGGCAAAGGCTCGTTTGTACTACTGCCAGCAGAGAGATTCATCCACAAGACCACCCCGAGGGTCGCGCTCGCCATCACCACTCCAACAACATACCCGGGCAACAGTCCCTTGGCTATACACTGCAGCTCGGGAACCGTCTATCTGACTAATCAGCGAGTACGGCATAGTGTCAAGATGCGCCGGCGACCCTCCACTAACATGGCAAATAGATTGTATATCTTCCAGAAAAGCCGGCCACAGAGCTCAAGTCGTTCTCGGCGCCGCTTCTCAACCTTCACGACACACACATGACTGTACCGTGGTTTGGGCCGAACGCGTGGCAGGCCGTTTTGCAGCCAGTACCCGGTGGCAACATCCCAGCGACGCAAGCCGCAATCGAGCTCAAGCTCACATTCAAGGAGGGAGGAGCGCCCGACTTTCACTCGAACCTCGAACGAATCAAGGAGAGACTGCAGCAGGTCGTGTCAACCGCGAGAGAGAACAACCTGTCCGGACAGAGGCAGGATCAGATGCTGGGCAACATGAACCTGGACAACGTCCATCTAGACCAGCTGCCTTCATACCAAGAATCCGGACGCGATCGAGTAGCACCGGCGAATGCTGACGAGACGGGCGGTGCGGTGGTGTCGCCTATGGGGAGAAGTCCAGAACCGAGAAGAGCAGGGTCGCCCGTTCACGCTGCCCAGCCACCAAGCGATGCTCCACCCGGGTATGAAGAGACACAACAACAGAGTATACAGGCCGAGCTAGATCGGAGGTTGTCGCAGACTTAGGACTAGGCGTAACGTTCCTGGTTGTTTACCTGTACGGCAGGGCGTTCCGGTTGAGGATGGCTAGCCAAACAGACAGAGACGCAGCCGCCAGATCGGCTCCGGCGGATACCTGAGTCGCAGCAGTGTCAGTAATGGATGAATTTATAAATTTAATAATCATCGTTACTGCCATAGATCCACCTGATACTCGTCCTGCGCAATAGGGAGGTGAGGCCGACTCGAAGAACGAGTGAGTGGCTTGGCGTTGAGCAGCTCATGGACGGACCAATCACAGACGAGGTAATGTTCCGGCGAGCTTCAAGCTCCATTCCCTGAACATTCGACTTTTTGCATTACCAGTTCAACCCTTTCCCTCTTTGCCAGCACTGAGGTCGACAATTGTGTTCCGCCGCTGCTCTCCCTAATCCCACACATCTTGCACTCACCTACAGCCAGCGACGCCGCCGTGTCCGACTTTTGCAACATGGGGATCACCGATTTCTTCTCCGACCTCCTGAGCTCCGTCTCATTCGTACAAGACGTCCAGGCCGAAGCTCCTGCAGACGACAAGGAGGACTCGGAAGAAGAAGGCGGCGACGACAAGGAGGATAAGAAAGAGGAAGGCGGAGAAGGTGACGACGGGGGAGACGACGGAGAGGGTGGAGGCGATGGAGGCGATGGAGGCGACGGGGACGAAGGTGAAGAGGGAGAAGAGAAAGAAGAAGGAGGAGATGATGACGAGGAAGACGAAGAAGAAGAAGAGGAGGAGGAGGAAGAGCCAGTCGACCCCAAGCCCCGGCTAGAAGAAGGTACGTGACCTACGCAATCTCATCTCTGTGGCAATGAGGAGATCATTCATAGCAAGACTGCAATGCTGCTCTGCGCTGCTACAAGCAATCTCTGCGACACTACATGAGCATGGCTAACCACTGAGCAGAGTGCGCAAAGTCCGCGCAATGCCAGGGCTACAAGCACCACTTCGACGAGTGCGTCGAACGTGTCACTCAGCAGCAGGAGGACCCGGAGTACAAAGGCCCCAAGGAAAACTGCGTCGAAGAATGTATGTCATGTCCTGCGCGCCTGCCTACCAACCTACCTCATCAGACTCTTTTCTGCCTCATGGCACGCGTGGCCAAAATACACCAGCTGTGCCTGTTGACTGCGAGAATGCAAGAGCTAATGTGTCCATTCGTGCTCGCTACAGTTTTCCACCTCCAACATTGTGCAACCCAATGTGCGGCGCCCAAGCTGTTCAAGCAGCTGAAATAGAGGGCCTCTTCGTTGACCATGCCTCCACCCTCCTCCCTGGCTGAACCGGGCCTTCCCCCCCGCGAGCAAGCACGGCAAGCCAAGCAAAGGCCCACGGCCAGAACGCGGACACCTTCACACACGCAGAGAACAACCGCCCTGGACATCTGTGGCGTTGGAAGAAGGCAAGAACTCGGTGGGTAGAGGAGAGGGTTGGCGGAAGTGGATGAGGAGCTGGTGTCGTCGGTTCATGAAGCATCAAGCCGCGGTTCATTACATACAGTCGCGCCTTTGTACAGTCAACCTACACCTCATTGCATCAAGAGAATTTTCATGATCTGGCGGCTCGTACCTTGTATTCTGATCTTCGATCTACCTTCAACACCTTGTGGACTGTCGTTCCAGATCCCCTCGATCACCCTTTCCTTCGAAGGCCTTAGACATTTCCGTTCTGTTGAGACGTTGCAATATCTTCCCTCCCGTCTGCAAGTCAGTTAGGAAGTTCCATTTTGCTCGCTGTTGTGAAAACACGCGTGGGGATCATAGATCGAGAGGGTCGAGCTTTATGGTAGGGATTGGAGCGTGCTGGATCGGGATCATTGAAGTCGTTTCATTGCGCGCCCTCCTACCTGCCTGCCTGTACGCCTGTTGGCTGCCATTGCACACTCTATGGTATGTTCGTGCCGTCACTGGATAACGTACCTCGAGTGTTCTCCTGACGCTGGTGTTCCAGCTCCGTCGCTCTGAGGTCCAGGCACAGCATGTGGTTTAGCCAACTCTCCCGCTGTGGCTGTTCAAAACCTGCTCATCCTCCTCCCTCCCATCAATATACCCCTCAATGACCTCCTCCGTCCTGGCATGCCTATCGGCTTCCCACCTCTTCCTCCTTACATGAGCCTTGCGCCCGAACAGGCCCAAACACAAGGGGAGTGGCATGACCAACATGGCCAGCGCGGCTTGAAAGATCAACGCCCGCTTCATGTTCGTCGGCGGGTCGGCACCGGCGCCAGCCTTCAATGCATCCATGATGACGATGAAGACACCGCCGAGCAATTGTCCACCGCACCAACACAGGCTGCTGCCCAGTTCTGGGCCAAGTGGGTGGTGAATCTCGACCATGAACTCCAACACCACAGGCACAAGACCGAAGCTCGCGGCGCCGAGGATCGCACAGATGACGAAGACATATGCCAGACTTTTCGACTGCGGCGCCCAGACGAAGACCAAATACGCAAGCGCCAACAACGGCACCGCGAGCTTGATGTACACCAAGTAGAATTTATACTTGTCGATGAAGGGGCTGGAGACGGCGGCGCAGAGGAGCCCCACCACGATGAGCACCGCGCCTGCGATGCCGGCGTTATCCTCGCTGAATCCGTACGGCTCGAGGATTTGATTCAGGAGGGACGAAAATGCGTTGAAGAAGCCAACGTACAGCATGAATGGCCCGGCCAGGAGGTAGAATTCTGGAGAGCGCGACAAGGTATGTAGGTCGTTGCGGATCGATGTGCGATCCATGTAGTCTGCCACGAAGCCGGCGGAGGGAGGGGAGGGCGGTTTCGCCGGGATGAAAAAGGCAGGGATTGCGGCGACGGAGGAGATGACGCTGATGTACAGAATCATGTTGGGGATCTCGGATGGCTGGTCCGCCCAGAACGGTGAGATGAGTTGACCCAGCGCTGCACCAAAGGGATTCGACAAGCTAGCTACGGCGGTCGCGGTGGTACGGCCGGCGGCGCTGAACCACAGGTTGGAATATGAGGTTGGCGAGGAGAGGACGAAGGGTTGAGCGAACCCGATGATCAGTTGGCCGACCATCACGCCCGCGAAGTTGTTTGCGCGGGTAGCGCCGTACTTGACCCAGTTGCCGACCAGCAGCAGTGAGGCGGCGATGATGATGGCACCTTTGGTGCCATACTTGTGAAGCACATAGAAGGTCGCTGGGGTGGTTACGCAGAAGGCGAAGAGGAACGCCGTGGAGATCCAGTTGATGTTGGTCTCCGAGGTATGGAAGTACTCGGCGGAAGTGGTCGAGACGGGGGCGAAGGCGATCCAGTCCCAGGACACGACTATATTGAGCAAACAGAGCTGGGCGAGCCCGAAGAAGCGTCGCTTGTATACCTTGTACTCGATGCCGGAGGAGGTCGAGATTCGTGATATTGTGTGAGGCGGGCCGGGAGGTCGGCTGTTGGCCGCGTCTTCGGCCAGTGGAGAGGACGAGTCGATAGAAGAGCTGCCATCGTTGCGGAGGACTGATCCCTCGATTGTGGTGGACTGACGAGGTTTGCCCATGATACGACTTGGTTCAAGCTGACCTTGAAAGCGTCGAGCTTCTGGAGGAGCGCGACCGTTCGAGCGTCACGCGCCGGTCTTCCGGGACAGGAGCGCCGAGGCGATCAATGAAATTGTTGTAGCAGGGTTTACGCGCATGAGCTTGACTGTGAGCAACTTGGTCTTCTCGCTGCAGGCGACATTTCTCAATGTCGTCCGCCAGAAACACAAGTGAGGCCACACTGTGGTCAGTCCAAGTCATGGTTGCGTTGCAGATAACGTTCAACTGCTTATGTGCTTATGTAATGAAACCCTTTCGCGAAACAAGATTAGAGTCGGCGGCCTTAATTAGCGGGTGCAGATCCTCGAAGACGCACAGAGATCAAGGACGGCAAGGACGGGCGTGGGCAGTGATTAGTCGACGGGTGCACGTTATAAGGAAACTGTGGAAAGGAAGTGCAGGTTGCGATTCTGCAGATAACCGAGTTCGATTTCACCTGCCGCTGGTCAACACGAGATGTACCTCGTATTCCGCGTGCCTACTCTGTTCTGGAATGAATGAGGCAACGCGGATCAGATCTGGTGAATAGAGGCGTCAAGTGCGTTAGGTGCTGTTCGAATAGGTCTTCCCAATGGCACCATGGAATGCTTGTCAAGATGTCGACGAATATGTGGAAGGTTATTCTAGGAGGTACATACAGTGATAGTCTGCCGTCAGTCTTCATGGCTAACTGAAAGCTGACTTTAAATGCAAAATGAGACTCGAGATTCTAAGGTACGAGTTACCAGTGCAGACGAGTGGATTTGGTGCGCTGATCCCAAATTGAACGGCCGCGTGGGCGGAACAGGGCTCTAGCTAGACGAACTTCCCAGGCTGTTATTACGTGCCTCGCGTGGCCGCCTGCCTGGCTGCCGGCTGCCGGAGGCCACTGGGCGTGCAGCTGATAGGCATAGGGCCCCAGCACCGCGCCTAGCGACTGGATCGCTAGGTGATCATTCCCCGCTCCACCAGTCCCAAAAGAGCTTCGAGAACAAGGAGACCATGCAACCGGCGCGCCGGCGCGCCCAAGTTCAGCTCCCCTTGACCGCATCTCCCCCTGCTTCTCCTGATTCTCGGGTTGTCTAATCATCGACAAATGACCTGCTACCACAGTCCTGTACCGCGACTTGCCATGTCCGTTCAGCTTTCTTAGGATTGTTCTTTGAGTTCCTGCGCGTAATTCCTACAGTTATACACAACATGACCATATCTAGTCGCCGCGATCCAACCACAGTCACCGCCTCTTCCTAGCATTCGCACTCTGGCACGCATTGGATACTCGACCGAGGAGGGTCCCTGAGCGCAGGGCTGAATGCCCCGAATGAACATGCAGTCTTTCAGGAATGAACTGAGACAATCATCCGGCGAGAGTGCCGACAACGTCCGCAGCCGTTATGTTCCCAGCTCTGTCTACAGCGCCAGTGGACCAGTCGACCACTCGCCGGCGACTGGCCACGTGCCCAGCTTCATGTCGGGAGCATTGCGGGGCCCCTTCGAGGAAGAACAAACGCCTCGTCTCCCAGCGGTACAGGTATGTCAGGTTGTCCCTTCCATCATGGACACCGAGTGCTAAGACTTACTAGCAGACTCAAAATGCTCCACGGAACTCCACCCTCCTCAACATTAACGATCCTGTTGCGATGCACCTGTTGGCGGAAACAGCGATCAGTGACAGCCGAGACTTCGAGGTGCTGTCGTTCGACGAGGTTGAACAACTGAAAAAAGAGAGGACCTATTTGAAGGCGAAGGTAGAATCTACGAGAAGGAGGTTGGCGTTGGAAAGCAAAGTCCGCGATGCAGCCCAGTCTCTCAACCGGCTATACTCGACCCGAGAATCTCCGGACGGCCCCGGATCGCCCAAGAAGTCACGCCGAAGTTTGCTGGGGAGCAAACGTAGTGACAACGATGCGGTTCACCGTGCGGATGGCGAATATGCTGCGAGCATGAAAAAGGTGGAGGATTTGTCGCGCGAACTGTTTCAATTGGAAAAGCGGCTCGAGCACACGGAAAGACGACTTTTGATGCACACGGCCGGCATTCTACAGATGACGCACAGGGGTTTGAAGAAGAATATTCGACGGAATGAGCTGCCTCGAAGCCCGGAAAGCATGACTAGCCACCACGGACGTGGTTCGGTCGACTTTGACGAGCGCAGTCTGTATCAGGTTCCGGACTATGTGACAGAATTTAAGCACATCCCAAACAAAGGCCAAGCTGCAGGTATCGATCCTCGGGCTGCGGACGGTGTCGCGAATCGGTTACTACAACTGAACCAACGCGTACACCTGATGATCACCCAGGTCAACATGCAGGAGCACTTCGACCCTCCTCCACAACCCACCGAAGATCATCTGATCGGACGTGTCGATGAACAAATCCAAGCATATCTGGGCTATATGTCGCAAGGTCTCGACGCGATGGAAGCGGCTCAAGCTCGCTCCAGTGGAGCCATGCAACAGTCAATCTACGACACAGAAGAGCAGCTTGAGGATGTCAATATCCGACTAAATGAGATACTGCAACGAACCAATTCCGTCGCCCATAGCCCAGTGGTGCCGCAGGACGAACCCCGGGGAAAGGATCTTCACTCTCAGTTGGCTTTCTCAGCTTCCGTAGTAGAACGTCTGACCCGGCGCACTGAGACCCTCGTGGAACAGAAAGCTATCCTTACACGCCAGATCCAGCAGCAACGAGAGCTTAACGGCAGGGGAGATGCCACAATCTCTCACTTGACGGAGGAGGCCGACCGGAGCAGGCTCTCTCAACAGCTTGACCACCTGCAAAATGAAGAATCTGATGCCCATCGCGAGCTGCTCTCGCAACAACTGCATCAAGCCCGACAAAGGATTGCTGTTCTCGAACAGGAACGAGCTGCCAGACAAGGCCAGGGCGACGGGCTCGAGGGCAACCGAGACAGTCTGGAATCGCAGCTACAGCGACTCACCGCATCTCTCGTGGAAAAGGAAAATGAAGCAACCCATCTCGCAGCCAGTCACGCAAGAGACCGAGAAGAGCATGGGGAGGCTACTGTTGCACTACAGACGCAGATCGACGATCTCAACAGTGCGAAATCAGCGGCTGAGTCCGAAGTATCGAAGCTGCGTCAAGAGATGGCGGACCTGGAGTCGGAAGTCGTGCGAGCACAAACCGAACTGACCGTGGTCAAGGCTGAATTAGATGGGGCGTACGGGACACGTGCTCAGCGGGCGGCGGACGTATCCATGAACCCTGCCATCCAGCAGGAGCTCGATGCCCTCAACGCACGGAATAGCGAGCTTGAGAGTCAACTTGGCCTTCTGCGAAAAGAACACGAAGCGAAGGACATGGACATCATGCAGCTGCAGAACAAAGTTACTGCGCTGCAAACAGAGCTCAAGGAGATAATTGGGGAGTATGAAGCCATGACCAAGCAGAGCATTGAGGACGAGAAAGAACGAGAGAGGCTGGAAGAGACCGTCGACGCGATCCAGCGGAGGTGTGAAGACCTGGAAAACCAACTAAATGAAGAGAAGGTCAAGGCGCTCGGCTCGAGTGTCTCCGCGCCCACGGACACCACGTCTACGATGGTGTTGAGGAACGAGTTCAGAAAGATGATGCGCGAGACCCGGGCCGAGAATCTGAAAGTCCTCAAGGTAAGGGATCGTATCTACGCGGGTCGGGCAAGTTTCTGACATGTCTGTTAGGCCGAACAAGAAGAACGACGTCGCCTTGAGGGCATCATTAAGGGCTTGAAGAAGAACCAACAACAGTTGTCGACAGCTCAGAAGCCGACACCAGCCACACCACAGGAGCCAGCCGCCACTACTTGATTCGTTCTACGAAGGTTACGATTTTCACGACCAGCAAAACCGAGGGTAAAATGGGAAGAGCACATGGCGTCCTGTAATGCTAATCTGTGCACTACATTTGGTAATGGAACCCGTCGTCGTCCCAGCATGGAGGCCGGGCATTGGAGGAGTATATTCTGGAGACATTTCTACGCAGTTGGACACTGATTATCTCAAGATTGCAGGCTTGCCACAGCAGCCTGCGGTTAATCGTCGCTCTGCCCTGGGCAACGGCTTTGGAACATCGGCATTTGCCTTGTATAAACAAACTTGAAGCTACGGGCGCTGCTGCCTTTTGTCATTCAAGACATACCATGGCGCTTTCACTCGATATAGCGCTTTCTGTTGACATGCGCCTTCCTTTCCCATGCTCGTCGTCGCCATGTTTCCGGAATGACCTCTCTAAATGGACGCGGTCAGCACATATCCCATACTAGCTCACCAGTTTAGTCAACATCACATTCCTTAGTTGATGCCGCGCTGAGATTATATCCATACCATGGCCACGATGGACGAATCGAACGCTTCTTATACACATTCTTTTCACAGCTTCTCGGCTTCGTCTCAGCCAGACGTGGTCACCATAGCATTCCATAACCCGACAACCTACCATCGTCTTTCGCGTTCACTGAATGACCTCGACCTCATCATGAAGAAGAACGATATTGCTGGGCTCGGTGCTCATTACCACATCTATTCGACATCCAGCTTCGACAGCAACTGGATCCCTGCGCGGCCACTTGAACCACCCAATCCACCACCCGTCCGGATCCCAACGCCATCTGGACTGCCTCCATTTGGAAGCTGGGAAGCGACCTTACTCCGCCTAGAACGACGGCTTTGGAGCAGAACCTCCTTGACACTCCGCCAGTGGTTGCGCTCGCACGACGAGAGCTGTGAGCAAGATGTCACACCTATGAACGCGCAAGTAGACAGAATCTCACCAGTCTGCTCACCACAATCACAGCCGCAAAGGCCGCATGATGGTCATCCCGACCCAAGAGATCTCCTCAGACGGACATTAGTGGCGATTGGCATGTCTCGCGTGCTCGACCCAAACACAATCGAACGCGCATCGTTGTCAAATCCGCACACCTCTCCCCACGAGCAAGCACCATCCTCTGTATCCAAGATAGTCCTTCCTCCTTGGGTATACATGGCCAATCGTCCTGGGCCGTTGGCTCGAGCTCATGATGGAACCTTTGTCCGAGGGTCCTTCGGGCTCCGTTTCAGCGGTCACGGCATTGGGGAGAGAAACATCGAGGACCTTCCTTTGGCAAGAATGGAAAAGACGGATCCCGAACCAGCTGAGATACCAGCCACATTGGTAGCGTTGCGGAGAACGGATGCGACTAGCGGGCACAGGAGTGCCAGTGCGATTGGCCCTGCTATGGAGGAAGAGGAGGAGAGTAAATGTGACAGCTGCTGTGCCAAGTTTTGCATGTGGATTTGGGGTATACCGGCGAGCGGCATGATGGCATAAGGGTTGTTCTGAACAGCTGTTCGTAAACGTGATGGGTAACCAAAGGCTGATGTCCATAGTGGTACGAGTTAGCGTGTTAGATTCCCACACAAGAGCCCGCGCGCCCACTCCTATTCCGCTCCTCAGTGATGCTACGCGCAGCCTACTCGCTTGAACGCTCGACAAAATCAAAGATGCTTTCCCCATCATCACTTCACGGGACTAGTTCGTCTTTGCCCAGCATGCCGGCCATGGGATCATCGGCCGCCAGGCGATTCCTTTTATACGACTCGAGCTCCTCCTCCGAGATGCCCGATTGCAGCTCTTGAAGCGTCCGCTTCTTCGCAGCAGGCGTTCGCGGCTTCGTCTTCTGCCCCAAGCTCGTCGTATCAACCTCCTCGGCCTCCTTGCGCTCGCTTACGTCCTCTCCATCCTGCTGTAATTTCAACCGTTGCTTTTCCTCTGGCGTGGTCTTCGTGCCACCCACGACCTTGTCCTTGTCCTGCTCGGCCACTCCCTCTTCGACATCCTCTTCCATCTTAGCATCTCCAATTTGAAGCAGAGACTGCCCGGTTCTCAAGCCCTCACTTTCCTCCCAGGCCCGCCGCCCTTCCTCGCCCGTACAGTAACTATTCCGCACCGTAGAATGACAGCACGCGTATCCCCACGTGAAGTCCCGCCACCAGCTGCCCCAGACCGAGGTGTGATTGTTCGTGAACACGTCCTCCCGGTATTTACTCCTGGCGACGGTGCGGCCTGCGCCCTTGATCTGGCCCTGCTCATCGTACTCGACGTACCGCTCATTGGCGACGACGCCGCCGGACTGGAGCTTCTTGGCCGCGGGCTGCGCCGCGTCGCCGTACCTCTCGAGCAGAGCCTTTCTAGTGGCTTCCTTCTTCGCGGCCGCTTCCTGGGTCTGTTTCTTGCGCAGGATCTCGCCCTCCGTCGGGTTCGCCTGGACGTGCAGCTTCTGCGCGCTGGCCGAGTTCGAGTTCCGATCTTGCGTCTCCCATGCGTACCGCTGTGCTGCCTCGAATGCGGCGGCATCGTCCGCTTCGATCTCGGGGCGTCGGAACCCCTCCGACACGTCGACGTCCTCCGGCCTGGCAGGCATTTCGGATTTATCCATCGACCGGGTCTTGGGGTCGTAGCGCGCGCTGTCCAGGTCCAGATTGCGCAGGTATACGGCCGTGTCCTCACGCAGGCGCAACTGGCGGGTCGACGTGGGCTGGGAGCGGCCCATGTCTGTCTCTTCGGGAATGCGGGCGTCGTCGTCTTTGTCATGAGTCGGGTCGTCGTTGGGAGAAGTCACCTTCCGCCGTAACGCCTGCAGGTCCTCGTACTCCTGCACCACAGCCTGATATTCGCGGGCGTCGTACCCGTTCCACCGGTCCCGCTTGGCGTCCCACCCGAGCTGCACGTCCTCGATCACCTCGTCCGCCTGGATGTCCTGGCCCGTCCATCGCGCCCCTAATTTCCGCGGCCGGCTCAGGCAGTCCTTTGTCTTGTGCGTCATGGCGCCGCAGTTCTCGCACGCGCCTTTGCGGAACTTGGTTGCGGCCGGTCCGGCCTTTTTGCCCCGCTCATACCATTTTGCTTGGTCGAGTGTGTCCTTGGGTGCGGATTGCAGGCGCTGGTGCTCGAGGTAGTCCGTGTCGCTGGAGTGCGTGGTCTCGGCCCAGAACGGGCGCTTGGAGATGAAGGAGGGGATGTATTCGTTGCGTGTCGGGTCCGCGGCCGTCGCGGCCGTGGGGCCCTTCTTGTCGTGCGCCATGTTGGTGGTGATTGTGATGGCGACGCAGATGGCGATGACGACGGCGGAGGTTGCGTGGTTTTACGAGGGTCAAGCAAAACGTAGAAACGAGACGAATGCGATGCTGGGTTGCAAAGATGGAGGTCCGGGCACGGAGGGTTCAAGGACTGAGTGAGTGAGATGGGAGGGGGTTGAACGTCCAAGTGAAGCTGCGGCGACTTGGAAAATGAAGTGGAGCGAGAGGACCGAAGATCAAGGCCCAGGTACAGCCTTGTGCCATGGTCGGGTCGAGAAGCGAATACGAATACGCGTACGTACGTGTACGATGTGGGGATGACATTCAAATGTACGTACACAGTAGTACGTACCTGGTATTCTAACTGGCCCTTCCCTCTACATTCCTGTCCATGCCATTTGAACAGTACTTAATGTATAGAATCCAGACGTACTCACCGCTGTCCCATCCTGTTGGAATATCTCCACTTTACCAGTACCGCGGCGCCCTTCGCGCTTAGACTCGTCAGTAGCCTAGAGCGGCATCGTGATGGCAAAGCATCTAAAAGACTTGCATGACGTTCTTCGTGGTCCGTTAGGAGGTTCCCGTGGTGAGGCATGGCAACAATGAAGGTGAACAGTATCAATACATATGGTATACGAGCATTGCAGCTGTATGGAGTGAATGACCAGGATGTTCAAGTCTCGTGATTGGCATCGCAAATGCCGCTGCTGGCCTTTCGTGGCAGGCATTTCCCACCACACGCAGCCTCAGGGTTGCCGACACATTTTCAGTGCGATTATGAGGGTTTGAAGCTGAGCGATGTGCACAGTCGACCGGCATTTATCGCTGAATACTAAGTACGAAATGACGCCCGCACGAGCCGTCCGCACGTTTTTCTCACCGAAGTCCCTCACTTAGAGCTAAATGAAGCGTCAGATAACATCGGCGTTGCCAGTTTTTGGGGCCTGTTAGTATGATTCACCGTTCATTGTAGAAAACAGAATGAACCGTTCAGACATGGTTCGGCTCGATTCTCAGGTCTCACCCGTCCTCGCCGTGAACTATACTCCGTACTAGTACTTTATTGGTTGTTTTTGCTATTTTGGCAATAGGGCTAAGCTTAATCTGGCTGAGATCCTGCTGATGCCCACTGAGTAAAGTCTCTGTCCCTGTGTGCCTGCAAGAATTATTACTTCTTAGCATGAGCCGCCATGGATCATGATTGTACATGGACATGGACAGACGTTTTCCCACAAGAGAGCTTTCACGACATCGAACCGTCGTCCGTCTTTGGTACATCGAAGCACGTGACATGGGGTTCCTGTTCGATGTCGTGCATGAACTAGTTCGTAGATTCAACACCTGCTAAGTGGGCGGAATCTCGCTTCAGATGTCGGGGGTTGGGTGCGCGTACTCACAACCGCTATGAAGCGGGATTCACCGATGGTGGGCAGGAAAAGGAGCGACAGCATCATCGTTACGGCTGCTGGGTTCGTCAATGTTTGGGTGACTATGACTTATTTATTCGGACATATACGAATACTCTCAGACTCGGTGTGCCCTGAACGAGTACTGTGTGCAGTTCCCAAATCCAGTGCTTTCCTGATTCAAGCGTACGAGTAGGAAGTTGTCAGTCAGGTCTTCCCACCGTGTCCACCCACCAACTCCTTCACATGGCTAACTTCTGCACGGTTTTGGTGAAATGGTAGATCTTGCACTCGGTATCAACCTGGTCCCAGGGCTCGTTGATGATAAAGTAAGCCATCATGTAGGCCAGAGTAGTGGTTGCGATGGCGGTGCACAAAATACGGAAGATCTCGTCAACAGTCCGGTGGATGAGGCCTCTCGGGGTAGGGAGGCAAGCGGCGTCAAGTGTGACTCTGATCGGTTTGGACAGACGTTCGCCGTGCATGGCCAGAACTTTGGCTTCGACTTTGTTCATGCTTACTTGGTACGGAGGTTATGCGTGTTGGCGGCGGGAGCTGTGTAGATTACTAGTAGACCGGCTTGTGGTTGCGATAGGATATCTGAGTTTGCGAAAGGGAGGATGTTGAAAAGGGACAGGAAGGGAATTGCTTTTGTACTTGAAACAAACCTGGATCTTGCCCTCAAGCGCTATTGTCCTTGTTTCTTTGTCGAGATGCTGCTTGAGTGTGATCAGTTCGAGTTGTTGTGCTTTGTTGATTCTTGCGCAGATAAAGAGAGTTTATCTTCGGGTCTTTTGATGTGTTACTGTACTCCTACCTTCAACATGGGCTAGCGGTCGCTTGAGGTGCGCGAGTAGCATTTAGAGACAGTAGTAGTTATGAAAAGGAAACCGTGTTCTCTGCCCCCAGATATCGTTGAGATAGAGGCACCTGAGAGCCTTGGCTCGAATTCCAATGAAGGAAGCATCGCTGCTGACAGATGATAAGCAGGTGCCACCAGTGCGGGCAGCCATGCAGCACGTGGTATGACGCCCAAGGGTGCCCTAGGCGCCCCACGGCCAACCACCCATGCCCCGAGGCTCGTTCCCTCAGTGCCTTGCCCAGTCACAGCGCATGCTGCGTCACCTGTGTTGGCACTCGTCGTGCAAATATTGCAAATGCCTTTATTCGCAGCTTTGTACGGAGTACCATGCCCGACTACTCCTATGAGGATGGGCGCGCCCTCCAATGGATCGAATTGGTCGACCTCAGAAAACGGCTGCGTCCCGGATATGTACCAGACACTGGTGCCATCACTTCCGTAACGAGCCTTTTCTCGGGACCAACACCACCGACTACGCGCAGAGCATCGTGACTGCGTTTCAAAGCCTCAGCTCCAGCTGCAAGGATGGGCGACGTGACATTGCACCAAACGCCGTAAGCATTTGCTTCGTGGAGAAAGACACTATGCGCTCCCGACAATAGGCATTCGAGGAGTCCTTTCTAGGGTTCGAGGAGCTCTATCGAGCAGTTAAGAAAGTGCCCCTCGCCAAGGTCCACAAGACTTTGAGGTGAGCTTCCTCCGCTTACGCCACGCCAAACGGCGACTTACCTACTCACCAGGCCAGGGTTTCCTCCGCTCCCACATGAACCCATTCCGGCCTAACATCCTTCCTCACTTCTCGAAAGATGTCGAGTTCCGGATCTTCGCTGATCTTGCCCCGGACGTCGAAGAGTTGAAGAACGAGATCAAACTATGCAAAATGAAGAGTGTGACGGAGGACGAGTGGTCTGATAGATTGGTCTATCCACTACCTCGCCTGGCGCAGAAGAGGCTGCGCACTGATCTGAAGGTTGAAATTGCGACAGTGTTGGTCTCTCCTGTTCCACTTTGTCATCGTCGTACTCACTGAGACACAGCAAATCCATTGGCATTCCCCCCCTCCCCCGCGCCCCCGGGCGCTGGGAGACTTCTGCCTGTTTCCGCAGGAATTCCGGCGTCGCCAGAGCGGGTGGACTACTCGCTGTGTTTCCAGCTCGATAACATTCGCCGGCTTCGGCGTGTCTTCACCAACTTGGCCGGCGACCCCCCACCCACTCCCTGAATCAATGTCAACATCCACGACTTTGGATCCACGTCCTTTTCTCCCACGTTAAAGTGAAAGGATTGGACGCCGAGGGTCCGGACGATGTGCAATTAGGGGTCTTAGGGTTAGCGGCCGGCGTCAATAGGATACAAAGATGCAGAAATGGAACCCATAAAGCATCTACGTACTATGTAACAAGAGCATAGCAACCCAGCCACTATGGCTCTGGAAGGGCGACAGCCTGATATTACATGCCACATTGATGAGCCAGCCCGGCGAGCCCGAAGAGCTGCTCATCCATGAGCTAGCCGAATGGCATCTGGAGGAGCCCGCCCAGCTAGTCACGGCTATCATCTGCCTGTCTAGGGTTATGAGGTGGTCCCCGAACAAGTATCTCCCATGGTTCAAGAAGCTGATTCAGTATGACAGCTGAGGATGACGATCTACGGAACACCTCGCATCAGGCATGTCGGGGTCGACTCAGCGGCACACAATAACTATTCTTAGAGCTTTCGAAGGCTCCCTACCTGGCCAGAGAGTTTCGCGTATCTTAGCTAGCACGCGGCACGGGACGGACCATAGGTGTGCGGCTCGTCGATTGACTGAGTACCGCTTCAGGATGGAACGAACTCTGGTGGGACACATGCTTTGAGCCGGTCTCAGAGAAAGCACCACCGTGTGCGGCGGAGGATGGTGAAGTCCTTCGTGAATGTTCGAGGAGCCAAAAGCGGTGAGCAGCGAAGGGCTAACAGTATCATGTTCATCTGCCGCGTTGGCCCTTACCATCCCATCAACTCGATGCCATGTCTCTTAGGATGCCTCTACACGTAACAGCGTTCCTAGTTGGATTCGCCTGTGTACAAACTGCCCATGCTCGTCGCTTCTTACCCTACACTGCTCTTACTGTATACGGCTTGACAGGCTCTTCGTCGTAAAGGCCTACCAGTCAGAGATTGCCAGCGTTCAACCTAAGCGGAGAAGTCGCCCCCAAGAGGACAGCTGAGACGGCATTGGGGGGTGACATGCAAGGTACTCTCGACATTTGTTAGTGGTGACGTTGAGGACTCTGGGCAATACGAGTAGGCACACAGTTTCAACCTCGCTTCGAACAGGTGGAACAGGCTGAATAAGATTCATCGAGAAAGATGAAACCCTGAAGCGTGAAGCGTGAAATGTGGGCTTCCTTCCTATTGTGTACTGTACGTACAGTGTCTTCGGCCGCAGAACTTCGGATCTGAGTGTTACAGAGCGAACGAGGCTAGCCAGCAAACATCCCGTCATCCCCATCTGTGCCTTTTGAGACGATGTGTGTAGCGACCTACATGACAGCCTGCATACGGAGTAGATAGACGCTGCAATCTGCATGCAGCCTGCGGGTGGTATGTATGCCGCACAATCCCCAGCCACTCGCCAAACAATTTTGTGCCTCCTGACTGCTCAGCAGGCTTGACGCTCAAAGTTTCACGCTTGACCCGACACACCGGGGATGACATGGCTTTCTCTCCCAAGACGTCTTCCCTGCTTCATGTAAGGGAGAGTTGGTCATCTGCATCTGCGCCTGCCTTCACCCAATGACTGCGGCACGCGATGCCTTGCAGCGACCGGGCGCAGGTCATGGCAAGCCACCCTCGTGTCTCGCTTGGAATAAATAACCCGGCAATGGGTTGAAGTCACTGACAGGTCTGTCAAATCTAGCCACTACTTCTACTCTTCATTCCTGCACTCTACATTTCTCTGCTGTTGAACTCCGTCTATCGCACAGGCACCGACCAGCACAAGTACAAAATCGATCCTCACACATTCTGATACCACTCGGCACAAATGACTGTACGAACCATGTCGAGCACCAGGCACACCGGCAAAGCAGTTGCTCTCAGCGGGCACGCGAATGGGAATGGTAATCCGGCCCCCCCCAGCACACCACAGCACGACACTGGCAACGGCAATGGCAGCGGCAGTCACACCGGCAGCAGCGGCCGGTCACGACACCAACCCGATAGCCCGCAAGCCCGGATGCGCATGTACAGGCTGATGACGATGCGGCTGGAGCAGGACCGCACGTCGTGGGGCCGCTGCTGCAAGTGCGAGAACGGCGGCAAAATCATGAGCTGGCCGCGCTGCAAAATCTGCCGCCACCATTGTTGTCAGAAGTGCGATTACCACCTGGACCGCTCGGAGGTCGACACGGACGCGCCCCTCGACGGAGGCTCCACGGCGTGGGACCGGTTCGAGAAGATGAACGAACTGTCCGGCGAGATGTGTCTGGAGTTGGAAGCCCTCGAATTTGTCGAGACCCTGACGGCTCAGCAACGCGACGGCGTGGCCAGAGGGTGGGAGATCATACGCTCGTTCAATCAGTGGTTGGAAGACATGGAGGATGGCGAGAGTGAAGAGGAGAGACCGACCGAGGCGGCTTGAGTGAGGCGGGGATTGTGTCGCGTGCGCGTTCTCTCTCTCTATCAGCATTGTCAGGTGTCTTCCAACGACTCGAGCACTCGGTCGACTCTGGTGTTGTGGTGGCGGCTGAGTGCGGCATCTTTCGGGATTTCTATGACATGAATGAGGGCCAAGGCACGACTTATGCGAGTTTGTCGACGTGTATGCTTATGTCTAATGTGTGTATGGACGTCGACTGTTCACCCTGTGGACTGAGAAGATTTGGTCGATTGTTACGAGATACGAGACACGGCCGTTGGATAGATTAAATCCCGGGCAACAGCATCGGGAGAGAGCAAATCTCAAGCATGTTTTCCATTTCGTGTTCGAGTTCGAACTTGAGAGCAAACAATCTGCGTGATCACTGACCGGGTTGTGGTAGTCTCCAGTCAGCAACCAGCAAGCCAGCCATCCAGGCCAGCAAAGAGACAACATTCCGACCTGTGTGCCCATGGACTCTGCATTCAACCACACAGCATACTGTGTTCGGGTGGCTCTGATACAAACTGTGCGAGTTTCCAGTACTGCGTACTGGCACTCCTCGGGGTACAGCACGAGTAGTGGCCCTGGTGGCCCGCGTGAAAGGCTTCGTGATGCGTCAAAGCCAAACACCACCGAATACGACACGTCGCGCGTTGTGCAAACGGATTAGGGAATTAGGGGATTGGATGAGGGTGCGGGGGTTCTCGTGTGCGCCGCTAGAGCCGGGGAAGCCGGGCACTTCCTCGCTAGCGTTTAGCTCGACTGGGGGCCTTTCTGAGTTCTCGTCAATCGAGGCTCACGAGGCTAATTAAGCCCAAGACGGATTGGCATGCATGCCAATTGGTGATCCGAGCTTTTCTTCGGATGTGTACTTGTACCTGAACAAGTTTATTGCAGCTCTGCCGCAGCAAAGGGGGCATTCCATGGTCAAGTTTATATTCGTGGTCGTACGCTCGCGAGTCATGTACTCATTGGTGGTCCCATGATCTCAGGCCTGTGCCCAGGCGCCGGGGAGTGACTCAAGTCGATGCGTCGATGGATCGGGCGGGCGGGCGGTCACTCGGTTCGCACCATTGGGAAGAGCACGGAACGGCGACCTAGAAAATGGATCACCTGTAGAGTTTACGGTGTGCTGTACATGAGTCCTAGTACTCGAGGTCTCTGAAGTGATTGGTAATGCGCCGTGGAATTTGCCTCGCACCAGCCGCTATGGAGACCAGACCTTCAATACGAGGTACCTTATTTTGCCAATCGCTGTCAGAAGTGACATGTAGCGTGCCCAGCATGCCACAGTATACGGTGCAGGGAAGTACATAGTAAAGTGGTTGTGGTGCGCAATGCCGAATACTGAGATCCCGACGACGATCGTGCTCTTTGACCGATCAATCTAGGGAGGCTTGTGCTGATCAGGGCCTCCTTATTGTGTTTGGTGCTTTGAATGTGCCGTGCTCATTCGCCGTACTGCACGAGGTAGCTGTCACGTTGCTGTCAAAGGTCCCCGAGAGAGCATTACGTGTCCAGAGTACGTTCTGATATCGGGGGATGAAAGAATGCACGTGGCCACACGGGGCAGAGGCCTGTGACCTCGTGACCTGTCTCAGCTTCGGCTCCAGCCTGCCCAGGAAGCTGCTCGACCTCATCGTCCTTCTCACCGCCTGCGCTCGGCCCCATTTCCGAAGCCCCACCGCAATTGGACATTCACGACATCCTTGGTAGGTTTCTCTTCTCGAGGATATGGAAACTTCATACGACCATCTGCGAGGATGCAGTTTAGGACCCAAGGCTCGAAACTGCGAACCCTTCTAAAGACGGAGGACGCAATCTCTCGCACTTTGTGGCCTTCGCGAAAGATGGTGTTGAGGAGAATACATATGTGTGATTTATCTCGGGCGTCGGAAGGCACCATTTAGCCGTTGCTAACCGGGTGTCTGTCTCGCTGATAAATGATTGATTACTTACGATGTCTAGAATGCAGCTACTAGCTAGCTATTGAGGACAGCACTGGTGCCAAGCACCTGCCGCCGGGCAACCTCAAGTGGTAGGCACACTGGATGCTTCCTGCCACCACAGCCGTCGTCGAGCTAGCTGCAGACATCACTCCTTTCTGCGTCCAGATGACGTTGATAAACAGGCTCCAACGGGACCGACAGGGACTGTTGCGGCGTTGCTAGGGCGCCTTTTGGCGTACATATCTCACGGAGCTATGAAAACACATTCCTTTGGGCAACAGGTAATTCGATGGAAATATTTTCGCGTCCACGTCTTCATCGGAACTGGGGATCTGTGTCGTTGATCCACAAAGAGTGAGGATACTGCAAGCTAGCTTGTGATCTATGGTGCAGGAGTGCTGCACCATATACCAAGAGACAATGAAGATGCTCCTAGGGAGGGTGAGATCCTAGTTGCAGAGGACAGATTTTGTATTTAGGCGACACATGAGAGATGCATGGGAGCACGGTTGATGCCGGCAAGACTAAAGTCAGGAGGGAGAGAAGGGGGGAAGGGAGCGGTAGGAATTATGCAGGACTGTCGACTGAAGCTTTGGGGAACTCGGTGCAGAGAATGTCCCAAGTCGTAAACTCCCCTGGCTTCATCTCTAGCGCATAGTTTTCCAGACATAACTTCTCAGACATAGCCTTGCTGCAGGGTGTATTCGTGCCTTGACCTGCTTGATACCTGGGTGAACGCAAGTCATATATAGATATAGATATATGAATACTCTGGTGTGCTGCCGTCCTGGAGCAGCACAATCTGAGATATTCCAGCATATCTTCGCCTCTAGATGTTCAAGATTGTAAGTAAATATGGTTGTTTCGTAAGTATTCGTAGATGTGTGGCTGCCAGATGAGAGCTTAGATGAAGGAGATCAAGTTGTCCTTGGCTGCCGAGGCGATGGATGCAATCTTGGGACTGGGATAGCTCGACCAGGACGGATCGCTTAGAGGAGGATTTTTGGCGGTGCGACAGGGGCGGCGTTGGTGACCTTGTCATTAACTGTGGGCTCTTTCAGGTTGTATCCATTGGTGGAGGTTCTGCATCGGTGACTGATGAATGACTTGAGTGAGTTGGGTGATGTGGAGAAGGGTATGCATGTGTGAAGCGCATCTCCTGCTGGGTTCGTCGTGAGAGGTTGTAAGTCGTATGGTCCCAGCAATCTGGAACTGGCGTGGGTGATCTGGAGCTGCATGTTTGGCTTGCATGCGAGGTACTCCCATCAACCGCACTACCTGTTGTTAGATTGTCGCCTTTTCCGGACGGCCTGGGGACTAGCCTAGCCGGTAATGCTCGTGTTGAGAACTTGTTGGTGAAGGTGAGCGACCGCTGTCGTTTACGCTTCACATCGTCCAAATTGCTCGCACCAGCATTGGATATGGTCGGGGCACCAGACCGGATCCTTTCCAAAGATGAGGTGCCACATATACTCCAACACTCGTCCTGAGATGTCATCTGGAAGATCTGTGTCGACAAGCCACTTTCGATATCGTGTGTAGTCCTTCCTTGTTCTTGCTCGGACTTGGTCTCTGGAGACAGCGAACTGTGAGCAGCATGCTGCTCCGACGGTATGAGGGACGGTAGAATAGTTCCCCCCGAAAAAGTATGTATACGCATCGGCGAAGGCCAACTCATGGGTTCGTTCTGGGTCATTTCGGAATGGTTGGACCTCATCAGGGCAGCCAGGGATGTACAGACATCGCATATTAGCATAGCCGTGCTCGCGGACATAGTCCAGACGAAGACTCCGAACAGAGTTGACGTTGTTATAGTCATCTGCGTCCGTGTGCCATGCTTTCGGCCAACCCTCAAGATGAGGGTGCAGGAATACCATGATTTCTGGCAGGTTGTTATAATGATCGATGATGAAAGTCAAGTATGCCATAGCTTCACGACCTTTGTTGAGGGGCGGATGAAGGATCCAGTTTACGTCGTCCATATGATAAATTGCTTGTTGCCAGCTACAACCATCTGTCAGCTCGAATGCATCATGTGCATCATCCAGGTCGCACTTACTCTTGTAGTTCCTCACCGACCCAGCTCACATCCTCGCCTTCAACGTGTGCCATGACGATGACTTTATCCTCCGCCTGGGGCCCCTTAAAGATATACTGACTCTTGGTTCCTCGTTGCAACCACCCGGACTTAAGTAATATCGGTCGTGCAAGCCAGAGCAGAGAAGCCACAAGAAAGAAAGCTACACCAGCAACAAGCGCCTTGCGCCTCATGACTGAGGCGGGCTCCCAGAAACAACAGACAGAACAGACAGAACAGACAGACTGACACACTCCAGTACAGTAACGAGCAATAGTTCCAACAAATAGCTTTTCTACTCTCGACACCTGGCGCAGCGCGGCGCTGCCAAAGAGCACAACCAACTTAGTTGATTTGCGGATTGCCGCCGTCGTAGGATGATAGAACCGAAGGAAGCATCTTCAAAACAAGTTGTCTTCGGGACAATGCGTTCAGAGAGATCCGGCAAATTTTGGCACTGAGCCGGCGGGGCTCCGGCACGACGGATGTAAGTATATAGTTCCTTGGTCGCCGCGAAAGAACGCCTGGAGAAGAAAGCTTGCGAGGCAGAAGCCCCCATGGCGTGTTCAGGCAAATTTCTTGGCCGTCATGGAGGAGGTTGTTCGCCGTCAACGTGGCACGGGTTTGGCGCTTATTGGGCTTGCATGGTTGGTGGCTGAAACCGTTGAGGGTCAGAGAAACGGGTCAAGAAAGGCCCCAATGACGATGGCTGCCCGAGCTGCTCCCACAAAGATTCCCGCCCGGACTGCGCATGCCTCGTGCACTGTTGGACCAGGTGGAGGCGGTTAGGTTCAAGCTAATGATGCTTACTTGTAATTTCCCCGGGCGCTTCAAAGTCAAGCCAAACTCTGTGTGGAGATCATGCTTGGTAGCCATCTGGACATGGTTTGGTGGCTCGACTCCATTTGAGCCCAACACCAGGGTGATCCGAGCACCAAAGGAATCGCATCGAAACGGACCTCAGATGACAGCGGCGCACAGGGGCGGCTCCCGGCGGGTACCACAGTACTGTGGTAATGGCGAGAATGGATCGTACCTGAGGTGTCATACCTGAGCCGGAGTGGGTGGGTACATGGTCCGGGATAACTGCGCCTAAGCTTCGTGCTTGAAGAAGGGACTATCCGCAGGCCAGTTTGGCGCTATTTTGGAAACAAGGTCGTGCACCAAAGCTTATCCGGGGATAGGAATGACACTCGAAACTGTTCTCACCCCCTTGCGGCTATGTGAACATATTATACATGGGAAGATTCTGGCGTAGCTTGACAATATAGGCAAAGAATAATAGTCAGGCTATCTGATCATCTATTCGAATGGCCAATATGTGCATCTTCACACGTTCGCAGACTCGATCACCTCTTCCAACGACCACAGCCCGCCGTGCCGTCTTCACTCGACCTTGGCTCGCTACGGACCTCGATGCAGAGACGCCTCCCGCCTGGACGAGACCAGGTACGCAACTAGCGCTGTGAAAAGTGATTGGTTATGTGCTTTTGTTGTCTCAGTTGAGCGGCTGAACTGAACCAGGGCGATACGGGTCTTGATCGCAGCCGAAACTAAGGACATAATATTGGTTGACCACATGAGGCTGTCTTGGTCGACTTCGAAAGGCTTCAGCCTATGCTGAGATTCCTGCTCCGGAAATGCCATTTCTTCACTGTTCTGCAGAACGCAAACTGTCTGTAAGCTTGACAAAACTAGTGGTCTGCCTTTGCCCTCCACCTTGCCAGCAGATTTCATGCGACTTTGGGCAATACCCTGGGAGCTTTGGCGGATTTAGAGACGTCGCCGACATGTGTGTGCTACCTCACTAGCATACCGGGGACAAGGTCCTTCCGACAAGGAACGTGTGGGAGGTGCTGGGGGCAGCCTGACCTTCGCTCGAAACTGCGGACAATTTGCTTTCCATTTCCATGCCGTTAATGCTTCAGATGCACTGGTGGACAACCAAAAGGCCTGCTGAACGGGTCGGTAGTAACAAGGGATGCGGCGCCTAAAGAGCAGCCAGCCACTCCGCTTTTCTCTGCATCCACAATATCCTCTCTTCCTTCTCGGTTCACAAACTTTGGAGCGACTTTGACTTCAAGCCTACATTCGGAGCCATCCTCTCGCTATGTTATACCTATGCTTTATCTTGACGGCGCTGGCGTCTACTGCTCAACATTCAAAAGCAATCGATTGTCCTGCATCAGCTCAGGGTCCCATCAGCCTACCGGTGCGCAATGTCACCCTTGCAGGGCAGCATGTCCGCCGAGGACTGGAAATTCAGCTCGGCACGCCCTCGCAGCCGTTAGCCGTCGCGGTCTCCAGGTGAGTTGACGTCCCATCCAGAGTTTAGTCAGTCCCAGATCCAACTCGATGATTTGCAACACGCTAATAGCGAAAAGCTGCCGGAACAATTCGTATTTCTACGACCAGAGCCCCCAATGCGGCTCCCTCGTGACAGACACCTGCATTGCCAATCGAGGGGGTGCTTTCAATGAAAATCTGTCTTCCACTTTGACGAGCGATGCAGGATTCGGAGCTTTCGGCAACCGCGATCCTCAACTGACCATGGACGACACAACCATGTTGGTCAACACGGACACATTTTCTGTCAACAGCTCCTTCGCGATCGAGCAGTTTCAATTCGGCGTGCCTCGTGAGGATGTGGGCGACTTCTCCGTCTTGGGCCTGGCAAAAGATTCGAGCTTGCTTTCTATGCTACGAAATGCAGGCGACATCGCGTCTCTCAGTTACTCGCTCTACTGGGGCCAGACGGGCACCAGCCCCGAACATCAGCTTGATGGAGGCCTTGTCATCGGAGGGTTGGATATGGCAAAGGCCGTGGGCCAGAACTATACCACTAGCCTGAATCGTGCCTCGGCGTGCCCGTCAGGCATGCTCGTTTCGGTGTCGGATATGACTTTGGAGTTTCCCAATGGAACCTCAGCCAGTATCATGGGCACCGGAGTTGGGCAGACCGTCAACTATTGCATTCTCCCGGAGTACCCTCTTATCACGATGCCTTTGGATCTGTGGGATCAGTGGGTGGCGGCGTATCCGCAGTCAGCCACGGATGGGAATGCAGATGCGAGAGCTGGAGGACAACCCAACGTTTGGGGCCTCGTCTACCCGCCGAGCCTAGCGTGAGTTATGGAGAATGCACTACCCGCAGAATGTGCTGACCCATACCCAGGTTTGATGGAGATCTCAAAATCACGATCGACAACAGTCTTGACATTACAATCCCTGGACACCAACTTGTGCAATACTACTACACCTTCGACGACAATGGAGACGCCGTCGTCAATGGCTCTGTCCTCGAGTTAATGATCAATCCACTCCAAGATGTGAATAAGAATGACCTGCCCCAGTTTGGAATGACTTTTCTGCAGGCGGCATACCTTCATGTCAACTTCGATGACGACACTTTCACTCTTTGGCAGGCGAATCCTACCGACTCTGAATCACTCGTTGCTGTTGGTCAATCCGTGCTTGGGTGTTCTGCTACCCCTACGACTGCTACCACATCATCTTCTCGCTCTGCGGTAGCCACTGCTTCTCCAACACACACACCCAACGCGACACTATCCTCTGGAACCATAGCAGCCATTGCCGTCTGCGTCGTTGTTGCGGTGGCACTTGTTGCAGGCGCCACGTTCTGGGTCTTAGCTCGCCGACGACGGAGTCTGCGACGCGGAGCAGCCGCGGAAGGGGTCCGTCCATCGGACAAATCTGAGACGGGCGGATACCCGCCGATGTTGACTCAAAAGCCAGAGCTGGATGCATCAAATACCGGTATTAACCATAGTCAGAAACGCCCGCAACATGTGCTGCCGTCGGTGGTGGAGTTGCCCTCTGAGAGGTATGAGTGACATTTGGTTGTCCTATGGTAAGTCTTGCATGTATATTCTTACGTAATCTATGGATCTGGCTGTATTTGTGGTGGAAAAGTGCTTTGCTACATACTCTTGTAAAGTCCTTTTGAGCTTTGTCTAGACTGGAATCAGCACCATAAGTTCAAAGATATTGGACCTTGCCACATTCGAGAACCGGTCGCATTCGCATGATATGAGTATCATGGTGCGAGCTGCCGCCCGTGATCATCGGCAATGTGTGTCGACTCCGCAAGCTTTCGACTGGGATATGGAATGTTATCGCAAAGCCTGGGCCACTGCCAAAAAAGTGCATCTCCCCTGTTTCCGTCTGGTACAAGCTGGTGTTCGCCTGTGCTTGTGGATCTAGGCTAGAGAAGAGGTTGCCGCGATCACTCCAAAGCTCGAGTTGTAGCAGCCTGCTAGTTGGAAGGCAGAAGGGTAACGGAGAGCGCCTCGCCTTGTTCGCCTACCCTAATTGAGCGGAGTGTGCCAGTACCTTCTTGACCTTCCTGCATCCCGCCCAATCTCCACGGAAGCAGCATGTAACGGCCACCCCGGTCACTATCTGGGTCGGCGCGGCACCAGCGGTACTCCCGTGACTCAGCATCATGTCCTTCCCACCGATCCACGAGTCAGTCGAACCATCCCAGGCAACCACGTTGCCCCGTCTAGCGTTCCAGCGGTTGGTCCGTGCGAACTCCCCCTTTTCAAAGCCACCATCGCGCACGCCACCACTCCGTACTTACCCGTAGTAAGATAAAGGCGAGAGGCTAGCCGTGGTTGGATATCACCAACAGTTTCCCTGACATGCTTGGACGACCTGTTTGTCGGCGGCGTGGAGGAGTCTTCGAGCCTTCTCAGAAGGACGAGCAAACCGGTGAGTTGGGCTTGTCTGCCTGCTGAGACAGGAGCTGGTGTGAGTCAAGCGCGGATTCCATGTTGGGATCAGTGGTGCACGTTAGGTTTCGTGGAGGAATGCAGGGTGCTGCATCATACGGAGTATGGCACATGTGTTCCTGGGGGGACGAGTTCAAGAAGGTCGTCCCCTATCCTTGGTGAGCGGCATGGTGCTTTATGTTGTCCCGTATACAGTAGATTTTCCATTTAGGATCGTTGATAGAAGCCAGTCTGACAGCTTTAAGCGTCTGCAGACATATTCGGCCGAGTGTTCATGCTCGGCCGGCTGTTCGGGTGTCACCCAAAAGTTCTTCAGCTCCAGAGGCTATGGCTATGGACGGACCCTATGCTTCGGTGTATACTGTGTACAACGAAACTTCACCAGCTCGTGCTGCATAAGGCGGTACTTTCTGGGGATTGCTTCCGAGGTCGCGAAGCAGCTTGCTAGCACCCGATGGTGTGGGTAGTTTTCCGCGGCCACTAATGCGTACGTGTCAGATGTGCTGCGACCCTCATTTTACCAACAGCAGGGCCCAGGAAATCATGCCACACATTCTCATTGCACCACGGCAAGACGATTAATTGGCCAGTCAGACACGATGCACAGCTGGACCCCTGCATGGGTTCCCAAGGTACTCCGTGCCACACGCAAAATAGCTACAATCCAGAGTGATGCCGAGTCTTAACCTCATGCCAGGGGTTCGCAGAATGCTGTACTTAGCATCAGGGAAAGCCCGGCGACGATTGTTTGCCGCGTAATGATCTGCGCCTTACCCATAAACGTGCCAAGACCAATCCTAGTTGTGATGCACTACATAGACATGATATAGACCAGGCAGTGAAAAAGAGACGACTAACCGCGGTGATGAACTGGCGAAAGACAATCGACCAAAAAAGAGGACGCACCGTAGCCCGGCATAGGAAAGTGAAAAAAAAGGAAATACAGGATCCGACGTGGTTCGAACACGTGACCTAGAGATATTTGGAGGAGGCTGCAATCTCTCGCTCTACCACTGAGCTACGAATCCATCTGGTGGATTTCACCATCGATTTCAAATCACAATTGTGCATATTAGTACTATATGTGTAAAAAAGACCGGCGGCTCAAGGCTCTTGGCAAGTTTGCATCTCGTTCGGGCTTTTCACCAGCTTCAGCATGCGATCAACACTAATTACGGACTATGACTTTCACTTTCTCATACGAGTATCGAAGCCCCTGCCCAAACATCTGCGTGTATACGACTGGCCCACTTGCTCCCGGGATTCTTCGCACGATAGTCTTCCACTGTCGCCTGCCGCACTGATGATTGCAAATGCCGTGTACACCTACCGTACTTTCCCGTGCTTCACTGCAGAGCCGCGTAAGGGATAACCACCCGGACGAAGATTCCATCCTCGGCGGCTGGCTGTGAACGTCCGGTTGGTATCATAGATGCTATCATGCTGGAATGCCGTAATACTGTTCGCAGCGGCAGTAAATAAGGCAGGCCAGCCTTGATTTCCGTATTCTCAGAGCCGTTGCCATGCAAAGTACAGTGCAGCTGATTTGATCTTGATTCTCATTCACGACAAGAGATTCATTGTCCTCTACCCGCTAAATACTTCAATCCACGAGAAAAATGGGACAGGACAATACATCCGCATCGGCAGACACGGACATCATCTATCACTGACCCTCGAGACCCCTTCTTTCTCGCCTCCTCGCCCGCCTGTACTAGGCGGCAGAAGGACGTCGGGGAGCTTGATGCCCAGACTGCCTTTGGGCCCGGTGGTCTCCTTTTCCTTCTTCGGCGGCGTTTTATTCCCTCCGTCGTTATTATCTCGGTCATCGTCCTCGCGGAGCTCGACCTCGAGTTTCTGCAATTTCTCCCCGCGGAGGATCTTCATGATCTCTTCTCGGTCAAGCGTCTCAAACTCGAGGAGGGCGTCTTTCAACGCTTCCAGTTCTTTCCGCTTCTCCTTGACGATTCGGTCTGCCCGCTGTCTTCCACCTTCCACGATCTCTCGTACTTCGCGCTCGATTTCCATCTTGGTCTCGCTCGAAAGCTTGTCGTAGTCGGAAGCGAGGTCGACGTTGCCGAGTTTAGAAGAATAGCCACATTGTGTGACCAGATAGAATGCTGTCTGTGTAGCTGACTGCACATCATGGGCAATGCCACTTGTCACCTTGGTTGGACCGTAGATCAACTCTTCTGCTGCCCGTCCACCCATCGACACGTCAATCTGCGCAATGAATTGGTCGTAGGCCATGCTCACGGCGTCCATCTCTGGGAGGAAATGAGTGATACCGAGAGCTCGGCCACGCGGGATGATGGTCACTTTGTACAGTTGGTTACTGGCTGGGGTGAACAAGTTCACCAAGGTATGGCCAGCCTCGTGGTACGCAGTTTGAATCTTGTCCTTTTCTCGGATCACGCGAGATTTGTTCTCCGCACCCATCATGATCTTGTCCTTGGCCCACTCAAAGTTCTGAGCGGTGACTTTCTTGTACTTTAACCGCGAGGCATTGACTGCGGCTTGGTTGCACAGGTTTTCCAGGTCGGCGCCCGACATACCGCTCGTGGCTCGCGCAAGGTTAGTGGCGTCCACATCAGCAGCAATTGGCATATTTCGCATGTGGTGTTTCAGGATTTGGACCCGGCCGCGGACATCTGGCAACGGAACATTGACAGTGCGGTCGAACCGACCGGGACGCACGAGGGCCTTATCCAGCGACTCCGGGTAATTCGTTGCCGCAATGAGGATCACACCAGTGCTGGGGCTGAATCCGTCCAACTCGGTCAGAAGCTGGTTGAGCGTTTGTTTGGCGTAAGCGGGATCCCGGGCGTTCCTTTTCCCTCCGACCGCATCCAGTTCGTCGATGAAGATGATTGCTGGCGCTTTGTTTCGTGCTTGAGTGAAGAGATCTCGAACACGCTTGGCACCGACACCGACATAGAGCTCGTCAAACTCGGAGCCAGACATGTAAAAGACAGGCACACCAGCTTCGCCGGCAACAGCACGCGCGAGCATTGTCTTGCCAGTACCAGGCGGCCCAACCAGTAGAACACCCTTCGGCAGCTTGCCGCCAAGTTGATTGAACTTGTCCGGATTTTTCAAGAATTCGACCAGCTCTTGGAGTTCTTCCTTGGCCTCGTCGCAGCCGTGGACATCACCGAAGCGGACGGTCTGGTGCTGCGGTTGTACCTCGTTGTTTTGGCCAACTCTGGTTCGGAAGCTGCCCGTCATTTCCACGACCATGGTGAGTACGACCAAGAGGAAATAACCGGCCAAGCTAACCCAGAGGATTGTCTTGACCCATTTCAGAATAGTGGCACCCCAAGATTCTTCAACCACGACGTACAGCGGTGCTTCTTTGGCCCCAGTCCCAGACTTGTTGCTGGGCATGACAACTTGGCCCCCATAGTTCTGCCCAGCAACTGCCTGGCCTACGGCTCGTAATTTATCAGGGCTTAGACTGTTGCCCTGGACTGCAGAACTATTGGGACTGGCAGAACCCGGTGCTGGAAGCGAGCCAGTCATTTGCAGAGCCTTGAGGTAGGAAGCATCAGCAGCGGGATTCGCAGCATATCGACCAGACTGGTACCTTTCGATGATGATTTTGGGCATGTTGGCACGTAGGAGAGCGGAGTAGAAAGCATTCTGGGCAGTGGCACTTGTTGGATTGTTATTCGCGGTGCGCTCGGCGTGGGCGAGCATGTTCTGGTTCGAAAGTGACGAGGTCGCCGAGAACTGTCGGAACTGCTGCTTCAAAACTGAGTGACCTCCCCTTCGCGGTGGCCCAAAGAGTAAAGACGCTACCGAGGATTGTGTCTGAGATGGGGTAAATGTGTTTCTGGACGTTGTCGCCCTTAGCGCCGCCCTCGGCGCACTCGTTGAGAACGCGCTCCGCATAGTCGAAAGGGGGTTTAAGTGGGAGGCGACCGTGGAAGAGAGACATCTCGACGTCGATGGGGTGGTCATGAGGATGCCGATCTCGCTCGGAAGGGAAGCGACGAAATCAGGTAGAACGATATTGGAGGTGGCCTGCAAGGCATTAGAACCGTTTGGCAGCAGCAGATCATTGTCCCGTACACTCGGCCGACTTATCCTCTTGGTGGCGGAATGTATCTGTCGCACATCTGATTCAGGTCGCAGCCGTGCGAGTCGGTATTTTCGGAGTGTCTGGAGCGGCGAAGTGAAGAGTGAAGGGAACGTGGTCAGCACATCGGGGGCGATGGCAGACAGGCTCTGCATAAGAGACACGGTCAGCAGCTGGTGATTCTGAGCCATGACTGAGACACTCACAGGTAGCTGAGCGAGGGGAGCCTGGAGCGCCATTGTGAAGGGATTGAGTGGGTGGCGGCACCGGCCGCACGATACTGGAAGATGACAGAAGCACCAAGGAAACCAGCACCACCAGCAGACAAATTAATAGATCCACTAAGGAAAACAGACAATCAAAGAGACAACATTCCGCGCACCGCCTCGTATCGTCGACGATGTTTGGCACGGAGGCGAAGGGCAAAAGAGATGAGAAGCAGCAATGAGCGACGGGCGATGGCGGCAGGTGACGCCTTCGCAGTTGAGATGTTTGACGATAGACTCCGATCACGTCTCCAGGCTGCTTGCTCCGCTCGGGCGGAAGGTTCTTCCGCTCCGCTCCGACTTGCCCCGTTCTCGCATCTGGTCAAGTGCTCATCATCCGAATTTGGCGGACTTGGATCTAGAACTTCGATTGCGATCATGGATTGATATTTTGCTACATTACGAAGGATGATAAAACAACTCTGATATATACACTTCCCTCGACCATCTCTCAACCAGTCTTTGTTAAGCGCGGTGACCCCATAGGCGACACAAATACTGGACTGTGAGTGGCCGATCGCGCTGTCGCGGACGACAGCACAGGCGAGTTTGGCTCCTCTGGCGTCCCTGTAGTGAACCCTGCGGTGGCTTCTGTGGGCGTACCTGCAGAGGTACCGGCGGGCGAATATGCAGGGTGATGCTCGTGAATAAAAGTGCTTCCTGGAAGTTCTTGAGGTATAGGCGGCTGCTTGGTGATGATGGGTGAAGGTGCTGCCTTGGACGGGTCATAGGCTGGCGGCGACTGTGCCGTAAAGATGGGCCAGCCGTTGGCCGGGGCAGCCGAGGGAGATACCGCTCGCCCCTCTGAGATATCCAGCTCGTGCATGGTCGCCGCTCTCGATCTGGACATTTGAGGCATTGCTGGTTCTTCAGGTGGAAATGTAGTCACCCGATTTGCTTCCGCCGCCCTCCTCGCCTTGCGCTTCTTCCTCACATAAAAGAAGACACCCACGCATACTATCATGATGAACGCCCAGATGGAAACAGGGATTGCGATCTTTGCTCCGGGTGGGAAGCTTGGCTTTTGTGCCGGCATCAAAAGTGGATACTTCTGAGAGAAGACGTGGTCGGTGATGAGTGTTAGACTGGCTACCGTAGGAGTGGATGCCGGAACATATGATGTGGCCGGCACTGAGTAGCACGGTGTTTCCCAACCAATGTTGGTATAATAAATCTGGTAGCCACTGCCATTCATCAGTCGCACACCTCGCTAGGGATTCAAGGACTTTACTCACAGTGGACAACAGGCATTAGCAGTTGTGAAATAGTCTTGTGGACATCTCGAGATAAGCCCGTTGAGCCCATCTGGAAATGGACAGCAGTCCGGCCTGTCAGGAGAACAGCCAACTTCGGGGAACTCGGTCACCCTTCCAATCGGATCCGTGACGATCGCAAAGTGTGGAACCGTGCAGCTCCCCGTCAACAGCGGTGCCCCATTATACGTCGTTATCGTGATCTGTTTTCCGGTCGGGTTCGCTGCGGTTTCCGAAACCGGGTCTCCAGACAGGGTTTTAATACTGGGGTTGACCGACGCGGACGTGGAAGAGGTTCCTGATGATGACGGGGTGGGAGAGAATGTGAGGCTCATGCTCGCAAGTGCACTCGACAAGCCTGCGGGTGAGCATCCCACAAAGTCTGGTGCCGTCTCGTTGACGTTGGCGCATTCTTCTTTGTTGAACTGAATCGCGACTGGGAAGTGTCAGAAGGATTTGTTCTGCTGGCAGTCATGCCTACGTACTTGCTTGCTCAGATGCGTTGCATTCGGTGTACAGGCAGCACGACAACGAAGCGACGTAAGTTGAACGCGAACAGAGACAGGCGATATCGATGACTGAGCATGATTTCTGGGCCGACGTCGAATTCGACAGGCATTGTTGCTATTTCAAATCAGTACTCATCCAGCCCAGCGACCCCCGTTCCACTTACTGCACATATTGGAAGTTCCGTGACTGCGATGGCCTGTACAAGGCCCAGGCATGCCAAATGCCAAAGCAGGACGAGGAACATCATGGCGACTGCGCTCCGATCTGAGAACGGAAGGGGTGGGAGCACTTTGACGCACCATATAGTCGTGCTCGCCTCAGCAATGAGCGAGACACGAGGTCGGAGGTGCGCAATTGAGGGGGTTTGTCGAGGCGATGGCGCATCTTTCTGTTTCCGGCTTTTTAGCCCAAACAAAGAGACATACCTCCAGTAGTCATGGTGACATGTTTCGAACAATGGCTGGAACTTCGGCACCAACCGAGTGGATTTGGTACCATTTTCGGCCTGGAATGTTGAACATTCTTCATTGCGGACTTGACAATCACCGCATTCAGGAGAGCTTCCCCCAAGCCACTTACTCGGTGCCCTGTCACGTACTCCAGCCCTACAGTACTGTGGTAGAGCCTTGCTTGGCGTCCAGGCGGACCGCCTTCAAACACATAAAATGGCGATTTTGAGATCTCGGAAATGCTCTGCTAGTTAAATGCCTAACTCTCAAGAGAATGGACGAAGCGCAGGCTCGTTTCAAACCACGGTGACGTCGCTTGTTCCGACGGCACAACATGCAGCCTTCTCTGAAGGTACCGGCGGCCATGCGAAGCTCTGATCGGGGATTATCGCAGTTCATAGGCACCCTTGCGTCGATTTCAGACGCGCATTCACTCACCATAAATCCGGACCGCCATTACAAGATCGTTCAATCATCGAACATTGTAGCAACTAATTGGCCCTCCTCGATTCGGAAAAGATGACCGGTGAGAGAATGGTGTTGTTGTCATCAAGATATCAGTGAGGTCGTGCCTTGCATCCGGTGGAGAATTGGGCGGAAAACTCTGCACGATACCAGACTGAGGCTGAGCTTAATAGTTTCGAAAGGACGGCCATGAGTCTTCTTCATCAATTGTTGGCGACTTCGCGGCGGCTGCATGTAAACACCCGGTCGTCCAGCCCACTCTCACGAAACTCATTTAGCATTGGGCAGGGACTCCTTGGTGACAGCCGGTCGCGGTGTCGAACCTCGTTGCTCAAAAGCGTTGAGCCAGCATGCTAACATTCTCGAGGAAACGCAACACATCGTAGTAGAGCTCGCCAGCGTTCAGGGCGGAAGCAGGAGATTATGCGAGCCCCATTTCCTTGGAGGAGAACGAGCCAGAACAGATGCTGAGCACGGAATAGTGATTGAAATTAGGTCCCCGTGGTCGCTCCTCTGGCGCGGACTGCCTCCACCAAACACCATGATTGGCTGTTCGTTTACGGCAGCGCGCCTTGATGATGGAAACATTCGGCCCCACTGTGAGATCTATGCACGCTCAGCCTGGTGAGGCCGGTCTTCTCTTGCTAGAAATGCCCCTGGAAATTGCCTGAAAGGCCAGTGACAGAGGCACAAGTGAATCCTGCATCCCGGGTGCTCTTGGGACGGTGGCGTTGAATATGAAATTGTGCCCCTAGTCGAGCCCGATATGGAGGTCCTCCGGTCTCCATGATCCGCCTCGAGAGTGCAACATGCAGCTTGGCTTTGGCTTGCCCTTAGTCCTGGATTTGTATTCTCGACTCCGTTCCTTGAACTTTCAATCGAACGGGGAAGGCTATGCTCACCTCGCACTGCCTTCTTTGCTCGCAAGAAGAAACATATATGCTTGCGATCGTCTCTCCCCAATAAAAACTGTCGCAGTGTTGACTGACAGTTTGCAACGTAACCATCCCCTTCCCAGCGACTTGCCATGAATTCAATGAAGTGGCTTTCATGTTGCTTTGGAGACGGTGATGAGGAACATCGACCACAACGACAGCCACAACAGACCACTCAGACACAGCACGCTCCTCGGACGAGATGGGACGCTCCTCCGCCAATCGATCCCGACATGGAAGAGCCGACCCAGCCTCCCCCTTATGCGCTCTTCGATCCCCACCCGGAAGACTGTGAATGCGCCATTCACGTCCATAAGCCCCGACCAAACAGACCGATCATAGTCGAAGCCTTCCAGTCGCAAGGGTGCAACTCGTGTCCGCCCACAAACACGCTGTTGCTATCGCTTCTCACCCTAGCCGATCCCAACATCCTCGTGCTCGACTATCACGTCACATACTGGGACCATCTCGGTTGGAAGGATCCTTTCGGCATCCCAGAGGCAGACGCTCACCAGCGCGAGTATGCTGAAGCGAGTGGTACATCGAGACTGTACACTCCGCAAGTCATTGTGAATGGCGTATCGCAAGGCATAGGCAATTCAACAGGGAAGCTGGAGAAGTTGATCAAGGACGGTGGCCATCTAGCGAGTAAAGATTGGCCATGGTTGCTGTTCTCGAAACTCGAGGAAGGTGTACTAATCAGAGAGGCGACCCCAGCTGCTGCTGCCATCGGTCGGCGAGGCAGAGTCTTCGAGGTCCTCTACGATCCAATCCTGCAAGAGGTGGAGATACCTAGAGGCGAGAATGCTGGAAGGACTTTGGCGCATCGGAATGTTGTCAAGAGTGTCAGATCCCTAGGCGAGTGGAGGGGTGGACGAGGCGTGGTGCGACTGGAGCCTCGAGATAATGCGGACGGTTTGGAGCGAGTGTTGATAGTGCAAGAGGGAGGTGCTGGCGGCCAGGTAATCGGAGTTGCGAGGATACATTTCTAGGGTGTGCAAGACCATGAGATCGAATGTTCCAGCAGGTCCAGTTGCCCCTCGGCATAAGCAGAGACGGCACCTTAGGGTGTTGTCCTCGTTGCTCGAATCACTTGTCTGAAGCGTGTAAAGCCTGGCCACTCTGCTGCTTGGATCGTCTAAATCCAATTCTCAGAGTCGTGGTTGGATGGCTCTCCACTAGAGCACCTTGCGTAGACGTCCTCAGCCCAAGGGTGAGACTGGCGGTGGTTCTGAAAAGCTCTGCTCGAGATCTCACATCGACCAAGTCACTCTGAAGCAGTATACATGTGGAGGGATCCGTTCTTTGACCAGTATTCTTTGACCGGTCACGTGCCATTGATAGAGTGCGTAAAGCACGGCGCCTGATCTCCACCGCCAGAACTCTGTTCGTGTCGTACCAGGTGTGCAGCCTGAAGCTTTGTGGTCGAGATCAGAACCCGAGGGGTAATGTTCTGGTAAGTGATAGACCACCATCAAAGCCTTCAACCATGACGTTTGGCGCCGGCTCAACTCTGGTCACTTCTGTTCGCGGCTCATGCACAGATGATAATGGGCTCTTTCGGCGTGATGAACGCGACGCAGAGCCTGACAAGCGAGAGAAGAGACTGGACCTATTACTGGCTCGAGAATCGAGAGACATTGCGTCAGAAGACCTGTGTTGAGTGTTCCGCTCGAGGATCAAGGGATTTATTCGCTCAGAGAACTTTCGAAAGGACCTCATCGATGAGGTATCGGACATTGACCAGGTGCGCATAGCAGCGGATAGCGTCAAGTCCATCAAACTGGCTGACTTCGATGTCCGGTAATCAACGTACACGGGCAGCGTGTTGTGCGAAATGATAGAATCAGAGGGTAGGAGCTCCCCAAGCCAGGAGAAGTCTGGCGTGGCATTGAGCTTCGCAGCAGCCGAAGCCACGTCAAAAACCCAGTCAACCTGTGCATGACACACAGTGGACACGATGCTAAACCCGGAGCCGAACGTCGATCGTCGGCGCTCTTCCATCAATTCCAGGAATCCATAGGTTCCTATAGTCGCTGCATGTTGATAATTGGCGGCGGAAGAGAGTAACAGCTGAGATGGCGGTGCATCAGAGGAGCGATAATTTCGATGGACATCGTCCATAACAATGAATGGCCAGACTAACATGGCCATTTCCTCCCACGCACATGGCATTCCGCACAAGGTATGGTCGGAACCAGTCGTATTTGAGACTGTCGTTACTAACGGTGTGTGTGCATAGCAGTGGAGAAGCAGGCAGGATAGTACTCGTGCAGCTCGGTGGGCGTCACCCCGACCCAGGCCCCAGAAGTGTTCAACGACAGCATCTATTAGTTTTGTCTCCCACTGTACAAAGCCTGTGAACTTTCGTAGAGCGTCAAGCAAGGAGGTTCTGGTTGTTGGACATGACTTCATATGGTCGATAACCTTATACCGGTCGGTAGCCGTCCAGCTGAGCGCCAGAGATACGTTGTCTCCGTCAATGGCAGGGTCGATGATGGAGAACCTTGACGATTTGAGACCCCTGTAACTTACGATACCTAGTTGAACATCATATCCGGGTAGAGAACAGACGTATCGCCAGAAGGGACGCGTCATCTTGAGCCAGGCCTGGTTTCCTTGTTCAATCGACGCTGCCCAAAGTAGTAATGCATTGAGCCCTTGCTGAGCAACGGAGCGCTGGGGAAGTGTATATGCACAACGTGCACAATTGACTATTGCTATGACGAGATCTGGAATGATGTCTTGCGCCATTGTGGTAAAATGTTGCCAGACAAGGAAATAGAACTCAAATGCCATTTCGTAGGCCTTGAGAGTGTAGAGGACAGCCCCTGCCTCTTTGAACGCCAACACCTGCTGACTGGATATGACATTGAAGCCAGGTTGCTTGCTGGTTTTTCGATGTAAGGCGAGCATTCTGTCACTGCAAATGTAATTCCCGGGGGCCAGTGAGTCGGCAGTGACACGTGGATGCACCTGGGCGGGTGGCAGCTCAAACACATCACTGACTGGAGCGTCAGGCCCAGAAATGTTTGGTGTCTGACCAGCAAATGTAACGTATCCTGCACCGAAGCCTGTGGCCGACATCTTATCAGCTGTGTTGTCAGATAGTTCTGTCTGCTTTGCTAACAGCGACGGACTAGCTCTAGGGAGTTCTTCTGATTTTCTTGGATGACCGCGTTCTGTTGTGTCAATTGTCATCTGCTCGGGATCGTAGTCCTGGATGCCATCCCGTGACGATCCTACAGAGTGATGCTGCACCATTTGAGGCAGCGAGGGGTCGTCGAGTTCTGAAGAAGCTCTTTCGGGGAATTGACTCTGGAGCTTGATCAATGTAGCTTCCAACCCACCATCTCCGTCGTCAGGAATCTCAGAAAACCTAGCGACCGCTTCATCGAATGACTCGTCGAGTTCTGAAGACGCTCTTCCTGGGAACTGACTCTGGAGCTTCATCAAGGTAGCTTCCAACCCACCATCTTCGTCGTCTGGTATTTCAGAGAGCCTAGTGACCGCTTCTTCGAATGACTCGCTGGGATGTGGCGGAGAGTGCGTGCTAATCACGCAGATAGCCACGCTGGGTGGTGGAACTTTCCTCGTAGTGGGCTGTTGAGCTGTTTGCGTCTCCGTGGCGGGCAAAGGTCCATTCGCTAGATCTTGTGGAAACATGTCAGCTGCCTGTGACCGTGCCATGGTAATTTCCTTTGCAGACGCCTTCCCTGCAATCGGGAGTGTGAGTATTTGGTGTTGCTGGACGCGACCCGCCTTGTCGTCCCCAAGCGGATGAGCAGGATGCATTCTTGCCTCAACTTCTTCTCTTGCCACCGCGCTTGCTGCAGCAGTGTGTACAGCACCTCCGTCCGACGATTGTGGGTCGGACGAAGGGTGCTTATACCTGGAGAAGCCCCAGGCTTTCATTCGGTTATCCAGGCGATTTTTCGACACATGAAAGTTCCGCCGAGTGGCAAGTTCTGAGACCATTTGTTCCCTTGTTAAACCACGGTTATGGAGCTGCTCGAGAAAAGACTTCTGCGCTTCCCATCCCAGGTCGGGAATTCTGCGTGAGTATCGAGGCTTGTTGGGATCCTGAGGAATGAAATGAAAAGTCTCCATGGCAGCACTTGAATGGTCGAGGACGATACGGACACGCTGGAGAGTAGTTGAAACAGGTGACAAGGTCAGATTGAACATCAGGTACGAAGGGCGCTAGATAAGATGAACTCATGAGCTGAATCGACAGATGAATTCACTTCAACAGCCTTATAGCAGGGCATTGCAATGAAAACAACATTACCAGATTTGGCCATTGCAGCCATGTCAGGCGTAGCCAGCCAGGCCAATGAAGCAAGGTCAAGCCATGCATTCGCCCCAGTCTAAAGCGTCCGGCCTTTGGCGGCACTCGAGTCGACATGCCGCCAATGACATGGCGCCAATAGAAGAAGGTAGTCAATGCGTATTGCAGTGGTGGCAGAACTGCGCTCGTCGAAGACGGCTGAAATCATACATCATGGTGTTGAAAGAAGGAGAAGAGAAGGGTCAAGTGCGTGAGGGCCCAAGATATTACTGTGACTGTGTGTGCGGATGAGCGACGGGCCCGGGCGCTACAGGACGCCTATTTGATGCCTAGCGAGTGCCCCAAACCCACGCCTCGCCCCTGCCTTGGCTGTCCCCGAGCCGAGTCGTGCCACGACCAAGGGATCATCATCAATGCCATGACGGTCCTGTGAAATGTGTCCCAGACTGTGTAACTCTTGAGGCGGCCTACACAGCACCCTTTAGAGAATCTTCCTCCTGTCTAGAGCTCGATATCGGTTGGTCCGCAATAGTCGCAACGAGCTCCAGTCCGTCAATGACAAGCAACGACCAATATGTCCTAGTGACAGGCGCAAACAGGTACGGAAATCAATATCTCCCTCCAGCACAATTCCCGTGCCTGTTCCTGAATCTACACCCGCGTGCACGTTCCACCCTCACCCAATCGATCCAAACATGCACGCTTACTTACTCCGCGCCTAAAGTGGCCTCGGTCTAGGTACCTGCTGTCGGCTCATCGACGAATATCTTGCCTCTCACAAATCCGTCGAGCACAGCTTGACCATCGTCTTCACCACCCGAAGTGCCCGCAAAGGCGCTGACACTCTCGCCGCTCTCGAGAAGCACCTCGCCAGACATAGTCATCCTTCCCGCCGCAGGGTTTACTTCCAGCCGGAAAATGTCGAGTTGACCAGTCTCCTCTCCATTCGCGCCCTCAGTCGCAAACTCCTCGCCTCGGAGCTCCCTCACCTCAATGCCATTGTCCTGAATGCCGGCATTGGAGGCTGGTCGGGCCTTAACTGGCTTGAGGCCGTGCGGTCGTTCTTGACGCAGATCAGGCAGTCTACAACATGGCCGACCTACAAGCTCGGGCTGGTGGGACTGGTCACGAAGCCGCAGTTCCCACCTGGCGAGAGCGAGGGACATGAACCTCTCCTCGGCGAGGTTTTCTGCGCCAATACGTTCGGGCACTACATGCTGGTGCATTGGCTCATGCCTCTGTTCCGCGCATGTCCGGGGGAGTCTCCGGGCAAGATCATCTGGTCGACGTCCATCGAAGCCGATTCGCACCACTATCACCCTGAAGACCATCAGGCCTTGAGGTCGGATGCGGCGTACGAGCATACGAAGAGGATGGGAGACTTGCTGGCCCTCACTGCGGTAAACCAGCCAGCAACAGCCAAGCAGGTGAAAGAGTACACCACCTCGTCACCCTCGCTGGGCTCAGGCAGGTCACGGCCTATTGAATCAGATCCAGTTTTTTTACTCTCGCATCCAGGAATCTGTACCACCACAATCATCAGCCTGTTCTGGATCATCCATGAATGCTATCGTCTAGGAATCTATCTCGCTCGTTGGTTCGGATCACCGTGGGCCAACGTGACGGCCTACCTTGGCGCTGCCTCGGCAACATGGCTCGCTCTGGCATCTCCTGCAGACATCAAGGCAAAATGGATCGAAGCGCTAGGCGACGACGGCGGCGGAGGACCCTGCAAATGGGGATCCTCAGTGGACCGGTTTGGCCATTCTGATGTTCGCGTGACCGATGTGGCAGGGTGGGGTCTCAATGGGTCAGGCAAGCCCTTTAGAGACAAATGGTGGGGTGGCAGCCTCGGACGGAAGACAGGCTCTACTGATGCGACGGAGGAGGATGTGGCTGAATTCATCACGCAGGGGGCACAAGTGTGGGACAAGATGGAAGTATTGAGACGGGAATGGGAGGCCAGAATCGAGCGGTACGAGGCCGAGCAGTCGATGAGGAGTAATGGGCATGTAAAGACATGATAGCCGCAGGGGTCGAAATCGACTCTTCTGAACATCCCAGAGATACGTAGGTAGATGGATAGCTGTACCAATGCCACATGGGAATGTTTCCCACGCTGTCAAAAGCGTCTTAGCATTCATGGTACTGTACCAAGCTCACGGCTTCCCATCCTCCTCCTTGTCGAACTCCTCCTCTTCCTCATCCTCGCCCATCCACCCGCGACACATCTCTACCGCCTGACTCCACTTTTTGTACAACTTGTCGCTCCGTTTCTTTGAGACCTGCGGCTTGAAGAAATACCTCCCCTCCTTGTTAATCTCCTTGAGCTCGTCAAACGACGACCACACTTTCACCGCGAACCCGGCCGCAATAGCTGCCCCTAGTGCCGTCGTCTCGCGCATCTTCGGCCTGTCGACGGGGATCTGGATGATATCGGCTTGTGTCTGCGCGGCACAGTCAGTCAATCAATCATTCAGCAAGCCACCCCGGTGTTATCCGCATAACTGTACCGCCCACAACCACAACCACGCGTCACCCAGCTGGAATCCAAGTGATCGCTGCGCTCCCACTCACCTGCATGCACAGATCACTATTACTCATGCCGCCGTCGACGGCCAACTCCTCGAGCCGGACGCCCGCGTCCTTCTCCATACTGTCCAAGATGGCCTTGGTCTGGAAACACGTGGCTTCGAGCGTCGCGCGCGCGATGTGGCCCTTTTCCGTGTACGCCGTAATCCCAAAGATCGTGCCCTTGACGTCGTCGTACCAGTAGGGCGCGAACAGGCCGGAGAAGGCAGTCACAAAAACGCACCCGCCGTTGTCCTTGACTGTGGACGCGAGGTCGGAGATCTCGTACGACTCGGACGCGAACCCGAGGTTATTGACCAGGAACTTGACGCTGCTGCCCGCCACGGCGATAGATCCCTCGAGCGCGTACACGGGCGCGATGCCCTGCGGGGAGAAGTCGTACGCGACTGTGGCCAACAGGCCGTGCGTCGAGATGACGGGCTTTTCGCCCACATTATAGAGCAGGAAGCAACCGGTGCCGTATGTGTTCTTCGCGCGACCGGGTTGAAATCCATTCTGGCCGACCAGCGCGGCGGACTGATCGCCTAGACAACCCGTTATCTGGACGCCCTTTAGCTTCGTGCTCGCGAGGACGCCGTACGCCTCGGAGTCGCAGCTGGGCACGATCTTGGGGAGGTGCAGCTTGGGCGTCTTGACGTCCAGGTCGAAGAAGGAGATCAGTTTGTCGTCGTACTTGAGGTTGTGGATGTTCATCCACATGGTGCGGCTCGCGTTGGTGGCGTCCGTCACAAACACGTTCTTGTCGGTGCCACCGTTGAGTTTGTAGACCAGCCAGGTATCCACCGTGCCGAAGGCGAGGCGTCCTTCTTCGTATGCTTGCTTCACTTTGTCCACATGTCTCAGCATCCACAATAACTTCGTCGAGCTGGGGTATGTCGATAGCGGTAGACCACAGAGGCTTATGAGTTCGTCTGCGCCGGACTTTTGCTTCAGTTCGCGCACGATGTGTGCCGACCGCGTGTCTGTCCAGACGATCGCATTGTAAAGAGGTTCCCCCGTCTTGATGTCCCATACCACGGTCGTCTCTCTCTGATTTGTTATACCGACGGCTTTGATGTTGGAGAGGGAGTAGCCTTGAGAGGTGAACTTGTCGGAGGCTTCGTCTATGCAGGTAGAAACGGAGGAGACGAGCTCGTTCGGGTCGTGTTCGTGCCAACTGCAGCAAGAGAAGATGGTCTGTTAGTGCAAGAATGCAGAAAGGATGCAGACTCGGACACATCGCGCCTGATGCGTTGGCTGCTCACCCTGAATGTGGATAATGCTGCTTGAACTCAATCTGATGCTCTGCAACGGGGTTGCCCTTTCGGTCGAAGATGAGAAACCTAGAACTAGTAGTGCCATTGTCAATGGCGCCGACAAAACTCTCGTCCGACTTATCAGCCTGGAGTCCTGGTCAGTGGTGGTGTATCCATGACTACTCCAAGTCGCCATACCATGTTCGATGGGAGTCCCGTGCTTGAACCAGAACCGAGATGTTGCAACTGCTGCTTGAGTCGCAACAGCATGGATGTCCGTGCCTCAGATCAGCAGACAGGATCCACAAGACAGAGGGTGCAAAACCAATTGACGAGGCACCGGACAGCAGCAGCTCTTGTATGTCTGGGGAAGCTGGACAAGTGCGGGGATGCAGGTGGTTGCTCGAAGCCACCTTATGATGTAAGGCGAGGCAAGCTGTACGAGCACTAGCCGCAGCGCATGTGCCATTCTTCACGCTGAATATCAGCGGGCGTCGTCGTGCGCGCTGCTTGAAATCGATTGACTGATCATTGCCGCATGTTCATAACCAGGTATGGCTGGCTGGCCGTGGTGGTAGCGTTTCGAGGAAATAACTGCGGCAGTGGGCCACGACCGTGATTGGGAGCTGCATTCAAAAACAGGCTGCAAAATGTTGAACAAAAGGGATGCTTTGGTTTCCTGCCTTGGTCTTGATATGTACAATCACTGATCCCCTGCAAACAATCAGCAGTTTCGGAAACGACCTCTCCATTTCCACGCACAGGTTCCCCACGTCGTCTACTCGTCGTCGTCTTCCTCCTCGCCCTCTTCCTCTTCCTCTCCCTCTGGCTCGGGTCCAATATCAGCCATCTGCTTGGCCCGAAGTTCTCTGTATTTATCGGCAGGTCCAGGAGGGCGGGTAACCAGATCGGCGATTTGGCCGCGTCCAATTAACGAAGCCACAATACTGGCGCCGACGATAAAGGTAAGAACGAAGCGGTAGACTCCGTACCACGGGGGAGCCCAGCCGCGGGCAGAAGCTCTTGCATCGTTGTAATACAAGAAGGTAAAGGCGAGGAACTGGGTGATCAAACCGACCTCGGCGGAGAGAAGGAGAGTAGGCCATGCCACGGCTGTAGCCACGATACCCATGGAGTATCTGGGATAGCCTTTGAAGCCACCGTATCCGGCCCATTCCAGACCCCAGTGGATGGCACCAAGGAACGAGATGATCTGAGATTGTATTAGCCGTAGCCTTTCTTCCCGCGTTTCCTGGGCGGACACACCGAAGCACCGTAGCCAAGCTGAACTGGCTCGATAATGTGGAGTAGCGACTCGGCCAACTCGCCAGACATCAAAAAGCCCTGGCCGTGGTTCGCTGCGTACTGAATGTCGAATGAAAGATAGACGGTGGTGAGAGAAGTCAAGAGGTACGGAACCACACCGGCCAGGCCGACGTACATGGCTTCGCGCGGTACGGACGCCAGACTGAATGTCTCCTTAATTGTGTTCTGCACCCCCACCAGGTTAGCAGGCTCGAAAAAGATGTATCACACCTTGTCTACCTACAAAGTCACTTCGAATACCGGCCATCATATCCACATCTTCGTCATCGGCGGCCTTGCTCTGAACCTCCCCAGCGACGTGTCGAGTTGACGATTCCAGGGATACCTGTTCTGGGATCGGCTGCAAGACCCTTTCATGGAGGGATTTCTCTGCCTTGTCGACGTCGTACAGGTGGGCATTGTGCGCGTGCCGCACAAGGGCTTTTGGCAGGGGCTGGAAAGCTGTAACAGCAAGGATACGAGAAGCCCGAGCTGGACGAGCAGAGGTCTTTAGGGAAGCTCTTAGGGTACTGTTGAGGACACTCGTCCGTGGGGCGGTAGCTTGAACGGAGGTAGCAAAGGAACGCGGGATCGATCGGAGAGCGCTGGTGCGCAGCATTGTTGCCGACATGGTCGCAATGGCTGGTCAGCAGTGCGTAATTGACTACAGGCCGACCAGAGCCAGCTGGACTGGAGCTGCAGAGCGACTTGTAAGGAGTGGAGAGGGTTGAATGGTGGTTAACTGAAAAGAAGAGTGAGGTCGAAGCTTGGGATCTCATGAGGTACAATTCGCAGTTCCAATGCGGTAAAGCGGATTTGTTGATACGCCCGTTACGGGAAACACTTGGCTATCAAACCACACTTTGTGGTCACATGGCGCTTTACACATTCTATAAAATTATGATCAACATGTTGAAAAGAACTTAGTGAACACCACGTACTTGTAAAGTGAATGCTTCCGCTCGCAATTTGCGTTAGATTGCGTGCAAGACAGTGCTCCTTCGAACCATTACAGGGGTTACGCCATACATGGATTGCACCTGTACGTGGTGGTACCGTCATTTCACGAGCCTCGGAAAACCTTCCCAGTTAGCGCCGAGCTGCCGTCGAGCTTCTGCGAACTTCACTTCAACCTCATGTGATCCTTGTCCTCATCGTCGACAAACTCACCACTCAGCTCTCCACTCTCCTGCGGCCACGACGATGTCCTTCCAGCGTGTAGGTCTGCGCCTGGCGCAGCAAACCCTCCGTTCACCGGCCTTCCGACCCGCCCTCCGATCGACACTACAGCGAAGATATGCAAACACTGCCAGCGGTGTCCCGGCACCTCCAGGGCAAGGAGCCAGCAAACTAGCCGGAGATGCCGATAATGCTTTCAATCGGGAAAGAGCTGCTGTAAAGGCTCATGCTGCTGCTACGAGTGGTAAGACTTGGTCGACTGCGAATGACATCTCAGAAAACTGACGTATTGCAGACCTCTGGCGCAAACTATCCATCTAGTACGGGATCCCGGAGTAATGCTGTAATCGTAAGAAACAAGTCTGACATCGTGTACAGTGTTGTTATTCCTTGCCTTATCCTCTCGGCCATCAACGCCTACAACCTGTGGACCGAACATTGGGAGCATTGGGAACACATGCCCCCTCTAGAAGAGCGGGTCGAATACCCCTACCAAAACCTCCGGACGAGAAACTTCTTCTGGGGAGACGGTGATAAGACTCTGTTCTGGAACGACAAGGTCAACTATCACAAGACAGACAAGCAAACTTAAACATGGAGCGGCCAGACTCAAGCACAACATGCTGGATGGATTCTCCAAGCACGAATTAGTGGCGGTGGACCTTAACTGTACATAAGGAATGGAATGGAGGTGAGGTGGTAGCTCGACATGCCATCGCATTAACACGGTCTCATTGATCATACACGTCATGCTCATGGCTCTAGTGGTGCAGAAGAACTGCAGCGAGTCTGGAATGGGTTACTCCGTCCAATTTGTTTGAGCCTTGTACTCCCTGAGCAAGTCCAGATACTGCGTTGCTGTATCGTTCGCCAGCACGAGATCCCCCTTCCAATGCATGATCGTCGCCTTTTTCTTCAACACATCCAGCTGACACCGCACATCTTCGAGGTGTCGGAACTGGATATATGCACGGTCAAGGTGCTCTACGGCTCGTCCAAGGAGCTCCTTCTGCCTTGTGGACTCGTTGCTCTGTAATCCGGCAAGACCCATGTTGGCGTCCGCGAGTACAGAGTAGGAGCGCGCCGCAAGGCCACAGTCATGGCATTCCAAGACTCGAGGCATGATCGACTGCACCAGGTCTACTGCTGCAGCAAACTCCCGCAACTCATTGAGGATCGTGGCGAGAAGACCGATGGATTCCCACAAAACACCTAGATGTCGTGCCCTGTGGGCGGTTCGTACAGCGCGTGTGATCAAGGAAAATGCTTTCAGCGACTGGCCACTCTGAATCAATATTCTGGTTTTGAGGTTGAGCAGTCGCATCTGCACCGTGACGTCGTTTACCTCCTGGTTCCTGACCGCTGTTTGACCCAAGTCTTCAACCTTCTGGAGTGCTTCGTCCAGCAGACCTCGGCGCAACATCAACTCGACTTCAAAGATGGAGAGAGAAAACCGCAATTCCACGTCTGGTGAACCCCGTCCTCGGAGCCGGTCCAGCAAGCGTTCCGCGGCGTCAAAGTTGCCTCGATGTAGAAACCGCCTGATTCTTAGTAGCCCACCATAAAGACTGAGGTATTTCTGGAACTTCACCACTCGCAGCATAGGTGATGGGACATTGTTCAACATCTCCTCAGCTTCATCATAACGTCCACGTTGTACAAGAAGAGAAGCCAATCTGCAAGTGCACTTCATCACATCTTCCAAAGACGCGTCTTTGGAATGGCATTGCATAAAAATCTGGCTGTACCACCAACCGACGTGAGTAAGGCCGACCCGGCCAAAGGCCGGTCCTTTCATGAGGAGTGTCGCTCCAGAGAGACGCTGTGTGGACCGGACAATGTTGATGTGTGATGCTTTCGCAATGTTTTCGAACACACCCGCAAGGCTGTCCCCGTACTGGAGGCCGAGCTTCGCCTCGCCCAGAAACGTCGTGCTCAGAAGACTCCACATCTCAGCGTCTCTGGCTCTCGCCTTGAGAAAGGCAAGGCCTTCGACCTCGCTTCCAAGAATGCCGCTATCTCGGATGGCGTCCAACTTGCCCGGAAAGGATCTTGCGAAATGGTAGACCCAGCTCATGCAAAAGTTAAGGCAGGTCGTGTCCTTGTTTTCTCGAGCAGCGGCGATGGCTTCTTGCATGGCTGGAAGCGCTTGTGCCGGATAGCCAGCGTCAGCTTGCAGAATAGCAAGGTTCAGCAACGCGTACTGGTAAAATGATCGGTCTTGGGTCTGCATGGCGAAGTCGAAGTAACGATGAATATTGTCGTACGCAGAGTGATAGTCCCCAGCTCGCCAACTGTCGAGAAAATCCAGATAATGTGCCATTTTGGGAATGGTGGTGCCGGCTCGGGAAATCTGTTGTAGAACCGTTTTCATTCCATCTGGCAGTCTCCCACCAAGCCGCTGGAGCTCAGAAGCTTGGAACTCCATCAATTTCTCCACATCGTACATGCTGTATGCTCCACGCTGCTGCTGTTCCTCTTCCGTCAGTCTCCCATACATGATCTGAGTAAGAGCATGAGACGAGTCGAGGTTCATATCAGCCAGGTTGGAATCGAGCGCGTTTTCGTCTTCTGCATGATTCTTCTTCTCATACGCCTGCCGAGTGGGAAGCCTGTATGCAACGAAGTCCTGCCATAATATGATGCTATCCTGGAATTGTAGCCTGATATACTCTAGGTAACAGCGACGGATGAACGAACCCAGAGGTGACGTCCCAAGGATCCGGCCATTATTCTGGAAGAACTCCTCTCCGGTCTCGCGCTCAAGTAGGATCTGCTCCCTTGACTTCCTCAGGTGGATTGGCAGATTCGCAATGAAGGCCTCAAGCGCATGTGAGCAGTCAATAGCCCATAGTCTCTTGAGCAGCAAATCATACAGTGTCCTTCCTGGTCGTGCTGATGGATGTGACGAAAGAGCCGCTTCGAATGCTGAGATTGGCAAAGCATGCTCAACACCTTGATCTGTCTGGAGTGACGACAAAGGCTTGTGTGTCGGTACAATGTGGGAAAGGATGAATGACAGCACAGCTGCGGCTTCTTTAATCGGGACTAAATCACCCGCATAGAGGAAAGCCACCACCAGCAAAGTGATTTTGCCGGGGGTCAGATACCGGCTCATCGTGTTGCAGACATTTGTGACCTCCCTCTATGCAATAGATGGAGAGGAGCCCAGGCCTTCCGTGGTGCTCTCATGTCACTCTTGTCAAAATTCACGACAATTTACATTCATGAGCGACGCGTTGAGGTAGTAAGCCGCACAAGGCGCGTCCACAGCCTGATCGGTTGTGAATGGCCAAGTATGACGTCATCAGGCTGTCCCGCGCAAGGCTGTACTCGCGCTGGTACTTTTCTCAAACAATTTTTGTGTACGCGAATGTTGCTCAACCCCGCAAACAACTTTACAAGGTCCTACCACACAATGGCTCTTGTCAAGCCTAATGTGGGAGATGCCCTCCCTCTTGTGGCTTCAGGCAAAGTGCGCGAGCTTTATGCTGTCGACTCCAAATCCCTGCTCTTTGTAGCGACGGATAGGATATCTGCATACGATGTGATCATGAAGAATGTACGTACCCATCACCCTGCGCTCATTCCCACAGCTCACCAACCAGTGCCATATATAGGGTATCCCACAGAAAGGCGTCCTCTTAACTCTCATGACTGCACACTGGTTTCAATATCTCCAGAAACAAATCCCGACCCTCAAGACCCATTTTCTTTCCCTCGATCTGCCATCTTCCCTACCAGATGATGTTGCTACTGAGCTGAAAGGCCGCAGTATGCTTGTGCGCAAACTCAAGGTATTCCCTCTGGAGGCCATTGTACGAGGATACATCACAGGCTCGGCATGGTCGTCGTACAAGAAGACCGGTGAGGTGAATGGCAGGAAGATGCCTGAAGGACTACAAGAGTCGCAAGAATTTCCCGAGCCGATCTACACGCCGAGCACTAAAGCCGAGCTTGGTGAGCATGACGAAAACATATCGATAGAACAGGCTGCGAAGATTGTAGGCGAGAAGCACGCAAAGCGGATCGAGGAATTGTCGCTACAGATTTACAAAGCTGCAAGGGACTATGCAAGAGAGAGAGGCATCATCATTGCAGACACCAAGTTCGAATTCGGCTTGGATGAGGAAACGGACGAGGTGGTGCTGATCGATGAGGTCTTGACACCAGACAGTTCGAGGTTCTGGCCAAAGTCCAGTTACCAGGTTGGTCGGGGTCAATCAAGTTTTGACAAGCAGGGCTTGCGCGACTGGTTGACACAGAATGGCGTGAAGGGGAAGGAGGATGTGGAAATGCCGGACGACGTCGTCGAGGCTACTCGGGCCAAGTATCTCGAAGCTTTCAAGGTCTTGACAGGCAAGTCTCTGGAGGAGACATTGCGACCCATGCATTAGAGGTTGAGCACTTCGTATGGAAGTGATCTCTCGAGCGCCCTGATGGGAAATGGTACTGTACAGTTTCAGGGCCTTAGGCATGCGGGAACAACATGCTATCACCGAAACGCCTTCGTGTCTCCTGTGCCGACTTTGCCAAAATGTGGCACTCGTTCCCGGAAGCTCTTCTTCTGGTCTGGCATGTTCCTCCTCTCTTCGGCCTTCTGTTCTAGCTTCTCCAGCGTGACTTCGCTAAGTCTTGCACTGCCTTGGTCGCCCTCTTCCCACCCCGTCCGTCCGTCAACCTGGCCCCTCTCATTCAAGTTCGTAGCCCACATAGCAGCAATGCCAAGCTCGAATGGACCCGGCTGTCTATCGATCAAGCCTATCCCAAAGCTCTTGACTTTGTGCCGCAGCATCTCCGATTGCGGCTCTGTGACAATCCCATGATTCGTGCGTACAAACTCGTGCAATTTGATCCAAACAGTCTCCCATTGCGCTGGACTGTTCGGCCCTTCTGCGCCCTTGTGATATTTCGTGTACAGCCGATGCTGATGAATGTCTGATTCCACAATCGAGTCCGTTTGGATATTGACGAAGTATTTCCGTCCGTCGCTTTTCACCCGTAACGCCAGATACATGTAGGAGTCGACATTCCAGAAGAGCTCGCCGAATAGTGTTCGTCCTCGGTCATGATTTCGCCATGCCGCATAACCTGTCCTCTGGATATCTGGTCGATTCGCTGGCAGTTTCGTGGAGATATTTCCGCTGAACACAATGTGTGCGGGTGTAGGAGGATCGGTCGAGTCATCGCGAGGCTTTTGCGCGAGAGTCGCTGTGGAAAAGCCGCCTACTGATTGGTCTGTCATTGTCTTCAGTGTCGTTATCGTTGCGGTGTCCGCGAAATCGAATACTGGGTAGGGCGCAACCGGTAGGTGCAAGCCTTCTAGGTTCAAGGCTGTCACACAGCACAAGTCAGCCGTTGCTACGATGGAAAGTCAAGGCTAGAGGGACTCCTTCTTCTGCTTCACTCCCGGACACCTGGGTTTCGCCCGAGTCTCAATTGCAGCCAGAGGATCACATACCGAACTTGGTTTGCCTTCCCAATTCCTGGCCTGTCTTCTTCCAGAAGCCAGGCGCACAGCGCCTGACTGTGGGCAAGAACATGACTGCAGGAGTCAATCGTAGTGAACCACTCTCTCAGCCATGAGATGAGAAGTCCATGGCTGTATTGCTCGTGGTTGTGTCCTGGACTTGCACAACTTTAACCGGCACTGATAGAGACTGTCACTCTTCCCTCAGCCTTTCCCAGGCCCAACCATCTACCATGTCTCCCAGAAATGATGACGTAATTTGTCGCCGCTTTGCATCTTGCCAAGGCGATTTCCCAAAATCGTTAGCGTAGAATGGTGCTTTCGCTGGACCTCATCAGTCTTCTTCTCTCCATGTCCAGAACCACTCTCTCTGTCACTGACACATCGCACAGTATGCTGCCGGTCTCCTGTGCGCCTCTCTCACGGTAATAGCGTACCCAGATATGCCTCCTCAATATGTCACAACAAGGCATCCATTTGTCAAAGGTAAGATGCCGGCGTGGAGAAGCCGCCAACCTGCATTATCATACCATTGACAAGCTTCGGCGATATGGGTTGTGATCCTCTTTGATTGAGTGGCCCTTCTCTCCCCTGTGCCGGCTGGCCTCAGTGACAGGACCCTAATCATGCGGTGGGTATGGTGGAAATTCGTCATCTCGCAATGACCGTGTGCCAAAGGTTCGGGATGGGAACCTGACCAGCCACATGAAGAGCCTGGAGCACAGCCACGTCATGGCAAGTTCCTTTCCCAGTTCCCCATCTGCGGCTGAGAAGCACCATAAGGTGTGGTCCCTTCAGCAACAATGATTGCCGTGCTTCCCTGACCGACAAGAGCATGTCTGCTACCATGGACTCTCCCCCCACAAGCGAAGCTAATACGATGCCAATCGTACCACAAGGGGTGTCAAGTTGAACTAGAGTGGGAGAAAACATAAAGCAACAACAAGAAACTGCTATGAGTATCGGAAGCCGCTGGAAAACGACACAAGCTGTCGAGGTTACCCAAAAACAGGTCACGAAGATGGGTCTGCTGGATCTATCTTGCTCACAACGTTGCCGCCCCTTGGATCGATGACTATCGGGGGTCCCTGAGACAAGCCGTCACTATGGACAACAAAGTGAAGTGACGACGGTCTGGCCACCGTGATTGTGCTGGGCTTAGTGACGATTGGGTGCCTATTGATCTCCAGAAGGTGAAATATTCGCTGAAACACTGCGATGAAGTCAAGTTTAGAGCACGGAAAGAGCCTAAGGAGTCGCAAGCTGGTGATAAAAGTGAAGATGGTATAAACGCCAAGGCCAATCAGAATCAACCTCCCCTCTATACAGGACTCCTTTCACTCTGACCTGTCACCTCTCTCACTTGCACCCCACCTACCTTTACACCCTTGCTCGTTTGCCAGCTGTTATCACCTTGCTTCAAGAGCTCTCTCCTCGAGCTAAACAGAATCGAACTCGTTTACAAACAAGCGCAACTTCCTGTCTCTTTCTTAAACGCAACGTCAAATCCACAACAGCCAGAGAAAGCTTGAACACCATCACCAAATCTCAAAAACACCTCAGCACGAAGAAACGCTGACAAAATGACTTCTCGACTCGTGTCTTCGGCGGGCTCTTCCCCTCGGCGTCTGATGCTACCAGCATTGCCTCTTCCCATCTCGCGTTCAGCTAACGCTACACCCCGAGTCCTCTCGCCAAAGCCTGAGATGGATTCTATCATCAAGGATTTGCGTGAGACCAAGCTCCAAGCAAGCGACGAGAGCGAAAAGAATGTCCAGATTCCTTCAGGTCAGTAGTCGTCCATTGTGGCGTCCACTTCACGCCTATCCACGACCTATGTCGCGGCTTTCTACGACCTGTTTTCATTATGCTAACGGTTTGCTTGCGACTCAGATGCTGCCAACGCCCAACCTACGCCCACAGCAACGCCAATCCCTGTCGTTGTTCTTGCATCGGGCTCTCCAGTCCAGAATGCAGCCGGCCTCAGTGCCGATGACGACGTCTTTGGTGCTATGTCCCGCGTTGCTGCGACCACCAACGTTGCTGCCGCCCCCGCCAACGCCATCGACATCGCTCCAACCGCATCGACCTCTGATGATAGTGCTCCGAATACCCTCGCTCACAGAATCCTGAACAATCTTCGTGCTCCTGCAGCCTCCCATGGCTTTGCACCTCGACCAGACAGAGTCAACCAAATCCCCACAGCAGCTAATGCCCAGGGCTTATTCCGGCCAGATGCTCTGATTTTCGTGGCGAAGTAAGCTCAAACGCCTGGCAATACAATCTGTATAACTGACTCTTCTTCTAGTCTCAGTATGCGCCGAACTGAAGAGGAATTGGAAATGACCGTGCATCATGCGTTTGACGCATACGGACCAAATCACGTCAGAATACACTACGACCGCAACAAGCATCCCTATGCCTTCGTGCAATATGAGGTACGCATATACAAAAACATGGTGGCGCCACAGCCCGCTGATTCTGCCTACAGACTGCTGAGGACGCCAATGCCGCGGTGTCGGGTGCATTTGGCATGGTACTCGATGGTCGCAAAATCCGCATCGAACGCGCAAAAGCAGAACGTCAGTCAACAATCTGTATTATCTGAGTGGTGACGATGAGCTAATATTTGTCCCAGGAGCTGTCATCCTCAGCAAATTTGACGGGTCAAACGTCACTGAAGCCGAAGCACGCAGCATTCTGGCAAGATTTGGTCCCATGGAGATCGTCGCTCCTACCACAACCCCCAACCGCCATGGCACAGGCACTTCCACCGGCATCTACGTGCGCTTTGCATACTACCTGGACTGTCGCGATGCATTGAGAGTGAGTATACATTGCCCGAATGGTTGTCACTACTCGATCTAACACAAGCGTAGCTTTTTGATAACCATAGAAATACCTACCGACTCTTCATTGCGCCCAGCCTAGAACCTCGCTTGCACGTCGGCCCTGATGGCCGGTCGGTAGTTCGCGGCTTCCAGCAGCCTCGATCGGCAATCGACCAGAAGTCAATCTACGTGGGAAACCTGCCCGAGGGAACTAACAAGGCCGAGTTGGAGCAGTATTTCAGTGCATTTGGCCATATCTTGAATGTCAATGTCATGCGCAAGATCTATGGTAAGTCCAAGCCAATCAATTGGCTTTGTCGCCCTGCATCGCTAACGTTTGTCGCAGATGGTAGCATTGTGAACAATTTCGCGTTTGTGGAATTCGCCCACCAGCATGAAGCCATCCAAGCGGCCGCTGGCGAACGTCATTTCCATGGCGTCAAACTTCGCGTTGAGGCCAAGGAGTATTCTGCACGTCATCAAGCCCGTGTGTTGCCGGTCGGCGTCGCCGCCAACGTTGCGGCCATCGAAAATGGCCGAATGGCGAACGTCATGGACAATTCCAACGTTCGCTATAGCAATAACGTTCGCGGTCCGTATCGACATGTTGAACCTGCTGTTGGCGTCTACGACCGCCAGAATCACATCACACCGCCCGCCAACGCTATGTATGGAACGCCTATGCAACAAGCCGTCAGACCTGATTTCGGAATCATGACTCCTCCTTCTCAACATGGCATGCAGATGCCACTCAATCAGATGCTGCCAACTGGAATCTTCTCTCCTACACCTTCCCACCTTGCTGACGGGCAATACGCCTATCAAGGCCTTCCCTTTGGCGCTGCCCCTGCTGGCCCAGCCATCTACTACCCTCAGTCTGTCCCTACCATCCAGGAAACTGGCGAGGAGACCCAATACGAGGGTTATGGTGGCGTTTGAGGCGTTCACACGGCGTTACTTTGCACAATTGCATCGGCTGAAGCATACACATGGACACGACACATCAAGAGCTTTGCACAATCATCAGACATTGACACACAGACATGCACATCGCGGATAAATACGCAAAATCAGACACGACACATCAAGGAGCTTGTATCATGGTCAGAGAATGACACTCTACGCGGATAAAATCGCAACAAACAAACAGAGAAGACAAGTCAAGGGCTTGCATCATCGTCATACATTGACACCCAACGCGAATAAAGACGCACACATTGCTGGATGATTGAAATGGGCTGAATGGCATTGATGAAACGGGCTGAGAGGAATTGCCCCATAGAACACATCCAAAAATGCCTTGCACATGGCTGAGATGCATTGAGCTGAAATGAATGGAACACAGTACACATGCCCGATTGGACGGAGAACCCGGGACATTAAAAAGGGGATCGACGGAGCTGAACAACCAAAAGTGCACTGAATGACATGAGCATAGCACAACAACATAGCAGAACAGCAACAGGAGTGCCTACCGCATTTCGCATGAAATGCAGTGAGCTTGAGCATAGCCAGCAGAACAGCATAGCGCAACAACAGAAGTGCATATCCAACAGCATAGCAGAACAACAAGAGTGCATACCGCGCCTCCCATGAAATGCAATGAGCTTGAGCCAACCTTCGTAGATCGTTGCTGTGGGTAACAATTTTGTCACGACTCTCGCTCACTCTACTCGGAATTGGTATCGTCTCGCATTACGGAGCATAGCTTCCAAGGCTGTTGAATGGGTGCCCTAGTATTGTAACCACATTGTGACATACAGCCATTTTATGACAGCTTAAGCAGTACTTCATATTGCTACTGGGGGTGCTTATCTCGTATCGAACACAAAACCTCATTGATACTCCTCATAGGCATCTACCTTGCTGGCAAACAAACCTTGGGCTAATTTGGCGGCGTCTTGGGTACTCCTCCAGCGGGCTGATTGCCCTGCAAACTCTCCAGCAACTCCTCAGACATGGCATCAAGGTCTTCTTCCTTGAGACCTGTAGCAAGAGCGACCAGTTTTCTGTGCTTGCCCACCCGTCCGCCCGTACCTGCATCGCCCATCAGTTTGGCCACCTCTTTGACCCAAAGGCGGCGTATCTGTTGTTGGGTGTTCAACTCGACCGCCCATGGCGCGGCGGCGTGGATCTCGTCAGGCGAGAGCGGGTGGATGTTGGGGAACCGGAAGGCTTCGGGACTGGTAAGCTGATCTTGCAGGAAAATCTCGGTCTGGAGGGTGATATGCTCTTTGTTTTCGAGCAGGGATTCCATCTCGTTCAGGCACATGTCGTACTCCTGGCGCAGAACCGGGATCTTGGAGGCGTCCTCGGAGCGGGCCATGAATGAAAAGGTGTCTTGCCGGATCTTGTGGCGCTGATTCTCGAGCTCGGTGAGTGCTTGCTTGGCCTCTGCGATTTCTGTGTCTTTTTCTGCCATCTGTTTGTTGTACAGGTCGGCCAACTTGCCACTGCCTTCGTCCATCAGCGGGCCGATCTTATCTAGGACCATGGATGCTGCTCGAGACACCGACTCCTTCTGACGTTGGCATCGGGATTGTTTGGATGAGACTGGGTCTCCTGTCCGTGGCGGGGAAGACCCGGGTTGCTTGAGGCTTTTCTTCTCTCGAAGCGCTCGTAGGTAGTCGTTGGCAGTTTCCCCCTTGAGGTTCGAAATGTCCCCTGCTTCGGGGCAGTGATTGAGCAGAAAAGTCGCAACCTTGACACAGCCATATCGTATCGCGCAAAGAGCGGCTGTATCGTGGTTGTGGTCGACCGAGGTTAGAAGTGCTTGGACATAATTCGAACCCATTTCTTGCATCTTGTTGATCAGAACCTCGCAGTAATAGCGAGCACAATTCCATTTGCTTCGCGTGCGTGCTGACTCGGCAATGTGGTGGAAGACAGTTGCTCCATAAGCATCCCGCTCAACCACTGTGTGGGCAAGCATTCCCACAATCTTGGGAAACGTCTTCTTGTCGTAGTTGTTGGTGAACAGTACGGCTCGAATCAACGGGGTCTCTGCCGAGCTGCTGTTCGGGGCCGCGGGATTGGCGCCTCGCGCGAGGAGGTCTCTTGCAACCACAACGTCTCCCATGGCGCAAGCCCAGTGCAAGGCATTGTTACCAAGGTTGTCAATGGGCCTATCGACGTGGAAGTTCAGAGGCGGTTCTGGAGGTAGAATGTTGGAGCCAATTGGATCGTCACCAGCTGTCACAAAGTAGTCGAGCAACTCATCGCCATACATTGTGTGCTCCAATTCCGAGACCGTCTGAGGGAGTTCCTCGAAGTCTCGCTTTCGCTTCCTGGATGCTGCGGAATTCTGCGACAGCGGTAGAAAGTCATCTTCAGCTATGAAGGATGCCGTTTCCGGAGTAGGTTCTCGGCTGTCTGTACCATTATGAGGAATGCTGGCGGTCTCGTAGCCATCGACGGCTGGGTAATGATGTTGAACTACATCGAGTTAGTACTCGTCCGGACGCGAACTTAGCCATACTCACTGGGTAGACTATTCTGTAACTGGGGCGGCTGCTGATGCTGCTGCTGCTGTTGATGCACTTTTCGTGGGGGAGCAGGCTGCTTGGGCGGCTTTGGACGGTTCGAGGCAGCAGTGGTGTGTTTTGGAGCAGGAGGAGGACTGCGATCGCCAGGCACAAAGTCGAAGATCCTGGATATGCTGTCGAGAATGTCATGCTTCTCTGCCAGCAGGCGACCCTCGTTCAGAGGCACCCATGTTCCCTGGTATTTTCCATATCCGCCTTGGATCTTCTCATGTACGCCTTTCTGCACTTCTCGCTCGAGAATCCGTGTTCGGGCTGGTTTGTCAAAGCCGGCGATTTTGAGGATGTGTGTGGCATTGACCCAGTCGTCCGATCGGCGTCGCATGACATGGTCGTTCCCAATCTTGAGTTCATATACCGGGACCTACGATCCCCATGTTAGTCTGTATCCACGTAGGCGGAGTAAGGCCACGAACATTGCTGTAGGTCGCGGAGTAGATATCGCGGTCTGCCATTTTCTGACTTGATGTGGTCGTTGCAGGAAGACCAAAGCGGCCTCGGCCAAAGGGTCAGTGATAAGATAGACCCGGTGCGCTTGATACTGCTCGTCACGCAGTGGATTCTCTCCACTTCGACTGCTGGTGCTATAGCCTTACACCCCTGGGGCAGTTGAACAGACGCGCCGCGAGGAGGAAATTCACGCGTTGACGCGCTGCAAGTGGGGTGGAAGTAGTCAGCCAATCACAGCGACGCAGCTGCGGACTGCCAAGAGTGGTGCAGCCATGACGTTCGTTACTAATCAGTCGCCTTGATCTGCGGGGCATCGATGCTCGCCGATGCATCTCCGAACCGAACCCGCCTGCCTTTGAAATTAACCCGGATCTGAGGCCAATGCAGTCGGCTGCTGCTCGCGTCATCGAGCCTCGAGGGAATTCTTACATATTGGGACAATGCTGGGGACCAGAAGGGAAATCTACCCTCTCGAGCCTGACTCCTCCACGTCATTTTTTTTCCTTTCGCGATTCTTCGACTGCTGACAATTCCGGTACGCTCGCAAACGAATAAATATAACGGAACGACAGGCAAGAGGTACGTATTATTCTCCGGCCTTCGCATCATACCAGCTTCATAGACTCGACGAACGATTGAAGCTAACAATCACCGCACATGCAAGCCGCCACTTCACTCAGAACTGTCAAGGCATCTTCCTCGCTTCTGAGGAACCTGTCACACGCTACGCCGACTCGGTCCTTCGCATCTCCTGCCCCCAGATTCTTCAGTACTGGTGCTCCCCGCGCCGGGAACATGACGGCCGCCACCTTCAAGTACATCGACCCGGCCTCCTACGTTAAAAGCGATGTCCCCTTCGTAAAGCCGTGGGGCAAAGTCGACGGGCCTGGCTACTCCTTCAAGCTGACAGACCGGGAACGCTCAGTCGAGGACATCCGCGGACGGGAACGGGAGTATAACATTGATAACTCCGGTTTCGCAGTCTACAAGTCCCCTGCACAAGAGAAGGCGTTCACCGACGATGCGAAAGTCCGGGACGGCTACTACGCCGAGGTTGAGGCTCTTCTGCGGCAAAAGTTGCCGGGAGTAAAGAAGGTGGTCTTCTTCGACCACACCATTCGACGCAGAGAGAAGGCTTCACCGCGCCAACCCGTCCAGCAGGTCCACGTTGATCAGACACCCAGGGCCGCGGAGATCCGAGTGCGCCGGCATCTGCCCGCAGATGAGGCCGAGGAACTGCTGAAAGGCCGCTACCAAATCGTCAACATCTGGCGTCCGATCGCCAACCCTGCCTCTGATTTTCCCTTAGCAGTCGTCGACTACCGGAGCACCAAGCCTGAAGACCTGGTGAAGGTCGATCTCCTCTACCCCAAGAGGGAAGCCACAGATGACGATGATCGAGGCAAGGAAGTCCTTCCGGACCCAAGCTCAGCCACGTCGACTGAGGGCTACGAAGTCAAGGGCGAGACCTTTGCCGTCCAACCAAGTGAGAACCACAAGTTCTTGTACATGAAGGACATGACGCCCGAGGAGGTCATGTTCATCAAGTGTTTCGACTCCTTCAGCGAGGTCAACGGCGGGAAGAAGGGTGTTGCAGCCTACACGCCGCACACGGCGTTCGTGGACCCGCAAACTCCAGCCGACGCGCCTGGCCGGCAAAGCATTGAAGTCAGAGCTCTCATCTTTTATGAATAGATGGGAGAAGGTGCATGGTATACATATATTCCAGGATACTCATCTGTATTATATTTGAGCCTAGCATAGCGTTTGGGTGGTGTATGATCGTGGCATATGCAGTATTGCATATACAGTATTTCGATCGTTGCACATATGGTAATGAACATTGATCGTTGCATATACAGTAACGAACATTGAGCTTCAAACGTCTACTCCTTTAATATGGTGATCAAGTAGATTCGAGACCACGAGTACGAACCAAAGCGCCTCAGGAAGAGTGGAACAGGTGTGTGATTAGAAGTCGAGATGGATTTCTGGCCGGTATGTAGGTATTACATACTTCCGTGGCAGACCCCGTGCCGAACCACGTCGCCCAGGGGTTGAACAAAGCAGAGCAGCAGACAGATGTTTCTTTCTCATCACGCCCATCGGCATCCTGTGTCTCGTCCAATCCATCCCTGCCGAAATAGATATTGAGCCTGTATCCTCTTCGCCAAACCCTCGCCGAAGTGGATAGGGAACCAAAGGTATGGGCTGGTGGGCGGAGCGTGTGTCGGAGTGCCACCGTGTAATTACTCCACGTCATAAACCCTCAACACGACCTTGCCCCTTGTCCTCCCGCTCTTCAATCGATCAAACGCCCCCCCAAACTCCTCAAGCCCATCATACACACTATCGACCACGGGCTTCACCTTGCCGAGCTCCACCAACCGCGTGACTTCCGCCAACTGCTCGCCGCTAGGACGCATGACGAAGAACCGTCCACTCACACTGCCATCGACGCCCTCGGGCCGCTCGAGGTCCCACTTCCACTGCATATCCTCCGGAGGCACGATCGAGAGGACCTGGCCACTGTGCGGTTTGACGGCGTGCCACGCCTGTGCGAGGGAGGAGCCGCCGATGCAGTCGAGAAGGAGGTCGACTTTGCGCTCGGCGTCGGCTTCAGTGGCCTCTGAAGTGGCCCAGCTCTGGATGTTGGTCCGGCGGTAGTCGAGGACTTCGTCAGCCCCCAGGGTGCGGACAAAGTCGACGTTTTGAGGGCCTGTCGTGCCGATCACGTGTAGGCCCGCGAGCTTGGAGAGCTGGACGGCCCAGATGCCGACTCCTCCAGAAGCGTTGGTGATGAGGATGCGTTTCTGTTTCTGTGCCGTCGGGCCACCTGGCTGTGGGGTCGCATGGGACCAGGACGAGGAAGACGGCGGCAACGGAGGAGGGAGGTTGAGCTGCTCGAAGAGGGCCTGCCACGCGGTCAGGGCAGAGACGGGAATGGTGGCTGCTTCGGCGACGGATATGTTCTTCGGACGGAGAGCGAGTTCCCCATCGTCGGAGAGGGTGTACTCCCTGGCGGCGCCGGGGTTGGGGTACTGCACGCGGCCGTAGACTTCGTCGCCGGGCTGAAATTTCGCGGTCGGCGACGGGGACGTCACTATTTTGCCGACGAATTCGACGCCGGGGGTCGAGATGGTGAGCTCTTCGGGACGGGGCCAGAGAAGCTCGCCGTTCGTGAGAGCCACGGCGTGGGTCTTGACGAGGTATTGAGTTGGGGATGGTGTGGGGAGGGGTGTCGTGCCGATGCTGAGGGATTGGGTCTTTTGGTTGTGCAGGAGGGCTCGCACCGTGTCTGGAAGCGCGGTCGTCGACATGGTTCTGCGGGGTTTGAAGATCTGCTGAATTCTTATGGCACAATGCTTGATCATGAGACTGTTGCTGGAGGCCTGCCGTGGTTGAGAGGTCTCTTCTCAGGGAGACCACCCTCCCACCTTTTATACATCTGTCGAGGGCGTACCAAAAAGGAAGTCTTTCCACTCACGGTACATCCCATGCTGTCGCGCGACGACCATAGACGGCCAGAATTCGCCGTCAGCAACCATTGTCTTGACAGAATATTTGCCTCTTTCGTCTCCCTGGACCGTGTGTCAAGCTACACTCGTATTCATGGTTCCCGGTCTGCCATGGTAATTGCGCGGCATTGAGAATGTCCACGGTCGCACGGAGGCTTATGGTCGCCCTCGGGCCTTTGAAAAAGCGCGACAGTCGCGTATGCGGGCGCCATACCGAACCTCGAGAGCAGGGCACCAATGGCACTGCCAGATTTGATGCCTTTTCAAGACAAGCTGAGCGTGAGGGCGAGGACAAGACGAGGATGATTATCAACACAAGGTCGCCCAAAGTCTTGGCTCGGCGATTGACGTGACCCTTGGCCTCGGTAGCATTGTGGACTTCCGCGGGACCTTCTGACTCACCACGTTCCGGCTCTTCCCTGTGATCGTACACGCGATTCGCAAGCTCGGACCTGCTAACACTTGCGAGGCAGTCGTGGAGGTGTTTGAGGTAGCATCGACTTGAGGTGTGCACAGTAGGCCGTGTCTTGAGCGCTCCACACAGCTGGAGCCGAAAGTCAGGCAGGCAGCAGCAGCAGTTCTCGTTGTGATCAGCGAGGTATGTCATGGGACAATAAAAGTCACCATTGCTACGCCTGCGGATAAAATCAGCCGCGCGTCTTGCCAGATTTAAGAAACCTTGCCTTTACAATGCCTCTCATCCTGCAAGAAGCCGTCGAGGCCGACGCGCCTCGCATCGTCGAGGTCGAGCGCCTCGCTTATGCCTCTAACCCGCTGAGCCCTATCTTGTTTCCTGGCCCATTCCCACCAGAAGCCACAGTTCAGCGCGCGGAAGGCATGGTCAAGCAACTCCGCGAAGATCCGACCATCCAATGGATCAAGGCCGTGGACACCGAGACTGGTGAACTGGCGGCGTTCGCGAAGTGGGATATCATCGAGAAACCCAAGGAGCCCGTCCCAGGCCGATCATTCGGGCCTGGATGCAACGTCGAGGCGTGCGAGGAGTACTTTGGCGGCATTCACAGGAAGCGACGGGAGTTGATGGGGGACAAAGCGTATTGCTGTGAGTTGAGTTGGTGGTCCTGGCCCAGGTGGAAAGATCTCAACTGACGAGGAGCATCTGCCCTGCTAGTACTTGACCTCCTCCAGACAGATCCCAAGTATCAAGGACGCGGAGCGGGTGGCATGCTGATCAAGTGGGGTCTGGATATTGCAGATGCGCTTGGCCTGCCTGCATATCTCGAGTCTTCTCCCGTGGCGCACCGGTTGTATCAGAAGTTCGGCTTCCAGGACATTGATGAGTTAGTCCTCAGCCCAAAGTGGAACTACGGGTCGGCGAATCCAAGTATCTACTTCATGCTGCGGGGAGCACAGGTGAAGATGTAGTCGAGTTCACAAGGCAGCCTATCCGAGCCAGGACACTAATTACTCAACCGCAACGGAGAAGAGGCTGGCTTGTGCGTAGCGACGTGTACATGTGGCCGAAAGGGAAGGAGATTGTGACAGCGTTCAGCCAGGAAAGAAAGAGGGTAGGCTACAGACGGTACTCCGTCATTGGAGCGGCCTCTCCAAGCAATAGGTATTTTGACGTTGGCCAGCATCCCGCCTTGGCAGAACGGGACAGGGAACATGAAGTTTACATGGACATATACAAGAGGTACATGAGGTGGGCATGAATATAGGCAGGAATAGAGAAGCGAATAGGACTAAGGATAGGACAGAAACCAGCAATAATCTCTACCATTCGCTGAGAGCCATCGGTCGGCTTGGCCTGTAAGTTCTGTGATCCTAATCTTAATCCTCGTCCTGCAACTCCCTCATATAATTTCAGATTCATTATTCCAATTCACTCCTTGTCACCTGCAGCCTCGACCTGAACATCGTCCTCAGCCTCATCGTTGCTGCCCAAATGCCACCACTCGAACAAAAACGCCCTCGCCTTTGTGAACGCCTCGAGCTTAAGCTTCCGGTGCTCCTCGCTGATCCACGAATCAGGAAACTGCGTCCAGCCATGCACGACACCCTTGACCGCCTCGACTAAGAGATCGGCGCCCCTTCCCTGGTCATGCACCTTCTGAACCCAAAGCAGACTTTGCGAGTTCAAGGAATCGAACTGCGGAAGAACCAGGAGCGCTTTCGCCCGCGGATGGAGCCCGAACTTGGACTCGTCGCCCTCTTGGACCGTCGTGATGTCTGCCAGTCCTGGACTGGCTCGCGGGTGGGTTCTCTTCTCCGGCGGCAGATACGTGGGCATCAACTCACGCTCGAGGCGCCAGCGCTCGACAAAGCTGTTCGGCGGATCGAGGCCCTCAGGCCGCGGCCGCTCGTCGGGCAGCAGTCGAGCGTCCAAGCTGGGATAGAACAGCAGCACGGGGATATCAGTCGGCCAGTCCCACTGCAGGGGACTGAGCCAGTCGGTCTCCAGGGTGGGATCGTCCTTGACACTCAGCACGAGGTTCAACGCCAGGTTTCCGCCGGAGCTGAATCCCGAGAGCGCGATTTTCGTGTCGTCCAGCTCCACGGGCTTGCGGCCCTCCTTGAGCATCGCCCACATGATACCCTCGCGCAGTGGCTTGTACGCCTTGTTGCTCCGGTCCGTGATCGCGAGGACGACATCCTCGGCGTCGAGGTTCGCGGCCGGGTACTGCGCGTACGGCCCCAGGCGGTAGTCGACCGAGATGACCACGCAGTTCAGTTCCCGGCACATCCGGCTGCAGAAGGGGGCTTGTTCCTGGCAGGAGCCGAGGATGAAGCTGCCGCCGTGGAAGTCGATCAGGACGGGCAACTTGCCCGCATGGTTATCGTCGATGCCCAGTGGATGAAGGGTCTCCTTGAGGTGCGAGCCTGCGGAGCTTTTGTCGCCGTGGCGGTGATGCTTGCGCAAGGGCGGCACCCACACGTAGATGGGGATGAGGTGCTTGCCTCGTGAAGGGATGTCGAATACGATGGGCTGTGGCCCTTCGGCCGATGTGAAGTTGAGGACAAAGTCCGGGACGAGGCGTGGTAGACTGACCAGTGCTTTCCGCCAGGACACGCCGAATGGTTGTGTGAACATGGCCCGCGCAGGGTGGTCGTCGTCCCTGTACTTGTGCTTCATCTATCCGAAGATGTGAGAAGGAAATTCCAACACCAGGGGCGGAGTAAGGATCCGTTGACCGTGGCCAGAGTGTGCTGCTTCGATAACGAGCAGACACGATATTGCTACGGTATTCGCAAGAGAACCTCCTTGTCCAGTCAGATGATGACATCCAAAGGTACCGGGTAACATTGCCGAAGGTGTACGGGAACTCACTGCAATCTTGCAAAGCTGGGTCCAAAACGACGTCCTAATAGAAGCCCAGGCGCCTTGTTGCTGGCACCTATCTGTCTGAGTATAGATGTCAAGTAACACCAGTTATGGATGTGTCGTGTTACTTACTGTATAAGAAGTCTACGCCGACTAGATCTAAAGTGACTCTCAGACAACGCCAGAGCGGGAAAACTAGGCTGAAGCTTATGAGTAATGGTTCAACCGGAAAAGGTTAGTGATTTGTTCTTCGTACCTGGCGCTTTTTGTGCTGTTCTCTGCCTTCTCTAATTACCCAACAGCTTCTGCTACCCTTGGGAATTGATCTTCGCAAGACACCAGTCCTGCTAGATGAACAGGTAACCCAGTCGTAGGAGGAGGTGTCGGTATCTCTGGTCTGAGAGTATCCCTTATCACAGCCAGTCATCTGCAACGTACGTCACGCCTGTCTTGCCCGTGGGCATGTCAAACGATGTTAGCGGCATGACAGCGCTTCACAGGATCCCTAACTATCCTCGCGTCGCTTCACTCCAAAAAAAAGGCGCCATCCCGTGGTCTCACAATGCGAAAAACAGTGCAGGAAAGTAGAACAACGAATTGTGTCTCTTTGTCCAGTGTCACTACATGGTGTGTCTGGCGTGGTTAATGTCCCTTGAGCGAGACAGACGAGTCAAACCGTGAGCTAGATACAATTCTTGAGCCAGCCGTGACTACGCGCAGTCGAAAACGCAGCATCAGTCTCCATGCTTTCTTCATCTCTCAAGAAAGATGTAGAAAACTCACTTCACCTCACCGCCTCTCCCTGGAAACCTTAACGGCATACCCCACCATCGCGCCCTCGTATTGTCCGCATACTGTTGTCCTCAATGCAACGCAACAAACAGCCTTGGTGCAGGTCGCTTCGACACCAGGATCTTTTCTTCGTCCGTTGTTGCGTCGACAACCTGAATGGTCTCCGTAAGAAAGTCCACGTACGCAGCCTGCTGAGACACGTTAATTTCGACCACCAGAAAGAAGCTTGATACTTACACCATGCGACTATGGAAATACGTTAGCTCGTTTGATGGACATGGGCAAGGACTGGTACTTACGTAGGTGTCTTCAGACAACGACTGGACCCACACGCGGAGTTTGAAGAGGTATCTAGCTGGCTTTCTCACCCTCAACGCCGACTCCTCAACATGTCGCTTGATTATTTTGTGGGCAGGGGAGTCCCAGGGATAGTTACGACGCATGTCTTTCGCGAGCCTAGTCAAAATGGGTTGAGCCTCGGTCATAGACGGATATCGGCCGCGAACCACCAGTTCTTCTGCAACACTCCAAACGACATCGTGGAGGAATGGCATTGCCTTGAGCTGATGAGCAAAACCTCCAATCGCGTAGGGGATCTTGGGTAGCTCAATCGCGCGAAGAAGGGCGAGCTCCGGACGACCGAAATTCTGTTGCTTTCTCAGGTATTTGTCGTTTCCGTTCCTGAGCATGCTCGTGACGTTGATGTTGAAAGTTGCCACCGACAGGACCACGGGTTTCGCTTCGGCCAGACAGGCTTTGGACACGAACAAGATGTTCAGCCCCATGGCACGGTCGCGTTCGAATCTCTTCTTCTTTTCCTTGTGGCTTACCACGATTTCATCCTTCCCTCGGATCGTGATGACTTGGCCTTTGAATAACTGGCGGTAGATTTCGGCGGGTCTCAGGCGCCAGATCAAAGAAGGTCTTGCGGTGAGTGTCGAATGATCCTGTCAGAGCATCTGTCGGACCGGAGTACGAGTTTGGAGTGGTGGTATGAGCAATGACCGTTTCGCGCACCGCCATCAGCGGCGTCGCTCCTTGCTCGGACGACAGATGGTTGCGCATGGCCGCCATGGGGAGGGTAACTGAAGATGATGAAGGTGATAATGATGAGAGCGAGATGTGCACTTGATCGCGATGGATCTGGGTTGAAAAAACTGTAATGTTGGCTGTACGCGTGAATGTTTACAAGGAGGAGGACTTAAGTGGCGCGATTATTCTGCGCAGTTAAAGTGAGTAGTCACATATTCACCCTGGGACAGTGAAGGGACGTTGAGGAGACAAGTGAAGGCATATTGAGGCGATGAGTGAAGGGTGAACTGAAGGTAAAAAGACCCACGGCCAAGTGTCGGAGGAGGCTTTGAGCGCATATGAAGGTCACCATCCATCCTCCGAATCCTTTCACTTTTGCCACCGTTTTTTGGCTTCCAGACAATCAAGTCATCCATCGTCGTGACGGCGTCGAGCCAGGAAAGATAGGTACATCTGTGCACCACAATACGCCGGAACCAGATGACTGTGCGCGCAGCTGCCATCCCATCCATCATTGTCCAAGGCTCCTTCCAACCCAGATCATCCACCATCACGTTCGAAAACTCCTTATTCATTTCGCCACAAATTTCTCTACCACCTCAGACAGACGACAGTTGAGAGAGACACCTTTGTGACTGGTCGTGACTTGGAGTATATGCCGCGTTGAGTGGGCAGGAACAGGAATACCCGAGGAACATGAGACCAAGGTGAAGGAAATGATGATCGTGGTAATTGCCAGCTCATCAGAGACAGCCAAAGTTCCGAGATGTTGTACAGCATATTCCCCGTTGACCTCGCGCGCAGGTGGCAGCGAAGGTAGCTGAGACGCACACCACTGGTTGGCGACGGGCTCTAGAGTGCCCCCAGCGCAAGAGTCCGGCTCTAGTATATGTCGTGACCATGTTGAAGCGACGCCCAGTGTTGACTCATTAGATACCAAAACATGTCTTCCTCATCCTCGAAGTAAGCTCTGCCCACGGGCGCAGGCTCGGCCGCCTCGATCTCATATGACTTCGCTCCCTGCCACAGGCCCTCGACGCGGACTTTCCACGTATCCAGATCGACCTGAAAATGCTACGCAGACTCGTTAGCGACGCCGACCTCGTTCTAGGACAGGATAACTCGTACGGAATGAGCTGGACCGTCTTCCTCCGGCCACAAACTTCCCTCGAGCAAGAGTCTCCTTTGTGGCCACTTGCTCTTCAGCACATTTTTGACATATCGGTGATCGAAACGATATCCGCCGAGAAGAGTCTTGATCGGATCGATCCGGACCTTCTCGACGAATTTCCGAGACACATCCCGTCCATCGAAGGCGCTTGCATCAACTGTGCCAACCCTTCTCAGCTTGTGAATCGTTATCGTTTGCACTTCAAGCATCTTGTCCAAGACCTGGCACAACCACTCCGTGCTGAAACAATGGGTCTCCAGTATCACCACGTGCCGCATTGCCTCGTATGCTTTCTCAGGTACCTGATCCGGTGGGTCTCCTGGATGAGCAGTGAAATCGAATGTAGCGGCTCGTAGAAGGTATGGCGCGACTTCCGTTCTCCATCGTCTGCTCACAGCTAACGACATGAAGGAGGAAGATGGCACTTGATGCGCGGCCCTGGCATCTCTCTCGATGCTCGGCCGCTGGAGAGGCCGGAATACGAGTCCCTCAAAGGCATACTCGTACACTCTATTGCGGATCTCTGGTGGCAGCTGAAACCACGATGGCATCGGTCAAGACTTTCGAGGAGTGGCGTCCTGTAACGATTCTCCCGATCTGTCCTCCCTACTCAGTGTCCTTGTGCAGGCAGAGTAGTCACAGTGAAGCATGAGCTGGACAACACTGCCTTCATAATGCTGAGAGTGGACCGAGGCGCCCGACCGCCAGCACATAAGGGTGGAGTGCGATAGATCAGGGACGAGATCACCGTCACAACATTCTTTCAAGAGGATGACACACGGTGTGTTATGCCGCTTATGGCTAGACCGAGACATCCCAGAGCCACGTCCCGGTATACCAGTGCGATGGCAACGAGTCGCGCTGAGGATCATGATTCAACCCTGGTCCGGGCCGTATAGAACCTGCCTATACAGGACACCACGGAATACTGGGTCAGTCGACAGCACCAGCCTCGCATAAGCGCTTCGGAAGGGTAAAGCAACGGTCTGCTCGATGATGGGAAGAGGCAACGTATACACCAGTGGGACGTGGGAGCGTCTGAAATAACCAGCTAGCGGTAAGTCATCCATTGGACTCGGCGCGGTGCGATAACAAACCCGGAAGGTGGGCTCTTCCTAATGTCGCTGAGTACCGCATGCCTGGAATGTCGCATGAATCCTGGTCGACGGAGGTGGTACTCAGACTGGAAGTGGTGGATAGAATCCGAAAACCATCGAGGCCAAGGAACCGCGGTGAGTACTTGGGGCCACAGTGGCGATCGCACGCATTTCCCGCATCTCGAAGCGATGAGTAATTTGCCAAGTAACGACTTACCTAGGTACTGTCGTTATTATACGGTATGGGCTCGAGGCCGAAGAGCGTCGGCTGCTCACCCATGCATGATCTGAGGTAAGATTGCCGGCAAACTCACACGGCTCCGTTGGGAGGGAGTGCCAGCAGCAGCAGGAGCTGCTGCTGCAACAGATGATGATGATGCGTGATGTCGCGCAGGACAATAACATATATCCAGGAAGAGGCGACGCAGCATGTCATGTCACGTCTGCGAACAAAAGGAGACATTATATACCGTCCGTCGTTTTCCCCTTCTAGGTTGTTTCCAATCGGGCGAAGCGGGCGGGCATGCGGCGCTCGAACAACCACGGATCAGACCAGACAAACTGAGTGATTACTCGGAAAGATACAAGTACCTAGGTAAATGGTATAATCACAAGTGCCTCGGAAAGGAAGATCTTTCAATGCCCGGCCGCTGCTCCGATTCCCCTGGTCACGAGGGAGGATGGATGATCTATGTCCTACCGAGGGGACAATGATTCGATCGTACCCATGTTTACTTTTAGGCTGTGCCACAGTACGGTACCAATCGTAAATACCGAGATGTTTCGTGCAGGGAGATGCAGTCTCTTGGGTCGTCCTGCTGATGTTCTGCTGTACTTTTGTTCTGTGCTCCTCGTCGCCAGCCGGTGGTTCGCCGAAACAGTTATCCTCGTGTCCTCTGCTCTGCTCTGCTCTGCGGTGCTCTGTGCTGCTCTGCTCTGCGGTGCTCTGTGCTGCTCCGCTCTGTTCTGCGCTGCTCTACTCTGCGCTCCCCTTTTGTTTGCTCCACCTCGTCGACAAGCCGACTTGCTCGCCGTAGACAATGATCCTTGTGTCTTCTACTCGGCTCTGCGCCGCTCTGCTCTGCTTGCGCTGTTCTTGTTCTGCCTCGCGTGATTCGTGATGACCTGAAAATCTACCGGCGTGTTGAGCCGACAATTCGTCCGTGAGGGAGAGAAAGAAAAGGAAATTCGTTGCTTCAGGTGCGACGCCAGAGTAAACTGGCCCGGCTGGTCTTTGGGCGCATTCTGGCTGGGATTGCCTTCAAACTAGCTCGTCCTCTTGCACACTACGGCCGTCTGAGCCTTCAGTTTCAGTACCAGACATTCTTCTGCGCGTAGATGATGTTCCTGGAAGGACGGAAGGTCAGCACAGACAGACAAGGGACTCGAACGCTACGTCAAGATGAGCGGGCTCACAGGGTCGAGGCCATTTTGGTGCCCCCAAGGACAACTTCACGGGTGACATCGGCAACGAAGAGGTGCACCTGTGAAGGCGTCCACCCTAGCCCCTTGCAAAAGGGCTTGAGGGTGAGCCCTTCAATGCCGAACTCCAGCTCGGTGATCCGAGCAAGCCCGACGTTCCTCATTGAGTCGATGGCATTGGTGTGTGGGGGTGGCGGCGGCGGCCACATGCCGATCGGGACCGCGATGCGGTCGTGGGTGAGATGCTCGAAGCCCTGCTGTTGGAGGAGCTCCCTGATGTAATCTGCCACATCGAGCCTGCGGCCCAGGTTGGACAGGCCGAGGGACAAAAGCTGGCTCATCTCCAAGACCTTGCGGCCTGGCGTGGAGTTGGGCATGACATAGTAATTTGAGTCCAGCTCATGGAACTCAATCCATCCGCCATTCTCGAGGTTGCTGCATCGCAACACGTTTCAGTTAGCAATGGGGTCATGATATATCTTGGAGAGGTCCCACGTCTGGGCGGTTGTGGGCGTCTGCACGTTGTGGGACCCGCCGACTTACTCGTAGCACTGGCGGATCAGTCGGGGCCAATCGACAATGGAGCCACCCAGCTGTCGGCCGAAGATGAAGCTGTATGGCCGGCGGCGAGGCCAGCCCGACTCCAGATCTTGGACTTCGAACTTGACGTTGGCCCGGTTGCTGCCGGCTTCGACAGGAGCGATATCAACACCTGTCACTCTACATGACGGGTCTGTCCTTCCGACGTTGAGAGCCCATTGGCCAGTCCCCGTGCCCATATCCAAAACATTGGCACCGGCCATCGAGGCCGGGCACCGGAACAGTTGCCATCGAAGGACTCTAGCTAACAACGATCCTAAGCGGTAGAAGTGGTGCTTTTCGTCCTCGTCACTGGGGAACATGGACTCTTCCGGACGACTGTCAGTCAGGTGGGCCTCGGGGCTGGGCTGGGACGGTCACTACCCGGAAAGCGACGTACCGTAGCGCCCAAGCACCGAATAGTTGCGACCATATTCCTCCTGCCAGTACCGCCCGAGCGGCATGCTCGTCGGACCTTCGTCCTCGGCGTTGCCACCGCTACGATGATTTGGTTAGAAACTTAATTTTGACAAGCCGCGCTTGGACCGCCAACCGGGGCAATACGGAAGTGGTATCCATGAGTCTGGTGGCTGAATACTTACAGGCACAGGTTCCCAGTGAGCTCGCTCACCTCCTGCAACGCTGCGTCAATGGAATCGGACGTGTTGGGTGTCGACATGATGGCTGACTTACCAGGAGAGAAGAGCTTCACAGGGGCAATATGGGACAGCTTCCTTTATGCACAAGAACCCGATGTCTGCCTCGACGGGGAGCATGGATGACACTGAAGCAAGGAGGTTTCCGACTGCAGGTGGCGGCCAACGGGGAACAGTTTGCGCAAGTCACGTGCGGCGCGGCCAAAGTGGGGTCCGACGCACGGACGCATCCACCGCATCCACCGCAGCCACCGACTTCCACCAAAATCGCCCAACAATGCCATGCACGGAAACGCATCCTTTTTCCATTCGCCAGGTCCGTGCAGGTCGCCGGGATATGGACAATCTCAGGTGCAGCCTTGCTCGTACCGGCCGACGGCGGATCGACTATAGGCATCGGGCCCTCCTGGCGAGCGCTTTCCGCCTACAGTACCACGCGGGCTACGGCTCAGGGCAGCCGTGGAGGCTAGTTGCTGGCTGCTGAATAGGCGAACCCTGAGGTCATGCACGGGCTGCCGCGCGGTGTGACAGGTTCAGCTAAAGCATTGGACACGACATATCAACTCATCCACGGGTTGTATCACATTTTCCGACCCTAACCTGCAGCTGGTTCCTCTCATTTCCAGCTTGGCGTGCGTCTCTACCGCCCAGGGAAACCGCTCTTCACGCGTTTCTAGCGCTTCACCCATGTCTCTATACGCAGCTTCTTCATGCGCTCCAATGAAATTGAGTTTGGGTATCACCATGCACAGCCAGATGCCCGGGGTTCCTAGCTCGGGGGGTTGGAATATACTTTCTATCTCCAGCGCCGAAAGCCAACCGAGTCATGTCAGGACTCGCTAACAGAATCCCGACTCGCCGATGAAGTCTGACAGGGCCAGCACTACAGGGTTATCTGGATGCAAGGCGCACAGGTGAACACACTGCGGGTCGTGTCTTCACTCTTCTAAGCATCACCCTGCCGAACATGATGCATCAAAAGCCGACACGATCAAGAGCCAGGATCCGTGGTAAGTCCCATTGCCTGACTCATGATGTATCTTGGCCCGTCTCCAATCGAGATGGCCATGATGCCACTTGACTGGTCATCGATCCCGGGAGAAACTACCGAATTCGCACCCTCGTGCAGGGTCATTCCCACCATCAGCTTCTTCAATCGGAAAGTGCAGGGTTATGTCACTGACCTGAGCTTCTTCCATGCGAAAGTCCAGCGCTTTTCTGCAAAGGATAATGGTTTACCAGACTTTCGATCGTGGATCCGCCAACCGTAGACATGTCTGCAGGGCGGCACAATATGACGAGACTCTCCCAAGGTCTGTCCAGTCGTCGAAGCAAGGTCCGTGCCGATTGATGAGCATGTCCCGTTCATCGATGTCCCATCTGCAATCCTACAGTGGGTGAAGGCGTTGTGTTGGTGGATGGGATCGTATCGGTGTATAAATGCTGAATCTCCATCACTGCGCAGCCGGCGGGTCGTGACTCGGGAGCCATCAAAAACGGCGAACGGGCAGATGAGTGGTACTGTAACTGCACCTGCCTCTGCCTCTGTGTCGCTTGTGGCGCCCATGATGTGTGCCGTAGCAGTAGAGATGGCATGGGCATGTGCGGCAAGGACGGACAGACCAGGAAGACGTCGCTACACCGTACCTCGTCCGAGGTACCAGGACAGTACTCTGCTTCTCAGCCTTCTTGCGCAGAATCAGGAGGCTCATGACATTGCCCGCCCGCACGAGTCACCAACCCTGCCGGGCTGAGAAAGCTGGTCGATTCGACTCGATTCAGATACTCGGAGTACTCATGGCATGCACGCACGCACGCAGACGCGCTTAAACATGCCTTGCCTTACCTTGCTGAGACGGTCTCGTTCGACTGCTGCCCGTAAGTCGACACAAAAAGAGCAGCGGACGGCTAAAAGAAGGCTAAATGGCTAGCTAGATACGGATACTGCACGCGTGGAGCCCCGAAAGCACATCGTAGTCGTTGTAACTAACTTGGGGTACTGCTTAAGCGCTCAATACCCAAAGGGTGAATGGGCATGGACATGGCCAGACCTCGCTGAACCCTCATCTCCTGTGTAAGGTAGCTTGTACACCACGCACACAGCACGCCTCCCTCCTCCTGCCTCCTATTCAGACGAGCAAGCACCTCTCTCGTGACGCATTCGCTCAGACACTGACACTGGTTGGAGCTTGATAACGTAAAAGAGAGTAGAACCATCGCCGATGATCTTGGTAGACAGTAGAGGTCGAGAAATTCAGTGGAATCCCGTCATTTTATGAGTCTGCCCTCAGGACAATAGTGTCTCTCCCGTGGGTGGGCAAGGTTGATGTTCTATACTCTCAAGAGTACACAGCTTCCCGAGTCTGATCAATGCCTCGGCTTTACCATTCGAGATCTCCTCAACAAACAGCAAGCTTGGCTCAACCAGGCCTCTTTGCACCCCTATGCACCCGCTAGCAGACACACCTCTCTCCCACGCTCTAATGGATTCCGTTGCAGAGGAGGAACCATAAGCGTTCCTGACGAGAGACTGCCGCATTCATGGAGTGGATGGCGTGTGTTGAGGGTGGAATTGGTTTCGGGCCGTGATGCGAGCCTGTGCTACCGGAAGCGTGGATGCCTGCTATCCCTGGCTGGGCCGGCCGTGGTGACAACAGATATGTGCTGTAGATACCTGGTATTCACAAGGTTCGCGACTCAACCCTGCTGCAGCTCGTCCAGCCGGGCCTTCCACCCGTCGACGCCTCTCAGCAAGGTCTCGAGCTCCTCCTTCTCGTCTTCCAATTTGATCCGTCTCTCGGCGTCTAGCGGACAAAAGACGTAACCGCCCTGGCCGTCGAACTGCAAAATCATACTGTGATACTTCCACAAGCTCCTCCGATGACTCACGGTCATCAATGTCGTGCCCAGCCCTTTGGCCGTCTCGTACATTTTCCGTTCCATCTCGAGCGTCACCGAGCTGGTACACTCGTCGAGAATGGCATATTTGGGCTGATGGTAGAACAGCCTCGCCATGGCGATGCGCTGCTGCAGGCCCCCCGAAAAGACGTCGCGCCATTCTTCGACGGCATCCCACCCTCCAGGCCGTTGAAGCACGGATTCTATCTCCAAAATCTCGAGGATCTGCCTGAGTCGGTCCTCGGAGCCGTTCTTGGCGCGGAACTCGTACAGCGTGTCCGGATAGATGATCTGGTCGCGTAGCGTGCCGCGGCTGAGATACGGTCGTTGCGGGATGTAAAAGATGTCTTCGAAGGACGGTTTCTTGACGCTGCCACCATAGACGGGCCACAGGCCACCGAGGATGCGGAAGAGCGAGGATTTGCCGCATCCGTTGGGTCCGACGATCAGTAAATGATCGCCGGGTTTGATGGCGAAGCTCAGCTTCCGGACCAGCACGTCCCCGTTCGGCGACACGATCGGCACGTCCGTGAACTCGATATTCTCGCTCTCTTCAATCGTGCCTCTCCCACGCAGCACCGCCGCGTTCTCTTCCGTGCTCGCCGAACTCACGAGGTTCTTCTCAAAGTGGCCCTTCGAGACCTCGTCCATGACGTCCAGCAAGGAAGCTACCCGCGACGTATACCCCGCCAATTCGGTGATCTCCTTGTAACTGAACATCAGCCGACCAAAGGCGTCGGAGCTGCTCAACAACATCCGCCGGTTCGTGACGAAACTCTCTGTGTGGTCGCCTCTCAGACGGCCTGACTCTTGCCCTTGCTGCTCCTGTCCCGGGATTTGGAAAAAGACCGGCAAACTGCATAGCACCAGCCCCAGCGCACCCCAAAAGTACTTGATCACGAAATCCTCCATGAAGCCATGGTAGAACCGCCGTCGCAAAATGCGATTCACATGCTTGATCAACGTGAAGTAGCCCTTGTCCAGGGTATCTTTCTCGGCCTCGTGCCCGGCGTACAGGGCAATCTCCTCAGAATAGTCAATCAGCCGGGTATGTTGAAACCGGAACTCGCCCTCCAGCCGGGCCTCGTCGGCGACGTACTTGCCAAACGGCGGCGTCAGCGCGCGCATCACGTTCGCGGAAACCTGCACCAGCAGGGCCATGGCGAACAAACCCTCCCCACCCACGGACTTGCTCAGGCTGTAATTGTAGATGACCATGTCGAGCACCGGTTTCGCCAGATTCCCATACAGTTCCGCCAGCGAGTTGGCGAACCGCGCCACGTCCACCGTGATCAACTGATCTGCGTTCTTGACGCGGTCGTCCAGCGCCGAGAGTGTGTAAAACGTCATGTTATCCAGGTACTTCTCGTGCAGGTGCTTGGTCAGGCGGGTGCGGTATGCCAACGCCAGCCGCGTCTGATGGTACTGGAGCATCGAGTTGGTGAACGTGGCGGGGACGGCGACCAGCATCCACCACACCAGACCCAGGATGAAGTCCCGCCCGCGACCGCGCACGAGCGCCGACACGACCTTGCCGTCCAGCTCGGCGACGTATAGGGAGAGCAGCGTGCGGAGGACGAGGAAGACGGTGTGCGAGATCAGGAGGCGCAGTTCCTTGGAGCGCCACGAGGGGATGACGATGCGGAGGAGCCGGGCCAGAGAGCGGAAGAATTCGCGGTTGATCTCGACGCGCTTGGGTTTCTTGCCATCGTCGGGCTTCTGTAACGAACTGTTATTGTCTGCGTCGAGGCCGCTGCCCTGCTGCGCCGCTTGACGGGCCCGGTCGCGTTGGATCTCGGCTTGTCGTCGCGCGGCGGCTTTCTGTTCGGAGATGGCATTGTGGATGCGATGGATGAGGGCGACGACGAGGGTGATGTACACGGTCCGCGAGATCTTGGTGCGGTGTTGGAGGTACAGGGAGGTCAATTGCGAGAGCAGCTGTTTGACGCTCCGGCCTGGGGGGAGGAGTTTGGATTGTGCCGCCATCGCGCGAGCGGTCGAGGAGGAGGGGAGCGAGGACCGGTCAGGTTAAGGCGGAGGAAACATCGTCAGTATCTTCTTCACGGTGCGTGGTAGGCAGTGACGGTGACAGTGGATATTGAGATATTGCACATGTCTACAGTAGTCTGCGTGATACAACGGCTTTGCTGTCCCGTGTCTGGCCCACTGACAGGACCTTGATTCAGCCTCGGTCAATCGAAGCATGTGCTGGCGGACTGAGCATCCATGACGTATTATGGCTAATTATATACAACCTCCAGCTGCTCCGAGTATGCGAGAAGGACGACTTGTACTCAGTCATACCCTTGCCACGGACGTATTCTAGAAATGCTGTGTGATCGTATCTCATTGCTCGTGTCTGAAGAAGAGTCGTCCTGACAGGTGTGCATCCTCTACTCGTCGCAACACTGCTCTCAGAAACCGTCCATCAACTCCTTCAACGTGATCGGTTTCCGAACGGCATTCGAGAATCCTTCGTGGAACGACACCCAGATCCGACCTGCTTGTAGCTTGAGCCCCGGCTCATTCACCGCCTTACCAGCTGACTTGGGCCGTTCTTCGTTGATCAATCGTCCGAAGAAGTCGCGCTTGACACCCGGTTCCTTCGACGCCACCCGCTGCGCTTTATTCGCTGGACTTTCGTTCTCCTTGTTCTCATCCCCCGTTAGGCTTGAATACGATGTTCCAGACCGAGCGTGCCTGACTGCTGAATTCTGCAAGATTTTCTCCTTCTTCAGCTCTTGGTCGAGTACTTGCCGAACTGCATATCGGATCGGACCGGCACCGGAGGCTGACTTTTCCATGTGGTAAGCCAGAAGATTGTCAAGAGGGCTGTTTACTTTGTCAGTGTTTGGGTTGATCTTCTCAAGAAAGAAACCTCGACTTACGGTTCCATGCGGTACACGTAGCCGCCATTCGAGTGAGCGCCACCACCCTCGACCTCCACGCGGACTTGCTCGAACGACAAGTCCAGAGCCAGCATGGTTCGTACAGCGTTTCTGACACACACCTTCTCGGTCTCTCTACGCACGCTCGCTACACTGGCAGAACCACCTGATCCGCCAATCACCACGGGCTTGACGTCTGGAGCCAACATCTTCCCCACGCTTGGGATCAGCTCCGTGGCGATATCGTCGACAGAACTAAACAGCCTCAACAGGGGTGCTGAAAAGCTCGATTGAAGCTCCGTCAGCAGCGTCCGGCTTTGCTTTTCCGCCTCATACGCGACAAAATCCGCCTTGGGACCGCTAAATGGGTGAACATCCACCTCTTCTTCCTCGGGCGTCTCGTCGTTCCAAGCCTTGTTGCCCTTGTCGACCACGGCAAAGAGATGGTGAAATCCGCAGGCGCTAGTGCTCAAGTAAGGCGTGAGCTCCCACTCTTGGCCTGAGTATACCCGGGTCGACAAGGCATCGTGGAAATGAAGCCAGTCGTATCCAGCGTTCGGCTTCGACAGTTGGGTGTCATCCTGATACGTCAGAGTCGGGTATGTCGCAAAGCAGTCAGTCATTACTCGATCATGGTCCCCACAGGTATCGACCATCTCTCTCAATGCTGTAAGGGCTGCCCGCTTCCGCAGGTTGGCCACTCCGATAGGATTTGTTTTGGAGTCAGCAATTAATCTGGCTTCGTCCGCGGAAAGATTGGTCGGTAGGTTGGGCAAACCAGCTCCTTCCAAGAATACTCGCTCGACAACTTCTCGGACCCCGCCTCGTCCTAAGCCTTTCTGACCTGCTTGGGCGTCTTGAAGCTGCGGTTCCAGCCACTGTCGCGTCAACCTAGGCTTCGTTTCCTTTGCTCGCAGCTTGTGAGCAATCCATTCAGCTTGAACAAGGACCCCTCGAATGTCGCCTTCTCCAGAGCCTCGAGAGCCTGGGACTCGCTGTTTCCGCATTGCTAGGCCCCAAGCGTTTTCGCACAGTCGACGAACAGCATCATTGTCACAGGCAATCAATTCCCTCTCAAAGACAGTCTTGATTCGTGCAATGACCTTGTCCATCGGTGCTTTTCGAACATGGACGACCTCGGCCATCGAGCTCATTCGCAGTGGTCGAAGCGAAGGCGCGTACACGTCATTACAGACGAGAATCAGGGGCCTTAGCATCCTGAATTTGTCGCCCTTCTTTTTTCCCTTGGAGGTATCTCCGGTGCCGGTTCCCGCTGCGTTCTTGTGGTCAAGCTGAACAAGGTCAATGAGAGCCTTGACGAAACCACCTTCACCACTGGCACCTGAGCCCGTGGTGACACCGTCCACTTCATCAACAACGACACACACGGGCCGTCCGGCCTTTCTTGCTTTGCCTTGCTCTTTGATGCCCCGGACAGTTTCGGTGCCGAGAGCATCCTTGATCCGCCCCCTGACCACATCCCTGCTTCTATCGTCACTTGCATTGATTTCGAGAACCTCATAGCCTGCTTGCCTGGCGCAGACATGGGCCAGGGTGGTCTTTCCGAGACCCGGCGGTCCAGTCAGGAGCAAGATCTTCCTGTGTTGGTGCTGGCCTTGGTCCTTTTCGTCAAACACTTTAACAGATTTAGGCTTTGCACTTCCCGGAAAGACCACATGGTCCCAAGCTTTCAGCCAACGAAGAACCTGCCGATGCGTCCGCTCGTCTCCGACGAGCTCGGTGAATTTCCTCGCCCGGTACTTCTCCGTCCACATTTGGTGACTGGCTGATTTGGAAGCTGGAGTCACGGCTTTCACCGAGACTTCCAGTGATGGCTTTGCAAGTCTTTTTTGCGCCTCTCTCTGCTTTTCAAACTCGTGAAGCTGCCGCTGTGTCTTTGCTTCATCCATGAGCTTGTGGATATCAATGCCATAATATGCTTTCTTTGCTCGTCCAGCTGCTGTCACTGATCGCTGCGCGATCGTCTGCTCATAGGACAATTGTTGGGACTTTTGTCGAATGGGAATCTCCAGTAATGCCCCCTGGCAGGTCTGCACAGTCACATTGTTTAGCAGTCTCTTCCTGAGCAATGACCGAGGCAATGGGGGCAGTGTCGGACTGGCCGGCTGATCGGCTGGCTTCGTGGCTTGCATACCAGCGATTTCTGTGTTGTCTTTCGGCGGCGTAGGCAGGCTTGGGTCTTTCGAAAGGAGCGACGGAGGGTTCTCAGTCTTTTCCACCTTGTCCTGGTCGGCAGCTTCGTCATCGCTATCCACCAAAAATCCACCCAACACCTTCGGTCTCTTGGGTTGTGGCGCGCTGGGAAATGGTTGAAATAGTCGGCGCTTCTTCTTCTCAGGGATTGCTGGTGGCGAAGAGCTCGCAGGGTAGAGCACGGGAGAGGAGGAGAAAACCATTATGCTTGTCGTGATCGAAGGTATCTATTCGGTTGGATAATGCAGCGTTCGCATCAAGGGTCTCCGGAATGGTGCTTTCGGAACCAGACGAACGGCGAGCCCGGGTAGAAGTTCAGCACATGGACTGGTGTGAGAACATGACGATGGCCGTTGCAACAAATCACATGGATTGGCTCAAGTATTCAGTGGTGTAGGCATAAGTTCTATCGTGGAGTTCGATTTCATTAATTGTTTGACACGACGCGCTTTTCGAGGACGCGTCGAGCTGCGGCGGGGCGGGACCTGCATCTCGTGCAGCTTGTGCAGAGAACGGTCTGAGGCCGAGGCAGTCGGCCTATCACAGTAGTGGTGGTGCAACCCAGAGGTGGTGGTGGGGGCCTCAGCGCCCTTACATGAGCTGCCGGGTACGAGCACCTACGTAATTACAGAGCTAGTGGGCGCCTGTGGACCTCCAGCTGCACTCATCCGTGCCTGACAAAAACATTGCGAGATTGGTAGCACAATCATCGAGGACACCACTTGTCAGACATGCATCCGTTTCTCATCCTCACTTGCCTCTTGGAACAACGCATCTCCAGTTCCATTGGCGTTGTCTTCTTCCTAACATTCCAAAGCATCCGAACTATCTCAAACAATGTCGCATGGGGCATCATTCCGATCGCCTCGACCCCTTTGTCTCGCAGACACCCATAAGGTCCCATGCTACCGCAGATGCGACTCCGCGCAATCCACCGAATACACTTGATCGCATCTACTCGACCTATCGACACGGAACACGAGGAGGTCCTGAAATGCCCAGGGAGAATATAGGAGATATCGCCGCGAAGAAATTTGCAGAGTAAGTTGCATTCCGGGTGTCTGTGTACTTAGCATGCGCATTGCGCTCACGCGTGCGCTCCCAGGCTCCTTTCCGGGCCCATCCTGGACATATTCGTCGGTCCGGATGGCCGGCACTGGTCACTGCATCAAAACCTACTCACCCACCATGCGCGCTTCTTCGACGAAACCTACGCCATCAACGGCGCCCCCAAACGCATCAAGGACAACAAATTGGATCTGCGGGACGAAGACCCAGGCGCATTCGAGTTACTAGTCAAGTGGCTCTACCAGGGCAAGATTGACGACGTCTCATGGATGCCCAAGGACGTCAAGTGGGAGTACGCCTTCACGTGCCAGAAGCTGTACCTACTCTGTGACACCATCGGACTCCAGGAACTGAAGAACCAGGCCATCGACCAGTTCCGTAGAGGATGCAATGAGGCAGGGCTGGTGCCGGGGCCCGAGGAGATGAAACCGATTTACGAAAGGACACCGCCGTCGTCGCCGTTTCGGAAACTGGTGAGTAAAATCGCGGCGAGGCAGATCATGGATCCTGGGTCCGAGAAGGATGCGACCAGCTACAGGGAATGTTTTGCCCAGAGTCCAGATTTCGCCGTCGATGTGATCAATGCGATCAAGGAGGGCAGTGGCGGGAGTCTGTTCGACGATCCGACCGAGGGAAATGGGTGTCGCTATCATGAGCATGACGATGGGGAGAGCTGTCATAAGACTGTCAAGTTCAAGGATATCTCATGAGGAGCTTTCGAGACTTGAAAAGATATAAACTCGGTGGCTGCAATGTATAACACGGCTTGGGGTGTCCGGCGCAGTCATACTTGCTTCCTGCCCGACGAGATTCGTCTGTGGTTTTCCGGGTGCCACTCGATGCTTGGCGGTTCGCAGCTCAAGCTGGGACACCATGTTGGTCTGAGACAACTACGCAAGACACAGATCGTAAGGCACTTACTAGTCAGCTGAGATAAGCTAAAAACATAATGTATACTTTGGCACGATGTGTAAGTACGACGACTGCGGGTGGCACCGACCGTGAATGAAGATCGTGGTGTGCCAGTGACATGCAACCAGGATCCAACTCTATCTGCAGCCTGATATCCCGTATACAGGCATGATGGATCCGGACTTTTACAGCTTTTCTTCTAATCGTCCGGTGCTACGTTAAGGGGGTGGGTACCCGCCATGCCAAACTTGACGCGTGTTGGACATTATATCGTGGAATAGCTCTGATTTTCTGCAGCGCAACTCCTGTCGCAAGCGGCCACCCGTTACATTGTGCATACATAGCGTAGCTTTGACGTCGAGATGGGTTCTATTCCGTGTCATCTCATTGCGTCTGTTCCCTGGCTAGCGTTGACGGCTGCCTTCCCTTCTGTCATACAATGCTACCATATGGAGGCACGGTCTGCCCGCCGCCAGACAGGCCTGCTGCACGTAGCGAAGCGCGACACGGGCACTCTCTGCTGCTCCTCTTGCAACTGAAAAACAGGCGCCGTTCGGCCGCCAGCCAACCCGTGGTGGTACTGCTGGGTTTGCGTGACGGAATGGTCGCGAGCAGGACCCTGAGGTAAGCAAAGCTAAGCCTAGTAGCTCCCGCTACCTCGTCGCGCTTCGACCTGATGGTTCCGTGGAAGTCAAAACTCGCTTGGTGTGTCTCCATCGTTTCAAAATAGCGAGCCAGGCCGTGGTTGAAGACGGCACGCTGGATGAGCCAGCACACAGTCACGAAGAGGCAGATGCTGAATTCTGGACCCAATGGCGAGGGGTGTAGTGAGGCCAAGACAACGTAGTAGAACCACGGGCTCGCCATCGCCGGAAGGACAATAGACAGCAGAGGTGCGTAAAGGGCGCAGTCCCGGGCCTGGAGCATCTGGACGTTGATGTGGTCGAGCATATCGCGGTATGTAGCTTCACCCCAGACGGTGAGATTTCTGAAATCATCGTGGAGGACGTGTTGCGGGCAGGTCTGTGCGAGTCGTGCGACTTGGTTGCATTTGTTTCTAACGGCCGCTAGAATGGTTGTTGCGCTGTAGGGGTCTAGAAAGTCTTTGGCGATGGGCCCCAGGACTTCGAGGCTGTGCGGATACATGTGGTCGTGATTTGAGTGAAGCACGCTGTAGTCAGTCATCGGGAGCAATGGAAATAGTAGCAGCACACAACATGAGCAGAGGGAAGGAGGATAGAAACATGTGCCTCGAAGCAAGTCTTGCCATGGTGCACCCGCAGCTTGCGAACGTCAGCGATTATTGAGTACCCGTCTCCAAGAGGAACCAGCACAGTGGTCGTGAAGCTCCCTTTCAGTCTCGGAGCTTCCTTCGAGCGTTCAACAAGAATGTCACATCAGCAAGGCGCAAATTTTGTCGAGGAGCAGACGAGCTATCGGGAGATTGCTCGAGATATGACAGCCCGTGAATCGGTCTGGGAGTTTGTATCCGTAGGACCAGCCGTCTTACCTCTTCATCATATTCCGTACCTTACGAGTACACACGTCGGTGAGGACCTCAGAAAGATTGGACGGAAGCTGGATTCGACTCGGTTCGGATCAACGTTTTTCCTTTAAGCAACTCACGTGACATGGTTGTCGACTTATCCTCGTGTTCTTCGCGGCGCAACTTTCGCGACAGGGTTTCAGTCTGCAGCCAGAACTGTCAACAGCATCGGCGCAACCAATGTCAGCCTCTCAAAACTGACCAGAACAACATCTAGAAAGGCTCGCGGATAGTAGCGCAACTGTCGTGACAGTAGGCTGATTTTAAGGCGCCAGAATCAGGAGACAGGGAGCCCGCCGTGGCCGGTTTTATGAGCATTCACCATCACCACCATCACGATGGGTGACACAACGGAAGAACCTGCGACGTTGAAGCACGAGGGCTCAGAGGCTGCTGACCTGAGCGCGGATGCCACCGAAGCACCTGCTGCCGACGCACCGGAACCACAACCAACTCAAGGTACGCGTTTCGCGATCGCTCTGCATCTCCCACTGTGACGCCAATCACAACGTGCAGTTTATCTAATGAGTGTTGCAGAGGCGAAATCCCCGGTCGAGGCCAATGGAAATGTATCGGCCAACCCATTAGATGCGCCTAAGTCCCCGCCAGCTCAGGACGATCCGGATGGCGAACCAGAGGATGCAGACATGGGCGGAGTTGACGACGACGCCAAAGTCGAAGATGTGGATGCTGAAAAAGAGGGAGCCGAAGATGCGCAACAAACGCCAGCTCCAACCCAGACGGATGCTGAAGCAGAGAAGACCAAAGCTGCTCTCGAAGAAGCGGCCAATTCCCACCTTGCCTCACAAACACACCAGATCATCCTCCCCAGTTACAGCACGTGGTTTGACATGCATATAATACACCCTCTCGAGAAGAAGTCGCTACCGGAATTCTTCAACAGCCGCAATCGGAGTAAAACTCCAGCAGTCTACAAGGATTACCGGGATTTCATGATCAACAGCTACCGCCTGAACCCCGTCGAGTACCTCACCGTGACCGCTTGCCGAAGGAATCTGGCGGGGGATGTCTGCGCCATCATGAGAGTCCATGCGTTTCTCGAACAATGGGGTTTGATCAATTACCAGGTAGCGCTTGCCGTAATTCTTCACCACCGAGTGACAATACTGACAGCAACAGGTTGACCCTCAGACTCGCCCTGCAAATATCGGCCCGCCTTTCACAGGTCATTTCAGAGTCATCGCCGACACGCCTCGGGGGCTGCAACCTTTCCAGCCTGCTCGAGACACCGTTACAACTCCAGGGAAACCGCATCCCTCCACCGACCGCGCCACCTCTGCGACCCCGGCAGCAAAAGCAGACCTCAACCTGGAGATCAGACGCAACGTATATGATGACAAAGGGAAAGAGATAAAGACGAGCGAAGAGCCTGAGAAACGGACAAATGGCGAAGGGGCTACGGCGAACGGTACGAGCTCTGCTACCAAGGCTATGCAAGCTGTCGCCCGAGAACCCAACAAGAGCTTCAACTGCTTTGCATGCGGTGTTGATTGCACACGGTGCCGTTTTCACTATGCCAAATCTGAACCAGTAGCGAGCACCCCCAACCCCGGAGAGCAGAAATACGACCTATGTCCCAACTGCTACTTTCAGTCCAGAATGCCAGCCAACCACAGATCGTCGGATTTCGTCAAAATGGAGGAACCAGCTTACTCTCACATTCCCGACAAGGATGCTCCGTGGACTGACTCGGAAATTCTGCTTCTGCTTGAAGGACTGGAGACCTTTGACAACGACTGGAGCGAGATCGCCAAGCACATTGGCACCAGAACAAGAGAAGAATGCGTGCTCAAATTCCTGCAGCTTGACATTCAAGATCAGTATCTCGAGGATGGTGCTCTGACCGGTTCTGCCGCCATGAAAGCGCTAACCGGACGAAGTCCAATCAGTCAACTGGATAACCCGGTCATGTCAGTGGTCAGTTTCCTTGCTCAATTGGCGGACCCAGAAGTCGTTGCCGCTGCATCAAACCGTTCGATCGCAGTCATGCAGAAGCAATTACGGGCTCAGCTCGCGAAGGGAATGGGTGGAGCCGAGCAGGAACAGGCTGACGAAGCAGAGAAGAGCAAGGAGGAGGTAAAAACAGAAGATCATATGGAAGTTGACGAGGCGGCTCCTTCAGCGGAGAAGGCCACAACCGAAGGCAATGGCGCTTCAAATGTTATCAATGACATTGCCAGTACAGCCCTGGCCACATCCGCAGCTCGAGCTAGCGGCCTCGCGTCTCACGAGGAAAGAGAAATTACCCGAATGGTCTCTGCTGCTGTGAACCTGACCCTCCAGAAATTCGAGCTGAAGATGGCGCAGTTCGCTGAGATGGAAGAAATAGTCCAAGCAGAGCGACGAGACCTGGAGAAAGGCCGCCAACAATTATTCCTGGACAGATTGTCCTTCAAGAAGCGCATGAAGGACATGGAAGACACTTTCCGAAAAGCCAGTCTGAAAGAACCGCAAGAGGGCATGCGCATGATGCAGGAGGCAGTAAGTGCCAATTCAGGTCAGAAGTTCGGCTTCCAGTCCGAGGCTGAGAGTAAAGGAAAGGCTACCACGGTCACACCGGATATTGGTGGGGAGCGGACTTTGGACCTTTCGTAGGTGGCCTCGATGGCATGGATCATGTCTTTCAAGATGACTACACGGCGTTTGCGATATCAGGATACTGGCTGGTAAAGGGTGCGTGGGACAGTCCGGGATAGGGGAACATCTGGAGGCTTTGGTGTGTTCGACGGCTTGTCATCGGATTGTGTTACTACGCACACAGATTATTCCAAGACTTGAGAGACTGCGGCGCTGGATCTTGGACAGCGGCCTGCCATGTAGTAACAAGACCCTGCACTGAGCTTCGCCCCGCAAAGAGGCAGTTCGACAACAACATGAGTGCTAATCCCATCGGTCGCATGTCACTCGGCAATGTAAGCGATTTCGGCGCAAGGCTCAGATGAAGCCTCGTGGCCGGCCGAGGATAATCCGGACCCGAGGTTCTCCGATTACCGGAAGCCGCATCGATCGTCGGGCCTGACGCAAGTGTGACAGTTTCGACGGTGAATCTCAGAGCTCAATCTCATTTTCTATGTGCTCTTGGAGTGTGCATGTTTGGGTGTTCTTGACTCATCGTGAATTGTGGGCTGTGTCTGTACAGTTGCGTCGAACCAGTCACTCCTTTATAACAGTCAAGAAGAGGCGGTCAAAATGGTAGCCGACGATGTAGGACGCTCCCCTGGCCCGGCTCTCGCTCGGCCATGTACGTTTACGCAGGTTTAGAGAGTTTTGTGCAGTGGCTGATGCTTGGGCTTTCTAACAGGCATCAAATAAGTCGCCGCTCGTTTCATTGATTGCGGGAGGTGCAGCTGGAGGTGTGGAAGCAACCATCACATATCGTAAGTACGAGCAGCCAGGCTCTTCTTTCCCCAGGAACGACCGCGAAGCACAACGGACAGGCGAAGCAGAACACTCCAAGCATTGACCGACTGTATCGTCACAGCTTTTGAGTTCGCAAAGACCCGAGTCCAACTCCACGACACTTCGCCGACCCGCAACCCCTTCGCCGTCATCAAATCGGTGATCGAAAAAGAGGGCCCGCGCTCTTTGTATAAAGGCTGCTCGACACTCGTGGCGGGCACTATCCTCAAGGACGGCATCCGCTTCATTTCCTTTGACACGATAAAAGCCCAGTTCAAAGACCCAGAGACCGGCACCTTGAGTCCGTTCCGGAATCTCCTCGCCGGGATAAGTGCCGGTATTGTGGCCAGCACGTTTGCTGTAACGCCGACGGAACGGATTAAGACTGCCCTGATCGACGACGCGCGTAGTGAGAGGAGGTTCAAGGGCCCTGTGAACGCGACGATGACGTTGATCAAGGAGGATGGGCTCGTACGAGCACTGTATCGTGGATACGTGACCACCACGCTGAAGCAAGCATCTACAACGGCCGTTCGTCTAGGCACATACAACATCCTCAAAGATTTCGAGCGCCTACGGAACATCCCTCAGACGACGGCGATGAATTTCGCAAATGGTGCTGTGGCGGGTACGGTCGTTGTCTTCGCAACTCAACCTTTCGACACGCTGAAGACCAGAGCTCAGAGCGTCAAGGGCCAAGGAGTGGTTGAGGCTTGGACGGGTGTTCTTCAAGACTATGGTGTCAAGGGTCTGTGGAGGGGAAGTACCATGCGGCTTGGACGGACTGTGCTTGCAGGTGGCATTCTGTTCACCACCTACGAATGGATTGCGGCGTTGATTCAGCCGGTGCTTGAAAAGGCGAAGGTCGTGCCTGCCGCAGCGAGAGATTGATGGTTGCATAGAGCTGAAGGTACGTGCCTCTCTTGTCCTGGACTTTCTCTTCTTTCATCGACACTGGCTGTCTGTCGCTTTTGGACTCAGCAAAACACGATCTGACTTATATTTCCAGATGGCCACCTCGTGGTATCAGTACTACCAGACTCTTCTAAGAGGGACCCCAGCTCAGCACAGGAGAATCCAGGCAGGACGCCATCAACAACCAAACAACCCATCTTTGAATATACCTACCGTCCTTGGACAAGTTCCGTTCTCAACCACACTCTTATCTGTTCCATCGGCATCTGCTCCATCGCCCGCCCCATCAAGCGCTTCGACGGCGGTCTCGGTCTCGGGCTTCGTGACAAAGATGTTGCCTCTGTTGCAGGGCGACTAACATTACCACTGTGTTATGTGCTGTTCCAGGACCTCCAGGATGCCTTCGACGCGCTTTTGGACACCGTCCTTCAGCTCAAATGCCAGGTCCATCACCACATCACCCATGGATTTCATGACATCCCTCCTCCGAGCCAGCGACTGACAGTCCTGGGCGCCTTCCATCGTCATCCGCTCGTACTGCTCCGTCACCCTCCGAATCCAGTCTGTCAGAACGCGCTCCAAGCAGCGAGACTCACTGGGGAGTCCGTTCTCGAAGGACATCACCCTCATCCGCATCTCCAGCTCTTGGAGTCCGTGCACGAGTCTCCCTATCCGCCTCACCAGCTTGCGGTATTGGCACAACTGGGTCCGCTGAATCCAGTTGAATAAACAAAACAACTCGCCTCGATAGGCGGGCGCCAGCCCCTCCAGCTGCTGAATCCATCCACCGAGAGTGCGGATGAACTCCCCGCGCTCGCAGCCCCGATACACAGGGTAAAGAGCACTCTCGTGCACGGTTGCGTACTCCGCAGCGGTCCGCTCGGCGGCGTCTCTCTCCGCCTGTCCCACTTGGCGGATGTATGGCGACGGTGGACGCGGTGGCACCCAGGAGCGGTCGGGGTGATCCCTGTGGCTCTCGACGAAGAGGATGCTTCGTGCTCCCAGCGCCCCTTCAGTGAGAGCAACGATAGGAGGGTGGATGGCGAGAGCGATCGACTCTTTGTACTCAGCGTTGAAATCCACGGAGAACTTCGCGCCCAGTGAGTTGCGGCGGAAGCTGGACAGGGGTTTCTGTGTCTCTGAGATGGTGGGAATGGTTCGGCGCGCGCGTTTATTCGATGGGGAGCGCCAGACGGTAGGAATAGTGGCAAGGGAGGGTTGTGGAGAGCAGGAGGAAGACATGGTCGTTGTTGTAGGGGTTGCTGCCGGTAGTATCACGGTGGGAGCCGATGGCCGGGGCTTACAGGAGCTGGGTCAGCGACGGCAATAGAGAGGTTATTGAGCACAGATTCTTCTAGAGTTTGAATGGAAGCAGTGCGATGGAGTGGGAAAACGGTCACGACAGCAAGAGCACGGTATCACTATATAGAAAACGAGGTGGTTATCGACGAGGACCTGCTGAGCCATCCTGTGGTTCATCTTGAGGACATACAAAGTGGCCGTGCGCTGTTGCTGAGAGTAGCCAGATACCGTCTGATCCATGGAAACTGTAGACCACGCTGCATTTGGTTGACCAGTCAGGGCTAATTCATTGTGGCTCAGTCGCTGGTAGGAACACAACATGCTCGATCGGGGCAAACTTTGGTAGGTCCTCAAGGCGGCTCTGCGAAGGATAAAACTATCGCTCACGACCGTCAAGAACGACTTGCAATCATTCTGTGATAGAACCTACCTCGTACCGTCACACCCGAGCACTCCAATGTATCCAGTCAAACAAGAGTTCATCAGAAATACCTACCTAGTCGACACCACCATGAACGAAGTGCATACTCAGTGGCTGGAGGCCTGCCTTGGAACACCCAAGGAAGAACCATCAGAAACATTCCAAGTCTACATCAAGCTTACTCCCCAAGAAGCTGAGCGCCGCTTGACCAGGATACGCGGACGATTCTTGGGCTGAAGGACGTCATTATCCAGAGATGCCGGATGATAGAACGAGATCACCGACTGGAGAAGGCCTTGTTGAGAGCAGACGACGAGCTGTTGTACTCAGTGGTGGCACTCCGCTCTTACAGAACCGGAGAGCAGCGTTTCATCGGCGACGCCGTGCTCTACATGGAGGAGCTGATGGAAGAGGCGGTCCACTTACTGGTGGAAGCACGGCCGTATGAGCGCCAATACCAGAGCACTTGGAACTTGCTCGACGCCTCGGCGACCTGTCTCGCGGACCGCATCAACTTCTTGGGGTTCAATGTCTTGAGCCAGATGCGGCAGATGCTGTACGAGAGAGCTTACTCGAGGCATTCGCCGCAGAGGACGACGAGCCCAACATGGAGTGCCCGGCTTCGGAGCTGGGGTTGCGGCGCGGGTCAACGGAGGAGTGGCCACGAGCAGGCGAAAAGGGAACAGCATCGTGAGAGAGAGCACCTGTTCTCGCCCAACAGACAGCCAGGACAAGATTGTGGGTGTCTCAACTATCGTTGAGTTGTTACGGTATTTAAGTCGGCTGAATTGTACGGGTGGTAGGCCGAGGTGGGAGACGATGAGTCAGTCAATTCAAGCTTCCACCACTTCGGAAGCGATCGTGTGCCCAGTGCCCAGCAAAACTGCCCTGAGGCTTCGGAAAGCTTGCGGGCAGCTCAAGCACCCCAAGCACCGCGCACTGGGGCGCGATAGGCTGTTAGGGCCGCCTAAGTGCCTTGGCCGGCACTGCAAAGCCTGCAAGAACCCCGCCTCGCCCGCCACCAACGTACGCCGAGTGTGGGCAATCAGCCTGGAGTCTGCAGCCTGCAACAGAATCTCGCGGTGCAGTAACCGTGAGCATCGAAATGTGTATTGTGTCGAGGGATGGTGTCGGCGTGCTTTTAAAATCATCAGCAGAATGCGACAAAGAACAAGCCGTGCAGGCTGCAGATACTAGATCGAGTAATACAATAGAAGCACTAGGAAACACCCCCAATCTGTCTCCCATCTGTTCTGCTCGTCTGACTGTGTCGCACAGTGCCTGCTATGACCGAGTCAACACCGCACTCAGCCGCGCGATGTCACGCTCTGTTGCAAGGCCGATGGGTAAAGAGTGCATCCCCAGCGTCGCCATCATTCGTCGCACTCCCCTGTGCACACATTCCCTCCCCGCCATTTCTGACCCTCCTTGACCCTTCACAGGTCGGACGCGGCTTCTTCCCCACGAAGGATGAGCTCCATCATCCAACCAGGGATCATCACCCTTGCATGGTAACCCACATCATGACCTCGCCAGAGGTCGGGCTATCGCCGATCAGTTGCCGGTTTTGCTCCATAGGGCAGCTGGCATGGTGCTGTTCATGCTACTCCCTGCTGCTCTCATGACCCGAAAATCAGAAGATAAAAGATCTTCGGTGTGTCCGCCGTCAATGGCTCACGCACTTTCTTTCAAGCCCTAATCTGCCTTCCCTGGGCTCTATCAACTTGACTCAATCGCCGGCGCAAAGACTTTGGCAATCCGAGGTCACAACCGCGACTGAAGAGGGCCGCAGATCTTTTTTCTCTGACACAGTACTGCTGGCGACGGCCGGGCAGAACTTCACCATGGCTCACGTCGGCGCCCACAAGGAGAATGACGCCGTCGCTCGGCCTCACGACAACGAGGTCGACAGACTCTCCAACCGCCACATGTCGCCGGCCAAGTATGCCGCCACACGGATCACAACTCTCAAGCCGCCCATGGCCAAGGCCCCGAATCCGTTCACGTTGCTGGGCATGCTCAACAGACAACAGTGGCTGTTTTTCCTAGTGGCCTTCTTGGCCTGGTCCTGGGACGCCTTTGACTTCTTCACCGTGTCGCTGACCGTGTCTGACCTCGCCGAGACGTTTGGGAAAACAAACACAGACATCACCTGGGGTATCACTTTGGTGCTCATGTTCCGATCCGTGGGCTCGACCATCTTTGGCATTGCCGCCGATCGATACGGTCGGAAATGGTAATTATGGTCAGCAGTGTCTGGCATAGAACGTCTGCTGACAGTCCAATGCTAGGCCCTTTGTGATCAACAACATCCTGTTTATTGTCCTCGAACTCGGCACGGGCTTTACGCAGACCTACGGCCAATTCCTCGCTGTGCGCGCTCTATTCGGTATCGCCATGGGCGGCCTTTACGGAAACGCGGCCGCTACAGCGCTGGAGGACTGTCCCGAAGCCGCTCGTGGCATCATCTCCGGCATGCTCCAACAGGGCTACGCGTTCGGGTACTTACTCGCGACGGCATTCTCACGTGGTCTCGTCAACACGACGAGCCACGGCTGGAGACCTTTGTTCTGGTTCGGCGCCTGTCCGCCTGTCTTGATCATCATCTTCAGACTGTGCCTGCCGGAGACGAACACGTTCCGCGCGAGACAAGCGATCCGAGCCCAGCAGGGCAGTTTGGCAGGGACGTTCATCTCCGAGGGGCGTGTGGCCCTAAAGAGACATTGGCTGTTGCTCATCTATCTGGTGCTCCTAATGGCGGGGTTCAACTTCATGTCTCACGGCTGTAAGCTTTGAACCATAACCCCTTTTAAAGCGTTTTACTAATCGGAGGAAATAACAGCCCAGGATCTCTACCCGACCATGCTGACCAACCAGTTCAAATTCTCCGCCAACGCCGTCACCGTCACGCAAGTCGTGGCCAACCTCGGCGCCATGACCGGCGGCACCGTGATCGGGTACTGCTCCCAGATTTTCGGCCGGCGATTCAGCATCATCTTCATCAGCATCATTGGCGGCGCCCTGCTGTACCCGTACACATTCGTCAGCTCGCACGCCATCATCGCGGCCGCGTTCTTCGAGCAGTTCTGCGTCCAGGGCGCCTGGGGCGTGATCCCCATCCACCTGATGGAACTGTCGCCCGGCTCGCTGCGCACGTTCGTCGTCGGCACGTCCTACCAGCTCGGCAACTTGGCGTCGTCGGCGTCGTCGACCATCGAGTCCACCATTGGCGAACGGTATCCCCTGGCGCCGCTGATCAACAAGGAAGGCAAGTCCGTCAAGCGGTATAACTATGGCAAGGTGATTTGTATCTTCATGGGCGCCGTGTATGCGTACGTGATTTTGTTGACGTTTGTGGGGCCCGAGAAGAGAGGCCGGAGCTTGGATGTCGAGCACGACTCGGATATGGCCGAGGTGACGCACAGGGATTTGAGGAGCCAGGGCGACATCAGTGGTGGGCTTCACGGACACGGGCATGGTGACGGGTCGAGCGAGGATGAGAAGGCTATGGCTAGTGAGAAGGTTTGATTCACGTACGTCTGGGACTACACTGGGCATCGTGCCTGCCAGGGACGGCACGCAGAGGTCAGAGGGACGCGCCCAAATCAAAGATATGACGAGTACGGAGTATGAAGTACCTGGATTTCAATTTCAAACAGAATGGACTCACGAAGACGGACCTTGAAATCAAGATACAGTACAGTCTCAGATGGGACGAATTTTGTTCCAGAGTCTGGCGCATCTGCGAAGGGGTTTCCCCGAGAGCCTGTTCGTATCTTGGTCACCTTGCTGATCCTGACTCGTTGAGAGTGGCACCCCTGTTGGCATTAATTAGTCCAGCATATCCTCGGTCCTCCGCCATTCGGACTCCGTCTGCGTGGCTATTTGCGAATACTTGCAAAGAGATGCACATAATGAAACTGTGTGGATACATGAACAATACTCCGTACGCGTACGGGTTACAGACGACACCGGATAGAGAACCCCGAACTGGCTCCAGGTATGGGATGAGGCTCCGCCCACCCAATTACTTACATGCAGAAGAGCAGGCACATAGAATGATGACTAACCCAATTGTTCAAAGCGCGGATCAGTAAAGCGCAGGACGTGAAATGGTAAGACGTTGGAAGGATCCCAAGCCCCGGTGAGCCCGGTCCTTCGAGCCCTGCGGCTGAGGCTGAAATACCGCACAAGTACTGTGCTGTGTGTACGCGGTAAGGCTCGACGAAGCCGCGATGTGTACTCCGTACTCCGTACGGAGTCCTTATACTCGTTATCAAGTGGCTTAATGCGGCTGGCATTCAAGTTAGTCTCCCTACCTGACTACTTCTAAACTCGTGAGTATGGCGTATGCATGTACGTACCCTACCGCAGAAGTATATGTCCAGCCATCCTGAATCCCGACGCCATTCTTATCTTTGACTTGTTTCATGTCTGCCAGCCTTGTACCCTGCACGCGGTACCGGAAATTGTACTCCGTGGACAGTGGACATTCAACGGCTCTGCGAACGGTGGAAAATCCATCAAGGCGGCATGTGAGGGTGGATGACCTTCTTTCTAAAGCATATGCCGGCTTATGGGCCCCACCATTCACGTTCGGTCGCATTGATATTTGTCTGCAGAAGGCAATGGGGGCTCACCTTGCAGGAAGTCCTCTACCCACAGGGTGAAGGGCTAACCTTCATTTGCCTCCGTACGGAGTGCGGAGTACGAAGATCACTCAACGGGTTCGGCATCAACATCGTTATCTCGGGGCTGCCTTGAAACGAGTGGCTGGTAGCTGATAGAGGCTGAAACCAAGCTGTGTGGAAAGTGTAGTTAATTTCAACGGTGAGCATTTCGAGATACACAGCACCCGTAGATAAGCGGCAGACCCTGGACGAGGAACCATAGTCAATCTTAAATCTGCAGCCGTGGTTGTACCCGTAGCGCGGGGGACCGAGCACGCGCGTGCATGTGCTACTGTGTGACCCAACGATCGCGCGTGAAATGTCGAAGGTGCTATATGGACGCGTCTGGGGACAAGTTGATGTAGTACCATTTCGAAACTTGAACCCAGCTCGAAGAATTTGTGGCCGGTTGGATCAAACCGTGGAGGATACATAATTAGCTGGCACCCATGAGGAGTCTCGTTGACGGGGTGGGGACGTCGGGTCAGCAAGAACATCGCAGGACAGACAGGGGTCGAGATCGATGGCGGAGGCGACGTGATTGGTGTGCCTGTCGGGTTTGTTGTGTAACCCGTATCCTTCGCGCAATCTGCTTATGGGACTGACCTGGCACAAGACACCAAGGATTCTCTTGCAGGGACTCGTAGACACGAAGCAATGACTTATGTAACTACCCAGTACTTATGGTGTATCCGTCAGGAAACGGCGCTCCAATTGCCATACTCTGCTGTCTACATCGCCACGCGGACTCCGTAGACTCCGTAGTCGTGCTCTGTCGGTCTATCAGCTGAAGATCATAATGCCTCCGGGGGTGTTAAGAACACGAAAAAGTCACGGTAGCCTTGCTTGGCCTATGGAAATGTCCCCCGGGATCCTTACTTCAGCAGGCCGTACCAGCCGGACTGGGGAGACTGGCAAAAAGCCATATCGGCGCGGCTTGCTTCAACTGGCCTTCGCGCTCAGGGTGTCGTGTGGCACTGATTGGCGCTGCAGTTAGTTAAAGAAGAGCCCCGAAATCGTCCTAGCCGTGCCTAATCTTAGCCTTGCCATGCGGCAGATTCCACTTTTCGTCGCTCCCCCCGGTGCCCACTTCCCACTAAGTGGCTGGTCTATGCTTACCCGGGCGAGACTAACTGCGCCCTCCCACGGCCGACAGGGCCAGGCTCAAGCGACAAGTTTTGCTGTTATCTGTCGGTAGACTAGAATCTCGCGGTGGTCGATATCTCGCTGCGTATGGATGGGTGGGTGTTACAGTTTGGATCCCGCGACACCTCTCCCGACTCATTCAATGCTATCTGGCGCAGGACGTTCTGATTAACGCGGCTCCGATCATGACCTGCAGCGTGTAAAGACCCCGTTCGACAAGCACACCTCCACCTACGGCAGTACGCCTCCTCCATCTCACGCGATCCTCCTCTGCGCTGCACTCTTCGTCAGCAGCTTCCAATGGCCAATGCCTCAGTCGCTCAGGCTGAGCATGAGACTGTTTACGAGCCCGTACCTGCCGATTCCCCCGACCTTCATGCACGTTCAGCTGCTTCTCCTTCCAGGTCACCCATCCTTCCCGAAATATCAAGCCCGCCTTTGTCCCTTCCCTTCGAACTGTCCTCCCGAGATGGCGACCTTCCGATATTGTCGCAGGCTGCATCAGCCTCAATAGGCGTGGGATCACTACTCAAGTCGTTGTCATCGTCGCAGTCGTATCAGATGGTCGAGGCCGATGACTATGAGGAGCCGATGCCCAAGTACCCAGAACAACAGGTCAGGATGGATGACGCTTCTCCGACGCCAGAACCGACAGCATTTCAGTCGGGCGACGCTCCAATCAGAACAGCTTCGATCAGCCGTCACCTGCCTCTGAATCACCCTACTCCCGATCTACAGTCGCTGCAAGGGGCGCTGGTCAAAAATGTGGAACGGTTAGAAGAAAGCGCCGAGCGTCTGAGCATGACCTCGAGCCTGGAGGGCGAGCTGAACAAGATGAAGCAAGATCAGAAACGCCTCGAGCAACAGTCCTCGGCCACCCCTGCTCTGGACAACATCTACCGTCCTTCGGTACAAAGGCAATACTCGACAGGCTCATGGTCCAACTCGATATTGGGCGTGAATCACGCAGCCAGGACGGGGGGATACTCTCCGTCAGGATACATCACCTCTCCCACCGGCTCGATACGCTCGGGACCGTGGTCACCTCCTCAGCTTGTGGAAAGACGTTCATCTCAGGACAGTCGTCACAGTCGTCGCAGTCACAATCACGCTCTACCCGATCCCCCTGTCGAAGGTCGCCCACTGGATCTACAATCAGATCGCCGTCCGTCCGTCTCCGTTTCCGTGCACCCCGAAGACGGGAGCGCTGCGCCAGAGGCATCGCCGAGGCATTCTCATACCTCTAGTCACGAGGACAGACCGCCCACGTCCGCTTCGAACGACACGTACCGTCAAGCACAATCTGCGTTTGAGAACTTTGATGGTGTACATTACAATGGGTCCATGTCGATCGAGGGAGCTACTGCCCTCTCACGACAGGTTTCCCTGAATCATCCGCCTCTTGCACGAGATTCTAAGGTCTACAGAGAAGCACAACCGGGAGAGCGGATGATATACTATCCTGCACCGGTTCCTGTTATGCTCAATCTGCCTCAGAGGTTGTCGAGGATGGATATCAGTGAGCGTGAAAAGCGCCGACTCAAGGCTTTGAGTACTGTCCCGGACGACTTTCGTAAGTCGGCGGCCTGGCTTGGGGAACAAGATAATGCCGAACTGCCGGGTCAAAATACTGCCCTCAAGTTGCCTCCTCAGCTACGCGCGAGTGCCTTCTTCGAGCACCCGAGCGTGACTCAAGACTTGCAGCTGAAGAATGGCTCAGCCGTCCAAACGCTGGACAGCATTTTGGACGCTGCTGCGTATGCGCCCGTCTCTGCGTTCACTGACCATCCAATAGCCGGCCAGGTCGGGAAGGAGGTCTACGGTCCGGATGCGTCGCCACGGAAGAGTGTGCAGTTGGATGGAGCCAAAGCGAAGAAACGTCGGAGCTCCATCGGCACAATGCTCAAAACGAGGCGGTCCAGTACTGGTCTTTCTGTCACTGGTCTGATGCGTCCAAAGTCGAGGGGCTCTCAGAATCTCGATGCTGAAGACCATACAAGTGGAGACGAACTTGAGCGGGCGGCAGCAGAATCAATATCGCCTGATGCCGACGAAATACCGGATGAGGAAGAGGACAAAGATGTGGCTCCGTCAGGGTTTTCTACAGCCCCGACCACTCTGCTCGCTGAACTGCAAATGCGTAAAGAACAGCAAAAGTTACGAAATCGTACTGCGGCAGATGCGTTCCCGAATGGCATGCACTCGACCTTGCTCGAGCTTGACGCAGTCACTCAACTCCAGCAGAAGGCTCGGAAAACCAAGCATGTCACTCTCGCTTGGGAGGATCATGACGAGGCAAACAAGCAGAACTTTGACGACGACGATATACCTCTCGGTGTTCTTTTCGCGGAAAAAGATAGGGCTGCTCACCTCAATGCTCATCGACCCGTCGGGCTCATGGAGAAGCGAGAGATGGAGGACAATGAACCCTTGAGTCATCGAAGAGCGAGGCTGAGAGGCGAGCCGCTTCAATCCGCGAAGTCCGAGACCAGGAGCCAAGTCGGCGAGGAGAGTCGGGCGCCGGTCATTGGTGAGGTACCTGGCATATCGGAAGAGCCACTTCCCGAAGACGAGGAAGAGACTCTGGCACAACGAGCCGCCAGGATCAAGCTCGAAAAGGAGAAAGGCACCGGCGGTCAATTTACAGACGAGGTGGCGTCCCAGCTCGGCATCAATATCCAGAACGACGGCCCATCGCCATCGAAGACTCCGGATGTAGAAGAGACACTGGCCCAACGGAGGAAGAGGCTCAAAGAGGGAGGTGCCGCCGATCCGCGGCTCAAATCCATGCATAGCATGGCCGACATTCTGCAAGCGCATCCTACGGGTATTCGAGAACAGGCCAGGCCAGCTGGCCTGCCACGCACGAACTCGATTCAAGTCCACAGCCCGACTTACACCACAGTCTGGGGTTCTTCTCAGCCGAATAATACACTGGGTGCTTTCAACGCCCCCTACGGCTACCCTAACAACATGCCTTACATGAATGCTCCATACATGAATGCTGGGTTTGGCGTATCGCCCTTGCCGGCATACATGCAGCCGACATACCCCTACGCATACGGCAATCAACCATATCAACCATACATAGCTGACCCGATGATGGGCCCGCCCTTGGATCCCAAGCAACGAGCGCACATTGATCGTTGGCGGCAGAGTATTGCACAGTAGAAGTGAAGTGATTGGAAACAACAGATTTTGGGGATGCCTACTTATTGGCTACCTACGGTCTAAAACACACGCCGTTTGTTGTTTCACGAGGATGAGGAAGCTACACAGTACAGCAGCCTGGATTGGATGACTACATAGGTAGCTCGATGGGGTCGTCAAGAGGACGCTTTGTATGCATACATAGTACGATTACGTTATGAGTAGTAGGAATCGTCAACAGTCCTCGACCACCTTCAGACGGCATGAGGCCCAACCAACCAAAATTCGCAATGCAGTCTCTTCTCTCGCAAGCTTCTTCCTTTCCCAAGTCAATTGGGTTGTCAAGAAGCGGCCTTTATGATATTACGAGTAAATCATGAGTAGTAGGAATTGTCAACAGTCCTCCGCCACCGGGTTTTCAGACGACAAGTCCAATCGCAATGCGGAGAGCAGTTTTTTTTCTCTTGCGAGCTTCTTCCTTTCGCAGCTCAATTGGGTCGTTAAGAAGACGCTTTGTATGGATCCTGTACTGCAGTATAGGTATTGCATGACTGGTAGGAATTGTCAACAGTCCTCGGGTTTTCAGACGACAAGACCAGTCGCAATACGGAGTGCAGTTTTCTTCTCTTGCGAGCTTCTTCCTTTGATGTCGGAGCCCAGAGCCTGTTCAATTCTTCTTTGTTCGTCTAGTTTGAGTGCACCAACTGCTGCTATGTTCTCGGAGACTCATCAATGGGTTGGTTGTGCTAAGCATGTGACTACTCACCTGATCAAGGTTCCTCCCCACCTTACACAGTATAAGCTCGAGTTTACTCGCCTACTGTAGATGGCACCCTGGGTCACCAGACCCTTCTTTTTCTGTGCATCCGCGCTTGCCAGACCACTTTCCTCCGGTTGAACGGTCCCTTGACAGTTCCAACCTGGGTCGTGGTCCACCACCGGAGCCCTTGACGGGGTGAAGGCTTGGCCGAAATCCGAGATGCTTCTAGCGCCTCGGTGAGGATGAGGTTTTCGTGGATGACTGGCCTCGGCTATGATTCTTTTCAGCCGGGCCACCGTCCTCTTCCTATTAACCAGGGAACATTTCCTCAAGATTGACCTCGGATCAGGCAGGAATACGCCGCTGAACTTAAGCATGCCTATAACCATAGGAAGAGAAACCAAGTTCAACAGGGATCGCTTCAGCAACGGCGAGTGAAGCGGCAAAGCTCAAATTTGAAACTTGGCCTCTTGGGTCCCGATTGTAGTTTGCAGAGGATGTCTTGGGTACCGCACCGGCCTACACTTCTTTAAAACAGAATGTCAAAGAGGTGAGAATCCCCTTTGGGGCCAACGGTAGGGCCTGTGTCAGACTCCTTCGGGTACACCGGGGTCGTTAGCAATCAGGCTTCTGTCTTGACGTGACCGACCATTTTGTATCCTCGGGAAGGCTAGATGCTCACAGCTTCGTGGTTGTCGCCTCCGGGCACCGATCGAATTCGTTGCGGCGGACCATCCTTTGCAGGGGTCGAGGTTGGGCATGAAGAGAGGTGACTTTTGTGTTCTGGAGGCATGCCAAGTTGTTGTGGCATCTAATTAGAATTGATCAACAGGTACAAGATGACGGATCATAAACAGAAATAATATACTCGGAATCCATTCATACATCGATGCTAGCGACCCGGGGGTTGAGCGTATCGACCTTGATATCAAGGGCATCAACGCGCCGGATGACGTTGTGCACATGCTGGTCGGGTTTATTGCTGAGCGTGTTGAGGTTGTGACCGATCATATCGAGCCTGTCCAAAAGCTCCGGAGCCCGAACAACCGCAGGGATTTGGCTGCATATCGCGCCTGCTATTGAGGTGATTGCTGGACATGTCGAGTCTCGCGAATAGCCCAGTGGGCTGAACTACGGCAATGATTTGGCTACATTCCCTAATTCAGTAGCAATGAGCTCGACTTTTGGAAGCCTATCTCTCTGATTTTGATCTCTCTCGATGCTCAGAATGAAGTGAAAATGAGGCAAGGAGAAGCGAGGATAAAGCGAGATTGAAGCGAGGATTAAGCGAGGATAAAGTGCAGGCAGTTGTGGGGAGCACTTACCCAATTAAGCACTCGGCGTTGCCCTAGCAACAATCCTCCCGCTATGCAACTTCCAACTCATGTTTGGGCCCGGATTTTCTACTCAGCCATACCATCGGAAACTACAGACGGCATCGATCACCATCACCATGTATCCAAGGTCGAAGAGACAGGCAGTCGAGGAGGAGTGCAATCTCTACACGCCCAGAGATTGTTCGGAATTTCGACCATCAGAACAGCGCAATTTCTACGGTTGCGGCCCCACGACACCTTTGTCATTAGACTACCAGCCTCCACAGCGCCCATTCCTGCAACACAAATCTAGTAGAAGCTCCATCTTCAAGGAAAATATCCCGGACAATGTTGAGGATGAGCTCAAACGCCCAAAGAGCAGAGACCACCACACCACTCGACCGCCGTCTGCCCGCACACCTGATGTCCGTCCTGTTTTGCAGACCCAAAAGTCCGACTCGTCTCAACCTGACAAAGCCAAGCGAGGCTCGAGGGTCCTTCAAGCAATTCAAAGTCTCAACATGAGAACCCGAAATAACACTCGCTCGGTGCCAGAACCCCCCACCAGCACGAGCCCTCCCTTAAGTCCACAAGAACTCGACTCGGCGTTTGAGCGAGTCTTAGACTCTCTAAACATTCCTCTAAACATGCGTGATGGCATGCGAAACCTCAAACCGGACGTCAAGGCGGGACTGATGAAAGGCGAACGCGTCGGCAGCGGCTCCTCAGCAGCCTCAGGTGCAAGCGAAGTATCCGAGGTTAGGTCCTCAGCTAGGAATTCTCACCGAAACGAGAACGACAGGCCGAAAAGCGAGGGTGACGATAGCAAAGATCGCAAGCGGTCCCGTTCCCAATCACGTCCGAGAAGCCGCATCTTGACCTTGAGCAAACGCGACGAAGACACACCGAGCAAGCAAGACCGTCCCAGATCGTCGTCTCGCTCACGCAGCAAGTCGAGGAACAAATCCGCCGACTTGACCAATTCTAGGCCAACTTCTTTGAAGGCCACGGCCTCGACCGTGTCACTGGCATCACTGAATCCGGCAGACAGCGCCGCAGCTCCAGGGGACTTCATTCATTACCTTCGAGAAGTGCAGAAGCCTCAGCTGGTCGAAGTCAGCAAGCTCCACAAGTTAAGAATCCTGTTGAGAAACGAGTCGATCAGTTGGACCGATCACTTCGTCAGCAAGGGCGGCATGGATGAGCTCGTCCAGTTATACTATCGCATTGGAAAGATTGAGTGGCGTGAGGAGCATGAGGACAATCTCCTTCACGAGACCTTGCTGTGTCTGAAGGGATTGTGCACAACGTCTCTTGCGCTGCACCGGCTACAGCAGGTCGAAACGGAATTTTTCCCTGCTCTTTTGAGCATGCTGTTCGATCCGGAGAGAAAAGGTCCGTCCGAGTTTAGCACTAGAGGAGTTATAATATCCCTTCTATTCGCACACCTATCCGCAGTGGGTGGCGCAGATCAAGAGCAAGCTGGAAAACGGGCAAGGACGATTCTACACTTTCTCAGAGACCCGGCGCCGGAGGAAGGCAAGCAGACACTGGATTTTGTCTCTCAGATGCACACACCTCGACCATACCGAGTCTGGTGCAAGGAGGTTGTTAACGTCACCAAGGAAGTTTTCTGGATATTCCTGCACCATCTCAATGTCGTGCCGATCATCGATGTGGACGAATCTATGGGATACAGGCGGGCACACTTTCCCGCTCCGCGACCACCTCATCCAGCCGCCCCTTACGTTGGCGGAGTTGAATGGGAGGCGACGCAGTATCTCGCAGTCCACCTTGATCTGTTGAATGGTCTTATCAGTTGCATGCCCAGTGCACGTGAACGAAATGCCCTCCGGGAGGACCTGAAGCAATCTGGATTCGAGAAGGTGATGGGCGGCAGTTTGCGGACTTGCAAGGAGAAGTTCTACGGAGGCGTCCACGAGGGCCTGAAGTGTTGGGTATCAGCCGCCAAAGCCGACGGGTGGCCAGTGGAAGATGTCCGAGCCGGACCTCCCAGAGAAGCCGCAAGTCCACGAAAGAGCCCGGTCAAGAGGAAAGCGGACGAAGTTCCACAGCTCGCTTTGGATGTTGGTGCAGGTCAAGGGCAGCTGGTGAAGCCTGACGACGGGTGGCTCTGAATGTTGGAAGTCGGCCCACCCCATTGCATTCTGGATGACTGGTTAGACGAGTGTAACGACTTTTTATCTTTAGTCCTTGTTGCAGAAGCGTCCGTTGAGTCAGCAGGCAGGCTCAGGGCCGGGTGTTGGGTTCAGACTCAGGATTAGGCACATGCATAGAGACGCTTTTATTGGAATGAGACAATGTTGCACGAGATTTCGCGAACAGGCCGTTGATCGCTTCGTGGGGATGCCGAAAGGTTGAATCAGTGTGCGGCTAACCTGCCAAAAGCGCTCAAGCAGCAACGGGACGAAACGCAGTCACGTCACCAATCACCCGCCAGAGAGGCACCAGAAAGTGACAAGGGTTCTTCTTTCCGGCTCGGGTTCCACTTCCAGTCGTCAGGTTCTTGTGAGGTGTGAGTAAGGTGTGAGTGAGGTGAGGGTGAGTTGTGCGCGCCGCAGACCAGCGTCGCAGTTGACTTTGTCATTTTCCTTCCACCACGGCCTCGCTCACCACTTCTCGCTTTTCGCTGTCCCATGATGTGACCGAGTCGGGCAACCACCTTCTATCTGCTGTCATAGTTTTCTGGATTCCAAGCGAGCCGATGCCGTGAAAACTCACTGCGACCTCCCTGCCCGCCTCCACTGATTACACGCCCACAGCTCCCTCACCGTCCTCCTCTTCCCACTACGTTCCCCTATGTCCACGACGACAATGACGACCACCGTCCTCGGCACCTCGAACGTGCGAGGGGGTCCGTCTCGCCTCACCCGCACCAACCCAGCACGAGCTACTAAGGGACTCGGATCGACCAGCCTGCGCCAGAACTCGCTCGTCTCCAACAGCGGCCTTCCTCTAGCCCTCTCATCCAACGGCGTCGCCTCACAGAGCCTGAGCAACAACGAGCCCCTGGGCATGTACCCTGCCATCACTCACTTCTCCGATGCGATTGCCGCCCTGCCTCGAGAATACCGCCGACACACTTCTCTGTTGAAAGAGGTTGACGCCAAAGCGTGGGGTCCCGAGGAAAATCTACAACTTGCCCTCGACCAGTGCCTCGCGGACAGCGCAACTACGACGCGAGATCTCCCTGGTGCAGCTCAAAGTCTGACCAGCTCGACTGCAGCGGATGATTCCATAAACCAGAGTGAGGCGAATAGTGTCGCCGGCGCCTCGTTCGACAATGCCTCCCTCGCCTCTGCCCACTTCTCCGATCCCGCCGTTGTCCAGCGCAGGCGGAAGTACCACGCATTGAGGCAAAGCCTCATGGCTGTCATGGTGACGATGGATGAAAAGAATCATGTCATCAACAATGCGAGCGAGGAGATGGGCAAACAGATCCGGAGACTCGACCGCATCTGGCCGCACATCGCCGACGAGATCTCAGAAGAAGCAAGGTTGGGCAGTCTGAAGCATTGGGCCTACACAGAGACAAATCCTACTAAAAAGGTGCCTCCCCCGCCTACCCGCAGAGACGCTGCCGCGACGGTGGCGCCCACCCTCCATGAGAGCGAAGTGGCACATAGGAGTCACGATAGAAGAGAGGCTGTTAGGAGACAACGAGCAGCTGCCCAACACGTGGAGTCCGACTTGGACGATACCAGGCCACCTGTACGGAAGACAACCACGAACGGCAAGAAGCGCGCAGCTGAGGCTGCTCCCGATCCCGCTGGTCTCGGCATCTCTGGTGCTGGCGCTGGCATCACCGCAACAAAGAGAAAGAAACCAGAGAAGCCCGCGACTGGAAGCGCCGCTATGGAACGCTCCATCAGTAGTGCTCTCGGAGGTCGGCCAATGTCTAGAGAAAGCTCGCAGCAGGACAACTCAAAGAAAAGAAAAGTTTCGACGACGGCCATGTCGGTGGCCAGGAAACGGTACGTTTTACACGTCATACAAAGTGACCATGCTGACCTTCTGCGTATCAGGATCAATGCGGCGACTCAAGACTCACCGAAGCTTACCTCGTCCCCACTTGCAGGGACTGCTGGAAAAGAAGCCTACAAGAGAAGCCCAGCCCTTTCCACCGTGCGGCCAGCCATGTCCCGAGGACGTCAAAATTCCACAAACACGGTCGAGAGCGTAAAAGGAGGCCGACCGTCGTCCCTGGCATCCAACAGAAATGGCACGAGCAACAATCTGACTGTAAACAATACAGAAGTGACCAATGTCGCGTCTGCCACTGGCAGAGCTGCGAGTGAGGTGAAGAGCAACACGAGAGAGGCGAAAATCGACAAGGCCGTCCCAGCCATCGAGGACGAGCCGTCAACCTTCAATGGTGCCAAGGTTGACCATGGACTGAAAGGGGCCCCGCCCGTGGAGAGATCGTACAGCAGGCAAGGGACAGCCAAAGTCGAGCATCGGGAAGAAGTTTCGGCAAAGGCAGTTGCGTCGCCGCGTCTGCCAGCCTTGCAGACCAGCGAGCTCAAGACCGACCGTACTGCAAGGGGTAGAGCCTCGAAAACGTCCACGCCCGTCGTCGGGACGTTTGCCGATGCTGAAGCCGCCGAGACTGCGTCGGCGAATGGAAGTGTAAGCGCTTCCACGAAGCCCAAGCGACCGCCCCGAAATAGGGTCAAGGACCATGGCCTCCATGATTCCCTGTCACCAAAAGGCCTGCCGATGAAACGTCCGCACAAGAAGAGTGGTAGCTTATCGTTTCCCTCCACGACGAGCAATGCCAGCACCACGCAAAGAGTCCGAGACGAGGCAGAACCACGAACCAAGTCGTCGACTCCTTCCGAGCGTGATGTCCTCGCGGCCAACAACAACACAATCGCCGACCTCCATGTTGAGATGGCAGATGATGACGAAGGTGAAAAAGACGCACCAGAGGAAGATGAGGAGCGGTACTGCTACTGCCAAGGCGTCAGTTACGGAGAGATGGTGGCATGTGATCGTGATATCTGTCCTCGGCAGTGGTTTCATCTCGATTGTATCGGCTTGAAGAGCGTGCCGAAGAGCGCCAAATGGTACTGCAACGAGTGTAAGGAGGCCCTGGCCCAAGGGGAGAGGATGACAACCGGGAATGGCAAGGGGAAAAATGGTAATGGTAGTGTTGGTGGTAATGGTAACGGGAATGGAAATGGGACTGGGACTGGGACTGGGACTGGGAACGGCCACGGCCACGGCCACGGAAATGGGAATGGGAATGGGAAGTAGATTTGTCACATCAGCAGAGCTACATGATCTGGAAGTCGCACAAGGAGAAGGCCGAATCTTGGGGGTACGCATACAGATCCCGCATTAGGTACATGTAGATAAGTACGGGAGACGGCCGCGAGGCAAGCGACCGGCCAGGGGCACGGCAGTTACAGGTACACAGTTCGTACACACACGAGTCACAGTACGGAGTACCACTGACAATAATCCCGCGTCGATAGCTTACCTATGTAGCGACCGCTCCGTTTGTACTTGACTGATGAAGAGGTGTGGGTGTGGGTGTGGGTGGGCACATTGTATGCGTCATGGTTTCCTGTACAGGACTCCGTACTCGTACGGGCACGACAAGTCCAGTGGTGTGGACAGGTAAACCTCGTAATACGAAATACTGTAGGGGATTCAAGGAAGGAAGGAAGGAGATCTCCTTCTTCAGCACTTGCTGTATTATTATAACTACCTACAGTACCTAGAAAGTACGTATAAAACACGCGGTATCATGCTACTCCGGTTGTCCGGTCCAGCTTGAGACGGGTACTCACTCGTACGGGAAGCGAGATATAGGACTCGTACTGTAGGCTGTAACTACGGGAGATGTCCCGCTCACGTGCCAATGCCATGACTCGAGATCTGTAAAGACAGGCTGAAGGACGTTATGTCCGTTTAATGCGCTAAGTACAGCACAACGACGCCGGCCAGACGCGGACCGAGGAACTGAATTTTGAACAGAGGACGGAGTGTGGAGCGGAGATCAATTCCCGCGCCCTGACTCTTAGATCTTGGTTCGTATCATCTATCTTTCTACCTTTACCTGTATCAGATGGTCAACTCTCCAGCTCTCGCGGCGTGCTCGACCGGTTGTTGCGGATGTCTCTATTATATGCTCGAGATGTTGCTTCAGAGTGAAAAGAAGGCTCCGAGGCCACGAACGGGGCCTTCATCGTGGAGTTCCTAGTACTCATCTCCTGGCGTTCCCACGGCTGATTTCCCGGGCACGGCGCAAATGTTTCCAGACCTGGGAGCCCGTGTGATCCAGGTTGATGCGTTGCTTTTAAGCCGCTGATTTCGCGTGTTTGTCGCCGGATACGATAGGCCAGGAAGACTATTATGGCGAGGACGGCGATTCCGGTGACAACGCCTATTGCGACGGCGGCTTTGGCTCCGGTTGAGAGGCCGGGATTTTGGGCAGACATAGAATCCGAAACAGGCTGGCGGGAGCCTGAGCTTGCTGTGGCCGCGGGTACCAGTGGCGACGTTGATGCACTGTCTGAGAGTGTCGACGGTGCTGGAGAGGATGGGGCGGATCCGGATGAAGGCGTGCTCCCAGTTGTTCCCGTCGAGCTTGCTGACGCGCTGGCAGCGGGTGTTGGCGTTGATGCGTTGCTAGTTGCTGAAGCACTCGTCGGCACAGCGAAGACGCCAATCGTTATGACTGGATCGTCCGTGGCTTCGAAGTGCGTGGTGTTGAAATCGGTCGTGCAGTCGCAGGACCCGCCATAGCAGCAAAAAGTGTTCTGATTACAGAAGAGCATGGAATTACCGCCACCCATGGCATCTGTATGTTCTCGATGCCGTCAGCCAGGACACTTTGTACAGCAGTACGTCGCTGGGGAAATTGGCCTGATTGAGACTGTGGGACATCTCACTTACATTGCGAGCCGATGCAGAAATGCGGACAGCTGGGACTCGACCAGCTTTGATCCGTACATGAGCCCCGGTGGTAATTGATGTCGGTGTTCAGATTCGGGTTGGATTTGAAGGCGAAGGAAGTAACTTGGCAGATGCCGTCTTCGAGACAGGCAAAGCCTTGTCCGCAACACACTGACTCGCCACTGCCGGACGTACATGGTGTGTCGCCTGAGGATAGGGTACCATCTGGAAAGTACAGGCTCGGTTGTCTTGTGCCGAAGCAGGTTGGGCGAGGAAGAGGCCGAGCAGCTTCAGCAGCAATGCGAGTTACGCGGAGTTGAGCATGATGCACGGCAGGTTCGTTGGGTATGTAATTACTGCAAGGTGAAGCAGGTAGAAGCAGGCGCAACGGACGAAAGCGACAGCCGCGACTCGAACTTATCTATACGACGGTGCAAGCTCTCCTCCTGCGGTTCGGCTCAACACAATTGACTGCAGCGTCCATAGCTGTCTCGGCCATGGTGTTCCATAACGCGCCAACCTCATGCGGCCGAAATTGATAGCAGCTTCGACGTCTGAGGCGTAAGGGCAGGCATCGGCCGGTAATGATATCTGCCTCGCCGCGTGGTAAGGCCGGTGTATTGCAGGGCGCATCTGAATACCATATCCGCATCGGGCGCCCGAGGAGTCGACGTGGAGGTCCTCTGCAGATACTCCGTAGGAGGAGAGATGCTGGATATAATTGGGGACAAAGTGGTTCAGCTGCAGCGATGCGAAGGCGGCAGCCACGACCGGCGCCAATAAGCGCCAGCCCTCCAACACATTCCCATGGCCAGCTCCCAATTTGCCCCTGTCATAAACCCTGTCCTCGACAACACGGCCTGGATCGACATGCGGCATGCTCTTTCTGTACCTGTACTTATGTCACCATCGTCGCCAGGTATGTGTTTCACCCATTCATCGTGTCTAAAGGCTCTCAGAGTCAGAGACGTGTTCCGAGGATGCCCGCCAGACTGGGCCGGGGCCTTCTCGCACGCGTACTCCCGTTGTTTCTCGCTGCTCTGTTCTGCATGTTCTTATTACACCTTCACTATGCCCAGACTTGGAGACAAAATGCGTGGCAGATCACACGCCCGAAGTTCACTCCGGGTGTCGCGAAGCCGGCCTCGGAAGAGTACACGAAGACGGTCGTCATGGCGAGGCTGAAATCCGAAGACATCTCCTGGGTGTACAACGAGCTGCAAAGCTTCAATCACAGTATCTATACAGTCGATGATGACGAGGCGGAACTTCGAGTCCCGCAGAACAAGGGCAGAGAAGCCATGGCGTATCTAACCTATATCATTGACCACTACGACAATCTTCCGGACACTGTACTGTTCTTCCATCCGCACAGGTCCACACGGCACAACAATGTCCTCCTTGATCTTGATAGCGCCAGGACCATCAACAGGCTGAATCCCGGTCGAGTGGCACGGCATGGGTACTTCAACGCACGATGCCATCACGACCCTGGCTGCCCGAACTGGCTGCACGTCAATCGGCCCGAGCGCGAATGGGACATGGTCAAAAAGAAAGAGGAGCAGTACTTGACCAGCGAGGTATGGCGGCAACTCCATGAAAGCGACCCTATTCCGGAGGCGCTCTCTCAACCCTGCTGCGCGCAATTCGCAGTGTCCGGCGAGAGGATCCGCACCCGCCCACTCACGGACTACCTGCGCTATCGCCAGTGGCTGCTCGACACGGACATGGCGGACGAGTTCTCGGGCCGCATGCTCGAGTACAACTGGCAGTATATATTCACGGGCGAGCCGGAGTTCTGCCCTCCGCAGCACGAATGCTACTGTGATGGGTATGGAATCTGTTTCGGGGGCACCACGGACGACAACCTGCAGGATTGGCTCCATCTGCTGAGGCAAAGGGAGCTCCTCGACGAACAGTTGAGGGACTTGAGACGCGAAGATCCCGGTACCAGGGACCAACACCGCATCGCTGCAGCCGAGAGTGAGAAATCGGAGCTTGTCTTGAAGCTGGACATGCTGAAAGCTGAAGCATACCGGCGTGGAGAGGATCCAAAGAATCGGGCTCTGGAATGTGGCAGGCCATGGAAACCGGGTGATGGCTTTTAGAGACCATGAACCCGAATGACTGGCGAATATTGGCGTATACAACATGTACATACTGGACTTTTTCGCGATTTACGAGGTTGACAATAGAGAGATCCTGAAGTTTTGACTGCGACTTGATAGCCGAAGGAGTACCTTGGGCTATTTACTTATATTGGTACTTAAGGCAAGGGAGGCTCAAAGCTTCTCAAGCACTAGACAATGTACCCACAATCCGAAGTTCACCAAGTTTTCCTCGTTCAGTACGTACTCTGCCTCTGTTTGCTCTCGAACCTCATCACAGGCGATCCTCGAACCATCCCATTCTCTGCCCAAGCGAGACTATCACCCTGCATGCACATTTGTCGTGTTGAGGTTCTATTGGCCCGAACTCCTCCTTCGGAATGTCCTCATGCAGAGCCGCCCGCATCCTTGCACGGTCCGAGCCTGTCGCGCCGGCCTTCAGGAAGCCTGACTTGACCTCCTTGCATATGTGATTGTGATGGATGGCGAAGAATCAGTCCCAGTGGCTTCGCTTGACGGGACAATGTCCAAGGGTCAGACTCGACGTTGTTGGTGCCATTGGTCGAGATGCGACGGCTACGACTATCTGAGAGGGAAGCAGGGCACCCTGGGTGTGTGTGTGCATCCTTATCGACAGGCCCAGTACAAGCTGCAAGGGATGCATCAGATCGTGCTACCTGGGACTTAATGTACTTAGGCTGAATGACAGCGACAGAAGTACACAGCACACCTACGCTGAACGACCGCAACCGAAGTAGGACTTCTCGAACATTGGAATCGCGCACAGCTGCCATGGCGCAAAAACCTCAGACTCTCGACGGCAAAGTCGCCCTGGTCAGCGGGAGTTCGAAAGGCATTGGTGCGGCCGTCGCGATCGAACTTGCTTCCAGGTACGATACGCTACATGAGTATTATAAACGAAGACCGATTGACGACTCGCTCCAGGGGCGCCCTGGTGGTCACAAACTATCCGTTTGCTTCTCTAAAAGAGGAGGCAGAGTCCACGCTCGCAAAGATTCGTGCCACAGGGGGAAGTCATGCCACCGAGGCCTATGCGATAGAGTCGGACCTGGCCACTCTCGAGGGACCGAAACATCTCGTCGAAGAGGCAGTCAGACAGCTCAGTGGCCGCAAAATCGACATTCTGGTAAACAATGCCGGAAGGGCGAGTCCGCAACTCCTAAAGGACGTGACCGTCGATCAATGGGAGTTTCAAGTCCACTTGAACGGCCGCGGTACATTGTTGACCACGCAAGCCGTATTGCCGCATCTGGCCAAGCCGAGCAGAATCGTCAATCTGAGCTCAGGCGGCGCGAGGCAGGCGTATCCGGGGACGAGCATCTACAATGGTACGAAGAGCATGATTGAGAGCTTCACGAGATGCTGGGCCGTGTGAGTACTTACTCACCACTCACTTCCTGTAGCCACGCCTTCGGACTGACATGGATCCACGCTCGCTGCATAGGGAACTTGGCCGCGAGTACGAATGCACCGTCAATGCAGTCGCGCCAGGAGCGACCAACACCGACGCTTTCAACGCGCTCACCGGAGACACGCGGGAGAGTCTCGAACCCATGCTGGCAATGACTCCGGCGGCGTCGCGGATTGGCGAGACTGAAGAAATTGCCTATGCCGTGGCCTTTTTCTGCGAGGAGAGAGCCAGATGGATTACGGGTCAGGTTCTACAGGTTAATGGCGGTACTTTGATGGCGTGATAAGGGCGAAGTCGGGTCCAGAACACCTCGACGTGCACTCTGCGATAGATCTACACATTTTAGCCTGATGACACTGCTCCAGCTGGCATAGAACATCGTGGTAGGGCACCGCCACCGTCTGAAGTGAGTCTCATTCCCCATGCGAGGGCTCGTCCCTCAGCTATGGCTATGTATACCGCCGTATGGTGCCCGTGAGCGAGCCTGCCCACATGGCAGAGGCAGGAAGGGGTAGGGGAAGGCGTGCCTACCACAAACATCAAGCCAAGTACAGTGTCTTCGGCAGAACCAATGATGCAACTCTATCGAAGCCCTCGCGACACTTTTGACTGTTGCCGGGACTTCAGGCAGGGACGTGGTCCTCCAAACTTGTGCTCTAGGCAAATCTCGAATTGACCGACATCAAATCCAGAGGCGTCAGCTCCTTCAGTCATACCTCACCAACCGTTCAAAAGCAGCACCACAGATACTCTCTTACCTGCCTTGACACTGTTTCCCCCCGGTCCTCCCATCGAGCGTTCCGGCATGGACCACTTGCATGGAACCGCGGCTGGGGAATGGGTGGGCGTAAGACTGTAGCTCCCTCAAGCGAGAATTTATTTTTACAGTATTCAGTGTTCAATCTTCAATCTCAATCTCAGTCTCAGTCTTCAATCTTCAATCTTCAATCTTCAATCTTCAATCTTCAATCTTCAAT